GGGGGGGGGGGGGGGGGGGGGGGGGGGGGGGGGGGGGGGGGGGGGGGGGGGGGGGGGGGGGGGGGGGGGGGGGGGGTGGGGGGGGGGGGGGGGGGGGGGGGGGGGGGGGGGGGGGGGGGGGGGGGGGGGGGGGGGGGGGGGGGGGGTCACCCGCGCAGTTTAATTTTCGTGATAGCGACATGGATCTTCAATGTTTCATTGGCTCGGAAAGTCCATAATAAATTTCCCAGTAGATATATTCTATCAATTGGTAGAAATGCAATCCCGTTTAATGACAAATTCACGTACTCACGTACGGTCCATAGAATATGTAGCATGGTAACATTGGTTCTCTTGAGAGTATTGTTGGCATGGTAATTCAAATATAGATTTCCTGATAACCATATCCACGCAAATTCCACATTCAGATAAGTCCACCGCAAAACTTGAACCCCCTACCAGTTGTCTTATTAGCAATTCTTGTGAACCGTCAGAATCATTTTGATCACTTGCCCTCGTGCTTGGATGACTGTCGAGGGTTGCCTCGTGTATGTTATGTTTTACCATGTTCCCACTGGGGGATTGGGGTCAGGCCTAGGCTCTGGCTGAGGAGCATCTCCAGAGTTGGTTCCTTTTGGTTTGGAACTGTCCAAATCGGTGCTTTTGCCCCCGCGATGAGGCTGTAGCCAGGGTTTGGATCGAAGATCGGTCGTTTCTTTCAAGCGGGCTTGATCACACCAGGTCAAAATCGATTCGGACGAAGGCATGATGTCGTCACTTGTATCTTAGCAGCCTAGTTTGATTGGCTATGATCCAGAATGCAAGAATGTATTTTGAACCTTTTCGCAGAAGTGAAGGAGTACAGAGTTGTTGCGACTCACGGAAGGCAACCTTGAGTATCTAGAGATTCATTGTAGCGTATTTATATTGTAAGTTGGTGTTGATTATTAGAATCTAGTTCTTACGAAAATATTTTTGTCATACCATCTTTTTATTCGACAAGTATTGAAGGTCATTACTCTGTAGCAACAGCAAGAATAATTCTTTTCAGACACTTGCATCAATTGATGTGCGCCATTTCATCATGACTCATATCGCCCGAGGTTTATTGATCATGTGCTTCTTGGCCTAATCACTGATGAGGGATTGAAGGGGGGGTAGAAAACTTCAATCGTTGGGCTTAGGCATTTTGGCGCACACCTAGATAGATGGAAGGCTCTACCGATGGTGAGAAATAATGCATGACCCCGCATTGACACGTCTTCAAATGTAAAGGTGGTCAGCACTAGTACACAATAAATGATACCATCACTTCAAACACTAGTATGATGTTGCTAGCTGCTTTTGCTACTTCTTCTGGCTTATCTTAGTCCTCATTTTATACCGTCCGCCTCGTAATGGGGTTAGCACTTGGCTGCTCATTTGGTGGGGTGTAAAATCCCCTCTTTCTTATATCAAAACTGTTGTCTCAATTAGAGGATGAGCCAGTGTCAATACATTGTCGTATACCATTTGCAAGCCCCTTTCACTTCGGAAGGTCAAGGATCTGCTATATCAAACCTTGAACATTTCCACGAATATGGAACAACCAAGGAGTCGATCTATCTCCTTTGGATATATTGACCCACTCCCTTTATACTCGGAAGAGCGACCATATTACATTTATGATGATATCCCAGAAGGCACAGACAGAGGAAATCTGAGAACATGTTATGGCCCAAGTCAACAGGTTGAGAATTTGCGGTATTCCGACGAGTCGTTCGACATCGACCAGCAGGGCTTCATGTTCAAGCAACAGAAAGTGCCGAATGGAATTGATTGGAACAAAGAAAATGACATCTTGAGTAAATACATTCCAAACGTTCAAGGCATGGTCGCGGATATTTTGGGTGATTCTGTGCACTGCTGCAAAATCTTTGATTGGCGAGTAAGTGAAGCCTGTTCCTAGATAGAATTTTATCATCCACCACCTCGGTACCTTTCTAATTATACCTCTATCTAGCTGCGAAGTTCTTCATCTCGCTTGCTGACGGAACCAGACTCATCAAGTGTCAGAAATCCTCATATGACAAAATTTGCCCCAGCCTTTCATGTCCATGTCGGTGAGTAGCTTCAGCTCTGACCTTATCATTCGAGTATTACTTTCGTCACTGACTTAGAGAAACTGCCAAGACCAAACCCCACTTGGAGTACTGAATAGAATGGGTCAGATATTTGGACAAGAGACTGATGATTTGATCGCGAGATACCGCGTGCGGGTCATTAAGTGAGTATACTTCGAGGATGCGAGTGATATTAGCCAAAGAGGCTAACTTTTCTCGAGCGTTTGGCGTCCCTTAGTGGGAATAGTCGAAGACTACCCGCTTGCATTATGTGACGCGCGCTCGGCCACAGTAGATGACTTAGTCAGTATCTCTCAGGTGGATAAGGGTTTCGTACGACATAGCTTCATGGCAAAGTACAGCAAGGATTTCCGGTTCTGTTACCTTGAAAACATGCGTAACGATGAAGTTTGCATCTTCAAGGTTTTTGACTCGAAAGATGGGGTTGCTCAGAGTGGGTATCCTTATCTCCATGTAGCTTCACTGCTAATGAGCGCGTTAACAGGAGTTCCTCACAGCTCATTCAACATGAAGACCCATTCATCTTCAGCCAAGCCACGAGAGAGCATTGAAGTCAGGCTGATTTTTCTATCCGCGTTAGATTGAGCTATTTTTGCTCCATGTTTATATCTACTTGACATACAATCTAATTAAGAAATCTTATCTGTGGTCGTATGCTATGCCGCATAATTATCATTATGCAAAAGCTTCATGTGATTAGAGCAAATAATTATTTTCAAGGTTGCCTATTGCAAAATAAAATTATCGGAGCCCGGGAAACCTCCCAAGGTTGGAACGGATAATTTTCACCGGTCGATACAGGAATGGCTCCTCTATTTTGTTGGATACTTTTGACATGTTATATCTAAGGCATGTCTAACTAATAATAATAATAACGTTTGTAGGCTCATTTGCGACCCTCTGGATTCTAAAAAAACAATTTAGCTATGATCTCCAGGTAAGTACAAAGGACTCATACATACCACCGAGGACGATCCCACAATGGTCACTCGTTCCCCTCTAGCAGAATTCAAGTTCCCCATAATCACCCCAGCATTATTCAGCACCGACCCAATGCTTACATTCCCTTGGTCTATTGTATAGTGCTACACCGACAACCACTTCGTTAGCGAGTAGTTAGATCAAGTAAGGAGGGATCAATCATACTTGCTTTGACGGCCTCCTATTTCTCTTATCAGTGGCATCATTCTCATACGTCCTGTCCTGCAAAGGAATAACACCCAACAACTCCTTCGCATATGCGGCAGCAGTGGCAGCCGAATATGCCTGCCAACGCTTGCTCTTATGTGAATCGGCATAATCACAAATTCCCCTCACAACCAAGCAAGGAAACTGATCCATTAGTCCAGCAGCCTCCATCTCAAAACACAGCACATCCTCCAGCTGACGTGCAACGCTATCTCTCGTCACCGCATCACGCATTACCCGGTTTCCCGACGCAATCAGTCCATAATGTACCCGTGGATCGAGAGAACTCCGCCGTGACCGCGTAATGAGATGACTACTGTCGCACTTAGATTGACATTCATTCAAGCTGCCTCCGGCATGTGTATATAAGGGTTCAAACAGGAAATCGTGTTGCAGACCGGGAGACACAAAAGCTGGGAATCGCGCTTGGATTTTGCCCAAGTGCGCGGCCAAAGTCGACTGACCGAGGATATGGTCGGATTCGAGGGTGGCTATCGCGGCTAATAGTTGCGCGGGAGGTTTGTTCAAACACCCTGTGCGATGGAATTGACCACTCGTTATGGTTTTGCCATAGTCGTACTGGACTACGCCACCTGTTGTGCCCGTTGGTTTGCTGACTACTATATCTCCCAGACGGATATCAGTTGTGCTGGGGTGGGGGACGCCCCCGCCGATGCCGACAATTAAACTGAAGCGCAGAGCTGAAAAAGTGGAGGTAATATGAGAGGCAACGATGGCAGCCGATGCGGTACCGTAGACGCCGGAGGGAAGGCAGGCGATGACGATGTTGTGGCCATTGATGGAACCAAGGGTATAGATGTTGGGATCGTTGGCCTTCGCGGGAAGTCGGGGGTGAAGCTCATCGAGGGCTGCTTTGGCAGTGGCCATCTCCAAGGCCAGTGCACAGATCCAGCCGATGGAATAGTCAGAGTGGGTGAGGGCCATCTTATTGGTATAGATGAAGATAGGTGATGTACTTAGTTCCAGGGCTATGGTGGAGGAGATGATGAGGGGATACGTAGACTGATGGACTAGGCAAGAGAGTGGTTAGACGCTACTGTTCATATAATTCACCTAGTGGTTGCCCAAGGCCGCCCGGACGGAGTATAAATTAGGTATAGATTTATAGGACAGCTCAGTAGACCTCCGTACAGGCCCGCAAAACCATAGCTCATCCCGACCCAGCCCGCAAATGGGCCCGGTTTTGGGCCTAAGGTCCGGGACTATTATAACCCGGAATGGCCCCTAAACAATACAAAAAACATGTCAATTCTTGGCATTTTCATAAATAATGCAGGTTTTCTCGGTATTTTTGTGTTTATAGTCTGTTCATACTATTTAAATGGTTTTAATTATTGGTTATTCTAATGAATATATACTGATTTAATATAGCTATTTATTCTTTACAATTTAAATCAAGAAAAATAAGCTATTTAGTACTTAAGTAGATAGGCCAAATTTCTGATTTGCTGTAGCAAATTAGAGCGGTTTATTACTTAAGTACTGTTAATTGAAGAAATATATAACGTAACAAGATGAGCCGGCCACATTTACTTATGCCACATGCCGGTGAGTTAGTAGTTGGGTGTGTGACCACTTGAGCACCAGCGAATCCCCACCGTTGTAAGGGCATACCGAGCACAAGAGATATATACATAATATTTGTGGCTTGTATATCTGAGTTAGTGCCAAAGCAGGATTTTGGCCCAGATGTTCAAAGGAGTATTGGAACGTTCCCAGTTCGATCTATATATGGATGGACCATACTTATCGCTGACCCTAACCTCTCGCTTTTGGCGATATACAGAATACAGCAACTATATATATCGTTGTAAGTACATGTATGACTTCAGGATGTCCCACTTCCTAAAAACGAACTTCTAAAGTTGGAGGCTCGTCAAGGTTTATCGTAGCCTAATTGCCGCTCAATTGGTTAGGCTGCCCTCGTGCCGCACGACTTTTGAATCGCTGTGACGCCTTAACGAAGTCCAGCACGGCCTGAACCGTCTTCGCCCTTGAGACGGTGTCTGGTTTACCTCTCTCACGATCTCACCTTCAGTTGAGCCTCCCAGCAGACTCGACACGCTGTTGATCGCGCTCCCAGCTTCACTCCTTAACTGTCGTCCTAGCACATAGGTGACTATTTCTTGCGCGCCGCACACGCACTGATCATTCTCGCGGAAGCCGAAGGTCTTGGCATAGGTGGACAGCTAATTATGGCCCGTGCGTAGCTGCGTCAACAGGTCCCTACGATTTTTCCAGAGTATCGCGGAAGACCTACAACGATTTTAGATACCAATCATCTCACTTGATACAGTATCAGTGGGAACTGTTAACCTTCATCAGCTGAAAGAGACTGAGCTCCCCATACGCAGCGAATACAACACCACATGATTACTGGACATTATAAACGCCTCTGGGAGAAGCTCTGGAAGAAAGAAAAGTCTTCAATTAATACATACCCCATGTTCCCCCCACCCCCACCCGAAGAGCTCCTCGCTCATCTGAACCTCTACCGCGAACGCCTATTTCAACGCGTCCATCGAACTCCTCGAGACGATTCCGAAGATGTACCCCTTTTCTCACTATATCGGCTCTACGAGCATCTAACTCTGAACGACAATATCGGCTTACGAAACGAACTCGAATACTTTTGGTATGCAAGATGGCCTATTGCCTCCATTCCTGATCCCCAGGACGCGTGTAAATCCCGATACGCGGTTCTTGCTGCTATACCAGCCTTGTTGGTTGAATCATTCAACGCCTGTATCAAATTGGGCCTACCGCGAAAAGCAGACAGTATCATCTCGCGCGAGGAATTAGAAAAATACCAGAAGGAGGACAAAATCTTCGAATCGGTCCCCGAATGGTCGAATCAGGTGTCGCGACTAGAAGAAACCCTAGTGATTCCGCACGATAATGATGAAGTTCTTGATTCGTTTGAGGATGTAAGGGCGAGTTCTCAACTGGCAGCGAAGAATATTCTACATTGGCAGCCGCATATTCATTTTATCTAGTTAGTTACCAATGTAGTGGGAAAACCGCACTTCTTGTTTGTTGAGGCCAAAAGCCCGTCACGTTTGCATTGTTTGCATCAATTATCCAGCATGTAAATTGTCATTCCATTTCGGTTTCACTGACCATCTCGAAAGAGTAAAGTTCAACCGGAACCTAGCATTCAATATCAAACCAATCAGGGAATGTGCAATGAAATCGAATTTCCCCGACCAACGGATCCGCGGATAATCCACACGTGGGCGCTAAAGCGGGACGGGCACCGTATATTCTCCGATATCCGAACTATGTACCCAAAGCTTGACCATCTCCGAGACTTGACTATATTGCTCCATGAAGCTAACCGTGAAATGCACTAAGCGACTTTTGTGCCTGACGAATATAGTGGGTCCAGGTGACAATGCAAAGAAATTGATCTGCACGTTGCGAGCCGTGGGGGGCTTTGTCAACATGATTGGCCCTAATTACACAGATGTAGAAATTGCTTTGTTCTGATTGTGGTACCTGCGCCGAAGGATGGGAATACATATAGAGCTCAAGAGCGCAAGTTCTCAGTTAATTGAGTCTCATCTGTTGAACATTCCGAACCGTCATCTTGAGTCCCTTGGTTCGACTTCTCCGAATTTACTGTGTTGCATTTGAGGTCAATTTGCGCGCTCACTCTTATTATTGGCCCCTACTGTCTGTAGTGCAAGATCTTGAGTTCCATTCTTTTTGGTACCTGACATCTGAAAATTTGTGGATTGGGTCCCACTTCTCATCATGGTTGGACGTTACGTTCTCAAGGCGGTGATCATGGCCGGATGCGCTTTCGCCGGCGTCAACTATCCAACGATTCCGAAGGACTTGACCACACCATTCCAACAGCGACTGGCGGTGTATGGGCCTAATTGTGAGTACCAAAAGCAAGAGACCGCAACAGTGACAACTGGCTGATTAAACACTAGCTGTGTCTGTGGGATGGAACACATATGAGCAACTGAGCCAGCCCTGCGTACAATATGGGTTGTCAGCAGATAATCTGGATACCAAAGCATGCTCATCGTCTTCGACCACTTACTCAACCTCCCGGACCTGGTCAAATGTGGCCATTCTGACAGGCTTGACACCTGCAACAACCTACTACTACAAGATCGTTTCAGCCAACTCCACAGTGGATCACTTCCTCAGTCCTCGCACCCCGGGAGACAAAACGGCTTTTAATATGGACGTTGTGATTGATCTCGGCGTTTATGGAAAAGATGGCTTCACAACCTCAAGCAAGAAGAAGGACACCATCCCTGTAATTGAACCAGAACTCAACCACACTACCATCGGCCGCCTCGCCGAGACAGTGAATGACTACGAGTTGGTCATTCACCCAGGTGACTTCGCCTATGCCGATGACTGGTACCTCAAGTTCTCAAACATTCTCAACGGCAAAGAAGCCTACGAGTCCATCCTGGAACAGTTCTACGATCAACTGGCGCCAATCGCAGGCCGCAAGCTGTACATGGCTAGCCCAGGCAACCACGAGGCAGACTGCAGCGAAATCCCATATCTGAACAATCTTTGTCCAAAGGGACAAAACAATTTCACCGATTTCCTGCACCGATTCGAAAACACCATGCCTCAATCATTCGCATCATTATCCACTAATACGACAGCGCAAGCTCTCGCGCGGAAAGCGCGCAGTCTCTCCAACCCGCCCTTTTGGTATTCATTTGAATACGGCATGGCGCACATCGTGATGATCAACACGGAAACCGATTTCCCCAATGCTCCCGATGGAACAGATGGATCAGCCAAGCTGAACGGTGGACCATTTGGTGCGCCCCATCAGCAGATCGAGTTCCTGAAGGCTGATCTTGCATCCGTTGACCGAACAGTCACACCGTGGGTCATTGTTGCTGGTCACCGACCGTGGTACTCGACTGGTTCATCCAGTGGTTGCGACTCGTGCCAAGAAGCCTTCGAAGGCTTGTTCTACCAGTACGGTGTTGATCTCGGTGTTTTCGGCCACGTACACAATTCACAGCGATTCCTTCCTGTTGTCAATGGCACCGCTGATCCCAATGGGATGAAAGATCCCAAGGCGCCGATGTACATTGTTGCTGGTGGAGCGGGTAACATCGAAGGGTTGAGTGCTGTTGGCACTAAGCCTGCTTACACAGAATTTGCATACGCCGATGATTACAGCTACAGCACACTCAAGTTCTTGGATGCGCAGAATTTGCAAGTTGAGTTCATCAGGTCTTCAACTGGAGAAATTTTGGATTCCAGTACCCTGTACAAGAATCATGCGACGCAATTCGTTCAGCAGTGAGAGCTCGGTGGATGGTATAGAGGTTCTTTGTCAATCCTGTATCAATAGTTGAAAATAGGCCTTGGGATATCGTCTGAGCATTTTAATTCGTAGAAGCCGATGCTCCGTCAGTTCCAAATCGTCACCGCCATCACTCAGCCTTTCTTTCAACTGGGTGCTTCTGTAGGCTTTCATACCACTGGATAGTAGAGCCAATCATAAAGGCCCAGGAGCCCCAGAAGGTAGCAAGTGTTGCCTGGTACGCTACCCCAGAATGAGAACTGGCCGGGCCCAGAGCACCACAAAGAGTGAAACCAACGCCGCCAATAAAGTTCCAAACGCCAATGTGCCAACCAAGCACATGCAAAGCAGGTATGTACCACTTTGACTGAGTTTCAATGGTAAACAGGAGGCCACTCAAAATGAATCCCGTTCCGCCGACAATTTGCGGAGTCCAATATACACCATCTGCAAGATTCGAACTGAGATGATTGTAGATTCCCGGAAGACCCGTCAACCCGGCAATCCAAAAGATAGAAGCACTGCCAAACTGAATCAACGAAGCAAGGAACCCCAGTTCATGAAAGTAGTGTGTGCGCAGTTCTTTGGCTGAGGGTATCCATCGAAATGACCTCCCATCGGATGCAGAAACGACGCGACTGAATTGAGTCTGAATATCGGGTTCATTGCCACGGGCATGTCGCCCCCGTAGGAAGGATCGGCGATTCGCATGATGATGTCGACACTCCTGCATATCGGGCTGAATCTTTGTCCAAGCATGTCCATGGCCATCGTGAGATCCCGTCTTCGAAAGAACAGTTTCAAGCGCCCATCCGAAACAACCCGTCTGATTCTCATTCACAGCCTCGAGAAGAAGAAGCACACTCCCAACCTCGAAAATCGTTGCGCCGATGAACGCTGTCACCCCACCTCCGACCAGCGACTCTCCCGAAAACTCAGTGTTCGGATTGGCAAGTGGGAGCCAGACGAAAAACGCGTTGATAATCCAAATCACTGACCCCAGAGTGAATGTAGTGGCGACCAGCCATGATACATCCCAGTATGGAGCACAAGTGAACATGCGAAGAATGCCCTTGTATATCATCGGGGCAGAGCGCGTAAGTGGTGGAGCTGTGAGACGATCCTGCGGAGCGGCCCGGTGGCTGACACGGAGAGCATGTCGACCTTTCCTGTTGTCGCGGGAACGCCAGAGGTGCTCGATGCTTGGTTGGGGGTGGGATTGGTCTTGTTCCAGGTTGGGCTGGCCTTTTGGAGAGTAGTGCGCCAGTGTAGGGTTGAGAAATGCAAATGTGCCTGTTACATGATTGCTCTTTAGTGTCAGATCGGGGTGGGCCTCTAAAGGTTCACGGCCCGGTTGGAAGTGAGATCGACGTGTCATTGAAGATGATTGCAATCGGAGTTAGGGCAACATCCTGGGAATTGAAGAGGACTACATCAGCGCTCCTTCCTCAGTTGCGAGTGTCAGTTGGGGTAAGCGCGACCATGGCATGACGTTGCCATTCCACGTGGCATAAAAGCAGCGTCAGGTGCCTAAAGCGGCAACTACCTCACATTCACTTCAATTTTATACTTCCACATAGAACATGCCACCATCTGCTGATGATTATTTTCGAAGGAACACCGGGACTAATACTTATCAACGCTAATCAATAAGATCGACAGGAAGAGCAAGAGTCATTATTAAACAAAACAAGCATTGGACAATGCCCAAATTTCACGAAAACATACAACTCGTGGGAGCAGTATCATTGACTGATCTTCATCCACTCAGATAACCATGCAGTCAAGATTGCGTTCCATTTCCACCATTCTCCGTACCATCCTCCACAGACGCCGATTGACCCCCACCATTCGACTTGCCCTTCACGCTTGATTCTGTCTCTGTCTCAGCGCCCTCATCCTCTTGCTCTGCAGGCCTGGGCCGTTGCACACTCTTGCCCTTATTCCGAGTCCGATCAGGCAAAGTCTGCTCAGCCTCACTCTTCAATTCCGCTCCAGACTCGTCAGCCTGAGAAGCACGAGAACTCATGTTCTGGTTTCTGCGCGCACGCGCACGAGCCCGCTTGATCATCTTGTTGTGGTAATCCTCTTGCTCGAGCTCATTATCTTCATGAAGAATACGACGCGCTGCCTCGCGGCCTACCACAGGGAGTCGATCAACGCCTTGGACTCCATTCGGGAGCAACTTGGGATCCAGCAATCCGACTTGGACAAGCACACTAGCCTGGTCCCAGTACACGTGTTCCGAATAGATGCGTCCACCGCGGAGGCTGACAATGCTCACGAGAATGATCTCAATTCGCTTGTTGGTTGGTGGAACTCCCGGTAGCATCCATGGAACTTCTTGGGTATGCTCATAGCTGACGTATAGTTCATCGACCACGCGATCCGGGCCAGTTGTGCGGGAGAGAAGACGCAAGCGCATTGATGGAGGCAGTTTGCCAATAAAGAAGTGTTCGTAGAAGTGATTCAATGCCTTTTTACCAATTCCACCACTGATTGTTGGCGTGTAGGTCACGCCTGGGGTCTTGTCGCGGACGTAACCGTCCATGGTCTTTCTGACGTTGGAGGAGAAGAATTTCCCTACAGAGCAAATTGTTAGCCAACTCCACACAGCAAGATATGATACTCTGCACTCACCCTCGACATGATCTTCCACACGGCGCTCCAAATCTGGATCGCGCGAGTATCCCTTTCGCAATACCTTGAGCGTTCGGGTCCAGGCCAAGTTTGCTGAGAGGTGATCATATTCCTCCAAGTCGGATTCTGCGAATCCAGGCACAGCATTATCGTATGTGAAAGCTGGGTAGGCCAGATCCAATCGCTCTCCTGTTCCCACACCGGCAGTTATTGGTCGCGATTGACGACGCTTCTTCCCTTGCAAACCAAGCGCGACCGGCTGGACGAGGACGTCAACACTTTCACCTGCCAGGTGAACCATAACCTGCAATGAGAGGGGGAATCGTGATCGGGTATCTGGAATCAGGCTCGGGTAGTAGGCAACGAGAGCGCAAAGTCGACTGGCGTTCACAGAGTTGATATAAAAGTCGAGACAGTAGTTGGCGGCATCGCCGAAAGCTGATACAGTCAGGAAATTGTGTGATCGGACTGAGATAAGATCAAACTTACCAACCACTCCGTAGTTTTCACCCACGCCTAGACCATCCTTGACGGACTGGAGGCGTCGGCCGTAATCTTTCCCTCCGCCGTTGTAGGGGAGATAGACAACATCGAATCCTTCATCTTGCCAGCTCTTGATAACATCCATGTCGAATTCCTCCGACTCCGCCGTGATACATAGCCGCGCATTGTTGTTTCCATTATTATAGAGAAACCCCCCGCTACTCAAGCCGGGTGCGCTGATGGATATGTTGGCCATTATGTTTTGGGTCTTTGTGACAGTCTTTGAACGCATACACTACTTGGTGACAATCTGCGACCTCTCGTCAGTTTTGCAAGATCAGAAAGAGTAGAATTCAAGGAAGAAGTGTGGATGTAGCGCAAGCCGTTGACATATAACGGGTCTACGTCATTGGCGTGCATGGCCCCGACGTCATTTGGATCAGCCATGGAACTGGCCATCTTTATATTAATTTCCACTTTCCTGGCATCACCTGGGCATATTAGGATAGCCAGAATAACTTGCCCATTCCGGATTCATTATGTGCATAGTGACGGGTTTATGCGACCGTAAACTGTTCGCTATTTGTGGTTTTCAGGAACCCGTTTAGGATCCACGGATACCTTGACCAAATTTGCCGCTCATGGGGAGCAAACGAGTATTGAAAGAGCAGTTTCAGGTCCAGTATAGAAAAGGAAGAGCCAAATTGTTCATGGGACGTATTTCTGGCCAGGTTGCATATTCTGGTCATACAAGTAGAGGAGGTGACAGCTCTTGAGCAAGTCAAGACCTCGGGAGGGCCCAATCTATATGAAACGAAGATTGTCCAATCAGGAATTGCCAAGCCATTGACTATTTTTAGCGCAGCAAACAGGACAAACAAAATTATGTATAAAGCACACAGGAACATCTGCCACATTTGGAACAGTGCCTTGAATTTCGGGGGAAGACCCTTGGAACCACCGAACAATTAAATGAGAGCCGAATTCACTGAATATATTGAACGTCACGAAGTTTCAGACACAACATACAGTTTAAATGTCCTCAGCCCAAACAGGTTCAATTGTTGCGAGCAGTGACGGGCTCTTCAGCATCGCCTCGTTCGTTCCTTCTCTTCTCGTTAGGAGGAGTCTTTAAGCCACACATTGGAAGCTTACCTTTTCTGGTCACGGTCCCATAGAGTAGCCAAATCGCCAACAGGCAAGAAGCAGGGGAACCCAATAGACTCAAACAGCTGGACAATCAACAGGTAGAAGCCTAGTAAACTTGCAACAAATAGTGATCCTCCAGCTCCCTGTAATGGCATATATCCGGTTAGAACCTGACTTGCCCATCGAATAGGAATGAGAAAATATTCACCTTGATACAGCGATTCCCAACTATGGAATTCCCTTGGCCCAGTTGCCAATATGCCGCTGATAAGAACAGGAAAACCAAGAGAAGGGAGAGGAAGATAAATGTATAGACCACATTGATGCGTGTTGCACATATCATGAATATAACCATCAGGACTGCCATGGTAATGAATAGGAACGCTGGTTTAATCCATCAGCAATACATCAAATTGAGAGCTTTCATGTTGACATTACCATATGTGTTAAGAAAGTCCGCGCTAGCGAGACCGGCAGCTGTATCGGTACCTGACGATGAATACGGGGCTTCATTTCTGTTAGCACACTGGAACGAGAGTGCACATGAATTCACAGATAAAGCTGCGAAGACTGACCTGCTGCGTTGAAGGAAGGTATCATGGTAGCTGCAAATGCAAACCAAAATCCGCCTAGCAAAGGTATAAGCAAGTACAATCATAACAGCGGAGAAACACTTACCAATAGTACCAAACACAACGCAGGGGAAGGTGTTTCCAATGATAAACTCAAGGATGCTTGTTATGAGCAGCAGAAGCCCCCCAAGGAAGACAATAGGTCCTCTAGATTATGCATTAGATGGTGGTTTAAATCCACAATGCGAGGCAATATCTCACATGAAGGCGATTCCGTTTCCACTTGCACCTCTCCAAGCCATCAAGCAGCACGAAAGTGGAGTGGTGGTGATGACAAACCCTCCAAGCGCCCTATTAAACGAGTCATTCTGTCAGGGAATTGGAGGCCTGAAGTAGAGGGGCTAGTCTGAATACTCACAAGGGTGTTGGGTTTCCTACTTTCTTGGCAACGGATGACTGCCGGACCGTCATAGGTGTGAGGTAGAGTCTCTCAAACTGCTCAGAAGACAGGGTCACTGAAGTTGGAACTGTAGTCAGAGCAGGGAAAGTGTTTTCCTTGTTTTGGAAGGTCACTTTTGCCTCGCCATTTTGACTAAGGTCACTCTCCATCATGATGGTGAAAATAATGAGAAGGTAATGTTTGATTTAGATGTCCAATCTGAAGCTGTATCAAGGTGTATCGACTTGGCACGAAATATGGAGATTTTCCGCAAGACAACCCTCTCAGGATGGGGAATGCGGGGATTTTAACCCAGCTCCAGGTCATGTTGCTGACACGCATCTTGGTGGTGTTTTTAGTCTTTCTCCATTGCGTCGTAAGAAAGGAGCGTCTTGGGGGGCTTCCTTTCTGCCGCTTCCAATCAGCACCCAGCCAGAGTTCTCCTTTACGGGAAGCCTGATCGTCCAGAATGCATTTTGAACTCACAATTCTTGAAAATCCAATGTGGGGCCACTTGCAGTGCCAAATTATTAAACTGAAAATTGGGAAATAAGTTCTCTCCTGCAGGGGCTGAGCTCGCGATTGTGTAGATCGCTTTATGCCTAACTTAGACCATAGTCGAGTTGCCTTCCGTTAGTTGATCCGCTCTTTTCTAGCACCGGACTGTCGGATGTAGATGTTTGAACTTGGCGTGAACTGTTTTTTCGATGATGCCTATCACGAGACTTTGAATCTGGGGAAGGGATGCCAAGAGCCAATGACCTAGCCATGCGGATCCGAAATCGATGCGGTTCCGCACACCTAGAGGCCTAGAGCTACACCGGGCCAGGAAGCTTTGGTGGCTTACCCCGCATCGTGTGGGGTAAAACAAAATTGTTTATTTGGTTATCTGGGGAAGTCAAAACCTTGAAAGTTGGAAGCGCTCCCTTGATCCATGGATGATCACAAAAGAAATGCGGAGCCGCACCCAAGATCGACCCTTCAAAGCTTATCGAGTAGGAACCTACCAGATGAGAATTTCTTGAGTCAGGAATTGCTGTGGATAACTCCCGGTTTCAGTTCCGCATGCTTGGGCTCATGAGGACCCTTGAAGCTAGTGACTGTGACCACAAAGTCGCTGTGGGCATTTATAAAAATCAATATGAGGAATTTGAATTATTCGATACTTCCTTTCTCCATAAATTACAGTCCAGAAAAAGACACAGACCAGAGCAACATTGCAGAGATGGAGGCTTTCACTGAAGTGCAAAGAATCCAACCCCGCAAAAAGGCTAGACGATCGTGCCTGTATTGTCAACGGGCCCATAAAACATGTGGTAAGCCGGGAAATTTCCAATGAGTCTCACGATTTGAAGCCAGCATATTTCTTCGACACGATACTAAAAAAGGGCACCAGGAAATGAGAGGCCATGCGGCCAATGTGTGAAACGGGGAATGCCATCGGAGTGCGTGGATGGAACACGTAAACCTCCAAAATATCTTTGCGAGCCATCGATCAAAAGAAAGAGAATCAGAAAGCGCAATTCACAAGTTACTCCGATTGTTAATGTCGAACATTCGACATATAGCGGCGTGGATACCACAAATCATGCGTATGTTGACATCCCACCCTGTTCCCTGTGGTCATGGCTTATTTCTGGATATTGACACGTGATACAGAGCTTTTCTTTCCGGGAAAAATGTCAGTCATGCAGAAAATATTCAACCCCATAAAACCGACTCTCTTGCGGATATATTTGATCAAACAATTGATCCAGCGTACTTTGACACTACGTGGATATCCAACTTCACAGAGCAAAACTCTACCGGCACTTTTGCGGAAGAAAAAGGGCATTTCGCTTCATTCTGTCGGGGTAGTCAACACTGGACGTTTTCCGAGGAATTATCTAGCGAGTCCGAAAATGGTGGAGCAGGGACATCGGATCAACCCCTGGAGGGCATTCTCGAGTGCGAATCACCAGAATATCCAAGCTCCCCCGCGTACAACATATACTTTGGGTTCACTATTGAAAGTGGATGGTCGGGTACATTCTTCCCTGACGGGGATGACGAGAAGCCGTGGAATGTTCACGGTTAATAGGACTACGAACGAAGTCTGATACAGATAGACGAAGGGGGATTTTTTGGATCTTGGATAATTCCAGGGCTGTTTGCCAAACATCTCCTGGTCGCTATTTGAAGTACATCACATAATTTACTTTATTCTGTCATTTGTCGTCCTACTGTACCATCACGAGCTACGTAAAATGTATATGCGCATTGAATTGAGAGCTACTTCAGGAGCCTGCTAAAAGAAACCAAGAATAAGAGAGGTAATAAAATGGCCACTAGTAAAATCTTCGAGATTGAAGATCATGGTAAACTGTCAAAAATCTCTGAATACTACACATGCGGGTGAAACCCAGCTGTGTTGGCCTGGTGGGTACCCGCTTCCCGCCCCCACAAAGTGTCTCCGTTCTTCCCCCTTGATTTTAGCCTTTGCATATCCTCAAGTGCTTTCACCCGCATTTGATGATCCTCAACAAAAAGCTGGAACCGGACCAACGGGGATTTGGATTTGGCCTCAACGGCCCCCGGGATCTCCATCCAATCACGTCGGTTGCTCGTGCGGCTCCGCATCCACAGATGACGGACGATCCCCGCAAACCTTCCCCGCATAAACCTTGCGTAAGTTCCACGTCTAACTGCAGGTTCCTGAATCATACGCAGTGACACCCAATCGTTTCCCACCGGCATTCCGAGTCATCTATCATCTCGGACACCTTCCGGTTGCCCGATGTGATTCGGGCGAGGCTGGGGACAATGGGAGAATCGAAGCGACAGCGCCCCACGAATCGTCGTTTCACGATGGCGATCATCCTCTGCGAGGAGGGCTATAAAACCCCCGGCCACATCCATGTGGGATGTCAATATCATCGAATACAACTATCATTCCTCCTACAGACTCATATTTCAAATTCCAACTTTCATCATGTCGATTCCCGAGACCCAATGGGCGCAGGTGGCCGAGAAGATCGGAGGCCCGCTGGTGCTCAAGCAGATACCCGTCCCAAAGCCAGCCCCTGACCAGATCCTGGTCAAGATCCGCTACTCTGGCGTTTGCCACACCGATTTCCACGCTATGATGGGTCACTGGCCCATTCCAGTCAAGATGCCATTGGTTGGTGGCCATGAAGGAGCAGGAGTGGTTGTGGCCAAGGGAGACCTCGTTAGCACATTTGAGATCGGTGACCATGCTGGTATCAAGTGGCTCAATGGCTCATGCTCCGAGTGCGAATTCTGCAGACAATCCGATACTCCCCTATGTGCTGATGCGCAACTCTCTGGGTACACCGTCGATGGTACTTTCCAGCAGTACGCTGTTGGAAAGGCTACACATGCTGCAAAGATCCCTAAGGGAGTTCCGCTTGACGCCGCAGCTCCAGTTCTGTGCGCCGGAATTACGGTTTATAAGGGTCTGAAGGAGTCGGGCGTTCGCCCTGGCCAGACAGTTGCTATTGTCGGTGCCGGTGGTGGCCTTGGATCCTTGGCCCAGCAGTATGCTAAGGCGATGGGTCTGAGAGTTATTGCTATTGATGGAGGAGATGAGAAGAGAATCATGTGCGAAGAACTCGGCACTGAGGTATGCAGACACCCCTTACTCCCGCCAGACCTTGCGCAACCGATCTAACGAAAGCACAATTTTAGACATACGTCGATTTCACAAAGTCCAAGGATCTGGTCGCTGACGTTAAAGCGGCGACTCCTGGTGGCCTTGGAGCCCACGCGGTGATTCTACTGGCAGTTTCAGAGAAGCCTTTCCAGCAAGCTTCAGAATATGTTCGTTCTCGTGGCACAATTGTTGCAATTGGACTTCCACCAGACGCCTTCCTCAAAGCTCCTGTGATCAATACTGTTGTTCGCATGATCACAATCAAGGGAAGTTACGTCGGCAACCAACAGGATGGCGTGGAAGCCCTTGACTTCTTCGCTCGCGGCCTGATCAAAGCTCCATTCAAGCTGGCTCCTTTGGAAGATCTCCCAAAGATCTTTGAGCTCATGGGTAAGTCAATTCCCATATTCTATGTGAAAGTCAGAACTAACTCTACATAGAACAAGGCAAGATTGCTGGCCGCTATGTTCTGGAACTACCAGAATAGATGTTCCTTGACCTGGACAAACTTTGATTCCAGGACCTTTTTATTGGAGCGTGTTGTACATAGCCCACGAGTCTCCGGTGGATTTTCATGATTTATAAATTGAGATAGTAAATATGATCTACTTCTGATTTTGAATATGCCACAGCTCCAGAGCTTTGAAAGAGCTTTGAGATAGTATTATACATGCCCAAATGTTAGTATCGACATTCGGAGTGTGAGGTTTGAAGCAAATGCAAATCGCTCGTCTTTCTTGAGACCACTACCAATGATGCCCCGGAGTACTTCTGATATGCGATATGATGACGCCAGAGAAAATCATCACAGAGCAAAACTTTAAGATGCTGGCCTGCGTGTGGTCATCTTGGGCGTGGTGTTTGATATTAGAGGGACATATCATATGCAAGGGCCAGAACAAAGCGGTCCTTTTCTCCACAAAGTACCCCTTACCGAGTGCTTTGTACCGGATTGGGTGATAAAAATGTAGATATGACCAAGCTAGTGCGTATCCAATTCCTTTGGAGCTAGTCCTTCGGAAATTTGGGTTCGATGTCTTGTCCACATACTTGCTTCATACCGACGGAGCACGGAGTAGCACTCGGACAAGCGGAGTCTCAGGTCACAAGACATGTACGTCAAAGGAGTGGAGCTAAAAAAGCCACCCCCGGGGCGAGCGAGAAACATCGGGCCGGTGGTTATCGATTCCCCGGATTCCCCGCGTTTTACAGCCCCGGTGGTTTTCGCTAACAGGGTTTTCAAATTGATAAATAGATCACCTTTTCTTGCTCACTGGTTTTCTTTTGCGTCAGTATTATATGATTTTATTTCCTCAACCATGTCTCTGTCTCAGATCTTGGAAACCCCAGTTATTACGTATGAACAGCCTTTGGGACTGTAAGTTCAAGACAAACAAATTCTCCCACACTTGCGCTCAGTTTGTTTAACAAACCCGACAGATTTATCAACAACGAGTTTGTGAAGGGTGTGGAAGGGAAAACCTTCGAAACCATCAACCCTCACAACGAGAAGCCGATTGTGGCCGTCCATGAAGGCACAGAACAGGATGTCGATATTGCGGTCAAAGTGGCCCGCGATGCTCTGAGTGGAGAGTGGAAGACTACCAACCCGTCCGAGCGCGGCCGTCTCCTGACCCGCCTTGCAGACCTCCTAGAGCGCGACATTGACACATTGGCCGCAATCGAAGCACTTGACAATGGCAAAGGATTCACCATGGCCAAAGGCGATGTGAATGCCTCTGCAGGATGTCTCCGTTACTATGGTGGCTGGGCGGATAAGATCTATGGCCAGACGATTGACACCGATGCCAACAGCTTGACATACACACGGCACGAGCCTGTGGGCGTTTGCGGCCAAATTATTCCATGGAACTTCCCGTTGTTGATGTTTGCGTGGAAAATCGGCCCAGCATTGGCTACCGGAAATACCATTGTTATGAAGACGGCCGAACAAACACCCCTTTCTGCGCTTTACGTTGCGAAACTCATCAAAGAAGCCGGATTTCCTCCTGGGGTGGTGAATGTCATCTCAGGCTTCGGAAGAACTGCCGGTGCTGCAATTGCTGCTCATATGGATATTGACAAGGTTGCCTTCACTGGATCAACTCTTGTTGGCCGCCAAATTATGAAATCAGCCGCGGACAGTAATTTGAAGAAAGTTACTCTCGAACTTGGAGGCAAATCGCCGAACATCATTCTTCCAGACGCAAATCTTGAAGAAGCGATTGAGTGGGTCAATCTCGGAATCTTCTTCAACCATGGACAATGTTGTTGCGCAGGCTCTCGCATTCTTGTTCACGAAGCTATCTATGATGAATTCTTAGAGCTTTTCAAGAAGCGGGCCGAGCAGAACAAGGTTGGAGATCCTTTCCATGCCGAAACTTTCCAAGGGCCTCAGGTTTCACAAATTCAGTATGACCGGATCATGAGTTACATTGAGGATGGAAAGGGTGCTGGGGCGAAGGTCGTCACCGGAGGCGATCGGCATGGCAGTGAGGGATACTATATCCAACCCACGATTTTCGCAGATGTTCACGGGGACATGAAGATCGTCAAAGAGGAGATCTTTGGACCCGTTTGCACTGTGCAAAAAGTCCACAGCGAAGAGGAAGCTATTCAAGTGGCCAATGCGACAAACTACGGTAAGAGCCCTGGAGTTCTACAATTTGCTCTGTTTGAGGTTCAAAGTCTGACTTCAACATGAATTACAGGCCTCGCCGCAGCTGTTCACACTACAAACATCAATACTGCCATCAGAGTTTCGAATGCTGTCAAAGCTGGGTGAGTCAATCGTTTTTGGATGTCGAGCACCAACACCTGCTAACACAGTGCTTATAACAGAACCGTTTGGGTGAACAACTACAACACCCTTCACTACCAGATGCCGTTTGGAGGCTTCAAGGAATCGGGACTGGGCCGGGAGCTGGGATCATATGCTCTTGAGAACTATACAGAAGTGAAAACAGTTCGGGTGCATCTTTCCAAGGCATAAGCTTTTTATCGACTGGGTTGTCGGTCGAAATTCTGTTTCTAAAGTTTATGGCTTTGATTTTGAAATTTTGGTATATTTTTTCGGTATGCAGTATTCGAGGTTCCAGTGCGGTTTGATATTTTGTAAATATGATGAATCGAAATATCGCTCTTCGCGGGAGAGAACCGTGGGGTCATGAGGAATTGAAAATATATCGTAGCGTAGGCATTGCGATGGCCAAGAAGAATCTATAGATCCATTGCATAGATGCCTAGGTGCATAGGTGCCCATGTGCCCCGGTGAACGCATGAAGAGACGTGCCTGTAAATCAAGAAAATCAAAAGCTCAGGTTTATCGAGCTGAAAAAGAATGGAATCACGAGAATGGTGTACGGAGTACTCCGATCTAATTTAATTGGTCGATCACATTGGAGATCCTCTCATCGGGCTCTGAAATCTGGCCTACCGGACCGATGCTTACCAATTAGAGTAGGGATCGACATGACTAGACTCAAGTTCCCGAGCCCCCGCTTCGTTAGTCTCAATCACATCCAGGGAGGCCTTTCATCGGGGGGCATTAGACCGGTCCCGGATAGACGATGTTCCGGCTCAATTTCAGCATCGAGGTTCGCGTCATCCCAAAAATGCGGCAGATCTCGAGATTCACTTGGCGTCAGACTGATTGGGCTTTCACGATCTGGCTTCAGTAAATCAACACGAAATCAATATCCTGGCGCACTTTGATTGCAGCGCAAGGAAGTCCATTCCACGGTGATACCTCTCGTTTTAAAATCCCGAAGAAATCACTCTGGATGAAAGGACAGATACAGTTCCACTGGACCGAGTGCTGATTCTCAAACGAATTGGGCTAGCTTACCCCACCTCCGCAGTGCACGTGCTTCCCCAGACTCGAAATCTCGACTTTGTTCGTACTTCTGCCACTGCAACCACCATACGTATATACCCTGTCCCCAATGGAGGGTTCCCGCCGAAGTCAACTTCATAGTTGTGATCCATGCCGCAAAGGCAAACGAGGCTGCGACGCACCTGTTCGTCATCATCGGAGATCTCCCGCCAGTGGAAGCTGACATCAGACCCTAGAAAGACCGACAACCAAGCACATTCAATGCCTGCACGAACTGCACCAGATGGAAGAAGCAGTGCACTTTCAACTGGATTACCAAACGAGGAGAGTCGAAAGGCACTCGAAGGAAAGCGAGACCGAGCAACCCGAGTCATCCGGGCCCAGATGTGATAGACGCCAATACTGAGCCACTGGATGAATTGTTCAGTTCTATGCAGGGGCATCCCATCAGTCTTGGTGGATTCTTTCCTTCCCCCGAAAGCCTGGACTATGCCTCATCGTCTCCTTCCCAATTGGATGCCCCGTTGAGTGAAATTTCCCAGTTTCATCCCCCCGGCCATGGCCATCCGCAATCATTTGCGTGGGAGATGGGTCTCCCCCATGACTTGCCCATCAGCCCGAAACCAGTGCGTCCTATCAACACATTTCAGCGATTTACACAGACTGGTCTGTTGGACTCGCCACCCAGTTCTGTTGACAGTGCGCAAAATTGGTTTCCACAACAAGAAGATGTAGTTGAATTTCTTCCGGTACAAAAGTCGTCAGAGAGGAAAATCAACCGACAGAAATCCCACCCAGGGCGCGAAAATGACCAAGACCCAACGTCAGACTACCAATGGAGCTTTTGCATTGCATCCGAAAACACCGCAACCAAAAGCGCTCGTGCAGCGATGTCCCGCAACCTCATCCGCATATACCACGATAGTATGGAGAACGCCCTGTCATGCTGGCTCACGGAGCACAACTGCCCATACAGCGAAACAACAATGAAAATCCTTCCCGACAAAAGAATGGAAGACTGGGGTCCAACCTGGTCGAACAGAATGTGCATCAGAGTCTGCAAATTGGATCGGGTATCATCCTCAATACGAGGCAGAGCCTTGAGCATAGAAGAGGATAAGACGGCAGCTCGCGCCCTTCACCTTGCAATTATGTCATTTGCATCCCAGTGGACACAACACGCACAGAAAGGAACGGGCGCTTCAGTCCCTGCTGCAATTGATGAAGATGAAAGATCGATTCGCGAGAATGTCTGGAATGAAGCACGACATGCCTTGCAGCATTCGAGCGGGATTCCGTCTTTTCGAATCGCTTTCGCAAATATCATATTTTCTCTAACTCAAAGTCCACTGGATAGAAGCCGAGAAGCAACCTTGGATCAATTGTTGGAGAATGATCCTGCACCGATTTCACTGGAAACGGCAAATCGTCAGCTCTTCACTTTCCGGCACAAGTTTAGCCGGCTACAGCGAGAAGCTGCTGCTTCTGTTCACGATGACCTGCAGAATCAAAGAAGTCTTCCAACAGCACCCAATGATCTAAACATTTCACAACCCTCCGGCTCTCAACTTGATCCGATCCTCACCAGCCACGAACACCGTTCCACCTTAGGACTCATGTTCTGGCTAGGAGTTATGTTCGACACTCTAAGTGCCGCAATGTATCAGCGCCCACCAGTGGTATCAGACGAGGATAGTCAAATCGCATCATCCTCAATGACCGTGTCAAGAACCCAAACATATCCCGATCACTGGGATACCCCAGCCCACAGAACCTCTCCAAAACAAGACGTATGGGGAGACTACTTCCTCCAATCATCAATAAAACGCCAACAATCCCAAATCCAACCCAGATGGCCATGCTCATACCAAGAAGCTGCATCAATCCTCTCAGAAGCAACCCCCGTCAAAGTCCTCCTCTACCGCCGCGTAACCCAGCTCCAAACCCTAATCTACAGAGAAGCCAGCCCAACACAACTCGAAACCCTCGTGCAGAAAACCCTCTCTGTCTACGAACACTGGGACTCAACATACAGAACCTTCATGGTCGACTGCGTGACAAACCACGACCTCCTCCCACCCCGCATCCAGTCCTGGTATGTCATTCTAGACGGCCACTGGCATCTCTCCGCAATGCTGCTAGCAGACATGCTAGAAAGCATAGACAAAAGCAGACTGGGATGCGAATCTGCGCGGCAGGCAAGACAAAGTACGAATCTGGTCGCTACGCTTCGGACGAATAATGCACTTGCTGTTGCTGCGCTGGCACGGGCTTCCATCCAGGGACCGGATTCGTTTATGCGGGATTTTCATGATTCGTTGAATGAGGTTGCTTTCTTGGTTGAGCCTTGGACTGCGGTTTTGGTTCATTGTTTTGCGAAGGCTGGGTATATCCTGCTAGACACGTTGGATATGTCTGTGGATTTGAATATATGGTCTGATCGTGTAAGGCAGAATTGTGAGTATTCGATTCGGGCACTTCAGTATCTTGGGAGGAAGTCCGATATGGCCTTTGTTGTAGCGCGGAATTTGTCGAGGTCTTTAAACTCGAAGCTTTATGGGGCAACGTGGGGAACCTGAACAGATTGCCATTGGCTCCGGGGCTTCTAGAGTTGTTTCGTGGGGGTGCAGCAAAGCTTGATCGGAGGGGCACATACATTCCTCGATTGGCTCACACACTTATACCCGTTCCGAGGTTGCTGGTACAGTCTTGTACAATAAAGAATTGAATATCAATATAAGGTTGATTCAACTTTTAATTATTGAATATCTACCGAAACGATAATGTTGAAACCAAGCTCTAGACGTAATCATAAAATGTTGAATGTATACACAAACTCGCACCAACAAGCGAGCCCTAAATCGAACGCAAACAAGGGTATCATCTGAACTACTCCGAGTCCTCAACGGGTCCACAGGTACAGAAGAGGTTCTGGTCACCGAAAGCATCATCGACACGAGTGACGGTGGGCCAGAACTTCTTCTCCAAAAGCAAGGGAATGGGGTATGCCGCCTGCTCACGGGTGTAAGGGCGGTCCCACTCCGAAGTAAGAAGGTCGCGCTGGGTGTGCGGGGACATCTTCAGGACGTTGCCATCACGGGGCTGGGCACCGGCCTCGACTTGGGCGATTTCTTGACGGATGGAGATGAGGGCATCGCAGAAGCGGTCGAGCTCGGCCTTGCTCTCGGACTCGGTGGGCTCGATCATGAGGGTGTTCGAGACGGGCCAGGACATGGTGGGGGCGTGGAATCCGTAGTCCTGGAGACGCTTGGCGATATCGATGGCTTCGACACCGCAGGTCTCCTTGAAGCCGCGCACGTCAAGGATGAACTCGTGTGCGCAGCGGCCGTGGTCGTTGGTGTAGAGGATGGGGTAGTGAGGCTTGAGGCGGGAGAGGATGTAGTTGGCGTTGAGGAGGGTGATTTTGGTAGCGTGAGTGAGACCACGGTCGCCCATCATGTTGATGTAGTTGAATGTGATGGGAAGAATGCTGGCACTGCCCCAGGGAGCGGCGGAGATGGGGGGAGAAGAGTTGTCACCACGCTTGGCCTGGAGGGCCTCGCTGGAGGGGTGGGAGGGGAGGTAGGGAGCCAGATGAGAGGCAACTCCGATGGGGCCGACTCCAGGACCACCGCCACCGTGAGGAATGCAGAAGGTCTTGTGGAGGTTCAAGTGGCAGACATCGGCACCGATCTCACCAGGAGAGCAGAGACCAATTTGAGCGTTCATGTTGGCACCGTCCATGTAGACCTGACCACCGTGCTGGTGAACCAGCTCACAGGCCTGCTTGGCACCGGGCTCGAAGACTCCGAATGTGCTGGGGTAGGTGATCATGAAGGCAGCGAGCTCGTCCTTGTGCTTCTCGCACTTGGCCTTGAGATCCTCCAGATCGAGGTTACCAGTCTTGGTGTCACACTTGACGGTAACGACACGCATACCGGCCATGGCGGCACTGGCAGGGTTGGTACCGTGAGCAGAGACAGGAATCAAGCACAGGTTGCGCTTGGCATCACCCTTGCCCTCGAAGTACTTCTTGATGACACGAAGACCAGCAAACTCACCCTGGGCACCAGAGTTGGGCTGAACGGTGACCGAGGCCATACCGGTGATATCAGCGAGCTGCTGCTCGAGGTCGTCGATCATCTGGATGTAACCCTTGGCCTGCTTGGCGGGCATGAAGGGGTGGATCTGGGAGAACTCAGGCCAAGAGACGGGAAGCATCTCGCTGGTAGCGTTGAGCTTCATGGTGCAGGATCCGAGAGGAATCATGGAGTGGACCAATGAAAGATCCTTGGACTCAAGGTGGTGGATGTAGCGGAGCATCTCGGTCTCGGAGTGGTAGCTGTTGAAAACTGGGTGCGTCAAGTAGGAGGAAGTGCGCTCAAGACTGGCGGGGATAGGTGTGACCGCGAGGGTACCGTCAACCTCGACGGCAGAAGCAGACTTGTGAGCAGCGAAGACATTCAAGATGCCCTTGACCTCGTCACGTCCGACGGTCTCATCCAGAGAGAGACCGACCTTGCTGCCTCCCAGGCGGCGAAGGAAGACATTGGCAGCCTCGGCTTCAGCAGCGAGAGAGTCAGCTTCAGCAGCGGTAGGCAGCTCGACAGCCAAAGTGTCGAAGACCGCACCACCGTCAGGTGAGTTGGTGCGGAGAGGGACGTTGTATCCGAGGCCAACGAGCTTCTCGCGCAGCAGCGAGGTCATGGACATGATGCGCTGGGCGATGGACTTGAGTCCAACGGGACCGTGGTAGATCGCGTACATGGCAGTCATGTTGGCCAGGAGAGCCTGAGCAGTACAGATGTTGCTAGTGGCCTTCTCGCGGCGAATGTGCTGCTCGCGAGTTTGCAGAGCCAGGCGCAGGGCGCGGTTACCAAGGCGATCCTTGGAAACACCAACGACACGACCGGGCACCTTGCGCTTGTACTTGTCAGCGCAGGCGAAGAATGCAGCGTGGGGTCCACCGAAGCCCATGGGGACACCCAGACGCTGAGCAGTACCGAAGGCAATGTCGGCGCCAAATTCGCCGGGAGCCTTCAGCACGGTCAAGGCAAGCAGATCAGTGGCCACACTGAAGGTACCACCCTGGCCGTGGATGGAGTCACTCAGAGACTGGAAGTCGAAAATTCCACCCTCGGTATCGGGGTACTGAGCCAGGACACCAATCAGGTGATCCTTCTGGTCCTTGACGACCTTGAAATCGTCGGCCAAAATATCACCAACCACGAGGTTGATCCCGAATCCTTCGGCGCGGGACTGCATCACGGCGATAGTCTGGGGGTGGCAGAGGTGAGACACCACGAAGGACTTCTCGGCCTTCTTCTGCTTGGAAGCGGACATGGTGGCGAAGGACATGGTCATGGCCTCAGCGGCAGCAGTTGCCTCATCCAACACGGAGGCATTGGCAAAGGGCAGGCCGGTAAGATCAGCAGTCAAAGTCTGGAAGTTCAGCAAAGACTCCAAGCGACCTTGACTGATCTCAGGCTGGTAGGGTGTGTAGCTGGTGTACCAGGCAGGGTTCTCGAGAACATTGCGCTGGATCACGGGAGGGACAATGGTGGGGTAGTATCCGGTTCCAATGTAGGTCTTGCCGGAGATATCAATGTTCTTTCGGTATGTATCCAACAGCTTGAGCATGTCAGTTTCTCCGAGACCACCCTGCACACTGGAGCGGTATAGGTTGATATCGGCGTTGGGCTCGGTGACGTGGAGGTTCTTCTTGGACAGAATGTCCTCCGGAAGGACCTGCTTCACAAAGTCATCCAGAGTGGCCACGGGCGGGTCGAGCACTGCCAGCATCTCCGTGGCTGCATCTGGGGAGGGGCCAATGTGACGGCGGGGGAAGGTATCGAGGGGTTGGAAAATATCCTGGGGGTGAGGATCGCCATGATCATTGAGCGTGCTTGTGTACACTCCTCGTTTGGTGATCGGCTGGGAAGTGTGTAAAGGCCTCCGGGCATTCAATGGCAATGCCAAAGCTCTCGGGGTGGGGAGGCGCACACGCGAGCGGAGTGCTAGTTGACGTCCGCCGCGGAGGGCAAATAATGATGCCGCCATACTGAGCTCGAGGGCGTTCTAAGACAATCACACACCCACAATCTCAAATTGGTTTCAAGGCAAGAGAGGATGATGAAGAAACGAGAAGAGATCCTCCAAGAGACGAATTAATATTTAACAAGGTAACTGCGACTGCCCGAAGCCGGACGGGGAAAGAGCGCGGGAAACTTCCCTCGGCGCGATAAGATAGCGGTAACTGACCAATCGCGTCTCATCCCGCCCGGAATGCCCGTGACTGCGGAGAAAAGAGGGCCCGAGTTTCCCGTCGGAAAACGTCCCTTCTTCGCTGCGTCTCGCTCTCATGGGTCAATAGCTCCATACTTCTATGCAGATGGCTCCATCAGCTCCGCAGGACCTCCGATCCGATTTCTTCAAGATTCGATGCACTGGTCTGACTCATGGAAATGATCATATCTCATGGCTATTTCATGCTATGTATCTCATATCACACTATGACTGCTTAAATAGTATATCGGAAAGCGGCATCGCCCTCAATAACCCGCTCCCCGCGATCCGCCTGCTTGTTGCTAATCCGGAACCAAAGACTGAGAGCCAGTGCAATGACGATGATCAGCAAGTTACATCTAATGTCGGTCAGCATCGAAATCACAAACATGCACAGCAAAGGAGTACAGCAAGGGGGGACATACGCGATAGCGGCATACATGCCGGGCTCATAACCGGGCGCGTCCTGCTCTCGGAAAACCAAACTACTGACAATTCCACCCAGCCCACCGAAACCCACCAGAGTCGCACTGGAGAAGGCACGCGTCCATTGTCCACGCACATTGTTGGCCTGGTACGCCATGCAAGCAGGAATATTCGCATTGGCACCGGCGACGGTGAAAAACACGCCCACATAGCGAACCGCGTCGCTTTTCGCAAAACCCATCATGGGAAGACCGATGATCGCCAGCAATGAGTTGAAAATAATGATCGGCGCCCGCATACGGTACTTATCACCAACCCACGCGGTCGCATACATCACAATTCCGGCAAATCCGTATGGTGGCGCGACAAGACATTGTGATTCTCCGACTCCGTATCCCATGCCCAAGCGCAGGATGATGGGAAGGAAATAGGCAATTGCGTAGGTAACCGTGGTGATACAGCTGAGATGGTTAGCATTGCTTTGCGGGGTCGAGTCAGAGAAACGAACAAGAAGATCATGGCGAAGCCCCAGATTTTAGGATCGAGGCCGGGCTTTAGGAACTTCTTCAGGGAGAATGCTTCCATGTCACCGTCATTGCGATCCTCGTTGATCCGGCGGATGATGAACTGGCATTCCCGCTCGTTGAGGAAACCCCGCGACTTGTGTGCACGGTCGGGGAAGTCGACGAGGAAGAAGAAACAGAGAATTCCAATGAATCCGGTGATCTGGGTTGTTAGCCATGACGGGATCATTGGGGGTGTGCACATACGACTCCTTCCAAGATGAAGATCCATCTCCAGCCTGACAGCCCATGTTTGCCATTCAATTGCATCAAACCAAATGCTAGAATACCCGCCAACGCAGAGGCGACGCAGCCGATGAGGTAGAAAATCGAAAAGCGTTTCTGAACATCGACTTCGAAAAATCAGTACTGGTCATTCCCTTGGGTCTCAGTAGTGTGACTGAACTCACATCGAGTGTACCAGCATGAGAGCAGATAGACGCAGCCAGGGAAATATCCTGCCTCCAACAAACCCAGGAGGACGCGAGTGACCACCAGCTGGCCCCAATCCTTGACGAAACCCATTCCCTGCAACGGTTAACCCCTCGTATACCCCCGAGACGTGTGATTCAAACTCACAATCATAATCGCCGCCCAACAAATGATAATCGACGACAAGAACATTGTGGGTCCAAGTTTGCGAATAATAATCGTCATCGGCGGTTGGAACAGGATATAGGGCACGAAAAACATCAAAACAATAATGGACTAACCAACAGTCAGTATCATCACATTAATGGAACAAATCGATAAACTCACATAGCGCTCCCCGACTTCCAGGCTCAGTTCTTGTTTCAAGCTGTTCCGGGTCAGCCATTGCTGCAAACAGGAGTAAATATCGATGCGGAGTCTTACCCTGCAACAGCAGCCATGCTCAGATTGGTGCGGTCCATGAGCGAAATGCAGTATGCCAATCCTGTCATTGTAACCAAACGCAAATCGATACGTCGAATAATCTTCTTCTTTTCTTCCGGGGTGAATTCATCCTCGATCTCGCTGGCAGATTTACCCGCCACATCCTCAATGCGGTGCTCCGCGGGGGGTTTCTCGTCGATGGCAGCCATCGAGGCCATATTGTAATAGCTAGACTCAGGGTCTGATTCTAAGACAGGGGGTAGTGAAGACAATGAGATTTATCAGAATTCAAGGTTATCCCAAGTCCTGAAGTCGTGTCCAGGTCTCTCTCAAATCGAACTTTAGAAACAGGGATCGCGAAACCTATATATTCTAGATACATTCTCCACCTCACGCGCCCTCGCTAATTTCAACCCGTTTTCGACTGCCCAGTCAATCCTCGAGCGTCAGTAACCCCAGGAAAGCAATAGCCGGCATAAACTGGCCAAGTGCCTCGGGACAAGCAATCGATCAGACTGGATTCAGCGTAATGTAGCAATATTGTCCGAAACAAAGGAGGGGTGGGACCCCACTTCCGATGAAAATCTACGAGTCATCAGCTGGGATGTGCGCTGTTGAGTGTCGGTGGCGGCTGGTTTTGGTGATAATCCGGGGGCAAGAGGGTTGGATGCGGGGGAATTGGCACTTGGCATCTTGGCGGCAAACTGAGTGTCACTTGGCTTTGTTCTTTTTTTTCTTACTTTGAATTGCTTGGACGGAGATTTGACTTCCCAGGGCTTTGGATTACAGGGCTTCCCCGGATTTTCCAAGACGTTTCATCTACATTTATGACATAGAGTTGGTGGTTTGTTTTTGACTTAACTTGGGGTGAGATAAGTTTAGGGGGAACCTATATTGTTCATTGGGAGTCAATCACTGCTTTCTATTATTACGCACAGGGCATATGGATATTTACTAGGAACGTAGACAGAGCCGATGATCGAGCCATGTTTACAAGCTCTCAGTTGGGGAGGTTCTCCGTATAGACATCATCGACACTCTCATCACCTGAGTCCAGAGCCAGCCAAGTGTCAGCTCGAGAGCTATACGAACAAAGGTTCTTTTAGAATTCAGCTTCTCCCCTCCGATACGTTGGGAAGTAAACTCTGATCAGATATGCCGAAAGTAAAAGTTGGCATTCTCCGCCCACCGTGACTGGTTGATCTGTGCTCCTTGATCCCGGTTCTGGGATAACCAGTCATAGCACCATGCAGGTCAAAAGTAAAAAAGCCTATATGCAAACACTACGAACGTTGTTTGTACTAGGCAACTACCTTGGTGCGTTGAAATGACCCCGAGAGTTCGCAAAAACACTTCTATCTGCTAGCGCCGAGCCGAGATGAGGCCGGCAGTTGTTTGATGACATGTGACACGAGAACGGTGGATTGTGGCTTGTCGAATAAACGAGAGGCTTGAACCACCTGTTCGGAGACAAGAAGAAAATCTCGTACAGCCTAAATTAATTCCAATGTTGTTTTAGTATGGCCTCAAACCAAACGGCTCTTACTCTGTACAACCTCGGCCAACGGCAGTAGGATGCCAAACCAGCCCTTCGAATTTTCCTGGGTCATTTTATTTTATCATCCGTGGATATTTAACACCGTTTGCTTTTAACGAAAAACATAGTACATAAGATACGGATCTAAAAATAACACTGGAAGCTCTTAGTATGTACAAACGTGGAAAGGGAGAAGAAGAAAAACGAAAGACAGCGCAGACGAAAAACTACGCCGAGTCAAACCTTAGAAACCTCATTCATTAGGCCATCGGTACTACATGCACCGGTGCATACACTTGAACAGAGTATACTGACAGAGGTAGGAAGGACGGGTTAGCATACGTGTACAACCGTGCTCATTCGAATCAAAATTATCGATAGCCATCATCCCATTCGTCTTCTTCCTCCTCGTCCTCCTCCAGAAGAAGTCTGTCCCTTTCTTCCTCATGCACCCGAGCCTGCTCCCGAAGCCGCTGAACAGCCACGAGAACGTAGCCCACCAGTGCTGACCCAACGATAAATCCAGCGATTGCCAAGGCGGCATTGATTGGAATCGGGTTCCCATCAAAGGTGTGGTGTGTCAATGAATCCAGACCGTACTGCGAGAAATTGGCAATGCCGGATAGACAAATGATAGCGCCGTAGACGCGGCCAAAAGTCGCGAACCCAAAGACCTTGGTCGTATAATCCCTGCAAACGTTAGTACCGGCATATAGAGAGTGCCGAGGTTGAACTTACGACATTGCCGAGTAGTACAGTGGGCGAAGCAACACAAACAGAATGACTGTCATGTACCCAGCCCAGATAGCAGGAATGGAATTGAGCACACCGATCACGGTTGTGAACAGGACAATCAGTCCCAGCATAGCTGGGACGCTGAGACGATCAAGCAGGAATCCAATAACAGGGGTGAACAACACACCCCCGACCGGGAGTGCAATATCGAAGAAAGCACCGATCTTGTCTGCCTCTGCAGCAGAGCCAAGCATGAACTCATACTGCGACCGAATCGTTGCAATGAAGTAGTTCATGCGGATCATTTGCAGGACGGTCATCAGTGTGATAAGTATAAACCAAGGCGTTGCCATTTGTGTATGAGCAGGCAATCCGTGCAGAACACCCCAGACCCAACTCGTCTGCTGGCGATCCTCCTCTTTATCCGCTCGAAGCTGCCTCTCATCCTTATCACCGAGCACGGTATCGATCTGACGAAGCCTTCTCTTTCGCAGGTCGGCACGCTTCTTTCGAATCCGGTTCAACTCCGATTGACTATCAATATCATCGTCCGAATCGTGAACGTCGTACGTTGCGTCTTCCGCCCGCTCGATCCGATTCTCCAACTGCAGCGTCGAAACGTAATCCCGTTTCGGCATCACTGTCACCAGGGCGAAGATGATCAACACTGGCACAATGAGATACCCCAAGAAGAACTTATCTGGTGTGAATCTCCGTGCAGTTGCCTCATAAACAAGTCTGTAAATCAGGAAGACAGCAGCGGAGGCATCAAACGCACCAGTCACCAGCGCAACGATGGACCCGGCATACTTGGGGAAAGCATTCGCAATCTGGAAGGAAGGAACAAAAAGGAATGTACCAGCGAGTGCAAGGAAGAAGTTCCCGGGGATATATCCATCGAAGCTGGGGATGTGAAAGGCGAAAGACATGATGACACCGCCAATAGCGAGCAGAATGGCACCGATCAGCCAGCAAACGCGCGAGCCACAGCGATCGAGAATAGTTCCAACCGGCAACGCGGAGACATTAGCTGTGATGGACGCGATTGTGAAAAACAGGTTCAATCTATCATCATCAGATCCTAGTTTTTTTCTTGAGTCAGGACTCTCCCTGTGTGACACATACCTCAGATCCTGCTGGGAACACAGCTCCAATCCTTCTTCTATCTCGGGGGGAGTACATCGCTCGCGATAAACACCTTCCTCGACGAGGACGGGCTTCAGGGCCGCGAACCCAAACACGATACCCGATGCGCTCCAGCATGCGAGCACGGTCACGATGACCTGGACTGGGGGCTGTTAGATAGTTGTTTCTGCATGTGGTTGACGGTCCGCACTTATTCTCTTGCTTGGGGAGTGATCGTACGCGAGCGAGCCGGGCCGCAGTTCTGCGACCGGGATTCCCTCGTTTGGCGGTTGTAGTACATCGTAACTGATCTTGCGTCGGATGGAGATGAAATCTTCTCCTTCATCAGCCTCGGGTTCACGGTCAACACCGTCGATCGCAGACAAGTGCTGAACGAGAGACATTGTGGGAGCGGGGAGTTTGCTGGCGAGGGAGTCCGAGTCGTATTTTTCAAGTTCCCAGGCTCTGTGCTAGGGTCATCGATTATCCTGTGCACCTCCCACAATCGCAAACACAATTGACTCCAATTATGAATGAGAATATTTGAGAAACCCCGCGGCTGCTCTCTGTGTGTCCGAAGCACAAGTCTTTTTTTAAGTCGGACACACGAGCTATTTTCCAAGTTTTCCAAGTGACTAGGCCAAAAAGGTACTAAGCCGATGGAGCTGGGGCAATGAAGCTATGGCCATCGGGTTATCGCCTCTTCCGATTGGTCGGCATGGTTTGACCCTCGGTTTAGGCCGCTTAGCCGTTTTATCTTCCCTAGCGTCGTGATGACAGTCGACCCAAATTTGCCGAATTTAAGCTCAGAAGGATTCCATGGATCTAACCCACATGGCCATGGAGTATAATTCCATGTGTTACCTTAATAATCGACTGGTCGGAAGTCTGTGATGGTATTCCTGCACACAAAATATCTGCGGCTCATCTCATGACCCGCACTGCAGCCACGTCGGGAATTCCAAGCTGTCATTGGCATCTTCACCTTATCATGCAATTTATTGCCAAGCCCCTGGATTCTCTCTGCGATAATATTGAGAATTCTTAGCACTCCGCACTTAAGTAGCGCCATCTCCACCCCGTGGCTTATTTCCGAAAGTGACCTAAACTTTGCAATATTTCCAAGGTTGTACAACTTGAGCACACTCTCGGAATATATCTTCGACAACTATTTTGACAAGCACAACGTCAAGAAAAACTACACTTCCAACCATGCAGAATTTTTTTTGACTAGCTAGTCGTCGTGTACACAGTGTTACCAGTCCCAATCCTATATTTGGATGAAATCTAGATCAGCGGAGGGGTAATATGCGCCTGCAGAACTGCTGTCAGCCCGCATGGATACAAACCCAATGGAGAGCTTGTCACATGGGTTTAATTCCAATTTGTCTGATAAGGTGGCTGTGGGGAAGGTATAAAGACAAATTGGAACGAGAAGTTATGGCGTCTTTTTAATATCTCTGAGGTGATGGAGTTTATGTTGGGAATTTGCTGCCTGGGCAAGAGCTATCGCTTCGATTTCCGCGACACGGACAAAAGTATGACAGATAACCTTGGGACAACGTTGATTGCGACGCACATGCAGCGAGAATCCTGTGACTGAGAATCCTGGGAAGGATGTACGCGGGGAAAGCAATTTGGAAGATTTGAAGTAAATCCCTTAAGCAAAAGTTGCAATGATTCCCAAAGTCCCGCGGAGGTATCCCCCTCTTCCTCTCTCATGATTGATTATGTTGATCGCTTTCGTACAAACCCTTTGTCTTCGTAGTAAGATCAATAGTCTGCAGCCCGGATATTGATTCCAATCCGGTTGGTGATCTTTCGTAAGATTACTGTTCCCCAGCTTCAAAACAGCCCCCTTTCCGCTTATCCGCGGTGCTCGGTGGCGATTGGACATCGGCCCTGGGGTAGTTGCAGGACCACCTCCGAAGCCCTGAAGATCCACGAGATCTAAAGCGATGGGAAGGCGACAAAAAGAGGTCCCTGAGTTGAGCCGACAGAGATTCAAAGGGAACGGGGGCGTGTGACGGGAATCCACTCGTCCAGGTGCAATGTTCATTCCATGGGCCATCTTTCCGAATCAGACAGAACAGTATATTTCCACGAAAGATGAGTCAGTCGGAGAAAATTTGGATTGATGAGCTGGCTTGAGCCGTACATGGAAGGCTGGTTGGGCGAACTTGGACGCCGAATTTCAGGGAACGGGAGTCCCAATGCCCGGTGAGAGGTAGAGCTCATTTGGGTGAGGTGTGAGAATTAAGGAGAACAAGCAAGAGACACGTTCGACGTGCCAATAAAGAAAGAGAAACATCCAGTAGGCAATCGGTGGAGATGCAAATGGAGAGGAAGAGAGAACGTGAGCTGGATAGAGGGTGAAGTGAGAGAGAAGGTGAGGTGAAAGAGATGCTTTGGAAGAGCCAGGGGTGTCGAGTGACTTGGCTTTGGAGTTTAATCCACTAGATTCTCGGTCATTGATCTAGAGTACAAGGTAAGTAAGAACCCTGGAAGATCCATAGCAAAGTGCGGATGATCGTCCTGTGCCCCAGTTGTGGGTCCCAGGTCTAACCCGATTGGGGTATCATCCAACTACACGGGGAAGTGTCACAACGTCCGGGGTATGGCGACAAGCAAGAGAAGTTGAGAATCTCGTTTCAAGAGATGTACCTGGGTAGGAAGTCCTGCAGATAGAACTGTCGTCGCTGGCGTTGCTGGACAAAAACAAAAACAAAGAAAAAAGAAAAAGAAAAAAAAAAAAACCATGCAAATCCCCTGGACTTGCCAGCCCTAGGGGTTCGAACACGAGATCTCGAATAGTTGACCAAAAGGCTAACTGGATACTGTAAGCTATGCCCATCTAGACCACCAGGGGATTTGCACCAAGAGAGACCCCAAAACTGAACATATCGTACGATATCACGTGATCCACCGTAGACCGGCCAGCAAACTCACAACTGCCCAACTGCTCAACTTTAGAAGCTCTAATAATTTGAAAGGTCAAGGGACTAGCAGTGTAAAATGAATCAGATTGTCTACCAAAAAGAACGACAAAAGGATAAAGATGGTCCAAAAAAATGGACCAAAAAAGTAGACGAACCCAACCAGGGAAATGGCCATACATCTGCCCGGTGACTTGCAGTCCTAGGGATTCGAACCCGAGCTCGGGAATCTCGAAGATCAGAGTGCAGATATGGCTCTCCGTTTGACCAACTAGACCACCGCGGGTTTGCAAAATAATCGACCCTTAAACTAAATATATCCCACGATATCACGTGATCCAAGGTACCCTGGCCGCCATGCTCGCTACAGCTCAAGGGTTCAACAAGCTCTAGTAAAGTGAAAAGGGAAAGAACCAGCAGTCTAAAAATGGTGACCAAGAAACAATCAGCTGAGGGAGCATCTTCCCAACTTCCTCTCTGGCTGTCCTTCTCTCTCTCTCATCCACATCCTCTCCCTCCAACCAACATTAAAGAACTGACAACATTTCTTCGCCAACCTCTCTGGACTTCCATGAAAAAGCCATCACGGGCCGATACCAGGATGGGTCACATGCTTCAGAAACCAGAAACGAAAAGCACCCAAGAAAAGAAAGCGAGAGAGCAGCTTCCCAAAGCCTTTCGAAAGTACGGCGACTGATGCGGTCAGTATTATGCCAGAGAGTGTCACGGATGAACTGCTTATGCATTATAGCATTCTGATCATGATCCGGGAGTAATCAAGCCATCGCCAGCCCACCTTGATGACCCACGCGCCAGCCAGCAGCGGCTTCACCGTCGAAAAAGTCACAAACATGTCGGTGACAAAAGGAGTACGGTATACATGGGCGTTGATATAGGACCTATAATAACATCTACCCAGAATGCCCCACCAGAGCCTTCTTTGCAGGCCGAATACAATGCCCCGCCGGCTAGACCAGACCGAGAACCAACCGGTCAGCTGGAGAACCATCCCCGGCAAGATGAGCCCCCTCGGGAGATACTTCCTCGGCCAGAGAAGTCAGTCAAATGGGACCCTGTGGACCCCTTGGGTCTGTTTGATTGTCTGGAAGGACCACTAGACTGGCCTTCGGACGTCTATTTTTGAAGTGAAACTAAAGAGCAAAGTAAGACCAACTGGGGCAGCAACTTCCCACTCTTTCTCCACTGACCTTGCTCATTTCCAATTAGATGCACGCCAAGCTTGATATCAAAATGAGCCCAAAAGATCCGTCCGAAGGCCCTCCTAAAGAGGGGAAGCGAGTGAAGAGCTTCCGAAAGTTCTTGGAGGATTCCCAGATTTATTTGGTCAGTATAATACCGGACAGTGTTGATGGTAGGCTGCTGATGTACTCTAGCATTTTGGTTGGCAGTTGGGCATCAACAAGCCCAGCTCTTTGTTTCTCTTAGTCTCATGGCGAAGAAGTCGGGCAGAGGCCTACTCTTTGTGTGGACGATCGGAGGTTACCAGATGACGAAGAAAGATATCTATCCACTCCCTTGCAACGAGTGGGAAAGGCGCCATTATACGTCCAGGAAAGCTACTTTTGTACCAGGATCGCCATCGAATGAGGTTCTCTATATGTCAGAGAGAGCTAGGAAGGTTCATCGTGACGAGCAAAAGTGGATGATACTTCATGAATCAGGTATCCGACAAATTTCACAGGATTAGAGTGAATCCTGAATCCCAAGACCTCGCGCTTTGGGTTTGTTTATCCCCTGGAAAGACCCTTAGAGTGCCCCCAGAACTCTGCTCCAAGAAAGAATTTAGAAAATTACCTCATTTTCTGTCAAGAATCCGGTGTGGAGGGTGGTATGTCTACACTGGGAAACGTAATAACCTCCACAGTATGGCCACAACGGAGCACCAAACCTTTTAGCCTCCCTTGGAGTAGGATGTGTAGCGAGGATAGAGATAATCAATAGCAAGAGAGATTCTCAGCAGGAAAAGGGAAAGAAAGCAAAAAGAACAAAAAAGTTGACGAACCCAACCAGGGAAATGGCGACACATCTGCCCAGTGACTTGCAGTCCTAGGGATTCGAACCCGAGCTCGGGAATCTCGAAGATCAGAGTGCAGATATGGCTCTCCGTGCGACCAACTAGACCACCGCGGGTTTGCACCAGAAGATTCGTTAAAACTAAATATAACCAACCCCAAATGTCTAATATCACGTGACTCATACTACCATACTCACAACAGGCCGACGCAACACTGATTTCTTGAAGGGTAATTAAGTGAATTTCACAATTCCCGCGCCTATCTTTACATTGCATGGAGGGCAGGTCCTACTGAGTAGTCCTCAAGAGAATCAATCTAAGAGACCCAACGGGTCAAATTTGTCCCATACGATCGCGGTCTCCTCCTCCGGTACGCCTGTGGCAGACTCATAGTACGGAGTATATTCCTTCAGTCCTTCAGCAGTTTCCTCAATAGTCTCCTCAGCGGCCTCATCAGCGGTCTCCTCGGTGGTCTTCTGGTCTGAAACGACCGGTGGCTTGCTACCCTCGACTTTGGGTTGGTCTTTCATAGCCAAACCTGTTTATATGTTATTCACTATCCGGTATCAGGGCTCAAGGGAGCGTACGCTTTGCTTTGTTCGCCTTATGGCGGTTGGGTCGACGGTAATCGCGCTTGGGCTTCTTCTTTGGTGGAAGGGAGGGATCTCGCTCACGCTTGAGGGCATCGGGCTTTGGACAGAATGTTAGAATACGACATGGATTCTGGGAGGATACTGACCACCTCAATCCCGCAGCTTCGCAAATGCCGTCGGAGACTCCTGTGTCGCTTCTTCTTAGTGGAAGCCCCACCCAGATTGGTTGCATGGTCCATCTCAGTAGACTTCAGATCAAAGTAATGCTAGAGATGCAGTGTGGAGGGATTGTTGAAGTAAAAGAAGTTCAAATAAGAGTAACTGGAGGAAAAGGAGCTGAAGTGAAAGAATTGAAAGGGAAAAAGATGATACGCCTTGTCATTCTACTTAGGCATTTTCGCAACTGTGATTCCCTTGCGCCTCAAACTTCGTCAGGCTCTGCCTGAGCCCTTGGATTAATCTTGCGGGGGCGTAAAGGTCCAATATTGGCGCTGAAACTACAAGCGGCGGAGTACATACGCCGGTCATACTGCATTTCATTTTCACTCTCCGACGACTATGGATGCTTATATAGAGTTTTGCTGTTACCAGAAACACCGACTCGAACGACATTCCCCTTGGGCAGGCTGTCGCTGATTCTCAATGAGCCGTAAGGCCATGGACCTCAACAAGATTCCAGTAAGATTTGGAAATTGACCTGCGCGCCGCTTTGCCAATCTTGATCCACAGTAAACATCCGCTCCACAGAATCATTCCCAGCACTGCTATGAGAATGAATGTATTCTGAAGGCCCATATTTGTGATCATCGGGTTGACAGCGTAAGCGAATGCAAATCCTGAGAGAATGTTAGCACTCTTGGAATCATTGATGACTTCGCGTGGGAATCAAACAATGCTGACTTACCAATAGTGTTTCGAATCAGTATAACAGTCACAATTGACTCTCCAGCAAGCTCCTTCTGACTATCAATGATGTAGGTGATGGCTAGACCAGATCCCATCGGTAGGGTAACACAGATGAAAGCCATCCCAATGACAACACCAATCCAAGGGATATGATGGCTGGCGCCGACGCCATATAATATGCACCCGAGTGGATGGGCGACGAGGGCAATGACGAACATCCACAGACGGTCTTCTGGCTCTTTGATACCCTGTCTCCGAGTAGCCAAGCGAATTGCAAGGATATCACTCAGCCATCCACTGAAGTAGCATCCGATTGAAACACCTATGACACTTGCGAAGTAGGTAAGGCCGATCTGATCTGTGGTGAAGTTATATGGAGCACCTCCCAGAACCTCTGCCAAGGAACCCCCAAGAACATTGTACCATGCGAGAACACTTCCCACGAGGAGACCGGAGAAGATTGTCGTTGGGAAGGATACAAGTCGGAATGAAAGGAGGATTGACCTCAGGAAATTGAATGGCTGCTCTGGGTGTCTCAATCCCCACACCTTGAGCTTCTGACTATATGTCTTGAGCCCGTGCGTCTCGGCGATGACAGGGGTGACCTCTAGGCCGTCATGCTTCTTATCATCACAGCTGAAATCTCCGGTCATTTCAGGAGATCCATATTCGATGGAGGTGGCCTTGGGGGCGCAGACTATTGGGTCCTGGATGTTGACCTGGCGGAAGAACATCGTCTCCTCAAAACCAAAGAATGTTGCGACGGTAAAGCAAAGACCAATGATTGCCAGAATATATTGAATCCATCTCCACCCCAGTGACTCGGCGACAAATCCACCAGCGATGGGGGATAGGAAAGCACCGCACCACAATGTCCAATTGTATATTCCCATATGGAAGCCACGGTCATGGGCAAACTGTACATCCGCGATGCAGAGCTCGATCAGGGCCTCTTGGGGAGAGACGAATATACCCAGAAGGATCCGATTAGCGTACCATTCTCCAACCGACTGGATGTATGCAGACCAAATCTGCATGAGTGCGGATCCGAGCATGCCAATGATCAAAATCGGGCGGCGGCCATAGTCCTGCCCAAGGTTCTGTGTCAGCAGAGTGCCCCAACCCATGAAGAGATACATCAGTCCATTGCCCGTGCTGAGATCTGCAACTGAGATACCCGTATCTTCCGAAATGAGAAGGTAGGAGGACGAAAGGCCACTGATGAGGGCGGCGGCGAAAAAGCACCAGGCCATTTGGAATGTGGTGTTTAGCATTTTGCGAGAGCGGGACCAATTGAGAGGATCATCGGGATGGGAACTTGGTCGAGGAATCAAGACGATATCATTCCTCGCTATGTTGTGGTTCGGATGCAAAGTAGGATCCAACTCTAGTTGCTGGACCGTTCCAGGGACAGGAAGGGAATCGCTCATTCTGGAGTCTTCGTCAAGGTGACTATCGTCGCGGACATATTTAGTATGTGACTGGGGGTAGGGAGTCTCATTGATCAATGGTACTAACCTCGTGGTGTTGATGAAACCACCGGGATGTAGATATATCGATTTGGAAACCTAGTCCAACAGATGTGGCCGAAGGGTGTGGTGTGGTGTCGAGTACAGCAGGGAGCGGCCAAGCCTTTTCGTCACCGATACACGATGTCGTCGAGAAAAAGGAGGGAATGGATCCAGTTAATATTCGTCGGCTCTGGTCCTCTATGACCCGACGTGATCTCATGGTAGTCTCATTGGGACGATAACCAAGTATACTTTGGAGCCGATGCCGGCTTTCGGGGTCGAATTCTGCCAGAGCCACGAGTATGGGGTTTGATTATGGATTTTGCTACACGCGTGTCAAGCTGCCAAGTGGTACCCCGCAGAATAGGGCCGATCTCCTACCCCTGTTGTTCAACGTTATCACCTTGAGAGCACGCCTGGTTGGCTGACAAGAACTCACTTGCCGTCAGATTTGGGGTCATTGTTGATACCTTCCCAGCCCAGAGATGATAAGATGTGAATGTGAATTGATAGAGAGCCATCCAGTCGGATCCACGTTGTAATTGCGTCGACTCCAACACACCCTTCCGATATCTTGCTAAGGGCGAATCAGAGTTGGTTTCAGGGGTTTGGGGTAAGCAGGGAGTTGGGGTAGTTGGAGTTGAAAATAGCATTGGACGGAGCAAAGCCGAGAGAGCTCACTCCTTCATGAGAATCTATGGAGATAGCAAGGGAAAAAGCCCTTTGAAATAGTGCGGGAGCTTGGAAAGAAATTCTAAAGTGTCACCGAGGTCGGCTTGCCTTGCCCGGGCTTGAACCTGCCCCGTAAGAATATACTAGCACCAAGATTTGGCAACGAAAAATATTCATTTCTGCCTTGGAATAGCTATGAAATGAACACAATTGCTACGTTCATTTATTGATTGGGGAAGTATTTTTTGTTAAAGGTGTTCACCACGGATCTGGTCGCTTTCACCAGCTCCAAGCACCCAGGAACATCGGAATGGCAACAAATTGAGATCGGATAATCTTTGACAGGCAATTGACAGGTTGAGCCATCGATTGCAGACGCAGTGCATGTTTTCATTTGCTGGGTGACGCGTTGTCGCACCTCATCAAGATTCCAAGCCCTGAGAAAATTGCAATAAGCCTTCAAAATCTCTTGCTTTTGACATCAGGTCAGATCTGGGTATGAAAACTTACTTCTTTTTGCGTTCAATCAACAGAGAAGCATCAGGGTTGTACTTGACATCTGCATAAAACTCTGCAACAAACTCGATGCCCAAATCTCGGGCAGCCTGCTCCATGCAGGTACCCGGAAGGCCAAACACCTTGACGCCCTTGGGGATGCCCTCGAAGACAGCTTTGGAGACATCGTAGTCTCTGCAGCACATACCATACAGACTTCCATGAGGCTTGACGTGGTGAAGAGGGACACCCTCCCGGTCTAGGAACCCTTTCAGAGCTCCAACCTGGTAAATTGTGATGGCAGTGAGTTCTTCTGTGGAGAGCTTCATTTCACGTCGACCGAATCCTTGGAGATCTGGCAGGCCGGGATGAGCTCCGATCTTGACGCCGTGCTCTTTGCAACTTCGTACAGTCTCTTGCATAATTAGAGGGTCCCTGGCGAGGATGAATGTGTCAGCGAATACCGTGGTCGCATTTCCAGACATCTTAATACGATCTGGTTTCGTTTTGACGCATAAATTCCGGTCGCAAATCATGTACATCCAGAGAATGAACGGAGGACCTACGAGGCATGAAATCCACACGCGATATTCGCATGGTCGATGAATGGGAGTAATTCGTTGTCTTCGGTAAGAGTCCAATTTCCATAACCCTCTCCCAGATCAACATTGATGAGTGCCTTGTGTTTGATCGGTGCCATAATGAAGGCTCGGTTTAACTGCTCGGCTGAGTGTCTCGATTGACAGATAATTGCGAGGATGATAGCGTGAAAGTGATGCTCACAATCTCCGAAGCGTGGCGTCTGTGTAGGTTTGAAACAGATATGCCGTCAGAAGGAGATAAAACAGGCGAACTTATTAAAGTTGCTCAAGGTCTAACAGCGATTGGAGTGTCCGCTTTCGTCGTTTGACTGGAATTACGAGTAGTAGGTGATAGGTTGTGCCCCCGCTTGGCTCGGTGTTCAGTGGTTTCCTGGGATATCCGAAAGCAACTGGGCCTAAGAGTTCCCACCAGCCGTACACCCGAGACCCACCAAGTATTCGACGCGATGCCCAAGCGGGAGCGGAGCCCACGGTGTCTATGATTGGAACCATGTTGAATTACTCCCCCGCAAGATCAACGAGGGAATTTAAGGGGAAAGTATGCTACCATGCAGTGCGCAAGGGCGATGCCGATGCTATTTTAGTTTCGGGGCCGTGATAACTTCTGTAGTAAGAGTCTTCGTGGAAATGTTGAGTATGTTAATACAGCGATCCCGAACCTCCGAGGATACCCCCAACAGAATGATCATTCGACAATGCTGGATCGCTTCCTTCTACAAGCCCTAAAGTTGGATACCAGGGCATAAAGTTGAGGTTGGCCTGGGAAAATTGATCGTCCCACCACATTGACCACACATCGAACTGAGCGTGATCTTGCACATCTGATCGAGCAGGCAGACCCTGAGACGCAGAATATGTTGTCAAAGGATGATGTTGATCGTATTGTTGAGAAGCGGCGGTATTATTTCCCAAAACCAGTGCCGGGAGCTGCAGTCCCATGCTCTGAGATCTGGGGGAGACTGGTTGCGCCAGGCGCGATCGCAGTCGATGTGCGAGACTTTCTATGAGGTCCCCCCAACGCGCACTCAGGTGGGTATCATCGACCGCAGAGCTTCGAAGACCAGCAGCAACCTGTAGAACCTGATCGAGAGCCGATGGGATTTCGACTTCTCTGATACCAGCTGCGCAACACTATTATTGTGATTTAGTTAAAATGAATGAGGGATGCCACTAAGGCAGCAAGCAAAGCTAGGGGCAACATACCTTGAGAAGAATAAGTGTCGCACCAAGGATTCTGGAGTATGATCGAACAGGGATGTATGTTAGACTGCCTTGGGGAAGTAGATCGTCCAATACAATCTTCAAGATTGCTCGGGCGGCTTTCACAGTAGCACTCAAATGATTTCTTTCCTCCAATGAAGTATCCTCCGGACAGCTCTCCAGCCTGCCACTTATATCATCCCGGCGATTTCGATTGATCACAGCTTGCAGAGCAATGCTGAATATACACAGCTGAGCATAATCATATTCAATGGCCAGAATACACCGCGTCTGCCTTGCCACTAGATGGAGATTTGGGTCAATCGAGATTATGGCGTGAGCACATAGAAACATACATTTGGCATGATCAAACTGAACGTTTGATTCATTCAGGAGTGGTTGGACATCGCGGAGAACCTGGAGGTACCGCCCATTCCGTATGATGTCGCTGGTATATTTGGGTGATGGGAATAATAGATCGTTGACCTTGTTCATGATATTTGCGACGCGCATCCAGCATTCCGTTGCATCGTCATTCTTGACGCCAGGAACCCGGACGGGTGCACATTGTATCGGGATCTTTTGGCCTGCGATTCAAATGCCAGGGATTAGCATTGATGGGTGTTGGATGATCGAGATGTCGCACGGACAAATCACTTACCTGGCCGACCGGGTTGTTGTGTTGCATAAACCCATATCAAAGACTGTATGCGATGGAATCTTTCTCTGTCACGCGCTGTACTAAACTGGTCGTGGTGGTCTTCCGCTTGCGAAGAAGTAGTTTCATTAAAAATACCAATTTCGGTTGCCAGCATCAGGACATTCGACAGCATGGAGTAGCAAAGGCGATCCGACCGGGCGAGCCAGTCATGCCCAGACCCAGCGCCATGATTTGCGGTCCTCGAACTCGTCGGACGCGGCCTCTTGGGCTCCGGAAGTACGATTGACGAAGTATCCTCATCGGGGGGTGGGAAATGCAGAGCCCGTGGGTGCCAATCGAGCAACAGGAGTAACGCCTCACAGGTCCCTAATGTGCGGAAACCATGCGACCAACTATCGGTATACCCGGGCCTATGCGAGGAAAATTCCCCAACAAACAAGTCGTCGGACCAAAACAGACGGGAGATCATTTGCTGCAAGTATCTCCAAATGCGATCATGCACGATGTAGGAACGTGCAACCGCAGCAGGCCCAGTCCACTTTCGGTACCGCGAGCCGATCATCAGAATGGTTATGGTCAATATTGGTTCCTCCTCAATCAGCGCGGCATGATGGGAATGCTCCCGGAAGCACTCTGGCACCACAGGAGAGAAAGCTGACTGGAAGCGGTAGAAATAATCTACCATGTCCAGGGCCTCTTCAGCTGTGAAAAGTCCACCGCGCACAAATCGTACCCTTGACCATGCCTGCAAGGCATTTTGTGTCTCTGTCCTATTATTGTCGACGTCGACATTGTTTGGAGGAGGCGAGTGAGCGGAAGCGTGCCTGAAGTCTGGATGAATGCTGATCGGAGCTGAACCATCATTTCCCCCCTTTCGGATCTCCCTATGCTCACAGGCCTGTGAGAGCAGTGTCAGGGCATCATGATAGGTACGAGGGTGACCTTCCAGCAAAGCAGCTGCAGCACGCCCATCCCCCGGGAACCTTTGTCGCTCTTCTAGCGCGCTCGAATTGGTGCGGGGCAAGGGTGTGCCCCTCGAGTCCGGTGCGGGCCTGCCAACATCTCCTTGAGGCGGTGATGAGGCTTTTCGCTTTGCTGAGGCGGTCTTCCTTATCCTAGACTCTGCAAAAAAGCATTCTTTTCTCTCCCTGCAGCACCGCGCACAAGGTGGCGCACTCGGATAGTCGGCGGATCCCAACTCGCAGCGCACCTTCTTCTCCCGACAAGGCTCACAGGCCTAGCACAGCGTCAGATTGGGCAAGCTAGAACGCGGGGTTGAGGGGTCAAGATCTGCGTACCTGATACACTCGTTTGTGTCCCCGCGTGTGAAGTGCCGACATGGTGAAGAGTTGCTGGCATCCGAGCCGGGGATATCCAGACCCTTTAAGGGAATGTCCGAGATAACCGGGTGTTTCCAACCAATCGGATGCTCTCTCTCGCTTACCCCAAACCTTGACCCCGGATAGTGACGTTGCTGATAAGCTTATCTTGTCGCCGGCAGCTTCGGTCGAATGGCGCTGCACATACTAATAGGGAGTCGAAGCACTTGCAATTCCATGATCTCAATGCTGTCAATATGGAAAAATTAAATACGTTGTTAATCGCCAACCGAGGCGAGATCGCTGTTCGCATTATCAAAACAGCGAAGTACGAACCGTGTTCTTCGCCAATATTCACTTTTGCTAACAATGAGCTTACAATAGGGTACTCGGTATTCGTACAATTGCAATTTACACTGCCGCCGATGCGACATCAACACATGTCCTGGCGGCCGACGAAGCTATCCTGCTCCCGGGCGACGATTCCACCGCATACATAAATGGGTTAGTGTAATATCCTTCTCACGCCATTCTGATCAGGAACTGACACGATCGTGGTGAACCAGGGACGAAATAGTGCGCATTGCTCGCTCTCATGGAGTCGATGCCATAATTCCCGGCTACGGGTTCTTGTCGGAGAATGTGGAGTTTGCGGAAGCCATTGCCAACGCGGGGATGGTCTTTGTGGGTCCTCGGTCCGAAGCCATTGAAGCCTTCGGTTTGAAGCATCGGGCTCGCGAAATCGCTACAGCAGCTGGAGTTCCCATTGTACCAGGAACACAGGGCTTGATTGTCACAGAAGAAGATGCAGTGGCAGCCGCTGAAGAATTGGGATACCCTGTAAGTCGTTTTCCATTCAGCTCGTCCTGAAGGTATACCTCTGACAATCGATTACTTCAGGTTATGTTGAAAGCCACCGGAGGCGGCGGTGGTATGGGTTTGATGATATGCAAAAGTGTTGAAGAGGTCCAGCAGTCCTTGGCGCAGGTCCGCTCTAGGGGTGAGACTCTTTTCAAGAATGCGGGCGTTTTCATGGAACGCTACTACCCTGAAAGTCACCACATTGAAGTCCAGGTCTTCGGTAATGGCCTGGGAGATGCGATTCACATTGGAGAACGGGAATGCTCAATTCAACGCCGTCACCAAAAAGTCATAGAGGAGTGCCCCAGCCCTTTCGTCGAGAGACACCCAGGCCTCCGCGAAAAGCTCACCTCTGCAGCTGTTGCTCTATCTAAATCAATCCGCTACGGATCGGCAGGAACAGTCGAATACCTGGTCGATGACTTGTCAGGGGACTTTTTCTTCTTGGAGATGAACACTCGTCTTCAGGTTGAGCACGGCATCACTGAGCTATGTTACAATGTTGACATAGTGAAGCTCATGCTCCAACAAGCGGATCGAGAGTTATGTGGACTTGGGGGCCTAAGCAAAGATTACCTTGAGTCTTGGCAGCCCAGCAAACCCTCTGGATGCGCAATCGAGGCCCGTGTCTACGCCGAAAACCCGGCTCGCAATTATTCACCATCCCCCGGATTGCTTCAACTTGTTAAATGGAAAGAGGTGGATGGCACTCGAATTGATACATGGGTCGGTACCGGGACACGAATTTCGACATATTACGGTTCGTGGCAATATCGAGGATGTGACATCTGAAGAAGAGCTAACCTATAATCCCCAGACCCTATGATTGCAAAGGTCATGGTGCATGGCTCGAACCGCATCGCCAGTATTGAAAAGATAGCCCAGGTTCTTTCTGATTCCACCATCTGTGGACCACCGACAAACCTGGACTTCCTACATTCCATCATTCAATCAAGCCAATTCCGCGACGGACATACGTTAACCAACTTCTTGAATGACTTTGAGTTTTGTCCGACAGCAATTGACGTCATTTCACCTGGTCTATACACAACCGTCCAAGACTACCCAGGACGTCCATCAGCCGGGCGAGGAATTCCACAAGCAGGTCCCATGGTAAGTTTTGACTTTGATTTCTACGACTGTGTCATCCACTAACAAGAGTTTAAGGACCCATTGGCATTCCAAGGTACCCAGAATCAAATACTCCTATTTTGTTTGCACGCAAAAGTTCTGACACCGTTTCTTTGCGTTTAGTTGCCAATATTCTGGCTGGAAATCCGACCAACACTGAAGGTCTGGAAATTACGTTGAAGGGACCAGAGCTGCGTTTCCTAGCCCCTGGTTGCGTATCCATATGCGGTGCTCCGATGGAGACTGTACTGGATGGGGTTGATGTTCCGATGTGGACCCGACTCTACATCAGAGCCGGACAAGTCCTGTCGATTGGCAAACTTACTGAATCTGGTGGATGTCGAGGTAAGATAGAGAAGTTGGATTTGGATCGTGTTCTAATTTCATGAAGCATACCTCGCTATCCGCGGAGGATTCCCGGCAATGTGGGTCGGGTCACAAGCAAACTGGGATCATGAATATATTACTGACTATTCTCGCAGCGCACCATATTTCGGTTCAAAATCCACCTCTCCTCTTCTTGGCCTGGGTGGATACCAAGGCAGAGCTCTGGCGCCAGGTGATATGTTGGCGATTGAAAAGCTTGATATTGCTACAACAGAGCCTCAAGTCTCATTGCCCAGCAATTTGCGCCCGGAATATACATCACACTGGGATATTTACGCCATGGTTGGGCCTTACGATGAGGGCTATATTGTGTCCGAGGACATTGAGATGATTTATGACACACTCTGGTATGCGAAGGCGGTCCTGACCATGTGATTGAGTATGGATCCCAGTATTAACGGATTGATGTTAGGAATGTGTCACACAATGCTACTAGAGGTGGCATTCGCCTTGTTGGACCTGCCCCTAGATGGGCAAGGGAAGACGGAGGCGAGGGTGGACAACACCCCAGCAACGTTATTGAATATGGATATCCCAACGGCACACTGAATTGGACAGGAGAAAGGTAGGTTTGGTTGAAAAGATTCATTCTCTCGAGGTCTTCAAACTAACCAGTAGTTATGAAAAGCCCATGCATATTCCCGGTTGATGCACCAGACCTTGGAGGCTTCATTTCATCAACTACGATCGTCAGTGGAAATCTGTGGCGCATGGGCCAGTTGAAATCTGGAGACACAATTCAATATCGGAGAGTCTCATTGGAAGATGCTCTCAGGATCCGTACAAGGTTGGAGAAATTTTTAACAGATGTTGCGGCACTTGTTACTGGCCAGTGCAAGCCTGAAACTATTTCGCCTGCATTTCCTCCTGCATTGCCGGACTCTACCCAATCTGGTGACTGGGGCAAGGCTTGTATCTTGAGCACCACAGTGAAAGGCTCCACAGATGCCATCACATTCAGACAGGTACAGTTGATTTCAGAATGGCCTTTGAACTCGTTGCTAATGATTACTTTCAGGGTGGCGATGATTTCATGCTGGTGGAATTTGGAGACGGAAATTTCAACCTGAATCATCGTTGCAGAGTTTCGGCATTAGATCAAGCTTTCAATCAAGCTCGGTCATCAGACGATTCCCTGAGACAAGCAGTATATAAGACGACTGGATGCTGCAATTGTAAGATCATTCAAGTGTTGAAAATATGTGCATTTTGCTAATCTCTTGTCAAAAAGCCCTCCTGGTTCATTACGACGGGCTAAGCCTCTCCCGAGAAACCCTGATCAATGTTCTGATGACATTGCAGAAGGGGACTAGTGATCTCCGTGGATCAAGGGTTCCAAGTCGAAAGTTCTCCCTTCCTATATGCTTTGAGAGTCCAGCCCAAGAGGAAGCGATTCAACGATATACCGAGACACAGCGACCATATGCACCATTTTTACCTAGCAACATGGATTTTGTGGCCAAGATCAACGGAATCACATACGACGAGCTGGTGGAGATTTTCTTGTCAGTTGAATTCATGGCAATTTGTGTTGGATTCTTCTGCGGAGATACAATTTGTCTCCCTGTTGACCCGCGGTATCGCATTACATGTCCCAAACAGAACCCAAGCCGTGTGAACACACCAGAAGGAAGTGTTAGCTGGGGCGGATCATGCATGAAGTAAGTCTACCAGCATCGCAGATCTTTCGGATTTCATTGACGCTGAATTCTTCCTAGCATTTATCCTGTTGATTCCCCCGGAGGATATCAGATGACAGGCCAAACCATCCCGTGCTTTGACCAATTGGGGATCAAGCCTGGCTTCTCGCCGAATCGACCAGGTCTGTTCCGTGACTTTGACCAGATCACATTTTACCGGGTAGGAAAAGAAGAGCTTGAACGTGAGATGGCTCGTTTCCGGTCGGGTTGTTACAATTTCCAGTATGAAGAGGTTATGTTCGATATGACCGCCCACAATGATCTTCTTGCGCAGACCAAAGAAGAAGTGGCAGCCTTCAAGTCCCGCCAAGCCACCGCGCAGGTCGAAATGCTAGCCTTAGAGAAAGAATCCATGGACAGATGGATGTCCGAGAAAGCGCAAAACGAACTTCCTGCTGATACAATTTCGTTGCTCAAAGAAGGTAAGTTCTGTCATATCCAGATATTCACCATCATTGAAGTTAGCTCACTCGATATCACTAGACCCCGATATTTTGATTATCTACGCTCCTCTCGATGCAAACGTGTGGAAGATCAATGTCGCAGATGGGGAGATTGTCTCCGCTGCTCAGCCGGTCGCGATTCTCGAGGCAATGAAAATGGAGATTGCCATATCTTACAGTGAAGATCAAAAGGAAGGTGTTGAAAAACAATTCAAGGTCGAGAAGATCTTGGTCCAGCCAGGTGATATTGTTCGTGCTGGCGACGCAGTGGCATTTTTACGAAATATTTAATGCGAACAACGCAGGGGCACAGCGTCAGGCTGGATAATGTCCCGATATGCTTGATTCTTACCTCACCCGGCTCTCTAGAAGGCAGAAAACACCTAGAAAGATATTTGAATTGCCAATACCTAGTCTAGACCCTGTCAAATGAAATATTTGTCTTTGGAAGAAAGAAAAAAAAGAGTGCCCGATCCTGGATTCGAACCAGGGTCTCCGGAGGGAGGCCAGCACACGGTTCAGAACCGGGCTGGCTTCGACCCCCGCAGCGCCTTTTCCACTCGGCCAACCAGGCTTGGTATATTTATTACAGGTGGATCTTGTCACACATCCAACCAATCCTCGCTACTGCCAAGTCTTGCCGCCCCACCCATAGTTGCCGCCGCGAACCGTGTTCCTGAGCAGATCTTTTGTTTTTCAAGATTGACGACATACTTGTATGGCTCGAGTAACATAATTATTGAAGATCTCCAGGGATTGCACCAGAGATGAAATGATATCAATGAGTGGACTGACTTGAGGAAACTTCCTTAATCAAAAATTCAGAATTTGTCCATGGATTGCACAGGCTCCACACAGCCCTCGAGAATAAGTGAACCCCCGGCCGAACACCTCGATATAGGCCTGAAACATAAGAGCGAGGCCGTGCTCGAGGGACTATGCAACTTTCTTTTGTCAACTTCTGCGATGCCTTAGCTCCAGCGGTAGAATTTATGAATTGCCAAACAAGCGTTCTTTGTTTCTCTTTGACACGCCTCTTCGAGTCCATGGGAACATGAAATATGTAGTTCTTTCAAGTACTTTGTGCACCGAACAGAATCTTAAATTATCGCGCATACCCAAACGCCTCTTTTGATGGTCTATTCCTGGCTTCTACAAAGAATACCATCGGATACAGCTTTAGTATCTTTGATCCCAAAAATGCATGATTGACCCGCGTAGTTCGATTGAAAGAAGATAAGTAGTCCAGTAAGCCCCCTAAATAACCACCAGTTCTCCCCGATCAAACCACAAAAGATTCTCTCAGTCCCCAGAGGCGACATTGAAAACACGAAAGTAAAGTCTCTGTGAACGGCATCTGCTTTCTATCATATTCCTGCCAGCTCAAACGCGATGAAGGTAGAAAAGAAAAATTCAGACCAAACCCTGAAATATGGACGGCATGAAAAGCTTGGCAGAAGCTTGCGACGAGGGCTCGAAGCAGCGGACCCTATCAAGAGAAAAAGACCACTACGACTGATTATACTGCTTATGGAAAAAATCCTAAAGGAAAAAGCAGCTAGAGAAAGAGAGAGAAAGAAACGCTTTCATTCCCGACCATCTACTTCTGGAAGTCCGGACTCCAGATATGGGAACATCTTGACCAGAACTTTCCGGAGTAGAAGGAAACGCCCAGTCAAAGCTTCAACTGTCAAATTGGAAGATTTAACAACGTTCGAGCGACTTGATATTGAATTCGATCTGAAACCATTGACTCTTCCTCAACTTGAGCCTTATATGGACGAGCCTGGGACAAATCCAAAGGATGGTAGATGGCATAAATTCTGTCTGGAGGAACGGGACGACAGGGAATACGACGTCAATGACTATAAGTTCAATCCAGAATCGCTACGACTGAATGTGTGGACAGGGCAATCAGGCCCTGGTGTCCTTGTAATCGAAGAGATCAAGAGGAAAACAGGCCCTTACTCTTCCCAGATATCCCAGGCAGTTTACGAAAAGGATTTTGACCCCAGCACCCTGAATTACATATACTTTGTGGATGTTCAGAATGAGGATACGCTGGAATTTGTGAAAGATCAGCTGTATACCCCTTCAAATGGAGTTGTGGAGCAAGATGATGAAATTACCGAGAGATACGAGTGGGAATACGGAAGCCCAGAATTTGACGGACTGCTCGGAACAAAATTCGGAAATCATGTGGTATATTTGCTTATGGGGGCTTTCAAACGGGGAACTCGGCGAATTCAACGGATCAGGACGTGGTTTGCATTCCAGGAACTCCAGATGCAATTCATCCTTGAGAACATTAGTGATCACTCCACTGACCAGGCAGAGCCGGTGAAGCACTTGGCAACGGCGTCCAAGTCAGGTTCTCAAAGCGGTCCTCCTACCAAGGAATCTCATCCTACCCAGGGTCCAAAACGCCCAAAGAGAAGGTTTTCCGAGTCTGGCGACGAAGAAGCCCCCCGTCCAAAGAAACTGCGGCGTCATAGTTGTTGAATAGTGGGCTCTTGCCCCAGCCCCAAGCCTAGATAGATTTCTCTTTTCTTTTCTCTGTCTCTTTACCACCCAGTTTGATCGATCGCTTCTGTTCTTGTCTTATAGATTATAATGCATCCCACTACTGCTACCGCGATGAGGAAATTTAATCTTACTTTTGCTATTTACGGAGATAAACAAGTCTCAAGCCCTGCGGTTTGTAAGTGATGGAAACTGGATCTTATGACGGGCACAAACCCACTAACCAATATAGGCACGGAAGCCAACGAGCTAGTGCCTGGGTAGTATCACAAGGTACCTTGCATAATGCATCTGTGCGTCGGAGAATTAAACTGTCTTTGTTTATCCTCTGTAACGATCGAGGACTTCTCGCCTCATACTACTAAATTTGTATGACTTCAGGACTTGATTCGTTTGCATCTGGTTACCTCGTATCAATGATCCCATGTCTTAGGGGCGGTGCAACCCTGAGTTAGCGAGATTACTTTGCTCACTTAGTGCATCAGAGAACCTTTTTAGTGGGAGATTTTTGACAGCATTCAAGCCTATGTAACCAGACCCCACATTGGATTTGGCCCCCGGTTAACAGCCCCATTCTTGGCGGACATCTTGGCGAGCATCGGAAATTACAGCTTTTTATCCAGTCATGCACTTGCTTCTATGTTTTTTGGTGATGTCATGGCTTCTTGGAATTTAAGTCTGTTTGAATTTTTACGGGAGCGGAAAGGATTGATTTGGACCATTTTTCGCGGCGATGACTTGGCTCAAACCTGCGATTTCTTAGGTCGCGTACCTCCCCGAGGGCGGGCAAAGAACCTCAATCGCCAAGGCGAGAAGCTTAGCGAACCCCCACCATTATTGTGAAAAATAAATAGTATCGTACTCAGCACCTCGTGTGCTAATATCAAGATAGGCTGCCAAGCGATGGTTTCCTCCAAGGGCTCCGGGCATATACTCCATGTAGTTAAAGCAACCTCTCCATTATCGTCTGTAAATTTGGAAACTGCAGGTACACCACATTTATGATCTTGGCGTGTCCAAATTAGAAAACGCCGGCACGATGTATACTGAGTAGCAGTCATGCGCCAGAGCCCATGGGATTATCATTCGCCGTGAGAATACCAGAGCCCAGCCGCCCCACCCTGTCGGAGATAATCGAGATTCCATGCATTTGAGCACGGAAGAGATTCCCGTAGCACATTTCTCATATTCAAAGAGAGTATTCAAGGGCATATAAGGGATAGGAATCTGGATTTCAACTCGAATCCGCTTGGATATTGGTTTGTCAGTGAGAACCCCATAGTACGCGTTTTATCACATCCAGCTTCGTACACCATACCCACTGGTTGTAATAAATAGCCTTCTGGGCCTTGCAGTCAGCCCTGCCCAGATGCAGAGCAGTGGGTCTTCCGTTAATCTCGCAAAACGTGGTGGCTCATTGTGATCAGGCAGAATGGCTATGTCGGAAATGGCCCCATAGAATCCGGGGGCTCTGTTTTGTCAACCCAATATCCGCAGTCTCCGGTAAGTCTCAACATGCGATTATTTGTGCCAAGACCAGGGGGCCATGGGGCTCGACCGTAACTGTTCTCGTTGGCATGTCTTCCGGCAGCGATGAAAAGAGTATTTATAAGATGGTCATATTCTGCTTTCTCTCGTTAGTATAGGGACCATCGGGTTGGAGAAAGATGTCTCCCATAAAATCTGTTGTGCTCTGCACCTTGCTATGGGCATTTTCCGCTTTTGCCCTGGTTGCAAGAGATCAAAATGCATACGAACAATTTTCTCAAAGCCACACAGCTATCAACAAGCGAGCAGACAGGGTTGATTTGCGAATTCTGCCTCTCGGAGCTTCTCTGACATGGGGTCTTTACTCTGAAAGTAAAAATGGATATCGCAAATCTCTTCGTGATGCATTGCGATTCGACGGATGGGAGGTAGATATGGTGGGAAGCATATCCCACGGTACAATGCTTGACAACGTACGTCAAAGAATCTCTTGAATCAACGTGACTTGTTATAACCATTCCCTAGAGCGTGGAGGCCAAATCCGGAAACACGGTCGACCAAGTGAAAAAGGCCGTACAAAATTCGTTAAAGTATCGGCCCAACGTGGTGCTCATCAATGCCGGCACAAATGATTGTCGTTTGGAAGACGCACTCATCCCAACAACTGGAGAACGGATGAGGTCTTTGATCAACACCCTAATCCAGGCAGATGGAATGGAAGAAACGACTATTGTTCTTTCTACTCTCATCCCATCCGATAACACGAAAATCAACCAAAACAAGCCTAGCATCAACAATCAGTACCGCGACCTGGCTGTTCAGATGCGAAAAGAGGGGGTATCTATAGTGCTTGCTGAGATGGACCCTGTGGAACCGGACCCTGGCCATAACTGGATCGAATACCCTACCGACTTTTACCATCCTGATTTGGGCCGGGTTGATGACACACACCCCAATGACCATGGATACGCTAAGATGGCATATGTGTGGCAGAAGGCCATTGAGGAGGCCGAAAAGCTCGGCCTTTTGAAGCCGGCAAGTGAACTCGATGAAAATGTCTTGACCTGCACAAAGACGTATGGTGATGGTGAATACGCCGGTGGTCTAACGCAACGTGGGAGTGGTGAGGATGATGGCATTTACTACCATTCAAGCGACTCAAAGGGAACAGTTCTTTCTGTGGTTAGTGAGTTTGACCAGAATCAGTGGTTCTTTGCCAGACTATTTCGACGTGATCGGGATGATCTCCTTGGATGGTTCGAGAAGAGCGACGGGTCTATTGCCTATGGCACTTGGAGAAACACCGGCAAAGACTCGGACAGGTTTGTCAAGATTGCCGACACATCTGTTGATGACAACTGTGTCCAAGCGGGTGTCAACTTTATCGATATCAACGGTATGTACCGATTGCAGATTTTCAACTCCACTCCGGGCTAATCTTGACTTCATAGGCGATGGACTGGATGATTTTGTCTGCATCGCAAAGGATGGAACTGCTTATGCCTCCGTGAACAAGGGCGATGGCACGGATTCCAAACCACCCACCTTCAAATCCATCGGAAAGATCAAAACCAGCGAAGGCTCCCCCCAAGCGCGTGTCCGATTGGCCGATATTGACGGCGATGGCCGCGCCGACTATTGTGTTCTCGCAGATAACGGTGATATTACTTGCTGGCGCAACGGATGGATCAACGACGTTCCTAAATACTGGCAGCCACTGGGAAAGCGCTTCTCCGGTAAAGACATGGGTGACATAACCGGCGTGCGATTTGAAGATATCAACGGCGACGGACGAGACGACTGGCTCTGGCTCGATGACATCGGCAAGACCTATACATACACCAACTCACGCAGCTGCCAAAAGGGAAAGGAGGGCGATGGTCTCAACGTTGCATGGCGCCAGGGTTTCCAGAAAGGAGCTGACTCCGGTCCCACCCATGCTGGAATGACTGCTTTCGGTGACGACGGACTGCGCAAGCGGGTTCATTTCGCTCGTATCTTCGGGGAAGCCCAGGACTTTGGTCTTCTGGGCAGACAGGATTATGTCTTCATGGAACACGTCAAAGAGGATGGGAAGCACCGCTTCAACATGCGGGTTTGGAAGAACACCGGCAGCGGCTCCACCAAATTGCGCGCCGATGGCAACGCTTACTGCAACATGATGGGCCATGACAATGGTATGATGGACTATGTCTGGATTTTGTCAAAGGGTTCCATGCGAATTTATGAGAATCAAGGCATGACATCTGTTGAAGATGGCGGCCCTGACTTCTGGGGCAAAAATTACCAAATCTTTGACCCAAATGAACAAAGCATTGGCAAAAACCTGGATCGCCGAGATCTTCATCTTGCCGACTGGGATGGTGATGGTGCTTGTGACATTATTTGGACTGATCCCGACAACGACAATCGTGTGAAATTGTGGCGCAACCGCATCAAGGAAACGGGAGACTTCAACTGGGAATATGATTCCAACCCAGCACCCGATCTTCACTGCTCTGAAAAACGCGGCTTGGGGCTCTTTGACCGTCCTGTTCACTTCGCAGATGTCTCGGGTAACGGCAAGGCGGACTATCTCTGCGTGGAGAAGGACGGTCGCTCTTCGGGATACGTCCACCGTGACAGTAAATGGGACCGCATCGACCAATTCAAGTTTTCCGAGGACCGAGATCGTGCAAACCTCCAGTGGGCCGATGTGAATGGCGATGGCAAGGCGGACATGATCTACACAAACAAGTTCAGCGGCAACGGCACCGTTTGGATTAACCAGGGTGAGGAAAGTGGCGGTGGCTCCCAATATCAGTGGGATAACATCGGTGTCGTGTACCAAGGTGCCCAGGCCGGGTCGTGCACATACTTCCCTGATTTGAATGGAGATGGCCGGGCAGACATGCATGCCATCAAGTATTCCTTCATCAACAGTGCTGAAACTTGGTTCAGTCCATCATGTAACAGGCACGGAGATGACGGACCGCTGTCAGACCCAAATCTTCCTGTGATGCCTTCTTGAAGTGAACCTTTGGAAGCCCCGAGGCCCTTTAGGTCTCTTTTCAAACCACCCCGCAAGGCGAGGGGGAACATTTCCATGGATGCGTCAGAAATAGAGCTTCTGTGATTGCTTTTTCAATGCAGTTTCATCCGGGAAAGTCTCAAAGGAAGGAGGATAACCCCAGCATGAGGAAGTTTGACCTTGAAATCTCTTCTCGTGTTTACTCTTTTCCCCTTTTCATTTTGTCGTTTAAAGGCGCACTTGGTCGCTTTGGTTTTATTGTTTGCCTCATCATCTTCGGCTTTTCTCGCAAATTCGACTAATTTTTCCAACTCATTTTTATTTCCATCATCATAACTTCGAAAATATCACCATCATGCCTATACAGAACAGTTTCCCAGGTTGCTTATCGGCTAGAATTGGCCCCCATTTGACTAGCTGGTGGCCCCAAATCCCACCTCGGTCCTGCTCCACTTAGTGCCGCAGAAGCACTTCCAATTTTTCCTCATTGGGTGGCCAAGGCTGTTTCCAGGGCCATCTATTCCCCGTCTGTGTCCGATTGGCTTCCTGGGGGAGCTAGTGAAACGCCCAGTGCTCATACCACGACTAATTCATGATTTTCAGGGTCCCGAAAATGCAGCCCTACGCCCCGAACCAGTCCTTAGTGCCCATAAAGCTCAACATCTACCTGCTTTTGAGGTTTTTTCTTTTTCTCTCAACTTTCTGTTACTCTCACCTGGATCATGTTGCCTTCTAAATCAGCTCTAGCGCTCCTTTCCCTTGCTGCCATTGGCAACGCCGCAAGCTGCCCCAAGAACTGGCTTGAGAACAGCTTCAAAGTCACCAGATGCTGCTACGGTGGCATGATCGTTGATGACACCACCGCCTACTGCTGTGTTTACAAATGGGACGAGGAGCAAGCGATCAAAGATTCGTACTCCGCCAGCGATGTTTCGACGACTGAAATAAACATTTCCGCCTCTAGGGACGACCCCTGTTTCACGTCAATCCCATTTACGGCCACCGACTACTCAGCACAAGTCTCGGCGGCATCTTCCAAGATTATGGCATCTACCACTGCACCTTCAACCAACCGAGCCACCGCTACAAGCACAAGCACAAGCACGGGCTCGGCATCTCCAACCTCGACCCCTAACGCGGGCATGCCACAGGCCACGGCGAATGGAATGATGCTCGGCGGAGCTGCTGCTGCTGTCGCCCTCTTCGTTTGACGCCAATGTTCAGGGATTAGCTGGTGACATACCAATTTTTGAAACCCACGTATTTATTTTTCCTGAAGTCGGCTCGAGGCTGCGTTTGTGTACTATATGTTGTTGCCCACTCGCCCCATCGGCTGTCCCTTCCTGATAGCCCCGACTGTAATACAATCAAGAAAATGCGCGTCCGAACAGAGCAATGATATTAGAATGATCGGCCAATTTTTTGATCCCAACCCCTGTAAAAGTGTAGATAAAGTTTGGAGTAAAATGAACATCACTCGAATTCTGCCAGGCGGTGAGAGTTGCTTGTTTTCCCTTCGTTTTGTCCGATGCCCCGTTGTTGTCAAACTTCGACTGGGAACTTCAATGTCTCGGATTCCAGGACATCGAGCTGGCTCATTAAGTCTGAGTCGCAGCAGACCGAACGAGATGTGGTGAACTATCTCCCCCACTCCGCAACACTCGTCGCCTCAAAGTGGACACCAACATTCGAATTTGGGCTGTGAATGGCCCGCCAAGACGCCTAAAATGAAGATGAAGGCCTCGCGTTATGCCAACTCAAGGCGGAAATCATGCCTAGCATGCTCGCGCAACAAGGCAAGGTGCGACCGCAAACCCGACCGATGCACGAGATGCAGCCAACGAGGCCTGTCTTGTACATACCTCGTGTCGGATACACCGGGGGAAACAAGACTTGCAAGAACTGGCAATGAGAGTACATCTCCTGTTGTGGCCCCAGGCGCCGGCGCGTCCAGTGTGACCTCCACCTCAGATTTCTCGGTCGACTCCAACGGGCCAGATACAGCACTAGCGGCTCCTATCATGGATGTGCGCTCTATCCTTTCCTCTGGCCCGCCCACTCACGTGCCTGGGTTCTCTACCGCAAAAGCCGTTGGTACCATAAGCGCGGCGGCTCAGAAGACAGATACACTGGATTTCTCTCATCTGAATCTGATATGTCCGCTGAATGTCGAGGATATCAGCAACCGCTGGCTGAAACCTTACATTCCTGACGACGGAGAGCAAGTCAAGGAATATCCTGAACTTGTCACTCGCTTCATTCATCGAGTCTTGAAGTCATATGCAGCAGTCGCGGCTCGCGGTCGGGATGCACTTCCATTCATTCATCCTACGCAAATGAAGACACCTGATTCATGCCTTGCCACCTGCCTGAGCCTGGTTCGAATAAGTGCAAACCCCCTGCCCGGGAGCGAGGTCACCGCCGTGACAATCCTCCAGCGTGAGATGGAGAACATAACAGAATCTAGTGGTTCCTATGATCAGGTATCACTCCTTGCTGCGTTCCAAGCATATTTGATCTACACCATGGTCCTTTTTTTTCGTTTGAACCAAGGAGATAAGCCATTTTTCCGCAGCGCGATGATGAACCTTCAACAGCTGGCTTGCTCCTCATCTTGGGGAGGACTGATCTGCACCGCCGACTCGACTCGCATCCGCCCGAGATGGGAAGAATGGATAATTACGGAGGCGAAGAGGCGCACACTATACGTTATGTATCTTTTTGACAGCACTCTCTCGGCAAATGAGGGTCTGCTCACCTTTCTCGGCACGGAGCTTCGTGGCCTCCCTGCCCCGTCAAATAAGCCACTGTGGCATGCATATGACCGAGCCGAATGGGAGAAAGAATACAACGTTCTCTTGGCTGAATGGACTGAAGGGGTTCTCAATATCGAGGAGCTTTGGCCAATACCCCCTGGAATGGATGATTTGGGTCAGTTGCGAAGGCGCACCAGAGTTGATCAATGGCTTGAGAACCTAGATGAATTCGGCACTATGATGTTTGCTGTAACGAGCTGTACTCATTCTGGCTAATTACATTTGTGTATACAATGGCAAAGCCAGACCACTTCAGCCAGCACCAATTCACGCCCTCCTTCTCATCCACGATGTTTTCCTATGGAAAAGCCTAGCTTTCTTCGAGTGCGGCCAAGGCCTCATGCAATGAAATGACATGCAAATTCATCTTCGGGATCAATGAATCAAGCATCACCGCAGAAAAAGCTTCATTCTGATCTGGAGGGAGCTCCACGACATTTTCTCGGATGACATATACCTTGAAGTCCAAATCAAACAGACGATAAATTGTCGACATGACGACACCCGAAAGGCTCAGCCCGGACTTCAAGCATCTCAGTTAGTCTGTTGATCCCAAGCCCTCAAATGGGAAGCGGATTACTCACGATAATCACCGTATCTATTCCCTGCGCTTTCAAGATTTGTTCGAGGTTGTTCCCGGTCATAGCCGACCACCTTGTCTTTCGAAGGATGAGATCTTTCTCGTCCACTGCGAATCGGGGGTGAATCTCAACTTCGGGGGCTCCATACTCCAAGGAACCAAACGGGGCAATGAGTTTGGCAAAGGGCTTGTCGGCCTCGACCTCTGGTCGACCACGATTGAAGGCGAGGGTCGTGAAGACAGTGAGAGGGCGTTCATCCTTGGAATGCACTGCATCAGTCCACTTTTCGCAGCTATCAATTAACAACTTCCCCTGTGGCGTTTCTTTGATTGCATCGATCAGCAGAACCATCCAATCAATGTTCAGAATGGCATAGTGTTTTCCGAAATCAACCATGTTTGATGTTGAAACGAGAAGCAGGTATCACAGAGCATTAGGCTGCTCGGTTCATTTTACATCTCGACCTCGCTATGTATCTCTTCAATGCCGGCACTATCCCCCTTTGATTTCCTCTTCTCCGTTCCACTACGGACCAGCGGAGTTGAGCGCAAAGAACGTTGGTCCTTGGCCCGGACTTGAGACCCAAGGGCGGTGAGCATAGGGCCCTTTCCCCGTAAATATGACCAATTGGAGCTCGATCTATTATTCTTATCTTGGTGAGACCAATTGAACCTGCTTCTCAGCTCCGATGGCCCACTCTCAACTCCGCTGAGCCCCGGCACTCCATTCCTGACATCAACCGATGGCATTCAAACTCCAAAGCTACATAAGAATCCTCACTTGCCCGGTTTCCAGGATAATACACACACTCACTTGACTCGCAACCTTTTTTTCAATCACTACATTCATTTATTCCCACAACATCCCTCAATGTCTTCCAACGAAGACCAACAAAAGCAGGATGGTTGCACTTCCCTGCCACAGCAATCTACCTTCCCTGAAACAGTAACGACAACGGATTTACCTTACACAATTTTTGATAAACGACAGAAGTGGTTGATTGTATTCATCGTCTCGTTTGCTGCGACATGTAAGTCATCCACCAGAGCATACCTGAGTGCGGACCGGGAGATGGGTGACTAACAGTTATTGAAGTTTCGGGCTTCGCTTCAAACATATATTTCCCAGCTTTACCCACCATAGCGGATGACCTTAACGTCTCGTTGGAGCTTGTCAACTTGACAGTCACCTCATATCTCATCTTCCAAGGAATCGCCCCAAGCTTCTGGGGCCCAGTTTCAGATGTTCGGGGCCGTCGCATCGCCTATACTTGTACCTTGATCGTATTCCTCGGTGCATGTATTGGGCTAGCAGAAACAAAGAATTATGCCACTCTAATTGTGCTTCGATGCCTCCAGAGTACTGGCAGTGCAAGCACTATTGCAATCGGTTCTGGAGTGATCAGCGATATCACCACCAGAGCTGACCGGGGAGGCTTCATGGGCATCTTTCAAGCAGGCCTACTAGTCCCTGTGGCTGTCGGACCTGTTATTGGTGGTGGTATCTCGGGCTCTCTGGGCTGGAGGGCTATCTTCTGGTTCTTGGCTATTTACAGCGGTGTCTTCCTTGTCTCACTTCTAGTATTACTGCCTGAGACACTCCGATCGCTGGTAGGGAATGGTGGATTGACAACCACCAGCCCTGTTACCTCATTCCCACTTGGTATATACCAGAAGACTACCCAAGTGGAATGGGACCATGAGCTACCGCCAGCAGAGCTTCCACCAAAGAAGAGGATTGATATTCTCGGGCCTTTTCGAATCCTCAGCAGCCAATTTGCAGCCCCTATCATAATCTTTCTTGCGATTTACTATGCAGTCTGGCAGATGAGCATTACTGCGATGTCCTCCCTCTTCAAGACGCGCTACGGGTTAAGCGAGATCCAGATCGGTCTGACGTTCATCGCCAACGGTGTCGGGTCTATGGTGGGGACATTGATCACCGGCAAAATTCTCGATATGGACTATCGTCGCGTGAAAGCCAAATTTGAGACTCGCTCGCCGGCAGGGGGCATTGACGCGGGAAACAGCCCCGACTACGCCCCCAGCCAGGAAGAACAAGACTTCCCCATTGAGAAAGCTCGCCTTCGACTTGTGCCTCTGTTCTCTCTGCTGCAGTGCCTTTCAATTCTCCTCTTTGGTTGGACCATCCAATACCCGCATCAGGTTCACATTGCTGTTCCTATCGTTTCAACTTTCATCACCGGATGGACCGCTGTCTCTACACAGTCGCTCATTATGACCTATCTGGTTGATATTTTCCCCGATAGAAGTGCTGCAGCCAGTGCTAGTCTCAATCTTGCTCGATGCTTGTTTGCTGCTGGCGGCACGAGTTTCGTGATGCCAATGATCAACGGCATTGGCGTGGGTCTTAGCTTCACAGTCTGCGTCGCGGTACAGGTTGTTGCACTTGTGGGCCCTTTTGTGCAGTGGAGGTTTGCTGGTGGTTGGAGAAGAGAAGCAGAGCGCAAGCAAGTTTCTAACCCTTAGCTGTTGGATTTGTTTGCACGCTTCGAACATCCCGGACAATTGCGAGGACAGAAATTCGAAGGCGAATTTTGTCTAACTACTCTCTTATCCCATAGAAATCACAACTATAATATCTAATAAATCAAAATTTTCTAACAGCTTTGTCTTCGTTCACATACGCTTATCGCGGCCGATACAAAACGATACCACGTCCGATATATTACAAACGCGGAAGAGACTCATCCGCCATACATTACCGTAATTGAAAAACATCGGAGCTGCCCGCTATCAAACTGCGGCTATTCTCCCCGCGCAATTGCTCAACCTGCGGGGACCTCAAACAAGAACCAGCTTGCCCAGATCAAATCCTCCGACTATCCCCCTTGCGTCGAATCAGGTGCTTCTTGGCGGGTATTATCGGCGATAAAGCCAGGTATATTAAAGAACTGCCGACCCGATCGTGTTCTGATTCAAAGTGATCTCGACGCCCGCAAGCTTGTTACCAGCACTGTGGATCTGATCTGCGTCAGCCTTGCCGTTGAATTTTAGATCTACGAGTAGATTTCACAACTCCAGCTGCATCGATAACTCCACGGGCTGTTCCTTTGCCTTCCTGCTTTCCAGGGTTGGATTCGGAACATCGGCCATCGGGTTGATATATCGTGTTTGCATAATTTTTGTTGTTTGCATTTTGGAGCCAAAATGGGCTCAACAATAGACCATGCCTTCAACGTCTATCGTGGCACGTTCATTCAATTAAGTCGGCCTGTCGCACAGGGCGCAAAGCCCGAATTGTGTCGCGACCAAGGTGCACTGTGGGTTTCGACAACTGATGGACGGATCAAGGGATGGAACTGGGAGGCGCGCGATGAGGAGAAATTTGTAACATTGATAACTGAGAAGGGTTGGGTCGACCTGGAATCCGCGGAGCCCACAGGAGTCAGTCAGGACGCACCACGAATTGGGATAAAGGTGATCAAGGTCAATGAGGAAAGAAATGAGTTTTTCTTCCCCGGCTTCATTGGTATGTTCTTTTCAATTTTTCCCTGAAAATCCTCCATATCATCAGTACTGACCAGCAACCAGATACTCACATTCACGCACCTCAATATCCAAATGCCGGTCTTTTCGGCTCCACGACACTGCTCGACTGGTTGGACACATACACATTCCCAGTAGAATCCAAGTTTGGCGAGCAACCAGATCCAAATACAGGGCACCAAACCAAGACCGACCCAAAGTACACACCAATTCCCGCACAACAAATCTATGACCAAGTCATTGCCCGCACCCTATCTCACGGGACAACATGTGCCTCCTATTTCGCAACAATTCACGTCCCAGCAACGAACGCGCTCGCCGCACTCTGTCACGCCCGTGGCCAGCGCGCTTTCATAGGCAGGGTATGCATGGACGAACCGAAATTCTGCCCAAAGTACTACTGCGATTTCTCAGCCGATGACTCAATAACCGCAACCCGCGACACTATCGATTTCATCCATTCACTTGATCCGACAGGCCGACTCGTGAAACCGATTCTCACCCCGCGTTTTGCACCCACGTGCTCGCGGCCCGCACTCAAGGCTCTCGGTGATTTGGCTGCGGAATTCGATCCCCCTTTACACATCCAGACGCACATTTCGGAGAATCTGAATGAGGTCGCGCTTGTTAAGGAACTCTTTCCTGAGGCAGATAGTTATGCTGGCGTGTATGATGATTATAATCTACTTACGCGGCGCACGATCCTTGCTCATGCGGTGCATTTGTCGGCTACTGAGCGGAAGCTTGTTCGTGAGCGAGAGTCTAAGATCTCGCATTGCCCGGCGTCAAACTCGTCACTTGGATCTGGGATCTGTCCAGTTCGGACCTTGCTCGATGAAGGGATTACTGTTGGACTAGGCACGGATGTCAGTGGTGGGTATAGTCCTAGCATTTTGGAGGCGACACGGCAGGCATGTCTGGCTTCTAGACTCTTGGGCTACACAGCCGAGTGGAAAGAAGATCATCCTGATCCTCAGGAGGATGAGGGTCGAGAGAAACTTTCGGTAGCTGAGAGCCTTTATCTCGCTACTCGTGGTGGTGCCGCGGTTGTTGATATGGCAGAGGATTTGGGTGGGTTTGATGCTGGGATGCTGTGGGATGTGCAGTTGATTCAGCTTGGTGCCGTGAAAGAGGCTGAGAGGAGCCCCTTGGAAAGTTTCTCTAACGGGGAGGAGAGTCTTGTGGCTGCCGGGCCTGTTGGGAATGTTGACATCTTCGGGACGGAGACATGGGAGGAGAAAATCCAAAAGTGGGTTTGGAGTGGTGATGATCGGAATGTCAAGGCTGTCTGGGTTGGAGGGAGGCTGGTACATACCCGGAGCTGAGATCATCTAGTGCACCATTCAGATACACATCTACGCTTAGAGTATGATAGACTATGAGAGATTCTTCAAATGACACGACATCCCAGACTTGGACCCTTGAAGAATAATGATATAATCGGAATATACTAAGCTGGAAGCTAATCTGAACTGAAATAGCTGCACAGATCCTGAGATTGAAAATCCATTGAAGCCCTGAATAGTAGACCTGGGGTCAATAGCGGCTTAAGAATGTCTTCTTATAGACTTGCGCTTCTCTCCACCGGTATGTCCACCGTCCACCATCGCCTTCTCAGAATGTATTCTGTTTTCCTCGTGCTTCCATTTACGAGGGTGTCGCGAGGGCGGCTCAGCCTTACTGGAAAAGTTCCACCGCATCGAAGATCTTGTAAAAACTGTTAGAACCGGCGAATGGTGTAAAAATGAAATGAGGTATACTCACGAAGTTGGGGCTGAGGTAAGTGGTTCCAGAGCTACCGGAGACAACACTGATTGTAATCTAGATTTGGTCAACACATTGGCTCAGCCTAATTTAGATAGCTAGACTCACAGTGTTTGTTCCAGCAACGATGGTTCCAGCCGGGATCGAGACGTCATAAACTTCACCAAATCCTCTGTACGCACCTCGAGTGACACCACGGGAGTTGAGGTTAGTAGGGGCGGACGGGGTAGAGCCGGTGTAGCTGTTGATCTATTGAGCGAATTAGAAACCATATGTTCCTCAGAAGTTCACTTGTCCATACCGTAGCTTGGGGCCGACCACCGGCGAAGGAGAGGGTAGTTCCAATTCTGAGAGTGGCAGCACCAGTTTGGGAAGAAGTGGCAGTGAACTTGATAGTCAACGGCGAGTTAACCGATTTGAACAATGCCATGGGGAAGTCAGCGAGCGACGAGCTGCCGACTGTGTAAGTGCCTGGGCTCCACGAGGACATGCGGCTGTCGGATGGGTGCATGCGGAGCTGGTTGGCAGCATTGCGGAATCCGGTGGGTCTGGAATATGGTCAGTCACAAAGATCAACTTGCCAATGATGGTTCCATACGTCTTGTCCCAGTCGCCAATTCTGAAGATGGTAGTTCCTGTCTTCACGGAGCCAGAGATGCTCTTGGAAGTGGTGGATCCGGCAGTCACGGTGACTGAGGATGTGGCAACAGGGTATTCACCCTGGTAATAGACCATGGTGTAGGTACCGGGCTTCATGGCAGGGGAAGTGAATGATCCGGAGGAAGCATAGGTCCAGTACTGAGCCGCAGAGTTGTACCTGTTTGATGGTCAGGAATGCGTGTGGAGAATTCGCCTGGAACCGCTCACCAGTGAATGACCCATTTGAAGGATGAATCGGCGCCAGAGGCAGTACCCTTTACATAACCCCTACCAGACGTGGCGACGTATCCCGTAATATCAAGGTCGGCGAAGAAGGACGTATCGATGTTGGTGCTTGGAGTTCCGCTTCGGCTGAAGTACATAGAATATGGGCCATGCAATCCCTGGCGATAATCCTCTGTCTGGACATGTCCGGAGTTCTAGGAAGAATAAGTCATTGGTCGCATAGCCTGTCTTCAATCGACTTACCATGTACCAGTATAGACCGGTGTAAGATCCAACGTTGTTCGTGTTGATGTCACTGAAATCTCTTAGCTTGCGCAACTTCAGTTCGGCGTAGGACTTACCGATGGAAGGGGCCTCCGGCTGAGGTTTCGTATTGGTTCAAGATCATACAAACCCTGTGAGCACTTCCAGAAACACCTGCGTGGGTGAGCTTAAGTAGATTCGAGTCCAGAAGGGGGTCATACAGTGAATTTGGTCATCGATGAAGCGCTCGCTGGAGTAAAACTTGCTGCGAGTCTGTCCATCAACGAGGAACTGTAATATGTCAGTTGTGCGCCTGCGATATCCGCCTTGGCCAACAACGTACCACATCCTCGCCTTCAACAACGGATCCGCCACCAATGTTAGATACGGTACCGAATGGTTCTTCGTTCGGGAGGAGGTCTGCATTCAAACGGGCAATGTATCGGAGCTCTCCAACGGAGGGTTCTATTTATCATCAGCATAGTTACCAATGCTTTGTGAACATCAAAACCTTACCCGCAGTAGTATGAGTGGCCATGTGAATGATCGGGTCTCCCTTGTGGACAACATAGTAGTGTGTCAAGGTGGACGTAGCACATGTCACCTTGATGTAGTCGCCTGCACTGTTTAGCTGTATGGAATATGATCCTGGTGGGCACCCGACTCACCACTCTCAGTAGCAGTGACAGTGGCACTGCTTCCCAGACCTGAGCCGATGTGAGAGCCGGTTGACTGGTATTGCAGCTCAGATCCATAGAAGTTGATCGACGTGATATCACAGTTGGTCCGGCTGACAGTAAACTTGAGAGGGTTGGAGGATCCAGCATCAATCACATAAGCCGAAGAGCTGGTAGTGATACCAAAGGCTGCAGATGCCCGTTCAGCAAAGAGCGCCAGCGAGGCTACCACAAACGACTTGAGAAACATCCTGTCTGGTCAGCGGAGATCAATCTGCAGGTATCCCTCCAACGAGAGGGTCGAGTACCAGCATTTTATATACCACCGGAAAACCGCCAATGCTCTTGAAACTCTGCAAGCTGAGTAGTGGATATATGAGAGCTAATGGACCTCCGTTCCTGCATAGCTCTCCGCCACGCGCTGGATTTAGCCAGAGTTCCACCAATGCGTGGCGTTTTGGGCTTCTTGGCAATCGCGCGATTTCCGCATTGGGGACGGACAATATGCAGAATTGGCGCAAAGCCTACTTTTTCACGGGAATAAGCACATAGCCCGCAGCTTCGTTGAGGGGTGCAGATTTACCGAAGGTCATGCAGGTCGCGTAGGCTTGCCAAGCACCCCCTGTAATTCCATGTGGGGTGATGGTTGTTTCAATCATCCGGGTCGCTTGTCAGTAGTCGGAAAATTCAATCTCACCATAGGGTCTCTAGGGCTGTTGAGTCCCATATTCTCCGAGTTCGGACAATTCTCCGGACACTCTTTTTCAACGAAATCGATCGGGACAATATTCTTAGGGCTCATGGGTCGGATGGCCTGGAACTTGGGAAGTGAAAAAGGCTGCGGGGTAAAGGAGAACTTTAGACTGGTGAGCAATTTCTCTTTCGCAACAATTTTGAAAGCTGCCTTCTTAAGTTGGAGATCGAATTTAATTATGAAGAAGGAGAGTAGGGAGATCTAATCGCACCTTCAGGGTTTGAGTAAACCTCATCTGTGCCGTGCACCTTAATTGGTTTTAGGCCATACGGTGGGGCTGTTTCAACAAATATAGCTCCAAAGGAATCCGTACTTGACATCTCCACCTTGGCTCTACGGTCTTACATTTCACCTACCGGTGCGTGGAATTGATGGCATTCAATTTAAATGTCCTCAAAACGATGTTTCACGCGGCGTTCATACTGACTACGGGGCTCCCAGTTTAACAAAGCAACAAAACTCAAGGCAAGGCAAAGTGGCAGTAAGTCCTTTCAAAAGAAGGGAGATTCAATGTTGGATTTCAAAATTCAAGCACAAAACCGAATCGCGAAGGGTTCCAACCCTACAAAACACACATTCAAGACCCAAGCATCTGACAGGCATCAAATGATCATAGACCACCACGGAAAAAGAAGAGAAAATTGCGAATAGCCTCAACTTCTAGCACATTCTGGAATTTGCAGTGAACAGCCCTATGAATTCCAGTCAGCATCAATGTTTTTGAGATATGGTCAGATCACGGGCGTAAACTTACATACTGCATGGCCTCGGGCCCGTTGTCACTTGGTGATGAATGGATGTTCAATAATCGCTCAAAATTGTCCCATCTGCTGCTCGGCATGTCGGTACGTATTGTGGTTTCCTTTCGCCACAAGGAGGAATGCCATCACCTGGTACCGGGGAGGCTTGGACAACAGCCGTGGTGGCGAGAAGACTGAACAGCGCCAGGACGATACTGGATTGGAAGTACTTCATGTTGGCAGGAAGAAACTGTTGATGTAGTTTGATGGAAACTATGGGTAAGTCAAGAATTGACTGTTTACTTATACCCCAGCTCGAGTCAGGGATGCCTCCAAACGTCTAGTTTGACATTGTCATATCTCCTATTGAGCCGGGGAGGTTCGTTATTGATGTCAAGGCACAGTTTCGGAGTTTCCGTTTGAGAGCCTCGAAAATCCTCTGATCGCCACGAGGACATACTTGTGGGCCAAGTGATTGGTTCTGGATTCTATTTACTTCCCTTCCCTGCGATGAAGACAAAGAGGTATTTTGTTGGGATGGCAAATTCTTGGGGAAATATCTCCGGTGACACAATTGTCTATGTGTTGTCTGTTGCCAGAAACGAGCCTCAATAACATCCAAATTTTGCTCAATAGCTGATATCCGACTCATTGGTCGGTGTCATGGTACCTCGGCTTGAACCCCTGAGGGTAAAATACCCGTTGCGATTATCTGCTTTCTTTGTTCAATAACCTCCGGTTTCCCATTTTGGTGAAGATCACCCGGTTCTTCGGATAAAGCCGACAGATGGACTGTATGTGCACTCCGACGACAGTGATAGGTAGAACAAGAATGTATATTTTTCCATGTGCGCCGAGTTAAAAAATTGATTAAAACCACCCAATTATTATCCCATACTCACCATGTCTAGCAAAACACCCATTTGACCCGATGACACATTTGCATTTACAGGCCCAAGATCCTCCTCATTCCAACATTTTCAACAACAAAGCCACCTCCCAGCTTGAAAACACCAGAGCCTTGCAGTTTTGTTTCATATCGCCCCATTGCCATATCCGTCAAAAAGGGTCCGAGATGCTCGGTCGGAGAGTGCATTGATTTGTAAAAGCATCGAATACCAGGGGCAATCAAAGCAATGCCGGCTTTTGCTACTGTCTCAACCATTCCGCCCGAAGGGAGATATGGGTGAATCGCAGTGTGCGCAGCCGAGTCAACAAAGGCAGGACGCACGCTGTCAACGCGGAAACTCGGGTTTTCTTCGGAGAGCTTTCCAAGAAGAGATTCTGTCTCGCCTTTCACCCGGGCAAAGATTGGTGAAAATCGACCGGGGCTCTGGGTTGCGCCCTCGCCTGATACGTGGATGAACCGGAAGGGGGCGTTGGGGGGCTTGATGGTGGAAAATGCATTGGCAGCTGCCATTGTAAAGTCTTTGGTGATCTTCACATATTGTCTTTCGTGGGTTAGTCTTCCATGCGTGATGAAACCGACCGAGATTGACTCACTCCTTGTTCACGTTGTTTTGGCTTGTGCCCAGGGCCCAAACACATCCATCAGCGTCTCTTAGTTGATCGAGAACCCCTGAATCATAAGTCTCGAAATCTTTATGCGTTATGACATGGACCCGGGAGTCTTTGGCATCTTCTGCCATTCGGACTGGGTTTCGACTCAATATTGAGATCTTGGAAATGGCTGCATTGCTGAGCATGGCGTCAAGCACAGAAGAGCCGACAAGGCCAGTGGCCCCAGTGAGGATTAGATGCATATCGAATGATTTTGCTACTTGCTTGTGTGATGAAAAGTCTGAATTCGATAGGACTCGAGGTGGTGAGACTATTTTATATGTGCATTTTGAATCCGAATTGTCAGCTTAAGTCCGCTCCCCTGGTGCTGACAATAAACTAACCGCATCTGGCTAAGTCGGACCTTTGGAAACTGCTGCTGATTGGTCACTTCACTCGGCCCCACTCGGCAAGATGTCCCCGAGTTCGGCTTTTAGACATCCCCCGTACTGTCCACGGCGATGATGAACTTATCTTGGAAAATCATACCCGTAAGACAAACCTTGGAAGAGTAATCGAGTTTTCATTCGCTCTCAACGACAACATGTTCTTCTAGTGTGACAATTGATTGTTGGGCATAGAACCGACTGCAAGGAGAGTGTATTGTGACTTGTCCATACATCTTACTCGGGTCCCGATCTTGTGATGTGATTTGTCAACCCTAAATTATTGTGATTTGCCCAGGTAGAAAACAACATCCCAGTTGAAGCTTGCTGCTCCACGTTTCACCGCTCATCGCAACACGATGATCGTGCGGCAGTATTAACTGTGGCTTGCTGCAACCATGCAGGGGCCCATCTCGACTTTCAGATGTTGAAAAGGGGAAATCCTAGAGATCCAAGCCATTCAGTCATAATTTTCTTCCGCTCTAGAAGTCTCGTTTCAATTGATCCAAAGGTGGAAGAACCCCTTCACTCTCGAGAATCTTGAACGTATCTTCCAACTCATCCCATGTATCAGCATACCCGGTCCAGCCCAGTTTCCTCGCCTTGCTCATGCTTCCCACACAGCTCCAGTCTCTACCCAAGGTCATGGTGAGGAAGTTCCAAGTTGCTTTATCCCATGCGTGCTGATCAAGACCACATCGTTCTCGGAGTTTTGCCCATGCTTGGTTGACATCCTCTCGTTTCGCCCACTTCTCCGGATCTACCTGCAAAAACAACGTGGGGGAGTCATTAGAGACTGGGTCCGAAGACAGACCTAAAGCCGCGGCTGACGATTTAAGAGGAGGCTTGTTCTGGAGTGGGATTGTAGATGACTCGTATCCCTTGAAACCCTTGGTATTTGGGGTCCCACCGTTTGGAAACATGGGATCAGGAATGTGACACCCGAATCGGGAGGCCATACGTGGCCACAGGTTTTGGAACGACTCTGTGTCTCCATTGATGACGTTGAAGATCTGGTTCCCCGCACCCGGAGCGACGGCAGCCCACAGACAAAACTTGGCATGCAGATTTGCTGATGTCCAACAATTGAACGTGAAGTAATTGGCCTTACTGCCAATGAATGGCAGCTCCGAGCCAGGCAAGGCTTTACTGACCGCACAGTACAGCCCCAGGGCCGTGGCCTCGTTCATGAAATTGCCCCGGGCGTATCCCAGAACATCTTCCGGGAGAGTGGCAACCCATTCCCAACCACCCTTTTTGGCGGCGTTGGCCAAGACCCGTTGTTGCGGGTAGTAAAATATGGGCGGCCAAGACACTCCGCCTGCGTTGTTCTCTAACAAAGGATCATCTTCGAGCAGTGGCTGTTTTCCGGGTCCAATGTGTACACCGTACTGCTTGAAGCCGCAAGTGAGGATGAAACGCTTGATCTTTTTTGCTGAGCCGTTGAGCTCTAGTGCCTCGAGGAAATTGTAGAGCAGCCTTTCATTCACCCGGGATAACTGGACTTGATCGTCAGACGCCAGGTAGGCACAGAAAAAGATATATTCGGCGGAAACCCCTTCAAAGGCATGGGCCATGTCCCGCGCCGAGCTTTGTAGGTCCAGGTTGACATGTTGCACTTTCGGATCCTGATACCCTGGGTTTCCACGGGAGAAGGAATAGATCTTGTCGTATGAGTCGTCTTTGAGGAGATGGCGTACGATCGCACTCCCGGTTATTCCTTAATAAGGTTAACTAGGTGACTCCAGAGGTTACTTGTCGCAAATGTAAAGGGAGCGCCGCTTACCAGTAGCACCAGTGACAATAGCTGAAGGCATTTTGAGAGAGTTTGGAATGTTCTTCTTTTCCCTATACTACCAAGCAGAAACAACCCACAAAATATAGGATGTATGTTTTAAAAGTAATCCTTAATATCAACGTAGTATGTGTTCCATACGTCACTGTCTTGTAACGAAGTCATGTCGTCATCAGATTTGCTAGGCGCGGGAGGTATTCAGAAAAACAACAAATGGCCTCTTTTGACGTATTGAGAATCCAATCAGCCTATCAAAAATATTCACACTTCATTTTACATTTTGATCACAAAAGTTTGAAGTTCCGCCACCGTAGGGCGTAGGGCGCGGGCCCCACACGGGATTTGCAATGCCAAACGGGCACTTCGGAGAGTTTTTGTATTATGGCTTTATGGTTATTCAGCTGGAGAATCTTCTATAGCTGTGGCGTTCGGGGTGTCATCTTGTCTGAATAACTCCACACTTTCAATCTATAGATACTACTTATATCAGATACTGGATTCCGTTCCTCTTCTCAAAATATTCAATCAGTTCAAATTACACAACTCTGAAATGTCGTCGTAAGTATCTGAATTTATGTTGGCAGCATCATCATGCTCACAGCTGCAGTGTTCAAGAAAAGTACATTGCTGCCATCGAGGCCGATCAGAAAGTCAATCCGGGGACTATCGATGACCTGTTTAAACAGCTGCCCCCTGTGAAACCTGACCATTTGATTGGGACCTGGAATGGGGGGTTCTTCGACACTGGACACCCAGTCGCCACCCAGTTAGATGATATCAAATGGATTGGAAAATCATTCAAGACGCTCGAAGATGTGGATCCTGTGATCGTGGATCGAGATGGGGAGCGAGCCAGCTGGGGTCAATGGGGCTTCGCTAGTGTGAGTCTCCATGCATCTTTCCAAGTAGCAACTCATGCTGATCAATTGGGTCCAGGTTCGCGAGATGGTGTACGGTGGAACGGTATCTGCGGCAATGATCTACGACGATCGACCCATTTTCGATCACTTCCGCTTGGTCAACGATAATCTCTTGGCTGGTGTTATGGAGGGCAAGGGTCTCGGACACACAGGTTCATTTTACTTCTACTTGAAACGATAGGCCCATGGAGAAAATGAAAGTCCTCAGGTTCATGTCGTTGTTCTAAAATTCTTTGCATTTTATACATCGTAGCTTTAAATTACAGAAGACATTCGCCTCAACCTTTCAAATTTGATGTCAGACACATTTATTTACGCGTCTCTGTGAATTATGCGCCCGGGTGATGACTTTGTTATGTGCTGGAAATTTTGCGGGTATACCTATTGTAAAGTAGTGGAATTGCATAGCCTCCGTGGAGAATGACGAAGATACTACATCTGAGAACGTGTGATATATTAGCTTGGCAATGGAAACCTTACACCAGACATTCAAAGCCCTGAAGCATATTCAATTCCCGTGTTGTGCAAAGGTAAAAGTCGCCGCCGGTGGGTCGCGCCCTACGAATCCGGTGCAATATCACGCCGGATCAACTCGGACACATTCTAAGTTCAGATCCCGAGTTCGGGAACCCCGAACTGACTGAATGTATATTCCGCCGGAAGTTGACTGAGCCACACATTCTAATTCTGCGCAGATGCACAGATGGAATGAAATTCTCTCCGCTTCATTACAAACACCCCGTAATTTGTAAGCTCTGTGTCACAGACGGAGACCAGCCCTGACCAGCGATCTATATAAGAGCCCTGGAACAATGTTTGGATATGGCACAAATCATTCAGCAATTGCATTGAAGAATACTTGCATTCACTTCGATCATTTCAAAAAACCTCACAACCATCCAAAAAAATGACAAACTGGCCCGACGTTCACATCAAGGCCGCCCCAGGCGTTCCTTTCTACACCCCTGCCCAAAGCCCACCCGCCGGCACAGCACGAAACCCCCAAACTAGCGGAAAGGCTATCCCCAAGCTCTTCCAACCCCTGACTATCCGGGGCATGACCTTCCAAAACCGTCTGGGCCTCGCTCCCATGTGCCAATACAGTGCCCCAGCGGATGGCCCCAACGCAGGCCAAATTACCCCATGGCATCAAACTCATTACGGAGGAATTGCGCAGCGCGGTCCCGGTCTGATGATCATTGAGGCCACTGGCGTCCTCCCTGAAGGCCGAATCACCCCCGGCTGTCTGGGTCTGTGGAACGACTCGCAGATCGCGCCTCTCAAGGAGGTTGTGGACTTTGCGCACAGCCAAGGACAGAAGATCGGAGTCCAGCTCGCCCATGCCGGTCGCAAGGCCTCCACACTTCCCCCATGGGTTGGTGGAGCTACTGCGACCAATGCTGTTGGTGGATGGGTGGATAACGTCAAAGCACCTAGTGCCATTCCCTTCTCTCCCAATGATATTGTGCCCAAGGCCATGACCGCAGAGGACATTGTTGAACTGAAGGAGGCTTGGCAATCTGCCACCAAGCGAGCCCTGCGGGCTGGTGTTGACTTCATTGAGATCCACGCTGCACACGGTTACCTGCTTTCATCCTTCCTGAGTGCCTCCTCCAACCAACGTACCGATCAATATGGCGGTAGCTTCGAAAACCGCACTCGTCTGCCCCTTGAAGTGGCCCAATTGACTCGCGACATCGTCGGTCCTGATATGCCCGTTTTCCTTCGCGTCTCCGGCACAGACTGGCTCCAGAACAGCCTTCCCAACGAGCAAGGTTGGAAGCTTGAGGATACCGTCGAGTTTGCCCGTCTTCTCGCTGAGCAAGGCGCGATCGACTTGATCGACATTAGCTCCGGTGGTGTTCACGTCGCCCAGAAAATTACCAGCGGACCAGCGTTCCAAGTCCCTCTGGCCGCGGCTGTCAAGAAGGCTGTCGGAGACCGATTGCGCGTTGCCGCAGTCGGCATGATCAACCACGGTGATCTTGCGGAGAAGATCCTGCAGGAAGAGAACCTGGATGTTATTCTCGTTGGACGCGCATTCCAACGAGACACTGGTCTCGCATGGCACTTCGCTAAAGACTTGGACGTGGAAATTGCGATGGCTGCTCAGATCCGTTGGGGCTTCACAAGCTTCCGCAACGCGTCGGAGTATATTCAGCCTAACTCGATGAAGGCGACCATCTTCGATTGAAGAGGCCTGGCCGATACAAAAAAAAGCTTGTAATAGACTTTTATATATAGACCGTGTTGTTTCTGACAGATATCTGAAATGTTACTTACTTCGTGAAGATGGTACTCTTTCTAAAGTTTCAACGCGTTTCTTAGTTTAAATCTCTGCCATCAAGTGTCATTTTAGCATGTTGCCCCCATGGCAAGTAGGACTGACTTCCATGTATGTCGTTGATTGGTGCTGCAATGCGGCTCATGCTTCCAAGCCTTGTTACGTGCCGTGCGTTCCTGTGTATTGCCAAAAGCCCATCTTCTTCTGCCTCCTGTTTCTACTGTAACTACTGGTAGCATGTCGTGGATTCGTCCTGGGTCTCGACATTGTGAGACGATACGATTCGCAAATTCTTTTCCCCCTCACTTCTGCTTCACTTTGAGCCTTTTGCTTCGCGCAGTTTCTTGCTAGAAATAAAAACCACCACAAAATCCTTTCTCTATGATTGGCCAATTGCGCGAAACAGAGAGCGGAAGGAAGAGTTGGTATTATGTATTCTGTGCAAAGCTCACGGTCGCGCATGTTGCCTCGTCCGCAACATCTGTCGAGACCCTAGAGATGAAACTCGCAGTTTTTTAATGGCACCAAGCATCCTCCATGTTGCTCCTGTAGTGCATTCTATGCTACCGCATGAACTATGATCAAATTTGTGTCACGGCAACGGAAATTCAACTCTTGGGCCGATTCGATTCATGCCTCCAGGGCTGCTAACAGCGGTCACTTTCCACTAAGACTCAAACAGTGTTGCGCCTCGGGGGGAGGCTTGAAGCTCAAGGTCGACAATCCATGGTGGCTGCGTGGATAGATTGCTTTGCTCGCTATTCATCGCTTGCGGCGGACCCTCAATAGCAGCATTCACAAACAATGTTTGAGAGCCACGGTTGAGTGGGTGAGTATCTCCGGAGCAGTGACTGGTAGCAAAGCACTTCACATGGGTACCTCTCGCGCTGAATGATCGTTCATCATCTTCTCTCAGCATGGAGAGTTTTGAAATAAGATGAGATCGCCCGTTATCAATATCAGTCAAATGCGAAGGCGCGGAAGTGGTCTTTTCGCGCCACGTGATAAGTTTAGCACCCCAGCCTTCGTGTATATGTCCAAAGCAATGCATCTGTGGTCGCGGGTTTGCGAGGGCAAGGGCACGAAAAAGGTCTATCGAGCCTGCTCGCTTACCAGAGAGTGTGTAGTCCATGATTCCCCTCGGCGGCCCGTGTGTCATAACCACATCCACGCTGCAAGGGCTTCCACTATTGTTGATTGCAAAGTCATGGCCATCATCGGGGCGGTACTGGAATCCCCAGTCCCCCAGTGAAGGGGTGTATGGACTGGCATAAACAGTCAACAAAGCGCCATTCTGGAGATTAAAGGAGTGTATACCTTCGTCAAGAAAAGTAATTCCGGTGTTTTTGAACAAGCTCCTAGCTTCCCCATAAAATCCATATGTTTTCTCAATAAGCTCTTGATCATCCGGCAGGTGTGCCTCTTCGACCTTTTGGCGGAAGATCGGTATGTCCATCGTGAAGTCGTGATTTCCTGCTATAACAAGCTTTAAAGGTGCATCGATGGCTTCGAGCAGCCGAATCGCGGCTTTGAATTCATCGATCTGAGATCCTGTGGTGAGATCTCCGCAGTGAATGACAACATCTGCGTGCTGGTTCGCTGATCGGGTCAAGCCAGGTAAACCTCCCATTCCATGAGTATCGGAACATATCAAAAAGCGTGTCTTGATTCTTTGTTGATCGGTGGAAGTATCTTTCGCCATTTTGGTAATGTAGTTGGTAGTTTGTCTATTGAATGAAGCTGGGACTCAGGGGGAAGTACAAAGGGGGTGAATGATTTGGGCGCGGCAAGCATCCAAGGTCTCATGCTCAAAATGATCAAATTCTCCAATTTGAAATCGGTATTCTGTCCCAAGGTTAGCGGCCTCGGGTACCCGTGGATCCTTCAAATGTAATAATTCCAAGGTTGTCGTGGTGACGGAACAGGAGGAAACTCCCAATAGTCATGAATTCCAAACGTTGTACTCAAGCTCGTTTTATCCAAAACCTCTGCTCAAGTGTTAGGTCGTTTTGTCTGTAGATATTGAAAGACCTACTTGCCCCCGTTTTTCTTTTCCTCTTCCTCTTTCCGTTTTTGTACTCTCTGTGTTTTCCTCCTACGCCGCAACAAAGGAACACATTTCCTGTTTCCCTCTACTTTTTTCCTCTCGTTAGCTCCAAGTTGCTCAACGTGCCTCATGTCACGAATGTGCCATAAAAATCCAGGCGGATCTAATTGTGGGCCTAATGAACCCTCTTTAGGGTTGGGGCGATGCTGACGTTGGCGGGGACTCCGGAAATATATCGCCGAACACATCAATTCAAACACACAAATTAATTCGATGAAAACCACCAAGCTCCTTGCATCTAAAAGGGTCTGGACATTCACAGTTTCACGACACAGCATGAACAAAATGCAGCTCGAAACACCAATTCCCCAACTGGGAATATGCAAGCCGCTAGTCCGCATGCACCTTCGCTTCAAGCCTCAACAGCCCGCCACTCATGCACCAGCCAAAGATGCTTGGCGCCAGCCACCATGGCGATACGAGCTCACTCCGCGGAATTCGAGATCGTGCATAGCCTACCCAAAAACACTTCTGCCTCATACCTTCATTTCTAGCTGATCTGAGAGCCATGTACTCAGACGACATGGGCACAGATGGATCCCATCTCCGTCATCGGGAAGTCTAAACACTGCTCAAGTGGAAATCGTTGCCAGTCTGCCCGTCTGACCCATCACATCTACCTAGAGCTCACACAGCTTGTCGACGAATGTTACTCATGCCACGTTACCCGAACGAGGGATCCTGCGCCCGTCGAACCGTGCTCTACTTAATTGATATAAAGCAATGGGATTGCCTCCCATGGCAAAATGTTACTTTGGCGCAACCGTGAAAAGCAGTTGAAGCAAGAGCTTTTAAAAACACCATCGCATCTGGGAGAATCTCATTGTATTTCAAGATGCAACCTCCTATAGTGACCGCATTCTTCCTGTTGTGTGGCCTTTTCCGTGCCACCATTGCAACCAAGGAGCCACACGTGTCTGCTTGCTCCCCGAAGAGATTCAAGTCGCTCTCCTTGGAAAACATCGAGATTATATCCCTCAACGTTACTGCCAACCGGAACTTTTCAACAAGTGGTCGCAATGCCACTGGTGGAGTTGGCGTTATTCCTGACATCCCGGGGGCTGAGACTGCCGCGGTGGACATCTGCCTGATCTCCTTGACATATACGCATCCAGGACAACATGATCTCATCAACACGTACATTGGCCTCCCACTTGACGCGGACAAGTGGAACTCACGATTCCTCATGCACGGAGGAGGAGGATGGTTGGCTGGTGGCCAAAGCAGTATTCTGACACCTGTGTTACTAGGCTACGCATCCTCCTCCACAGATGCAGGACACGGGCCCAGTGAATCGACCGCGGACTGGGGTCTGACCAACCAGGGCCAAACGAATTGGCCTGCTCTTCGTGACTTTTCTAGCCTTGCTATCTCGGAAGCTGCCGTTCTAGGAAAACTCGCGACAAGATTGTACTACGGTGCGCATGCCAGATATTCATATTGGCATGGCTGCTCTACCGGTGGTCGCCAAGGACATGCGATGGCGCAGGAGCATCCTGAGCTATTCGATGGGATTGTTGCCGGTGCCCCGGCGATTGTCTGGGACAAGTTTGCTCCAGCAGGTTTATGGGGGCCATTCATCGCACAACTTCTGGGTAAGCAACAATGAACTCCATTGATTTCCATTGCTGACCAAACTGATTATCAAAGATACACAGCCGCCACTGTGCGTTGTCGAAGCATTTACGCAGGCGGCTATTGCAGAATGTGACGCCCTTGACGGTGTCGTAGACGGAATCATTGCGTACCCAGGCCAATGTCAATTCGATGCTTCTTCTCTTGTTGGTCAAGAAGTAAACTGCACCGATCCAAACGGAACCATTACCATCACCAAAAAAATGGCTGATGTTATATCTGCTGTGTGGGAGGGACCAGTCTCGGAAGATGGGAAATCCTTATGGCATGGATTCCACTATGACGCCAGTCTTGGATCGATGATCGGAACAATCTGTACTTCTGTTAATGAGTGTACTGTTGTCCCATTCCCGATCTCGGAAGACTGGGTCAATGTCTTCCTCGCCCGCAACCCGTCGTTCAGCATCAATGGGCTCACCCGCCAGGATTATGACCAACTATTCCGACAATCCACCGACCAATATAGCTCTGTCATTGGGACGTCAAATCCTGACTTGTCAAAGATGAAAAAGGCGGGAACAAAAATGCTAGCCTGGCACGGAATGGCCGACCAGTTGGTTCCCACGAACGGCACAGTTGAATACTATGAACAGACGACAAAGCTCGATTCCGAAGTCGCAGACTACTATCGCTTATTCCTTGCTCCAGGTGTGACCCATTGTGGATTTGGGAGCGGATTCGATCCAGCCGAAACGGTCTTCGATACTATGAGGGCATGGGTTGAGAATGGCACTGTCCCAGATCGACTGGAAGGTGTAGCTGTCGCTGTTGGAAATACCTCTGCCACCCGCACGGGCTACTTGTGTCCATATCCCCAGGTTTTCACGTACGTGGGTGGAGACGTCAACAGTGCGTCGTCATTCACATGCCGTTAATTAAGGGGTTCGGCTCCGTTGAATGAAGCAGACCCTCGATGATCGACCCACCACACTTTATTTTGGCGACGTGCTGGGTGCGCTCAAGGTTGCATGCGCTATTGCTTGACTTTCTGATATCATATTGGTCTCAAAGTTGAAAACTCCGTACATCGCCTGTTGACCTTGCATAATACACAATCCGAGAATGAATCTTCTCACCTTTCGCAAATCCTTCTATATGAGCCCACGTAATCCTTTGTATCGAATTTATCACTTCAGCCGCTATGGAGCTTCTCGAACATCAGATAGCACTTCGAACGGGCCGGTCAAGCTGAAACAAAATTGGTGACGGGGAAGCCCCTGCTCCACTTAATGTCGGCATATCCTCGGGTCTTCCCATGCCGTGCGGCCAAGCATCACTCCCAGGCTGTTAGCATGAGTGGCTTGCGGGACCAAAGATGTATCACAGAGTACTTATAGAGCCTTTCTCATGAATCGCGAGGAGTATTAGAGGTTTTCCTGGCAATTGGAGATTTGCTGACCGAGAATTTGTAAACTTGGCGTTTCTCGCTGTGAGGGCCTTTGACTGTTTTAATATCGGTAAATGCACGATATAGGGGCTTATGAGCTTGAAAAAACTTTGATTTAGTAGTGTTAAAACAGTGACCACCCCGGGATCAAGGTATTCAAATACAATGTATCCAAAAATCTACGCTGATGTACACGAACAGACGAAACTTGACGACAGACGGTATGCTGTCAATGCGTTTCTTCCATCTTCGCTGACGGCCGGATCTCGATCCAATATGCTTCATCATTATGACTTTCTTCAAAAACTCACCAACAGCTATCCAAATGAGCAACGCGCACGTTGAACCCCCAGTGCCAGCACGTTGAAACGCCGGTGGGGCAAGCATCAGGAACTGGAAGGCATCTGCCGATCACCACTCTCAAGGATCGTCAATCCACGGTTGTAAACTTCCCTGGATGGTTATTGATCTTCACACAAGCATTATGTCTACTCAAGCTCAAACATGACGATCCGCCTCCCGCAAGGAACGCGGGATATCCGCAGGGTATAAAAAGGATTTAGCATCGCAGGGTCTGGTCTCCCCAGAGTAGCCATTCCTTTTTACTCCTGATCAATTGTTTCCATTTGAGAGACTGCTGGTTCAGTCATTCTGTTTGTTTCCTGTGTACATCTTGTACACGATGTCGTTCATTAAATCTCTGGTTGCGGCCGTTGCCCTCCTGGGTACTGCACAGGCTGCTGGTGTTACCGGCACTCCCGTTGGCTTCGCATCTGGCACCACTGGTGGTGGGAATGCTGCCGCTGCTGCACCTAGCGATATCACTGAGTTGACCAAATGGCTGGGCGATAGCACTCCTCGGACAATCCTTATCGACAAAGAGTTCAACTACCTGTCCAGCCAAGGCAAGTGCACCGATTGCAAGTGCTGTGTTCCCGACTCCAACACTTGTGGCAGTGCTGGTCAGAATGCAATTGACAACTCGGACTGGTGTGGCTCTTACCCGACCACCACTTGTACTTATGACAAGGCTGGTCTGGAAGGTATCACCGTGGCGTCCAACAAGTCTATTGTTGGTGTTGGCAGCGAGGGTGTGATTCGTGGCAAGGGCTTGCTGATGAAGAACGGCGTCAGCAATGTTATCATTCAGAACATTCATATCACTGAGTTGAACCCGCAGTTCATCTGGGGTGGAGATGCCATTACCCTTGACGGCACTGATAAGATCTGGATTGACCACGTCAAGGTCTCGCTCGTTGGTCGTCAGATGTTCGTCTCTGGATACGAGTCTGGTATGTTTCATTCTAAGTATACAATCAATCAAATGGCTTACCATCGCAGCCGGCAAGGTAACCATCTCCAACTCCGAATTTGACGGCCGGACTAGCTGGTCCTCCTCCTGCGACGGCCACCACTACTGGACAGTGTAAGCAACCCAAACCCCAACTCAACTGCACAAATACTCACATCCCCAGTCTCGGCTATGGCAAGGGAGACCACGTAACCTTCACCGGTAACTACATCCACCACACCTCAGGCCGGTCCCCAAAGCTCGAATTTGCCAACTACTGGCACGCCTACAACAACTACTGGTTCAACAACACCGGCCACGCCTTCGATGTCGGCGAGAACGTGAACGCCTTCATCGAAGGAAACGTTTTCCACCAAGTCGACACCCCAATGCTGACAGACAGCAAGCCAGGCGCAACCTTCGCTGTAACAACCAGCACCCAGTCAACCTGCAAGTCAGCCATCGGCCGCACCTGCTCCGCCAACACCCTCGTGCAATCCGGCAAGATCTCCGGCTCCGACGAATCAGTTCTGAAGAACTGGCCCAGCGGCGAAACAGGCGTCAACGTCGTCGACGCCACCCGCGTGCGTTCATCCGTTCTCTCAAACGCGGGTGTGGGCAAGCTTTCTAGCTCTAAGCGCCGTCGTGATCATGAATTCCCATTCGCTCCCTCCCTTCCTATCCTCTCTTCTGCTGGCCCTGGTGCTTCTGCTGTTGGTCCCCGTCCCACTTGGGGCTGGAAGACTGTTGGAGCTCAGTCTTCTGCTACTCCCTCTGCTACCCCTGAGCCTGTCCAGAGTGCTGGATTTGGACATGCCCACAGACACGGCCAAGGACATGGTGGATTCGGTGGGTTTGGCTGGTTCTAGACTGACAGTTCATGTCTACAACAGGGTATCGGTAAGGTCTCAATACCATCGGATACCCGATGTCTACATATTTTTCACTTCTTTCACTTTCAAGCATGGCCAAGTACCATAGCTGTTGTATTTTATTATTTGTGTAGGTAGAATATGTCTCATAGACCAAAATATCCCCTTCACATGATCTGACTCCTGCCAAGTCCGCGCCCCAGTTAATAACGCAAGGTGAGCGAGACGCATCAAACCAATCCGTCAATCCTGCACGGATCACAGCGTGGGGCAAAAGAACAGCCATGCCGAGACCGGTAAAGCATTGTTCCCGGTGGAGTCGGCGCAGACCCTGTATATGGACCGTGTGCTCCGAGTGTACTGGTAGCATGATGTAAAAATTATTATAGCTGCATATCTAGCCCCGACTCAACGATCATATGACCAAGCCGTCGGCTCCGAGGGGAAGAAGGCGAATTTCATATCCTGGAATTGTTCCTCCGGTGCCGGGATGGTGAAACCGGCTTCGGGATCGACGGGTAGCCAATTTGATGTTAGGCGGGTGCTTCCGTCTGGCATTTCCAAGGGTGTGAAGCAGTCTTCTGAGAACTGCGGGGTATTTTGGGGTTCGAATTGTGGGCTTTGGAAGTCCATGTTTAGATCGAAGTATTGGGCTTGGGAGTCTTCTTCCCATGTTGATATTGGGTCTGGGGAACTGCGGGTATCGGATGTTGGAGATGCTGGGAATTGGAATGCAGGGGTCATGAATAGAGCTCTTTGGGTTGCTAGTTGGTCGAGGGTCGGGGTATTTTCGGAGAAATGACTATAGCATGTTAATCACATGTTTTTTTTTTTTTTCCTTCTCTCGCTGGGGTTTGCGCTTTTGGTTGTGGGAATCGGCGCTGGGAAGTATTTACCTGGGCTCTGTATTCATCTCGCAGTCTTGTCGCACAAGACCAGCTTCATACCATAATGGTGGGTATGGCTGAAAGTTCGACTTGGGCATATTGAACTGCTCGAGCAAGCTGGGGTCCAGTTCTTCCACGAGGGGAAAGTCACCGGCGATATATGGTTGTTCAAGCTCTTGAGGTAGAGCTTGAAAGCCCTCAACAGGCCATGATTCGTACATGAACTGAGACTCAGTCATTGTGCTGGGTTGGAGGTTGGAGAATCGAATTGTAGTTATCCGTTGAATGCAAGAGTGTGGCGCAATCTGAAGAATTTCCCCAGACCGGGGCCATGCTTTGTTTTAAAAGAAAAGACAAAACATCAAAGCTGCGGAGCTGCGGAGAATCTGGGGCAAGATCTCCAGCTCCGAAGCGAGCTTCAACGGCGTCGGCAAAAATCAATTAACCGATTTCCCCGGATTTCACTTCGGGTCTGTGCTGTCGGACAGGCCGGATCGCCAGCCAATCGGTGAATTTAGAGGGGGGCAGGTGACTGCGGTTAATCTGTTATATTACCGAGGCCCTACGCTCGGCTAAAAAATGTCCAAAAAGTCAAGTTAAATGCCTCGAAGCGAGATGCCTTTGACTCAAAGTCAAAGTAAATTATATATACGCGTCATTTTACAAAAACGCCTCGCAGAATAACCTTGAAAAATATACAATCCTGCACATGCATAGGTGCACATGGTCTTCATCCCCCGCATCTCGTAGAAACCACGATCGGCAGGAACAGAATCTATGCGGGGGTCAGAGAGCCAATCCAGTGCCCTTCCGCGTCCAGCGGTATAGAGCTAGTACGGCTTTCCGACGATGCCGAATCTCACTCGGATTTACCGGGCGACCGCGGGCCTGCGCAACCGCAGAGCGCATCACCTGCCTGAAGCTGCGCTGATATTCGGTGTTGAGAGTCACCACGCAAGACTCAGTTGCGCGGATCATGGTTTCACAGGCGTTGAGAATGCCCTCACCGGCTTCCTTTTGTAGTCTTTCCACAATGAGGAGTAGAAGGAAACTTCCCTGTAAAAGTTGGATGCCGAAGAAATAAGGCATGAAACTGATGTCTGGGTCGAAGCGGAGAATTTGTGAGACAGAGTCTGCCGCTTCCAGCGCGTGGGAGATGGTGGACGCAAACGCTGGAGAGGAGGTCCAAAAATCTTTGTCTTCAATGAGAGACACAGGGTCCCACTTTCCGACGAGGAGAATGTGCAGGACGTGAGTGAGGTAGGAAGAGTAGGCGATCACAGTTTGAGTGTGCCAAGAATAGGCCTGAGACAATTGAGGATCGACGGGGTCCGATTTTGAGTACGCGTTCGATAATGGGGCCTCTGGGTCTGCTGCGCTTGTTGCGGCGAACGTGGTGAGACTAGCCTTGTACATCTCGAGTTGGCGTAGTACTTCGGCCACTTGGACCTCCCATGCGTCTTTTCCAAGAAGACGTGTACCAAGGGTGGGGTGGTTTCGTGCTTGGTTCAGATCAATCAGTTCACCGGTGATGGTCATGAGGGGAAGGAAAAAGCCGAGGATGGAGTGGTCGTGGCAAATGAAGTTGGGGAAGATACGGCGTTTGTTTTTTTCACCCGACCGAGGGCACTGAGGGCCATCTGGCCGAGGGCTGTTGCTGTGGATGATGCCTGCTTGCCAAGCGCTTTCATCCAGAGGAAGTAGGAGATCTTCGCTCTCAGCATCGAGTAGAGCCAGGGGGCGGTTGTAGCAGAGGGCCAGATGACGATCCATGATGTAGAGCAACCACCACGTTCGCCGTCGCTCCTCGCGGTGTTCCTCTGTGACCGGTCCATTATGCATGTCGCGAGGTTTATCACACACACAATTTAGACTCGGCCGCGACGTATTGGAATAGTCGAATCCCAGCCCACCGGGGGAACCAGGCCATCCGCCCAAACCGTAGCCAAAAGACGGGCTTGAGCCGTCCGTCAGGCTGTCCACATTCGAAGTGATTTCCATTTCCTGATTCAATTTAAGTTCGCGAGCTAGCGTAAAGGCTGCATGCCACCTATGCAGGAGTAAGTTTGGGAACTGACAGGGGTAAGAGCCGGGGTACGAACCATCTCATACTTGCAGCCTTCTGCTCACTGGATGAAATAATTGATGCCACATGAATGTATGTGATCACATCATCTAAAGAGCCAGCTGGACCAACTAACCCCTTGTCATCCCCCACACCTTCGAATGGATGATGGGCAGCTGAAGCTGAAAAGTCCTGAGCTGCTGTAGTGTTCTCCGCAGGGAGGGGATCCTGGTCTTTGAAGGACACATGTATCAAAGGACGTAGCAAGCGAATGATCAGAGCGCATAGGAATTGACATATCTTCCGGCGCTGCAACGGAGAAATAGACAAGGAGAACGCCCGATCGTCCACCGCGGCCACCCATAGCATGCTTGCCAATAAGGCAGGACTGGTCGGCCTTGGGCGATCAGCACTAAGGAAGGATGATTTTCGTAAGACATAGCAATGAATATGATGGCAGACAGGATGCATATGTGTGGAAAAGGCGCTCGTAAAGTAGAGTTCAAGGAGATCGCACACCAGTCGACGAGGTAGATTGTTCTCCAAGAACGGCATCACCGGCTCCAACACCGGATACTTCAACGGCGACCGCGACGATGGCCTCTGCGGTGGATTCCCCGATACAGATGGCAGAGGCAGAGATCTTTGATTCGATCGGGGCCCAGCCAAATCGACCGAATTCCAAAGATCCATCAACCTCGGCAGCGGCGCATCGCTTCCACCTGTCCCATTCAGCAGTTCATAGGAATCAGGCGAGAGATGCGCAGCCGCCAGCCATTCTTCCGTCGCATTTGCAGCGGGGCGCAGCACCTCCGCCACCGACCTCCGCTCGTCACTCACTGAGGCACTAATATCGTTCGAAGCAGGGGAGCGCTGGAATGTGGAGGCGGGCGAGTTCACCGGTGAGAGGCGATGCGATTGCGGGCGCGTTGGTTCCGGCTCGATTTCATCGCGAGTTTCACCGTTGTTGGCCTTGGATCTCGCGATGCGACCTCGTTTTCGGCGCTCGCGAGTGAATTCGCAGTTTATATCGCTGCGTAGACATCGTGAGCACGGGAAGGCTCGGTCGCATCGGACGCGGCGGGTATGGCATGAGTCGCAGGCGACTCTATTTCGGCGCCAGCGTCGTTTGCCATTTGGTAGTTCGACAGGGTCGACGTCGATGGTCGGGTCTTGAGATGTCATTTCACGGCATTGCTGAGAGAGTCGAGAGAAGAGAGAACGTTGCGGGGAAAATACGCTAATGTCTCACCCGCTTTTCTCCAACTTTTTTGGAACTTTTTCTTGTCTCAGCTCGCTTCTGTTCTTTTTTAGCGAGCTAGGGTTTGTCTTGGTTTTTATGGCCTGAGACGATTTTGGGGGGTTTTTGACCGAGCCTTCTATTGATATGCTCTATCTCACAAAGTCACATAACGCCTCAATATGGAAACACGTATATTGTACATTATTTCTGCAACGCACTCTTGAACCTCTCCAGCGCCCGATTCCTACTCTCCGCATGATCAACAATAGGCTTGGGATACCCATTCTTCTGCGCAATGGCCGCCGCACCCCGCGCGTATGGCTCATGAATAGCCTTGCCCGAAACATCACGGAGCTCAGGCAGCCAATGCCGAATGTACTCGCCCTCGGGGTCGAATCGCTCACTCTGGCGAAGAGGATTGAAGATGCGGAAATAGGGTTGAGGATCGACACCGGTACTAGATCCGAATCCCCATCCGCCGTGGTTGGATGCGAAGTCTCCATCGATCAGATTCTCCATGAAGTACCGCTCGCCGCGGCGCCAGTCGAGCATCAGATCCTTGGTCAGGAACGAGGAGACCACCATCCGAGTTCGGTTGTGCATCCACGCGCAGTGGCGGAGTTGGCGCATGGCTGCGTCCACGATCGGGAAGCCGGTTTTTCCATCGCACCAGGCTTGGAAGATCTCTTGATCATACTCCCATTCGATGTTCGTGTGTTCGGGCTTGAAGCATTTGTTCATGCTAGATTGGTTAGTTTGGTCTGTGGACAAGATCTGATGAGACTTACCAGATAAACGGCCAGTGTGCCAGGACATGTTTGTAGAAGTCACGCCAAGCGACTTCACTAATCCAAGTCATGAATCCTTGATCATAACGATCGAGATGGCCCTTGTTGATCCGCTTCGCCGTTGTTACAGCTGTGCGTGCGCTGAGAGCTCCGCACGCAAAGTACGGGCTGAGCACAGAGGTGTGTTCACCAGGCAGGGTGCTCCGCTGCTCCTCATATTGCCGAACCTTTTGTTCCAAGAATTTGTCAAGTCGCTGCATAGCCTCATGCTCACCCGCAGGGTACATCGTTTCAAATCGCTTTCTCTCTTCGTCAGATACTGCATGGGTCTTTGGCATCGCTGGAATTTTGGAGTCGAAGAGATCTTTGAAATCCTGGCGTGCATTCCCAGGGTTGGACCCTGGTTCTTCGGAGACTTCCAAGTAATCAGGGTTCTCCTTCAAAAACCTCAACCAAGACCTATACCACGGGGTATATACTGCATACTGGTTTCCTGTTCCAGTCTCCAGCTGGCCCGGAGTAACCACACAGGTATCGTGACTAAGAGCAAAATTGATTCCCTTGTCCGCGCAAGCTCGAACAATCTTGGCCTCCCGTCGCAGCTCATCGACCTCGTACTCAATATTGGCATAGAGGTGCCTAGCCTCCCACTGTTGACACAGTTCCACGACGCGATTCGGGATTGCTGTGCGCTTCTCTTGCGTCTCCATGTACAGAGGGATATCCAGCTCACCTAGGTCCTGCTGCAGCCGCTGCAACGTCCGCAAGGTGAAATCCACTCGGGCAGGGCTGGTGGAGTGTGCGGTCCAATCTTGCGGAGAGGCGATGTAGAGACCGATCAGAGGAACTTGGTGTTCTTTCGCGGTCTCGTAGGCCGCGTACAAGGCCCTGTTGTCATGGAGGCGAAGGTCGCTCTTGAACCAGTGGACCACGGCGCTACCCACGTCAACCGATTGACGTGTCTCCGCAGTGTCCTGGCAGGCCTTTCTCAACGTGTCTATTGGACGTTCCAATTCGCCATTGGTATATGCTTGGCAACGCTCGTTGCTCATCTCCGGCGGGTAGAACTCTCGTAGAACAATGCCAAAGTCTTCGGCCTGCTTTGCATTCGGATGCGGCTGACGGAGGTCCGGTCGGCCCTTCTTGCTGGCGTGGGCGCCATTGGCCTCTGCCGTATCGGCCTTTCTTTTCGGAGGCATTGTTGATAGCTGTAGGAGTTGGTTCAATTGATATAGACGACTCGGCAATAAAGGCGATGGACGATAGGAAGAGATAACCCTTGGCCAGCTCGGCATGTCCAGAAAAAGGGTGGAATGGCGCAGAACAGGAAACGCGACCGATGACCCGATGCTCAATCGCGATCTCGATCGGGTGACGTCACCCGATCTCTGCAGGGTCTGGCCAATGCTGCCTTAGGCTATATTTGGCCTCAGGTGTCGACGCTTCATGGCTCCGAATATTTGGACCCTTCACACTCCATAAAGCGGGTCAAATTAAAAGTTCCATCTTGCATATTGCATACATTCTGGGGGGATTGCTGAATAGTTGGAGAGTACAGTATTATTCCAGTTGATGAGGTATGCACTCCCTGACAACCCATGAGCTGGCATTGATCTTTTCGCCTCTCGCTCATCCCCGATCTCCTGGACGCCGAAAGCAAGGGGCGACACGGGAACAAAGAAATACCCAATATTGCGATGAAGCTTAACGGCCTACGAGTAACAATCACTTGCACAATATGAAGATTCAGGGGATGAAATGGCTAGATGCGCACTGATCTCCCAATAGCGCCGCACCCCCACAAAGTTTCGGTGATCCACGGTGCGGATACCCCGGTCTGCTATCCTGACCAACCCGTGTCTGCGCATTTCAGTCGATCCATGGACCAGATCCGCGAGCAACTGTCATCGATTGGTTCCCAAATTACGGTCTGAGCTTCCTAGCTATTTGCCGCCCCCCCCCCCCCCCAGGTTTTATATCGTTTTCGTATAAACTCTTGACGGTGAATACCCTTTGATACTACCCTCGCTTGTTTGATCGAGTCTTCATTTAAACTTTGGCGATTGGGCTTGGCTTGGGACACTCCCTAATTCCTGTGTGACAACCTCCCATCTACACATATCCGAGAGGCACAAGACGATGTCGCCTCAATGGCCGACTCTGCTCCCACCATTGCCTCCTCTCTAATTCACAACTACGGCAACTCAGACACCGTCAGGACCGCGATTTTCGCCGCCTTCTCCGCCGTAGCCTGGTACAATGCCATCGAACTCATAGTCCTCTGCTTCGTCTCCTTCAAACGCTGGAATGGGACATACTTCTGGAGTTTGCTCGTCGCCTCCTCGTCGATCGTCCCCCATTGCCTGGGCTATATTCTCCTATTCTTCCCCACCGGCGTGACACCATGGGTATGCGTCACTCTCATCCTCCTCAGCTGGGTGGCCATGGTAACGGGCCAATCGATGGTCCTCTGGTCGCGACTGCATCTAGTCCTACAAAATACAAAAATCTTATACGGGGTACGGTGGATGATCGGCATCGACGCGGTGCTATTCCACGTCCCCACCGCCGTGGTCTTATACGGGTCTGTCGCGGAACCAACAGGGAAATGGGCGCGCGGATATGATATCATGGAACGAATCCAACTAGTCGGCTTCTGTATCCAGGAGTTGATCATTTCCAGCATTTACGTCTGGGAGACTATTAAATTGCTTCGATTACGACCTGAAGGCCGTCCGCAGGGAGTCCTGAACCAGCTCCTCGTCATCAATATTGTCATTCTGTTGCTCGATGTTGCTGTCGTCGTCATTGAATATGTCGGATACTATGCGGTCCAGGTCATGGTCAAGCCGGTCGTGTACAGCATCAAGTTGAAATTGGAATACGCCATCCTTGGGAAATTGGTCACGGTTGCGAGGGGTGGCTGTGATAGCCAGGAGTTGCCTTCCAGCGCGCGGGAGATTAATGAGGTCAGCTCGTTCCCTGAATGGAATGCTTCGACGTTTGGGTCAAGACGGACGAGTCATCGGCAATATAGTGCGCCTTGGTTTTGGGAAGATCATCCCTCGCCACATGCTGCTTCTACATCTTCTGGGGTGTTGCAAGCTCCATGAATCCTTTCTTTTTTTTGGACTTGGCGTTGGGCTTACAATTAATATACCAAAACTGTTACATGTGTGATATGTCATAAAAGTCGTGTTCATTTGCACTAATTCCATATATAATATCAAATCAAACTTTCGAGAGATTTTCAACGATAGTAATCAGATAGCCCACCAGTACCAGCCTGCAGCACCAAGACACTGCCGTATATCTTGTTCTCGGGCTGAACCATAGCACTAGCCAGATCACCGAGGGCCTGTCGAGTATCATGTCCAACAGCCTCTTCCAAAGGAAGTTCAACATCAGAAGTAACGCTACGTCGGCCCACGATAACAATATTGTTCGCCTTATTGAACGTATGCTTCAGTTGTTCCCGGACAGACACAACAGCCAGCTGGGCATGATCAGAGATCGAATCTTTGACATCCGGGTGAGTGAAGACAACACGGTCTGACAGCTCGTCCGGCAGGGAGTCCCGCAAGGTCTCGAAGAATGAAATGTCCGACTGCGAGGCGACAGCGCCACTAGAGCCCGAAGCTGTAACGGTTGTAGTGACGCCCTTTTTGTTCTCGCTTGAGGCAACCTGGATAATGGTAGCGGTGACCTGGTCGTTTTTCACAAGCTGCATGACAAAGCGGAGGGCGAATCGATCATCTTCGCCACCGAAGAATGGAAGGACCACGTGGTGTGAGCGGTTGTTTGTGTTTTGGCGGGACCATAGGGAAGTCTGGATACTCATTCCACTGGCAGTACGGGAGATGGAAGGCCGTTTGGCGGGGCCAGGACCATATTCAATGAAGATACCAACATGTCCAGAGACGCGTTGTAGGATATCCGAGACAAAATTAGTGTAGCTGCCGTTCGAGAAGCGATTTGTGTCCGTTGTTTCGAGGCCGTTTTGGCGCTCTGCTAGAGTCCCGGTCTCACTCCATGGGAGGAGAAGGAGATCTGCAGTGTCTTGCTGTGCCATTCCGATGACGGTGTCAGCGTAGGAGTGCTCGGGCACCACGGAAACGCCTGCCATGAGAGAGAGGTCGTGCCAGTCTCCAAAAGCACGGAACGTGTTGACTACTGGATCCCAGAGTGCGTGTTCGCCTGCAACAGACACCTTCATGACACTGGAGTCTCTGTCAGTGAGCTCCATCAGCCTGACACCGTGGACACGGAGCGCGGCCTTTTCCTCCTCCTCGTCGGTGATAGGGTCCTCGACTGTCTGATCGGTTTGCTTTGGAATCTTTGAAGGGTGAATGCGAGATGATAGGGGCTCACGCTTTGAGCTGAGGAGAGCTGCCAGCGTGCAGATTCCGGAGAGTCCGTCCAGGCGAAGGTAGACGAGTAGCTTTCGGACAGGGATGGTCTTGATCTCGTCCTTGGCTACTGCAACGCTGTCATTGCGGCCAGTGTTATCGAGAGGATTTCCTTCCCAGTCAATCTCTCCCCGTCTCCATCGGTCGACCTTGACTTGATACCAAGTTGGGTATAGCCACGTCGTTAGAGGGGTTGTTAGGAATGTGGTCACCAAAGCCATGACGACGAAGATAGTGAAGGTACGGGTGCTCAGGATCTTGGCTTGTAAACCAATGTTCTGAGTTGGTATTAGTGTCAGTTCCCAAATCTTGTTTAAAAAACACTTACTAGCACAATCAGTTCCACCAATCCCTTACAACTCATCAGAACACCGATGGAGAAGCTTTCGCGCCACAGCAAGCCACACAGACGAGATGCAAAAGCACCTCCAGCGACCTTTGCAATGAATGCAATAGCAATGACACCTACGACATAGGCCCAGACTATGCCAGAGTCCAGCAAACCGAGATTGGTACTCAGACCCGACAAGGTGAAGTAAAGAGGGAGGAACAGAGCACCGACCAGATCTTCAATCTTCTCGGTGACCTTAATAGCAAATCCACCCTCATGGGGACAGATCAAACCAATAACGAACCCTCCGAAAATGGCATGGACACCAATGACTTGCGTGAAGAAAGCCGATGCCAATGCGATCAACAGTGTCAGCGCCACCACCGACTGACTGGGGCCTTTCTGCAAACTGCCTGTCTTCTCAAGGAAGCGAAGGAATATCGGGCGGAAGACGTATGTCAAGAACAGCATGTACCCGGCACATACCAGAAGCACATATAATGCGGTAATGCCACTGCCTGCATTCACCAGCGCCACGCACAGGGCGAGTAGAATCCACCCCACAACGTCATTTCCGACACCGGCCGACAAGACAATCACACCAACGCGTGTAGAAAGCAGTTTCAACTCGGTCAAGATACGACAGAGCACGGGGAATGCAGTGATGGCCATGGCAATACCGATGAAGAGCAGATAGGTTCCGAAGGCGATAGGCTTGGTGCCTGGGTCACCGTGGAACTCATGGTACAATCCGTAGGAGATGGCACTACCCAACCCGAAGGGTAGAATCATACCAGCTGCCGAGACACTCAGTGCCACACGCCAGTTGCTGATCAAGAAGCGAAGATCGGTTTCGAGACCGACTAGGAAGAGGAAAAGCACAAGTCCCAAATTGGCGACGACATTCAGACTCGGGATACTGGCAGTCGGGAAGATAGCATCAGTGAATCCAGGAATGCGGCCCATCACCGATGGACCCAGGATAATTCCTCCAATGACCTCTGCGATGACTCTAGGCTGCCGAATCTTTGACAGGGGCCAGTGGATCAAGCGACACAGCACGATAATGATAACTGCCTAGTCGACGTTAATCATCTCCCATGCAAAATCGATCTGCCGCGAGATGATACCTGGATGATAAACAGCACAAGCGGGTTCTTGGGGTCATATTCTGATGGGTTGCCGCCCTCCAGGATACCTCCTTGCGGAGCAACCTTGACAGCAGATGTGGCCGTGGCCGTAGTAGTTGAGGTTGCCATTTTTGCTCTCCAGGCTACAACTGAGGTGGGGAGCTGAGCTGAGAAGCTGGGGGGTTTAAGAAATTCCGGAGATGAAAGAGAGCGTCAGCTTAACCCCACGGGATGCGTGAAATGGGGAACCAATCAGAATCGAGGAAGCTAGCCTTTCTCTGGGCAATCCTTTCGCTAAACCCAATTGGGTTTAGTTAGCCGATGAGAGCTCTGGCGCTTGACGCGGACATTCTCGCCTCTCTCGTCTTCTATTAGGGGGATTTGAATACTTATCCTGTCTATATCGCATCAAGGCTGTATTTAGATTCCCATTCTCAACTTCGGTTCTCGTTTTCATCGACCAAAAGTGAAGTTGCCGCAATCGCGCCATCTCCGCTTTTTGTTTTAGGTTCCCACGTGGTTCGACGTTGGCAGCTCGGACCTTTTTTTGCTTTTTTGGACATCTGATCGACTCTACATCGGATTTTGGTGGGTTCCTATGCGCTTCACGATTTATTGTAGTGTTTTGGAGTCATACCCAGGTACTTTGAGCGACTCTCTGATATTCAGTGGGTCAAAGTGTGGCAGGCAATGCAACGTAGTCTGGCGTAAAATTTATTTTTTACTTCCATGAACTGTCAAACTGGTTAAGATGTCGAGATGTCTCTCGTCTTTCTCCAGCTGACTGCACGGAATACGAGCTATCTCTCATTTCCCTTGGCCTCACGTCCATGTGAGGTGTCTGATTCTTGGAATATCTGGGGCTGAGTGTTTTTTTTTTCTACTCTCGCATACGTTACTATAGGGCTCTTACCTACAGAATACGGAGGCCTCTTGCCTCGCCGATTTAACATGTGAGATTCTAAAATGCCAAGGTTCTTGATGGATTTCATCTATATGGCTCTCCATTTGAGTGCTGTTATTCTAGATCCCTTAGAACCGGAAGTAAAGGATCTGCAGATGAACCATCCTGTGAAAGGTGGCATGCATTGGTACCACGTAGTAGTGGGCAATAGTAAAATTGATTCAAACGCTATATTCGTGAATCAGTCGCTCACTTCAAGTTATGGTTCGCAATTAACAGTATTGTGAACGGAGATGTGATAAATTACTTGATCTACAAATTCAACTTTTTCAAGTGAAACTGAATTACCTTCTGCAGGCTGGGTATATGACATACATGCTGATACTCCATATCTGAAGGAGACCCGAGAGATGTAGATTTCAACAACAGTACACTATCCGATCCCAAGTCATCGGTGATCTGATGTTTTCCAACCTTGAGCTCATGCTCAAGTGAATATCAGAGGGATATGATTATTGGGCCTTCCTAAAGAGTGAGCCTTCCAACCTTGTAAACTAAAAAACCATCCCAACCCCATCTCCCAAAACGACAAACAGACTAATATTCCAGGGACTATAAATGCATTTCTCCCGACCCAGGACTTTATCTTCTTTACATCTCACCATCTCCACTCGAGTTACTAACTTTCGGTGACTCTTTCAAATTTACCTTCTACAATAATCTTACCTCCTTACTAACACAATGCTCGTCCACGTGCCTCAGGTCGAGGTCAACCAAATCCTCGACTCTCTTCTAGAAGGGGAACTTGATTTCCCTACTCTGGTGCCACGGCGGTAAGCACATGGCCCACGATACACCTACTCTCTATCCATTTGGCCTGGATTGTTCTTCTTAAGATTTACCATAATGCCGGTGTTTGGTCCATCGCAACTTTGCATTTCACCTCATGCATACCCCTGATGAGCGCAGCCACGTGCAAGCATGTTTCTAACAAATCGCTTAGATCGGAAACCACGACCCTCAAGGCCACCCTCGACGACTCCATGGAAATGGTAAGTGTGATTTCCCATACCATAGACTTTGATATTTTACGTATAGCGCTAACTTAAGAAAGGATGCACCAAGGACCCGACCCTCCGCTGGCCCAGGCCCAACCTTCAACCCCATCAGCTCTGATGCCGAGGTCGAACTCCCCGCTGGATCCAAGACTAACCTGGAGCGTACAACCGCGAAAATCCTCCCTCTGCAACAAGAAGGCATCAAATGGATGCCAGGTCTATCAGGCATCTTCGACGGCCTGAAGAGCCTCCCAATTGGCGAGGCTCGCCTCCTAGAAACCGGCAAAACTAGGTTTGACAACCTACCCGTTATCCGCATCGGGCTCCGATATGTTCCCAAGGTAGGGGTGCAGGATTTCCGCACCGTGACGGTGACCAACTTTTCGCCTTCAACGACTCTGGCCGAGGTCCTTCGGTACGTGCGAGGCGGAGAAGTGCTGACGGCCACCATGTGTGACACTAAGGCCATCACTGGTTCCAGCACTGCCCTCGTGACCTTCTCAACCGCGAAGGGCGCAGCTGAGTTTGTTCGGACTGCGGAGGAGGTCGGATTTTTTATTGGCTTCCACCAGGCGCATGTCGCCATGGTGGACCAGCCCACCTATCCGACTCGCCGTATCTTGCAGGACCGCATCGACACGCGCGGCCGAACTCGTGCCTTGACCGTCTTCAACAACGATGGACGGACCAAGATGGTTGTTCATGAAGCCCTGTCGAAGTCTCTCGTCGCCGGCCATATTGAGGGGTTCAAGGACCATCCAGTCCAGAAACAAGTCACCGTGCTGTTTTACTCCGTTGACATGGCGATGAAAGCCTTCAAGATCCTGTACGAGAGCCCAAATATCACCAAAGTCTGGTTCGGGTGCGATCCATGCGGCAGACACTTCGTCGAGAAGGAGGCCAAGGAGACCGGAGGAACCGAGCAAGCCAACGTAACCCTCCTTCACAAGTAAGAGCCGGATCACGGCAATTTTCGAGCCAATCGCTCGATTGTGGAAAGTTGCCTTTTTCCCCTAATAAAGGACAGCGAGCACAAGACTGAGATATCGTTAGTGGCATGGGGCTTGCCGAACTCTGCCCAAAACCCATGCGAGTAGAAATCATTGGTTGCATATTATATCTCTTTTCTCCAATCCGTAATCTAACAGCCACGTAAGTAAGCACTGGTAGGTATGAGAAGGCATCAGATGGATGCCCAATCTGTCTACGTTGTTTGATGAGCTTAAACGCATCCCAAATGGCGAGACTCACTTGTAACTAGTAAAACCAGATTTGACAACCTCCCGTAATGAGAATCTGTTTGCTTGCTCTTTGTATAGATCCCGCTCCTTTTGCCTCTTTCTCTCCTTCTTTTTCCTCCTCTCCAGATATCCAAATACACGACGTAATTTGCCTTCTCTCTCCTTCTGGCTCTCAACAGAATCGGCCTTCAGTATGACCCGCTGGCAGAAGATCAAAATCTCCGGACTGTCACGGTGACAGGTCTGGCCCCTTTAGCGACTCCGGGGGTTTTACTTCGTGGCGGAGAGGCAGTGGGCGCAACCATGTGCGACACCATACCCATAGTTGAGTCGCAAGTTGTGGTCATCACCTTCGTTAAATTAGCAGGTGTATTCCTCAACTTCGCGGAAGAGGATGAGTTCTTCGTTGGATGGAACCGGGCCCACGTCACCATGGTCAATGAAGCCACTTACCCGACACGTCGCATCCTACAGGACCATATGAATATCAGCGGCTACACCTGTGCCCTGACAGCATCTTGGGCCAATGGACAGACCAAAATAATTGTCTACAAGCTCCTGTCCAACTCAATTGTCGCCGAATATATCGAAGGTTACAGAGATCACCCGATCCGGTAACAGGTCACTATGCTGTTCTCAACAGGGTCAAGGTGCACGTCGGACTGTCACCGTTGAACACAAAGGGTCTCATATCATCAACGATGCCCCCGGGGTCCTCCGTGATCTGTGCTCTTCTACTCCATTCACATGGCAATGAAAGGATTCAGGATTCTGCGATTTAATCTGGCCTGGACGATCATTCCACCTCTTCTTTGGTAGGTCTATCATCCTTCTCCACCACAAAACTAAGCTTCCCTCCATCGCCATTCAAACTTGCAATTTGCGCACCGATCCCCGTGCAAGTATACTGTTGAAACTTCCAAGGAGAAAGGCGTGCCTGATACATTTCATCAATGTCTTCAAGAGACCTTCCTTTGGTCTCCGGGACAACAAGCCACACAAATACCAGTGATACCACAGAAAAGGCCCCATAGATGAAGGTTACACGCCCACCGATCGACGCTTGCAGATAGGGGTTGACGAAGTTGATGGGAATCGAGGTCAAAAAGCTTCCCATCGAGGCGAGAAAAACGGTTCGCTCTCGAAGTTGACCGGTTCCCACTTCGCCTGTCACAATCCAGCAGCCTGGACCCCAGGTGAAGCCATAAATACAGTACCAGAGAACGAGCAGCGCGACACATGCATTCTTCGTCTCGATTGACAGGCTTGCCACCGTCGCGCTGGACTCGATAGCACCGCCTGTTCCCAACATGGTAGCTGCAAGCCCGAGGGATCCAAAAAGCAATGACCACCGACGACCCAGCTGATCAAATGTGACGAATGTGAATATGTGGCAAGCGAATGAACAGCCTGTCACGAGGACATTTGTCTTCAATGGATCTGGGAAGCCGAGCTGTTGCATGAAGGTGACGATGAAGTTCTGAATGAAAGACACACCTTGGGCCTGTTGCAAGATCTGGACACCCATGCACGCGATTGTCCGGGGCAAATTGGTTCCTTTGAAACAGTCAAGCACTGAGGTGGCTTTGTGGAGATCTCTTTGCTCTTCGATCTGGACCTTCAGCAGTTCGATCTCTTGTGCAATATTGTCCTGGTTGTTATGGAGCGTTTTCAGAACTTGCTCCGCTTCCGCATATTTACCACGATAGATCAGGTATCGAGGTGATTCTGGGAGGAAAGGGAGAGCGACGAGGTATCCGATTGGTACAAGGAGCTGGAAGCATATGACTATACTAGATGATCTTTAGTCTGATGCGCCAGTTGCAAAAAAAGGTCAGTTACATACAGGTATTGCCATTGGTCGCTGCGGTTGCGGGAAGCATAGACAACCACAGTGGCGATGAAAACTCCCAACGAGGTGAAGAACGAATAAAGAGCTAGGAAGGCACCTGGAAATCACGAGTGAGCAGTCATTTCTGTTTTAGCTTCTATGAAAGGTAACAAACCTCGAACTCTTGTGGGCGAACATTCGGACAAGTATGTCGGAACGACGTTCGACGCCAAACCAATACCAGAATAAACGACAATTCTTCCGACAACAAGTTGCCAAAAGGATGTGACTGCACTAGCCTCCAGAATCACTCCACACACCATCAGCAGTGACAAGATCAAGAATCCAGCCTTGCGTCCCCACTTGGAGGTGATGATGGGGGCCATCAGACAACCCAGGATGATGCCCGCTGAACCGGTTCCAGTTCCGACAGATGCTTTCTGTGAGGGAATGGCCCATTCTCCGAGTGCTGGATTATAAGCACCATACTTGTGCTTGAACTCAGACAAACCCAAGGCGCCACCCCACCATCCGTTATCAAAGCCGAAGCCGAAAGCTCCAAGTGAAGATGTTAGACCGACGGCTGCGAGGCGCCAATTCAGGTCCTGGACAAGAGGCAAGTTTCTCAAAGAACCCAACATTTTGTATGCGCATTCCACGGGTGCACAAGCTATGAATAAAAAATAACCACATTGCTGAACCCCCCACACAAGGTGTGCACCCTTTATACTCCAAGATATCACGCACTCACTGTCACTTCATTGGATTTAGCTCAAATCCAACCACGAGAAACCGTAAAATCCGGGGAAACGGCAACGATAACCGGGCGTGGGGGTTCACCGTTCAAATGGGGTTCATTGGAGAACCGACCAAATACGGCAATGCGAGCCACGCCTTCTTATATGGGCGAAATGATCATGTTTCATACTACATCCTATATCACATTATTGCTGAAAATGTTAATTGTTCCACAGATAAAACCTACTCGGTCGCCATTTGAAGTTTGAGGCCCCATTCGACAACTCCAAATCCCTTCCAAATTCATCATGCCATCGCTCCTCACTGTCATTATCCAATCGGCACTCCTCAAAGCTGCTGCCAACACCACCGCGCAAGTTCTCAGTACACGAGGGCTCAATGCTCCTGTTTTGATTGACTGGAATCGTGTTCTCGAGTTCGCAGTCTTCGGTGTCATTTCTGCGCCCTTGATCTCATTATGGCAGAAATTCCTCGATGAAACCTTTCCCACCCAATATGAAACGAAATCCAGCTCGCAGCAAGCCAAACTCTCTTCAATTAATTGGGGCAATATTTTACTCAAACTACTGTTGGACCAAACTATCGGACTATTTGTGACGAACGTCACATTCATTGTGTGCACGTCGGCCACACGGCTCCGAAGTAGTCAATTGATTTTACGCGAAATCGATGCCCGGATATGGAGTATTTTGAAAGCCGGTTGGAAGATTTGGCCTGCTATGGCGTTAATCAATTTCATATGGATTCCGTGGCAATGGCGAGTGGTGGTGAATTCGGTCGTTGGATTTGGGTGGAATATTGTTCTTAGCCTTTTGTCAGCTCGATGATTAGTCTCGGGAATAATGGATAGTCTGCTAGAGATATTGATATAAACTGAATGCGTGAACGTTTCTCTTCTCAATTAAATCTTTCTTATGGACTTCCAAGAGTTGCTACGCACAAACATGCTCCAAATAACACGGTGTGACCTGTAGACTGGATGCAGCTGGGCTCTACCTTGGCATATTCAGATGGGGTCTTTGAGCTCATGTGCTTAGACTCTACTAAATTCTTTGACCTTTGCTTTCCTCTTTCCCAAATTTCGCTGTGAAAGTCATCTTTCAACAAAGGTTTCCCCATGGGGAGATGAATGCATCCCCAACTCCACGCTAATGCATGACCTCGCATCCCAAAATGGAATCTGTAACCACCAGCAAACCAAGCACCCCGCCACCCATGCTTCAATATATAGTGAACTAGATCAGCGGCTCCGAGACTCGTGATATCAAACCATCATGTCCCAAATGGTGCATATTCTGGTCTTCCTCGCATTCCTCGGGTTGCTTGGCGTCAACGCTCTGACGGATTCGACTTCAAAGTGTCACTTTCACGCGACCGAAAAACCCCGCATTTTTTTGTTAAGTAATATTGACAACGAGCCAGATGATGCGCAGTCACTGGTGCGGCTTTTGCTTTATTCAAATGAGTTCCAGATTGAGGGCCTTGTTGCTACAACAAGCTTCTGGCTCAATGACACCACCAGACCTGATCACATCGAAGACATCGTGATGGGTTATGGAAAATCACTCGATAATCTAAAAGTCCATGCTTCTGGCTGGCCTGAGCCTAGTCATCTTCTGAGTCTCGTCAAGTCAGGATCCACTCTTTATGGCATGGACGGAGTTGGAGAAGGCCATAACAGCGAAGGCTCAGATCTTCTCATCGACGCTGTTGACTCATCCGATGAGCCACTCTGGATTCCCGTATGGGGTGGTGCAAATACTCTGGCCCAAGCCCTTTGGCAGGTCAATGCCAGCAGATCAGACATTGATCACTTCATCTCGAAATTGCGTGTCTACTCGATTTCCGATCAGGACAATGCAGGTCCATGGATTCGACGTCATTGGCCTGGGCTTTTTTTATATCGCTAGTGTTCACGCATTCAATCGGTATGGCAACGCAGCTTGGGGTGGCATGTCTGGTGATGATTATTATCATTTCCCAAACAATGCGGACAAAGAAGTGATCTCTTCCTCTTGGATCGAGAAGAATATACAGATTGGTCCCTTGGGTAGCAAGTATCCTAGGAGCGAGTTCATCATGGAAGGCAAGATTCTTTATTTCTAAACCCAATCTCGCTTCTCTGACAAAGTTTGCCAGGTGACAGCCCTTCTTTGTTGTATATGATCCCCAATGGTCTTTCTGACCCCGAGCACCCGGAGTGGGGATCATGGGGAGGTCGATACGACCCTGTTGTATGGGGTGAGGGCCACTTCGCGGATAGTATAGATATTCTGGTCGACGAAGACGGACGCACCATGATGGGCTCGCAGGTCACAATTTGGCGATGGAGGACAGCTTTCCAAAATGACTTCAAAGCACGCATGCAGTGGACGATCCAGCCTGCTTTCGATCAGGCAAAGCACGCACCCCTTGCAATTGTCAATGGAAGTTCCACCCGTGAGGTCTTGGAATATATTGTTATTCCAGAACAGGAGATCACCTTCGACGCGTCGCATTCCTGTAGTCCCGATGGCGACGTGCTCTCCTACAAGTGGTGGCAATATCTGGAGCCGAGCTCCAATCTCAACACGCCTAAACGGGATGTGACTGTTTTGGAAATCAAGGATGCCGACTCGGCCACCATCTCCATTGATCTCCCTTCGACCGAGACGCTGCGAAAGGCTGGTAGAGGTGTTCATCCTCACGCGGATAAACACTTGCATCTCATCTTGGAGGTCTCGAGTGGCTCACAGGTCGCCTACCGACGAATCATCCTTACTATCAAGGGAGGCACTGAGGGTTCGCGGTCCATCGGATCAGCGGACCACGATGACCTTTAAATATCATGTGGAAGATCAAGGGTTAGATCAATCTAGAGTTTGAGTAACATGATAATGAACAAGCCGAAAGTAGCTCCAGAGAAAGCAAGGTGCTCAACGCCAATGTACTTACCCTAACTCCGCAGTGGGGCACCGAAACCCCTGCAGGTACTATTTTCCATGCCTGCGAGCAGTTCTTACTATATGCGCGCTAATTCACATAGCACAAAAGTACCTTCCATTCAATTTCCATGCATACTGTTTATATACTGCGCAATTGCAACAATTCTAATAGGGGAAGTTGAACGGCACAGCCTTGGGACCCAAAAACGGCACAAAGTCCTCTCCCTCACAGATCTTCATAGCCCGCTGGTAAGCCGGGCGATCACCCACCCGCTTCAAGTAAGCCAGAATATTCTTATGCTTCTCCTCGTCAAAGTCAATGGGACAGAAGCCTCTCATGGTCGTCAAGGTGCAGATCGCCATGATATCCGCGGCGGTGACGTCATTCCCGGCGAGATAGGAACCGGTTTCCCCGAGGCGAGTCTCAACCATCGAGAGTGCCCTCTCCAGCTTCGCAGTGCCCACTTTAACGTGGACGGCTTCAGGGTCGTTACTGAGGCGGCGGGTCATGAGAACACGGAAGAGAGCGGGCTGGAGAGAGGCATTTGCCCAGTGGTACCACTCTAGGAAGTTCACATATTCTTCGCCATCCTTGGGGGTGCGGGAGAGACGCCCCTCACCGTATGCGGCAATGATGTAGTCAATGATTGCGCCTGATTCGGCGAGAACGACCTTCTTTTTCGTGAGAGGCGAGCTGTCGTCCTCGATTACGGGTGCGGTTCCGGCAGGGTGCAGGTCTTTGATTGATTGAGGGGCGAAGATGGGATCGCGCTTGTGGAAAACATAGTTGTATTTGATGCCGAGTTCTTCAGCGAGCCAGACAATGCGCTCGGATTGGGAGCGGCCCAGGTGGTGGATTGTCAATGGCATTTTGTAGTTGGTAGTTGGTAGGTGAATGGGGTGTGTTAGGATAGGGGATAAGTTGACGAAGAAAAAGAAACATAAGCGACTGCAATTCTGAATCAAAGCCGAAAGTTAGAGCTCAGGGACCGAGGCATTTCTTCGTGTATCGCGAGATCTTCGGAGATATGTGTGTCCCCACTTGGAGTCCACTTGGATTCAGTTCTGTAGCTTTGTCCGACGCTAGAGGCTTAGCTTGAATGGTGTCACTTGAAATCGTTGAGGCAATCACACTGAAATACATATGGGCTCTACATTAGAACAGAGACTCGTTTCTGTTGTTTTTACTCGTTACTCATTGTAGGCCAACAAGAGGATTGACTGTCTCTCGCGTAGTTAGGTAATGATCGGCACAACAGCTTGCGGTATTGATACTTCCGACATGCCTTTGAGCTTGCACAAATTTTCTGACCATTTACGGAGAATGTTCTGTTGTTCCTGTTGTCGACTGCTTGATTGCACTAGGTAATGAGTGAAAGTAAGATCCACAACTCACCAGGTGACGCGAAAGAACATCGAGGACCGGCCTCTAACCCTATATCCAGAGGCGAGATGCTGCAACTGCAGAAATTGCCCCTGAATCCTTTGTGTTATTCTCATCATCCCCAGTTCTACTAATTTGCATTGACAATAACATCGTCTTGGTACATCTACTCGGGCGGTGCATCTCAAACAGATCCATCATATAGGGATGAGACGATGACCAGAGATGTCAATGACCTATTCAAATAGGCTTCACTTCCACAATGGCTAGAGTATTAACAATTATGTCTAAATACCTCCAGGGTTGATAATCCATCAATATTCACAGCCCTGGAGACTGTGAACGCTTAGTCAGGTACCGATTATCGGATGAAAGGCGGGGAAACCCCAGATGTTCACGGCCCGAGGTCAAGCGCTCCCTTTCGTATTTCTTTACTTATTTTGGGATTTGCACTCTTTCTCTTGCATGCAATTCTCTCCCTATTTCTGCCCTCATTGATCAATCATGTTCCGATCAGTGCGACGCCTCCCTCGACGCGTTCCTGTTGCGGCCATCTCTCCCCGGACATTGCGGCCATTCACATGCGGTTATCCTCGGATGACGCCCGTTCACCCCCCGGTGTCCACAACCTTGCCTTCGGACGCCTACCAGCTGCTATCCACACAAGAAAAGGCCGGTGAAGCTGAAGATGCATTGTACGACCAACAAATTAAAGATGTGGAATCGTGGTGGGCTTCCCCTCGCTACGAAGGCATCAAGCGCCCGTACACCGCCGCAGACGTCGTCAGCAAGCGCGGCTCCCTCCAACAAACATACCCCAGCTCATTGATGGCGCGGAAGCTTTTCAATCTCCTCAATGAACGCGCCGCTGCTGGTCAGCCAGTTCACACAAGTAAGTACATATGCCCGTGCAGAATGGCCGGACTGACAATCCGTCCACAGTGGGAGCTATCGACCCCGTACAGATGACGCAACAAGCTGCAAACCAGGAGATTCTCTATGTATCTGGCTGGGCATGCTCTTCGCTTTTGACCAGCACCAATGAGGTTTCTCCTGACTTTGGCGACTATCCATACAATACCGTTCCGAATCAGGTCCAGCGCTTGTTCAAGGCTCAATCGATGCATGACCGGAAGCAGTGGGACAACCGGCGGAAGTTGACTCCTGATCAGCGGAAGGCGACACCTTACATCGATTATATGCGACCCATCGTCGCGGATGGCGATACGGGGTATGTTCGTTATCGTGGATAATCACCGACCTTGCTAATCTGATATCTGCAGGCACGGAGGCTTATCGGCAGTCTTGAAGCTGGCCAAGTTGTTTGCGGAGAACGGTGCCGCGGCTGTGCACTTCGAGGATCAATTGCACGGTGGAAAGAAGTGCGGCCATCTTGCTGGCAAGGTGCTCGTTCCAATGGGGGAGCACATTAACCGACTAGTGGCTGCCCGATTCCAGTGGGATATGATGGGTTGTGAGAATTTGGTGATTGCACGCACAGACTCAGAGAGCGGTCGACTTATTAGTAGCGCCATTGACGTGCGGGATCACGAATTCATCCTCGGTATCACGGAGGAGGTGGAGCCTCTGGCGGAGACTCTTCAAGCGATGGAGCGCGAAGGCGCCTCGCCATCCGAGATTGACGCGTTTGAGCTGGACTGGGTCAAGAAGCATAAGCTTGTCACTCTTGACGAAGGTATTTTCCCCAGCCTTTTTTTTTTCATTGAATTTTCATTAATCGCCCGCAGCTGTCGATGCCCATCTCGAGTACGAGGGAGCACCACAATCATCCCGTGATGGTTACAAGGCGTACGTGAAGAGTAACCCCGACCTTTCATTCTCTCGTCGTCGTGCGCTCGCAAATGACTACGCCAAGACCCCTGTTGTCTGGTCATGCGATAGCCCACGCACTCGAGAGGGATTCTACCACTACCGCGCCGGTTTCCCCGCCGCCACTAAGCGCGCCAAGGAGTTCGCTCCTTACGCAGATCTCCTCTGGGTTGAAACTGGTGACCCAGATGTGCAGAAGGCGGGCAGTCTTGCCGGTGAAGTCCGCGAGGCATTCCCTGGCAAGAAGCTTGTCTACAACCTCAGCCCTTCGTTCAACTGGATGGGACAAGGATTCAACGAGGCTTCGTTGAAATCTTTCATTTGGGATATCGCTAAGCAAGGGTAAAAGCAAAGCTCTGTATACCTCGTTCATTTGCTAACTTGATCTAGATTCGTCTTGCAACTCATTTCCCTGGCAGGTTTGCACACAAATGCCACTATTACTACCGAGCTATCTCGTGCGTTCAAGGACGAAGGAATGTTGGCTTACGTCCGTCTGGTCCAGTCGCGCGAGAAGGACCTTGGTGTCGACGTTCTCACCCACCAGAAGTGGAGTGGCGCTCCTTACATGGATGGTATCATGGGTGCCATTCAAAGCGGCAGCAGCAGCAGCAAGAGTATGGGTGAAGGCAACACAGAAAAGGGTAGGTTTACCTCTTCGGACTTTTCATGACGTCGCTAACGTGAATTTATAGGCTTCTAGTCATCGACCGCTCTGTACAGTACTACCAAAACCTTCGAGTTTTCATACGCAATAGTTTCCAATACAATAAATGTCAAAGGACAAGATTTTACAGACACACTCTTTTTTTTCACAACCCAGGATTCGAATCAAACCTACAACAGCTAGGAACTTCACATGCATGGATGATGTTGATTCTTGGTAATCTTGTTGCAGAAGAGCCGATATCGCCTTCAACCTGACATCAAGAAATTTCCTCGCTCTCAACCCAGCTCGTCAAACCCTCACAGAGTATGCTGTATCTATCCCGGGTCTCAACCTCAAAGTTGAAATGTTACATCTCCGCTCCACCCTTGATGGCTGGGTTTTAAATTTCCCCAAGGGTTTAGGCGGAGGAGCATTTCCCCTCGGACTGACCAACTTCTTGCTACAGAATGAGTCAGCTTACCGTCAGGTATCAGGCAAACGTTATGAGTTTCTTACCAGGCAGAAGCCACTGGCACAGTTTCCGAGACTACCATCTGTCTTGCATGGGTGGCCGTTGCCAATCTAAGATTGTTAGATTTGCTCATATCAGTTGTGCGTGTTCCAATGTGTTCTTACCAATGGTTTATCGGCTGCCATGGCAGCGCCAAAGATGGCCATGAATGCAATGAGAGTGAAACGCATTTTGTATGGGGTGTTTATTTGTTTGTGGGGGGAGTTGTAGTAGATCTAGTGTAGTGAGGAAGGTTCCTGATGGTATTTATACCCTCAGCTGAATGTCTTCGAATGTTTGACTGCTTATCTTTGGTGTGTTACAAGATGCATCTAATAGCTGTTGTAAAATATTTGCATGAAGAAACCTTGGAAGCAATAAAAAGTGTGGATCTCAGCCCTTGTTGGAGGGCGCGAAGGTGAGTTCCGACATCAGGCCGGTTGTAGATGGAATTGATTAACACTGGGAACCGTACGGAGTAGTGTCAAGCAAAGTCTCTCACAGAGAAGATCCTATCCGCTTCCAATGTGATCAGTGCATTGACACCTGTGGGAGGCAGGGGCCCTGTTTACTCTTCATCTTGACAGGAGCTCCTTGCTTATTTTCTATTCAGCCTTATTGCTAGTCCTTACTGCTAGGCATGTTTGAGCTCTTCAAATATTTTCTACTTCAGCATGATTCGTGCCAGGATTTCATAGATCACTTTGAAAAATGGAGTGCTACTCATGGTATTCCGTATATTCATAGGTTTTTCTGAAGGTATTGTCAATTTCAGGCAATCAGGGTTTTGGTTTTCCCCTCGGTGAATTTGGCTGCTTGGATTGCGATATAGACCACGCACGATATTCTAGTGCGACAAAAAGAATTCCTCTTTTTGCATACCATGTTTATGGCACTTAAAATTAAATATACGGACCACTCTTTACTGGGTCTCAATTTGTTTGAATAGTCTATTCGATATGCAGAGAAGCATCCTGCAGTCTATTTCATAGTGGCAAACCCCTATCATTAGTTTCCACAAAGTAAAAGTCTTGCATGTTTTCAATTAGACTACTGGGTTAGAGTTACATTCTGATAATATCTACAAGGGTGGCCCTTACCTAGCCCTGGGGATCAACCCGAGGATTTAGAATTGAGAATTCTTCCAAGGTTCTAAAGTTAGACATTCCGTACTTCGAATATGATGATCCAGAAATCATACATTCATGCGCAAGTGATCATTAGATACCCATGGATAGAATTCTCAACTCTCACTTGAACACTACTTACTTACGTGCAACATTCGTGAACTGAATCAAAGAGTACAAAATATCTTGACCTTGTCACCTCCAGGGCTGGCTGTCCACTACCAAGTATGGATCAAAACGAATGAGAATTTGAGAATCAAGTTCAGGTGTTAATAATAGCCATGGTTCTTGGGATCATCTGCAGCTCTCCGTGGCTCGACGGAAAGTGGCATATGTGATCCCAGTGCTAAGGCACCTCTGCTTACAAGGTTACATACAATCACGTGTCCTGAGGTTCTTGTAGATGAGTCGGTGAGAAAAAGACTAAGTAATGCACAATCTAATATTACAGGTAACAGTTACATATATTGCGGTACACACAAAGTACGGAGTAGACAAAACCAAATAAAAAGAGAGGATATCACAGCAAAAACCAAAATGCTCATGCGCCCACGAACACAGCCGAAGCAAAAAGAGTGGAAAGAAGCACAGCAGCTTTTAGACTAACATGTGCGTTTGGCACTATGTCACTAGCACCAGAGGTACTGGTACTGGTTTCCGAGCTGGATGTTGAAGTGGACGACTTTTTCTTGTCGGTAGTCGATGCCGAGGTTTCCGATGAAGTCGGATATGAGGTTGCGGTGGCAGTGGCGTTGGTGGAGCCATAGCACCAGACGTCTTTCCACTCGACGCCAGCATCGTAGAGACAGTCTGTGAGCTCTTGAACTGACTGGTCCACGGCCAGAGCGTAGATGGCACAGTCATTGTTATACGCGGTTACACCTGCTGGTTTCGCGCATTTGGAAAGATAGCCCTTGTATTTGTTGGTGCTGGGAACTCCACATGCAGCGTCTTTAACGGGGAGCTCGTATTGGAAAGAGGTTCCACATGCGGTGCTGGTGGCTGCGGATGCGGTTGTGGTTGTAGACATGGTTGCTTTGCGGTCACGAGAATAATGGAAATGAGGTGTAATGAAATCAAAGATCTGAACGAGTGGCTTGGATTAACAGCAGAACCCTTAGAATTGGTTTTTTAAGAATCTTTATAGATGAGTTGTTTGGCGGCCGTTGATTGGACCTGTTCACCCGGCTATTTTTAGCCGGTGTTGTCGGCCTTCTCATTTCGTTAAAATGAACGGGCAATGCCAAGATGAAAAGACAAGAACTATTGAGAGCTGAAAACTTTGTTCCAGTAAAACTCAGACAATAGTGGAAACACTCATGCTTTGTCCGACAGCTGGAAGTTGTGTCGAGTCTGATCAGCCCAGGTTCAGTGATCAGCATCCCTAGTGCAGACCCACTTCAACTTACTCGTAGAAGATTGCCCGGTTGGCGCAAACCTGGGCTAATATGAATTGAAACTGTTTTAATTGATTGCTCGCGTCTTTCTACTTAATTAATTTCTAATTTCATTAGATAGGGCTCATATGGATCCATGTTCAAACACACTTGAGCATGTTTCGTAATAATCCACGATGAACGTTCTAAGTAGTTCAATTATGACGTTCTAAAGTTGCTTCCAAGGTTGGTCGAACGGCGGAGGTATATCTCCGATGCAGTGATGTTCTCCCCGCTCAGCACAACTGTCCTTAAACTCCAGGGCTTCCCAAGGTATCGTCGATGTTTCAAAATTTTAGTTAAACAAATACAATGTGCAAAAAATTTCACAAATGACTGTCAACGATGTTGAAATTATATTTGAATAAGGGAAGCTGACCCCATCACATAGACTGGAAAATCAAATTCGTGGATGATCCTCTGAGTCTAGTAGTAGAAGCAATTGGTCAGCCAGCGCAGGAAACCAAAAATCAAAAAAACAGGGAACATTACCTTGTGGTCGCCAATAAGAAATCCCAGCCTTACAAACAATCTGTATGTTCGCTTGATGTTGCAGACTTCGAAACTAGAGGTCAGCCCTTGAGGCAGTGGATGATGACAATATATCGCATCGCGGAGTGTTGTGACTGTCCCAGAAGGGCAATTTGCAAGTGACACAGGGTAGTTCATGTTTGCAGTACTTTGCACAATCCATGTGCTGGTTGATGACTCGCCGATGCCTTGAGCTTTGACTTGTGTCTTTTCAACCAGCATGGTTTGAAACTCACTCAGTATGATGCTGCAGTGCGCGTCTCCTTGCTTCGCGATGTCAATTTTTAGAGGGATGGACTGGTCGAGAACAAGACAGGGCCCATTCAGGAGCTCAGCGTTGATCCAGAATGACAACGCCGAGCCAGCGACGATGTGTGGATTAACGTTGAGAACACATTCTTGCTTAAGTGGCCTCTGTGGGGGCAGTGGATCGGACAAGTATTTAAACTGAACATCTCGTGTCTAGAGAACGGTTAGCGAGGATTTCGGATATTTGTCTTTACCTGTGGTGAGATCAATGGTCTATTCTTACCTTCTTCACCACGCTTTTCCCCGTCACAACCACGGTCAGTGAGTATTTAACTTCAGCAATAGAGTCAGAGTCGCCAGTTGACGGCGGAGATTTTCTCATTATGTGTTCTTTTTGCGTTCTCCAACGTCCAATATTTGCACATGAAACATTGGACTTGTTTGACCAATGATCAGCCTTGTAGCATTCTGTGACTTTTGGCAACTATACTCTAGTCAGATATGAGGCGTTGGTGGAATGGGTTCGCTGAAACTCACTGTGATGGAAAATGGGAATGTACATTCTCCACCCCCGATGGTTACACTTGAGCCTTTCTCTTTGATCAATACATCTGGAGGAAAGACTCGTTGCGACTTTTTGAAAATCTAGAGAGATTCGACATCAGCAGACTTTCACTTTGCATTTCATTCGCACACACCTGATGGGTTTCTGTGCGGCTGGTGTGACTGAGTCTGGAGATTGCCGTCCCCGACAACTTTAGAACAACCGTCGACAAATCGGCCGCTGAATCATTGTGTAAGATCACTTCGCCTGAAATCGTATCTCGAGGAGTATAAGTGGAATCTTCTTGATTCAGTTTCAATTCCACTTCCATCGGTGCTCGCGGGAGCAGGACTGAGCCCAGCTTGAGTAGCATGAGATGTGGTTTTCAAGGATGGCGGGACACTTAGATGTTCCAGAGACTGCTGATGTTAATACCTATTGTCCAAGGGGTTCTATCTCATTTAACCACTATGCTCGTCGGTAGAAGGGCAGTTGATATGAGTCTTGACCACGTTGTCTCACATTTGGCTCCAGGTCTCGGCGCAGTTAAAAATCTGCCCCTCGTGGACTTTCGCGGAACGGACAATATTTTTAGTCGGGACCCAAGGCGACTGGACTTTTTACCCTTAATAATTTGACCTCTCTGTCTTTGTGAATTTCCTCAACTCATTGGCTGTTGGAAATAAGGATTGTTTTAGCCGCACGCTAAAGAGGGTGGCTGGCACCCTCATTGGTCAGAATCTCCATACAAACGAAAATGTGGAGCACCGGCTTAAAATAGTCGGCTCCTCTCTAGTTTCCTTCGTAGGGTTGGACCTCACTAGTGGACTCATTTGGCAAAATAGGGAGAGCGTGTGGGCTATGTCCCATTTTTCAAGAGTCTACCATGGAATGCGCTGTTCAAATGATGCTGAAGCGCACAGCCTGTCATACTACTGCAACTTCTATCAATTCGAACTGGCTTGGCCCCAGGGATTGCATTTCGGACTCTCAGCTCAAGTACTCCCCAAATCAGTCCCACATTGGAGAGCGAGCAGATAAACTATGAGCTCTTCATATTCCCGGCCTTACTCATTTGAGTATGGACGACAAAGCGAGGAAATTGACAGGAATGCCGGTTACTCTCAGCGGGTAAGTGTGTGAAAATGGAAATGACTTGATCTCCCGATATGCGGCAAGCCGAGCTGACGGTCTCGGTATCAACTAGAATCCACAACCCGTACATGAGCAGGCTGTTTCCCTCCTTGATCCAGTCAACACCTCTGCGTCGTCCCTCGGTCCTTTTGCAGACCCGATTCCCCCAAGAGAGTTGGACGAGAGAACCTACAGCCTTACCTCTTTCACAAACAACGGCCCTGGGGCTGACTTCATGGAGCCACAAGATTTAGCAGATCAGTTCAAATTACAAAATCTTTCTAACCGGGGCTCCGCTGTTGCTTCTTCCAGGGACTCGGGCCCACAACATAAGGGCAATAGTCTGCGTCGCTATCCCACGCGGCGCATCAAATTGGTGCAAGGATCTGTCTTGAGCGTCAACTATCCGGTACCAAGTCCTATTCGCAATGCAATTCAACCGGAGTACCGAGATGCGGGCGGCGAGCTCTCGGAGGAATTCACGCAGATGAGGTGTGAGTTGAAAGCCAGCAGCGCATATGTGGTGAATGGATATTAACTTTTGAATAGATACGGCCGCAACGTGCGATCCGGATGAGTTTACACTGCGCAATGGTTACAATCTTCGCCCTTCGATGTATAACAGACACACTGAGCTTCTCATCGCGATCACCTACTACAATGAGGATAAGGTCCTCACAGCGCGCACATTGCATGGAGTCATGCAAAATGTCAGAGACATTGTGAATCTCAAAAAAACAGAATTTTGGAACAGGGGCGGACCCGCGTGGCAAAAGATCGTTGTCTGTCTTGTCTTTGATGGGATAGACCCATGCGACAAGAATACACTCGATGTTCTGGCGACCATTGGTGTATTCCAAGATGGAGTGATGAAGCAAGATGTAGACGGACGAGAGACTGTTGCGCATATTGTGAGTTGCAATTCTACTATTTCGGATCGCAATCATACAGAGACAGTGACATATCTAACTGATCAGTTTGAATATACCACCCAGTTATCGATCACCCCGAAGCAAGAGCTTGTCCGCCCATACAAAGACAACCCCATGAACCTACCCCCGGTACAAATGATGTTTTGCCTCAAGAACAAAAACACGAAAAAGATCAACTCACATCGGTGGCTGTTCAACGCATTTGGTCGCATTTTGAACCCTGAGATCTGCATCCTCATCGATGCAGGTACAAGACCTGGACCGAAATCGCTACTTGCCCTCTGGCAGGCATTTTACAACGACAAAAACCTCGGCGGAGCCTGTGGTGAGATCCACGCGCTTCTCGGCCATCGGTGGAAGAAGCTTTTGAATCCTTTGGTCGCTGCGCAGAATTTCGAATACAAAATTTCGAATATTTTGGATAAGCCCTTGGAGAGCGCTTTCGGCTATGTCAGTGTACTTCCCGGCGCGTTTTCGGCGTATCGCTATCGTGCGATCATGGGCCGGCCATTGGAGCAATATTTCCATGGTGACCACACGCTTTCGGCGAAATTGGGTAAGAAGGGAATTGACGGGATGAATATCTTCAAGAAGAATATGTTTCTTGCTGAAGATCGCATTCTTTGCTTCGAATTGGTGGCTAAGGCTGGTAGCCAGTGGCGTCTGACATATGTGAAACCATCTAAAGGAGAGACAGATGTTCCTGAATTGCCAGCTGAGTTTTTGAGTCAACGACGCCGTTGGCTCAATGGCTCTTTTGCTGCGTCTCTTTATTCTGTCATACACTTCAACCGCATCTACAAGAGTGGGCATGGGATCTTTCGTTTGTTTGCACTCCATGTTCAATTGGTCTATAACATCTGTCAGTTGATCATGACGTGGTTTTCATTAGGTATGTTAATTCTATGTTGGTGACTTCTATAAAAGTCGGCATGGATCACTTACGCTTCCATTAGCATCCTACTGGCTTACAAGTTCGGTTATTTTGGACATTGTGGGCACGCCGAGTGGATCAAACAAGTTCCACGGCTGGCCTTTTGGCAATGATGCGACGCCGATTGTGAACAACCTGCTCAAGGTTGGATACCTGGCATTTCTCATGCTTCAATTCATTCTCGCTCTTGGCAATCGACCAAAAGGGTGCGCCTCATGCCTCTACAGATAGATTCTCACTAACGTGGAGAGATAGGTCTAAATTTCTGTATACACTTTCATTCCTATACTTCTCGGTGGTACAAGCCTACCTATTGGTGTTATCATTCTACCTCGTGGCTCAGGCATTAACTCCCGAGAATCTCAGCTTCGATTTCGACCATGGGTTCTCCGCCCTGGTATCTGGGTTTATTGGCTCGACCGGTGGTATCGTGCTAGTGGCCTTGGTCTCAACCTACGGGATCTACTTTATTGCCAGCATTTTATATGCTGATCCATGGCACATGCTTACTTCATCCTGGGCATATTTCCTCGGCATGCCCTCTACAATCAATGTTCTCATGGTATACGCATTTTGCAATTGGCATGACGTGTCATGGGGTACTAAAGGATCAGATGCGCCTGAGAAGCTTCCATCGGCGCAAACCAAGAAAGAAGATGAGACGCCTTTCGTGGAGGAGCTGGATAAGCCGCAAATTGACATCGATGAACAATTCGCGTCTACTGTGAAACGAGCTTTGACCCCTTGGAAGGAACCAAAAGACGATGAGGGAGTCGCTCTTGACGACTCGTACAAAGCATTCCGGACCAATTTGGTCTTGCTGTGGACTTTTAGTAATGGCTTGCTCGCGTTGTGTATCAACAACATGAGTATATCCAGACTTTGTTTGACAGTAGGTTACTTTCTGGTACTTCTGGGTATATGGGCTAACGGACTTAGTCTACTTCTACGGATCGGACGGCGTGGTATTTCAAAGTCATTCTGTGGGGTACTTCTGGTCTCTCTATATTCCGATTCTTCGGGGCGCTCTATTTCTTGGCGAAAACGGGGGTTTTGTGCTGTTTCTCTAGGAGATAATGTCATTCCTGAGTCAAATACGACATGTGATTGTGCTATACTTTGAATATTGCATGGACTACGTGATCATCCATCCCCGGTTACAATCTCGGTAGTATTTATAGCTATCAGCCCTGGAGGTCGCCGAGTTCTTCTATCTTTAGATTGCATGCAACGTAATAATGATCAATTCAACTGCTGCCAAAGTTGTTGAGCAGAACGTCACGTACCATGCTCTCAGTCTTTCATCTCTAAAGCAGGAACTTGTAATACGTGTGTCACCAACCCCAGGGCGCCCAACCTGAATGACATTCAATCCTATAATTGTACCAGATCTAGATCCTCGTACACTTGAAATGTATGAGTATCCGGTACGGACCGCATACTCTACTCGTCACGGAGTATCGGGACTCCGCAAGCCGAATACTCCATTAATACGATCTATTTAAACTATTTTACGAATGAAACCAGGGCTGTGGCTGTGTGGCTGTGACCGCTAATTAAAGCAACAAACTACACGGCTCATCAAGCCCAAGGCCATTCTAGATTTAGGTTCTTCACCTAAAATATCTTCTACACATACTCACCGACCATTGTTGGGTGATAAGAAGGCTTGCAACAGTAAACGTGTCTAGAAAGTGCTGGTGGGGAACTTTTTACTATGGGCTTGGTCCGTGCAGACCATTTTTACTAGCAATTAAGGGCCCAGTTGAGGGCCATTTCTCGGAATTTTCGGGACTTGGTCGGAAGATTGCCAAATGTTCCCCCCGCCCCCTGTTCCGGGCATGCTTTGGGCTAGCTCTAACCAACGCGTCAGGGCACCCCACCTGGGCTTTGGCATCAATATCATAAGTGCAGGGGGCAAGACACTCGATTTGGCGCCTACGAGGATGACTTTGTGGATTTTTTCTGAACGCATCCTTTTTGCACGTAGTATAATCAGTAGATGGCGAAAAATGTTGTATGCATTCTGGCAAATAATTGTGATTTATGATTTATTCAAGTATATCATGCACTGTCTTAATGACAATTTATTCAAGGAATTTATTAAACCCGACTTTCCCTCTTGCCTTAAAAGCGGAGACTGAGTGTGCTAAGCTCAAGAGCGAGGTGGAAGTCCCGGAGCTCCCGAGGTCAGGGAGCTGAGGGTAGGGGGACGAATGATTGAGCAAGCCTACACTGATGCGGAGTACTCCGTACAGGTCCCTAAGGCACTTGAGCATTAGCGATTGCCGAAGCTGCCAAGGTACTACAAAGCCGAGTCTGCAAAACACTATTAAAACACTTACGTCTACTCTCTCGTATTGATTCCAGCGTGGGGCAAAGAAAAGCCTATACAGCGGTTGGAGCCGATTTACTCCACGAAGAAGCCTACTATCACTCTAGTCTGTAATAGGTTGGCTTTGGAAACCTGTGAACGAGTGCCTAACGATGCCAAGAACCGGATGAAACCTGCCAAGTTGATCAATACTGGCTGTGTCTCGATTTTCTTGGCGAACGAATTTTCTCAGTTGATTTTTATTCGAAGGGTCCACTTTCATGCCCCATATTATACATGGCTTTCGCTCTCTAGTTAACAGATCAGAATGATGTCGAGTGATACTTCTAAAGGGTCTTTAACGGTGGTATGACAGTCCGAAACAAAAATGAGATTCCCGCTAATGTACTCCGTAACTGCAGTGTGATCTGTGCCACTCACGCAAGGTATGACATACGCATTTCATGAACGAGCCCTACTCATCACATTACAGGTCCGCTGTGATCGAAAAGATCCTTGTGGGAACTGCCAGGATGCAGAGATTCCATGTGAGCGCCAACGAGCAGCAAAGCGTCGATGCACAGGCAAACCTCGTCGGGAAATTTCGAGTCCCGGTCCCTCTCGGATTGCTGAAATTCAAAGTATCCCAAATGAGTTCGATGAATTGGTGACACCAAACGAGATGGTGCCCTTTGTACCAATTTCTCGGGCGAAGTATCAACCCAATGTGTTGATGGCGCCCACTCAAATCCTATATGATCCAGTTTATGATGCTCAGTCGACTATTCAGCGTCAATTGCGCCAGTTACCAGGACTGACGCTGGACAGACGCAGTGTGTTGGAGACTGCTCTGTCTGTCATGAATTTATTATCCGACAACACCCGGATCATACAAGAAACTCAGAGTGGCAATCAGGGCGCAGGATCGCCACGAATTCCGCCGACTGAATTCCTTGCCTGGATGTTAAAAGGTATGCTGTTCAAGTATCCTGTTGCAAAAGGAAATCCCAATCTAAATTTCATGCAGATATTCCGACCGACAGATTTGGGCCCTTTGTCGCAGACTATTTCAGGCACCTTTCAACAGGCACTTTGAAGCGCATGGGACTTGCACTCCTTCGCAAGAAAGCATCACCCCATGAGTCAATCATTTACACGGTGTGCGTCAACGCCGTTGCCTACAAGTTCCTCACAACCGTCATCAGCCTCGAAGACGATCCCGACCTCGCTCTGGAGCTTCGGAAAAACGCTACAGAGTATCGAGCAGCCGCTCAAACGGCATTAAAGCAGATCCCACTCCTCATTCCGCCTTCACTTGGGCTACTACAGGCAGTTCTATGTGGAGTAAGCTACCTCAATCCCTCATTCCTTCACTGTCCTCAACTAACTGTCCAGGTATTCCTCCATCAGGGATCCGGTGATGTCGGACTGAGCGGCGATCTCACCAAAGCCGCCTGCAAAACCTGCACAGATCTAGATCTTCCGGGGACTGTCTTACGGGGACACGCGACCGAGGAGGAACTTTTCTGCTTCCTGTGGTGTTACACCTTGGACAGAAATCATGCTTACAAAGTCCGCACTTCACGATGTCTGCTCGATGTTCATCTTCCAGCCACATTCGCAGATCTATACCCTACTTTCCCCAATATTGCCGAACTGCTTTTGATCTACCTGGATCTAGCTCGAGTTCAGGATACAGTGGTATCATATCTTCCTGACTCGACCGCACACCATGCTTTGTCTCTATATGAGACCGGCGAATACATGCTTGTGCAAATGCAATACATCCAGCAACGTTTGAACCAAGTGAGCTATCTTCTTCTTTATCCTAATGCCTTGCTAACTCCCTCCAGCTCGACACATTATCATCAGAGTGGAAAGGCCTCGATCGCCAAACAGAAATGTCAGCCCTAAGATTCGCCTACCAATCCGTAATGACCGGTATCCTGTACCTCCTCCAAACAGACTCCGATCAACCCCCTCGCTCAACAGACGGATATCTCCAATCAGCACGCCAGGAGCTCTCAGCCTTAGTCTCAATGTGTCACACAGCAGAAAAGCAAACAGCCGTCGCCTTCTTGAATTGGTAACAATCCTCAATCCTCAATCTGTTTCCAAGGCTATTCTAACATCCTCAGGACAATCCTCCTATACCCCGCAACAGCATACCTAGTCCTCTTCTGCAACGTCGTGGCAACATCCGATATCGGCGATTTCAACCTCATGAAATCCATTGCTGACTGTCTATCCCAGTCAGGCATCAGTTACCCTCTTGTGCAACTGCGCACTCTATTCCAGAACTTTCTGGGTCTGTCACAGGGTTTCTTTGGTGATGAACGCAATATGCAACTCCTGGCTGAACCGGATACCTCGTACCCGGTTAACCCATTTATGATATGGGATAACACCGAATTTTCATTTGATGAAAGCTTCTCTGGCATGCTGGGCATGTCGGAGACTGAGCTTTTGTTGCCATATGGGGATTTGCTTTGATCTGTATGATCTGGTATTGCCTGCAGGCTGGCTTCGAAAGTTCTACTTAAGTATCGGCATATTGTTTTTTTGGAGTTTTGAGCGCATACTAAGTAGAAACTAATGCTGAGCATCCTATGTCTGGATATATACGGATTCGTCGATCTTGAAAAGTATTCCTACGTTCTGGTTTGGTATGTACATACGGGTATGTACGTGTGGTAAATGACGCGGGTTATATATTCTGACCGAAAATGACCACACTACAACATGAAACCCTATCTTTACAGGTTTTTAGGAATCGAAGCTTCATCAATGATGATAACTGGACAAATTAAAGTCTATGGATAGAACGAGATTGGAAAGACCGAATTCCAGAGTTACGGGAACAATATCCCAATGTTCATTACGAAAGTCATTAGCTACGTCCTCTAGTCCAGGTCCATATATAGATCCGAACAACTACACAGCAAACCTCAAAAACGCAAATGCTTGAATATTTGAAAAATAACAGAACCGAGCTGATCTCAATAGCAACGTTGAAGAGATAACATAACGAAAAAAATACCCTACTGGGCCATACCGATTAAGACGGCCGCGAAAGAAATACATCAGAAGCAAGAATGGGAATAGTTTCACACGAAAGAAGCAAAAGGACCACAGGGCTCATCATCAGCTGTGGTTGTCGGGGGCACATAAGGGGGGTCAAGAGCGGGTTGAAAACAAAGAGCCGATGGGCACTCCGAGTCGTATAACGTTGCGCCGCAAAACAGGGCAAAGAGAAACACCGTTTTCCCAGCGTTTGAAGTCGAAGTTAAGAAGCATAAACTCGCTGAATAACGAATAAGACATCATGGGTTGATCATGCAACCTAGTTGACACGGAATGAGTCGAAGATCACTGATAAGTGTTAGCTTAGGGTTCAATGGGATTTAATGAGGGTGTGATTACCTTCATGGCCTCGGCGGCATCCGCTGCCAATCCACATGAGTGTGTTCAAGAAAGTGTACCGTTCATCGCCGGTTTCCATGGACAAGTTCACTCGGTACTTGTAGCTGCCTGGGTTGACGCCATCTGCCATGTTGGAGTCGATGACCTTTTCGAGGACATCCTTGGCGCCGGTCAACCAGCCTTCCGTGCGGACAATGATAAATGCAGGTGGCTCGTCAACGGTTTGGAGGATATAGTTGGCACGAAGGTTGGTAGTTGAGTCCTTGGTCACAAGCTGGGTATCTTGACCACCAGGCTGTATACAGTTAGAGCTGAAAGAGCTTCATGCGACACATGTGAATTAGCTTACCAGAACAATTCCCTTACCCCACCGACCAGCCCACTGGCCTCCGAGGAAAGAAACCCATTCGCGCTGACCCCAGATCCCAGGGCCGACGGAAACCTTGGGGTTCATCTTGATACTCATGCGGAAGTCCAATTCCAGCGTCGGCGCAGGAATCTGTAGCGACCGCGCCACATCTCCTTCGGGGAACGTGTGCAGCAGGTTGTTGGCTGGGATTGAGTCTTTCATGACACTCAGGTAGGTGGGACATTCGAGCAGATGCTGGCGCTGGCGACTTGTGTTCTTTGCGCGCACTTGTTGGCAGTAAATACATTGCACAGACAGGCACTTATCTTCTTCTTTGGCGCGGAATTCAACTAAAAAGAAAAGGATGAGTATCTAGAAACGGACCCGCAGGCTGGAGATCGATTGATCTTACCGAATCTGATTGGTCAGCGTGGTTTGAGTCAATGGGCAGGAAGAACACTTACGCAGCATGTACGTCGTCGAGGGGAGGCGCAGGCAGACTCGAAGTCGAGTTCTTAGATTTTGGTTTCGGGGTTGGGCGGGATGGAGCGGCACTGGGTGGTGCTGAGGGGGGGCCGGTCGGCGGCACGGGAGTGGCCATCGCAGCGCGATTTTGGAGAGCCTGAAGCGGCGCTTGCAACGGGGTGGCATGAGGGTTGACACCGTTGGTCATCAAGGTGCCATTCGGAGTTCCAATCGTACCGGGCCCAGCTGGGCCTGATGGTGTGGCTGTTGGGCCATTCGGGGTGCCGGGGTATCCATTGGGAGGACCGATTCCGTTGGGCGCTGCCTGGGGAGGTTGAGACGGTTGCGGCGCGTTAGGATGGCCGCGCAAGCCAGGACATTCGAGAAGATGTTGTTTTTGTCGCGACGTATTCTTCGCGCGGATTTGCTGGCAGTAAATACATTGAACTGAAAGGCACTGAAATACGCGTTTCCTGTATTAGCACCATAACACACGTGTACGAGGGTTTGGAAAAGGCGTCTTCTCGTACTTTGTCATCCTCCTTTGCTCGAAACTCAACGAAGGCGGCATGCACCTCTTGATCAACAGTCCGACCCATGGTTTCGAGGGTTTCGGGGGGAACTCGAGCTGGTTGTGAGCGTGAAGTCGTATAGGTTTGGTATATCATGCGGATTTGAAGTTACCAGCGGGTATCTGGTCACGTGTAGACTGACTCAGCGCCCCCCACTTCAATTTTACACTCGACGCTTATGTGTATTTTCGATTCTTCAAATATTCTGTTATTCAAAAGGGTTGGGAAACAAAGAGAGAAATTTGATGGTATTGAAGGGTAATAAGTATCACCACTTCATTGAGTGGCGCTCAATGGACATTCCAAACCCCGTCAATTTTGATACATTGATACACCATTACTTGTCCACATTGAGATAGTTTTATATTTCAATTCAGAATATAGGCAGAATCCAGAATTGAGCAAAATCCCAGGCCATTCCTGAATTTGATCCTTTAAATCACCAATGACACGCGTTTTGTATCTATATGTCCAGATGTCGCGTTATAAAAGCGACATCAGGTGTACAGTCAAGCACGAGATAGCGCTGAGTAAGGGCCACGTGACACGGCCTTTCCAACTCATAAGGCTGCCCAGGTGCCAGGCTGACGTTCGCAAAGTGCTCATTGCCCTCAAATCTTGACCGTCCATTCAAAGATACCTCAGTAGATGCATGGTCAACCAGAACACCCGTATCAATGGCGTGTCAAAAAAATAACTCACGTTATCTGCCCTGAGCCCGATGCATCATCTCAAGCGAACGGGTCGGGGATTACTTACTATGATTGGGCTTAGTGGGGATTCTTGCAATCAAGTCTCGCACAAGCAGAAATAGCAAGAATTCAAATCTTATAGATCTGTTTCTGTTTCTGTTCGTGTTTTGATACTTAAGTATACCATCACAGGGAGTACTTAAAGTGTACGTACGGTTTCATTACTGTTCCAAGGTTCAAGATCCTGAGGTATTGTTATTACTCCGAAGTACTGCAGTATCGTATACCCGTCTCCCCACCAGTACGGAGTACAAGTACCTGAGTACAACTGGTTATTCCTGTATGGAAAAGTAAATATTGAACACGCCAGTGGTGTGAGATGTGAATTGATCTGTTCTGATAGTCTGACATTGCAAGTCAAACGCTAGGCCATTTCTCAATACCTAGACCGAGGTAAAACTCCCAAAACATGGTGATTTACCCCGTTACCCTACCATGAAGTCTGTTCAGCACTTTTGCAATTGCTTCATAACCTAACCTAGGAATTATGGATAATAATACATAGTACCTAATGATAGAAAACTCCCCTCGAAATCGCTAAAGAATATCAAACCACGCCCCTTCACACCCCCGTAAATCGCAAGTGAATCTCCCCATACAGACCAGACTCATCAGACCATTCACCCCGATCCTGATGAATACACACCACCCCCTTCGTAGCCAGCGTAAGCACATGAACCAATGCCTGCGTCGCAACCGCACGCGTCGTACTAACCGGCGGCATCAAGCCAGCAAACGTAATAGAACCAACTCGACCGACCGGGCTCGCCAGCGGACTAAGACTGATTCCTTTTTCACCCATTCGCGATTTCATAAATTCAAAGAAATGCAAACTCTCTGCATCAAGACTCGCCTTGACACCCCGGACTGACCTTGGCGAAATAGAACTGATATCCCCCCGGTCTGTGGCAAGCTCACCCTCCAAATACCGAGTGAGATCTAGATCGTCTCCGAAATCAAGATCTTCGATATCCCGGTATCCACGACCAGCGAGGGGACTTGCGCTCGCGAGACGACTGCGTCCTTTACGAGATGAGATCTCACTGCTGCCGAAGCGGCGTGGTCGAAGTGAACTTTTGATTGAGGCTGTGATATTCCATGGCATTTGGGAGGATCGGTCGTCTAGAATACTAGATGGTGCATCACGACCTACTTCGTCCATGTTGTGTCGATCGAGGTTGGCACGACTTAGTTCTTCTTCTTTAGTGCGGACGTTGCGTTCGGGATTCTCGTCTGTGTGTTTGCGTTTGCGTTGGCAGACTGCGTCCAGGAGAGATGTGCCTGAGAAGTTGTTTAATGGGTGTTGTGAGTGGTGGACACCTAGGCCGATTCCGACAGAGCCGATTCCTTGGCCGAAGACCCAGAATGCGGCGTTTTTCTTGGAAATGCTGGGGTTCTTGGTTTGTTGCTTTTGTTTGCGGGCTTCTGTCATGTTGGCTACGTAGTCGCTGTTCCAGCGGCCTAGTTCCATGTTGCGGAGGGAGGTTGCTTCGTCGGTGATTATTACTTTTGGTTGTCGGATGCGACGCATTTGAGTAGGTTGGATGTCGACTTGCATGGGAGGGACATTGTTGGCATTTGGTGGGATATGCGTGTCGATATCCATCTGGTCGTTTTGGACAGGAGGATCATCAACGAGCATCTAGTACTTGATTAGTTCAGGTTGTCTTCAAATCCCCCAAGTACTCACCTGATCATCCCAGAGCTGATCCTGGACTTGCTGCTCGGATATTCCACTCTGTTTAGCATTCTTGCGTGGAGATACGACCTTCCCAAGCTCGATTAAATTCCCATCCTCATCGAACTCAAAGTCCGGCTGGAGAAGAACACCCTCTTCCAATCCAAGCGCGGCAATCTGAACAGTGACATCCTTTCTCGGTTTTTCAAGTCCCATGATACTGTCTTCACCAAGCCCCGCATCTGAAGGGATTTCAAGCCGCAAGCTCGAAAGCTGCGACCCCATCGACAGACTATTGACCGGCGACCTGCTCCACAGACTACTCATCTGGGAAGTGTCATCGCCCGAAGCGAAAGCAGACATATCAATCTCCAGGCCTGGGAGACCAGTCTCAGGGAGGAAGGACGGGTCGTAGGGCAGGAGTAAGGTATTCGGTCTACAGTTGTTAGTAAACTGAGAACATGCATGCGTGTTAAACTCACTTTGCTTGTCCGGCAGTGGGATCAAGACCTGTTCCCTGGATGATCTTCAACTGCGTGACCATTTTGTCGTGCATGGCCTGCGTATCTAGGAGGGTATAGCCGCATTGCTGGTTGTAGACTCTAGACACGCCGTATCTGTGTCTCGTTAGCATGGCGACAATTTTGAGGACTGTTGGTGTGTATCTTACAGTAGACTGCCTTGGAGTCGGAGGGCCATTGGTGCTTCGGGGTTGATGATGACCCTGCATGCGTTGGGAACGTCCACATCCTGGATGGCCTTTCTATTGAGTCGTCTGGAGACAGAGCGGGAACCTAGAGTTGCGACGAGCCTGTGGAGATTAGCACCGGGGAGGAGACTGGTTGATGGATTCTTACCAGATGGTTGCGACACCGTGCTCGGGTGATGTGAGGACTGGATAAACACATCAGTATCAATATCGTGGTTGTTGTTTTGCGTGCGTACTCTCATGGCTGTAGAACATTTTTGAAATGCGGACTCGAGTGACTGCAGTCGCCCGAGTGTCGGTACTGTGTTGCAGAGTGTTTTTTCAGGTTTCAGGTGATGGGTGTGTGTGTGAAGGAGAGTAGAGGGAGGAAGAGGGAGAAAGAAAAGAGATGGAGAGTTGAGAATTCACCAGGTGCAAGAGTTGGGTTGACTACATTTCAGACCAGACCTGCGATGAGCACCAATTATTATTCCTTCGAATTAGCTTGATTAGCTTGATTCGCATCACCTAGTCCAGAATCCATGTCTATAGAAATACCAAAGGGAAATTTTCAGAAACCAGAAAATCGAACTCTTTTGACACAAATATAAACGAAATCGACTATGGAAGACCCAGACATAACCAAATCTCCGACCCACGCGATGTAAAATGTGCAGGGTATGAGACAGAAGACATGCAAGTAGACACAAACATACAAAGCTACTGATTGTCTAGTCGAGGGGAATACCCTCGTACTCAGAGTAGCCCAGAGCCAAGTTCATGTTTTCTGCGGAGGTTAGCAAAATCCCGACCAAAGGACAGCAAGGAGAACTTACGCAAGCACTGGGTGGCGGCACCCTTGAGGAGGTTGTCGATGGTAGCGCAGACAACAACACGCTCACCGCTGGAGTGGACGGCGAAGCCACCGATCTCGACGCCGTGGCGACCGGCAATGTCCTTGACGAGAGGGGCCTCGCCGACGATCTTGACGAGCTTCTCGCCGGCGTAACGGTCCTGGTAGAGGTTACGGATGTCACGGGAGGTCATCTTCTGCTTCAGGGGAATGCTGATGGAGTGCTGCAAAAGGATGAGTGACGTTCCGGGGGAAATGTCGACGGGAAAGAAAAACTTACAGAAATGCCCTGGAACCAGACTGCGACGTGGGGGATAAAGGCAATGGAGGTACCCAACTGAGCGCTGATCTCACGCTCGTGGATGTGGTCAGTCAGACTGTAAGGAATGAGGTTGTTGGTCAGGAACTGGACGTCGTTCTTGGGGCTGGGCTTGGTGCCAGCACCAGAGTATCCAGAGACACCGAAGGAGGTGGGCTGGCCGCCGAGGAAAGGAACGAGAGGAGCAATGCCGAGCTGGGCTGCGGTGGCGTAGCATCCAGGGTTGGCGATACGGGTGGCACGAGCGATCTTGGAGCGCTCAACCAGCTCGGGCAGACCGTAGGTCCACTTGGGGTCGAAGCGGTAGTCGGCGCTGAGGTCGACAATGACGTTACCCTCCTTGGCACCCTCGTCAACGGCATCGACGAAAGGCTTGCAAATACCGTTGGGCAGAGCCATCACCCAGCAGTCAATGTCGCCGTTGGCGGACATCTTGCGAACGTCCTCGGGGCTAAGGTTCTCGTAGATGATCTCACGCTTCTCGTAGCCCTGGAGCTTCTTGCCGGCCAGCTCACGGGAGGAGACGTGGCGGAGATCCATGTTGGGGTGGGCGTTGAGCAGGTTGATCAGGGCCTGGCCAGTGTAGCCACGGGCACCGATGAGGGCGACCTTGGCGGGGCGGGTGTTGGAGTTGTTCTTCTCTCCGAGAGGGGGGTTGGGGTTAGTGGTGGAGTAAGAACGGAAGGCGTTGACCGAGACGGCGGGACGAGTGCGGTTCATGCGAAGAGCGTTGGAGACGCTGGAGAATCCGCGCTTCTGCTCGGCGGAAGCACCGCTAGCACCGAAGCCCTTGCCCATGTTGGCGGCAGCCTCGGCAGCGCGGTGGAGACGGGACTCAAGGTTGATGTCACCAAACATCTGGCGACCGTGCTGGTTGAACTCCTGAACCAGCTGCTTGACCTCCTCGCCGTTCTCAGCACCGTACCAGAAGAGGACCTGGCCGTCACGGCTCAGGCTACCGTCGGCCTTGTCGAAGAACCAGGTGAGGTTCTCGTCGTCTTCCTTGACAGTCCAGGCGAGCTTGGGGAAGTCCTTCTTGATGCTGGCGAAGACGTTGTCGGCGACGTTGGTCAACCAACCGGACTTGGTGATGGTGAAGGTGGCCAGGTGGGCCATCTGGGAGCCAGGCTGGGGAGGAAGAACCACTCCGAGGGCCTCCATGGGCTCATCGTAGAAGATCTTGAAGTCCTTCTCCTTCATGCCCTCGACGTAACGGTCGACAACGGCACGGGCGTCAAGGCCCTCACGGTCCCGAATGAGCACCTCCTTGAGGGCGTTCATGTCCTCGAACTCAGAGAGGCTGGTCTTGACGTGGATCTTGTTGCCGCGGCGGATCAGGGTACCGGCACCGGAGTCAGTGAAGAGCTCCTTCTGGAGATCGGCGGGGTGAATGATCGCGACACTCGACGAGCGAGGCAGGTCGCTCAAGAGGTCCTTCATTTCCTTGATCTTGAGACGAGTGCCGTGGCGAACCCACCATTGGTTCATGAGGTGGTCGTACTCCTCATCGAGGTTGATGGCGGAAATCTTCTCACCGGTGTCACCGTTGAACAGACCACCCTTCTCGGCGAGGTAGACGATCTTGAGGGGCTGCAGGGAGCGGGCCAGCTCACCGGCCGCGACGTCCGCGTTCACGTTGAGGACCTGACCGTCGCAAGTCTCGGCCATGGAGGTCAGAATAGGCAGACAGCCAGCAGCAATTGCGGACTCAATGGGGGCCTTGTCGACACCGTTGATCTTACCGACCAAGTTGTACTTGGGCTTGTCCAGGTAGTCTGCCGAGAAGACACCCGCGGTGATGGGGCGCGCACGGATGCCAATGCGCTCGAGCTCCTCCACCAGCTTCATGTTCTCCTCCAGGAACAGCTTGCGGGCCAATGCCAGGGTCTTGCCGTCCGTCACACGAATTCCATCCTCGAATTGGGGCTCGACTCCGGCTGCCTCCAACATGCGGTTGAGCTGGGGGCCCGCGCCGTGGACGACGATCGGGTAGAGGCCGACATGGTTGAGGAAGGCGAGAGCAGAGGACAATGTCTCCAGGTGCTCGGTAATAATGGCACCACCGACCTTGATCACGGCGAATTGCTGGGAGGAGACGGAGGTGAAGTGGGAGAGGTACTGCTGGACCTCGCGCTTGGAACCAATGTTGCTCAGCAGCTGCACGACGGTGCTGCGAGTGGCGGTCAGGTGCGGATCGGTAGCGCGCGAGTAGGTGCGAGTCTGGCGGAGGGAAGTGGCCTTGCCAGCCGAGACTCGTAGACCCGATGCGGAGAGGTTACGGAGGGGCTTGCACGAAGCTCTCCGCACAGCGGAGCGAAGGGACATCATTGTGGCAACACACATGCGGCAACCTCCACGGTCACAGGTGAGTATCCCCCAAGGGTTGAGAAGAGAGTTTTAAGAAAGGTGAGTCAAGAGAGAATTTGACCGTCCGGACCTCGGAGGGTCCAATGACGGGGGGACAAGGCGGTGGAGACTAAGCGATTTTATCTTTACGTGCACCTTTTGTTTCTATGACTGTTCTTTTTTATAGTATTAACTACTAGTAGTTATGTACTGAGCTATTTTCTTTATTTTCTAGCCTATCTTTCTGCACTTATGAGCTATTTCTCATTTCCAATCATGTTTGCTTTTTTGTGTGTCTACTACTCTTGTTAACCCTCACCTCTGGCGCCGTAGCCGGAACCACAAAATACGAAAAGACTTAGAAAAAAAGAAAAAAACCCGCGCTTTTCTCGGAACCAATATTACTTTTCGTCTAAGACGTACTCTTAACCCCGAGTCCACTCTGGAACTCTTGAAACGTCAGCCCACTCTGGTCTAGTCTAAGTTATCTGATCCTATCCCTCTCTCTCACTCGTTCCCTGCAGACACCGCTATCCACTTCCCTCCACCCGGTCTGGATCTAGTTTCTCCCTGTCTGCGCTTCTTTCCGACGGCACACACACAGAACGGCCCTCAATGGCTTGCTGCCGAATCCTGGTGGACACAGATTTCGTGCCAAGAGCTTCCCGAGTATTATCTGATTTTTTTCTGCCCGGCTGATGGTATCCCGATGGGCACACGGTCGAAATTTCCGAACTTGTAAATTGCGACCCACTGAGAGAATGGAAGAGACTCATAGGGCAGAGAACTCGGAAGTTGGGCGTCAGTGGGAAGAGAAGCTGAAGGACCCTTAGACCACGTGGGAAACATGCGTCTCGGAACGGAACCGAGGACTTTGACAGAGTAGCTTATTTACATCTGTTCTTCACACGTGAAACTTGACAATGGTGTAAGGAGTATGGAGTATGGAGCTCCGTGGATTGCGAAATATGCTGCAGGCAATCACTGCATGTGACCTGTCTATTCAGTGGAGCTACGGACGCAATACGGGGTACCGGAGGACGGAGTGCGGATTGTGCAGAAACAGCACGCCAAAGATCGATTGAAGAGCCAAGAGCAATAAACATACTGAAACACGGCATCAAGTATCATTTACATCACTGGTGAGTCGCAGACACCCATATTCGGATCTCGTTTCGTGGGAAAAAGTCAAGATGTGGTCATTGAAAACACGCCCAGAAAAAAAGAATAACAGCAGGAGGTATTAACGGCTGGGAACAGAAAGAGGCCCCACGGCCCTACAGGAAACCCAGTAAAATTCAAGAGTCCATGTCAAAAGAGAAGTCGTAAGCCGCGCGGGCATTAGTGCCCCCGGGTGGCAACCACTGGACAGGGTTAGTATCGAGTTTCAAGTGTTGAATCTCCGAGTCGGCAGGCGCTTACCAGAAGGCACGATAATGACAATCAGGAGGACGATGACGCAAATGACCAGGCACACGCGCATCTTCATATCCTTCCACCACATGTCTTTGCGCACGCGATTGGCGCCGCGGCGGAAACCCTGGGCTGAGACAGCCAGGTTGTCGGTCTTGTCCTGCAGAGAGTCGAGGTTCTCACCACGTTGCGACACCTTGTTGATGTTTTCGCGCATCACACCGACGGTGTCATCGATTTGCTGGAGAGAGTTAGGCCTGATTTGGAGACCCCAGCCTTCGCATTTCCAAACACAACAATCGGTTCCAAGGTCCCCTGATCATCTGCGATCATGGCCATGCGATTGTTGACATGTCTTCGAAAAGGCTCTCCGGGTGTAGGGTGTAGGGTGCCACTCACTGCTTGCAATGCGGCGGTACGCTGGTTGCCATTCTGGCCGTTGCCCTGTGCTCCGTTGGAGCCGGAAGGGATATAGGGGTCGTAGGGTGCTTCGTTTTGAACCATTATGAAAGTCGTGAGGTGATCTGAGAGAAGCTCAGATGTGGGTTGGCGAGATGTCGGAGTTGTCTAGATGACCTTGGAGCAGTAGGGGTTGCTCGGTGTTGACTTGGATCGCAAGAGAGATTGGGGGGAGGAAGTGGATGCAGGAGAGATCTATGAGTGGAATGATGTCACAAGATCTGGAGATCACGATGTAGCGTAACGGCAAGCGTCGGATGAGATTTGGGGATTCACGGTTGTTGTCTTGAAGCTGACAAGTTGAGGTTGCCGCTGAGGCGGTTGCCCAGCGTCACGTGTTGTGGCGTTGCCTCACAAAGCGCAGGCTTCCGGCATTGAGTCTACTCCATTACTTAGGCAATTCCAATCCTAATATTAGATCCATTGGGCTTCAATTTGGGTTGAATACTTTGGATTCACGAGGTTGCTTCTCCTATTCACATAGTTCCATGGTCCTTCAATGTTGCTCAGGGTGAATAATGACTAAGGACAACATGTTACAAAACGTTTGAACACTTCAACAAAGCATTGAATTTGAACTCTTTATCAAAAACTGTTTCCTGGTTATTCCATACTTTTTACTCTGTACTTGGTGTTCTATGTTTTTCTCTACCACCGGAAGAGTGGAAATATATGTGGCTGCCTCCCTGTGCCGCGAAAAGCCGTTGCTTAAGAAACGCCTATTTTTAGCACTTTTTCGGTCTTATGTCATTCCATACTTTGGCCAACATTTGAATACTTCAACATATGCTCTCCTTTTCTAAGTACTTTCTCTCTGAACCTTGGAAATATCCTCTGAAATCAGGCTATAACTATGGATACTCTCATTGTCAAAATGTCCTTCCGAAAGGCGGCCTTGCCTCTATAACCTTGGACATCAATTACGACGCCATCCTCTCACATATTTACTGACAATCCATTCGATCCAGCCACGACTTCAAGGAATATCTAAGTGAATATTTCATGGAAATTACTTGAACACTAGCTCCCAGCGGCTCTCAGAATATCGAATACGCATGCAAAGACCTAAACCTTGCACCACTGACAGGGTGCCCTCGAGGCTGACCTTGGCGGCCCCAACTAAGAATTATGGGCACCTGGGCACCGGATACTTAAGATTGGCATGTATCTTTCAACTTAGAACCTCATGGGTCTCCCAGGCCTGTAGCAATCAATCCGTGGGCTCATGGGTCTACCTAAGTATGACTCCTGAAGTCAGCCCATAACTCCAACCACCAGAGCTCACCTGTCAATGTACAAAAAGTACCCGCCAAGCCCAAAACTTCGGCTATCGACCATTCGTTTCATCCTTCGACGATCTCTCTCCATACTCCAAGTACAAGGGCCTTTCGCCCGGGTCATTCGGCCCCATGCGTGAGGCTCTCACTCGCTGCGTACTTGCACATACCCCATAGGGTGACCAGGTTGGTGTCCGCCCCCTGTTCAAAGAATGGCCCTACTCGCACACCCCGCGGCCCCATACTTGATTGCTACCAACTCAGCCCATAGCAAACAAAAAAATAGAAAATAATTTCCAAGGCGGCTGTGCGTCTTGACAATCTTTGATTTATATTCTCATATCCTCTTTCCTTCACGTATATGTCTTTTCAATTCCTCCCATTATGATATACCCAAGACAGTCATGGGGTGTGCTAATTATTCTGTCTACACTGGGGGCCAAATTGACGCAGGCGTCTATTACCCTCGACCTGGACGATGACGGTGTGTCAAGTCGAGCTGAATAACCCCAACGAGCCATTCTAAACGAATTCAGATTCCATCAAGGCAGCTGCGAAAATCGCCGCCTCTGGCATGATGGATTACTATACTGGTGACCAACCAGGAGATGTACCAGGAAACATCCCAGACCCATATTACTGGTGGGAAGCCGGGGCAATGTTCGGCGCCATGGTCGAATACTGGTATTACACTGGCGACGACCATTGGAACAACATGACCACCGAAGCACTCCTGCACCAAGTAGGCGACAACAATAACTTCATGCCGCAGAACCAGACACTGTCCCTCGGAAACGATGATCAGATCTTCTGGGCCTTTGCGGCTATGGCTGCTGCAGAACTGGGATACCCTGATCCACCAAAAGACCAGCCACAGTGGTTGTCGCTCGCGGAGAATGTGTTCAATTCGCAGGCTACGCGCTGGGACACGGAGACTTGTGGTGGTGGCTTGCATTGGCAGGTCTTTGAGTATAATGGTGGATATTCTTATAAGAACACTATCTCCAATGGAGGGTTTTTTGATGTCGCTGCTCGGTTGGCGAGATATACGGGGAATGACACGTTCGCAGAGTGGGCGGATAAGGTCTGGGATTGGACGAATGCTATGGGGTTCATTGATGATGAATGGCATGTCCATGATGGTGCTGATAGCAAAGATAATTGCACTGAGGTCAATACCTCGCAGCATGCATATCTGCCTGCGGTTTATCTCCACGGTGCAGCGAATATGTATAACATAGTAAGTGTTCGGCAGGGATGTTCAACATCATACTTAAGTGATACCTCAGTATCCATGACCTCGAGCATATCCATGACTTACATACGACAGACCAACGGATCCGATATCTGGAAGCAGCGAATAGAAGGCCTCATCAGCGGACTGGACACCTTCTTCCCGGATAACACAGACGTCATGTCTCAGCCCTGTGAACGAGGGAAGTGTGACCTCAACTCTCGGTCTTTCAAAGCCTATCTAGCACGTTTCATGGGTGCAACCATTCCCCTCGCTCCGTTCACGCAGGGAAGACTACAGTCCAAGATCCGAGGATCCTCTACCGCCGCCGCCGAGCAATGCAATGGGCCCAATAATGCCTGTGGGCTGGTTTGGACTGACGGGACCAATTACAAAAGTAGTACTGGCATTGGTGAACAGATGGCGGCGCTGGAAATCTTCAAGGCCAACTTGGTACATACCGTCAAGGCACCTGTCACCCACAACACCGGGGGTACAAGTGAAGGTAATTCAGGGTCCAGTGGTGGGGGCAATAGCAGTACGGTTGATAGGGATATTCGGACTCGGGCGATTACGACGGGGGACAAAGCTGGTGCAGGCATTGTTGCTGCTCTGGCTGTTTTGATGCCTGTTGGTGCTGGTGTGTTCATAATTGTAAATTCTTGAATCAGGATCTGGATCTAGAAGATCAATGAATATATTTCTTCCAAGATTAGAGCTCTGAGATGTCGAGATAACTTTGGAAGTAGGCAAGGTTAATGAAAGATGCTGATACCTTCCCAAATCAACTCTTTGACTTCGGCCCCCAGACTTGGCCGAGACTTTGTCCGAACTCGGGCTTGGATTTACAGCTCCTCGCAGATAGTGGGAAGCTTGTTTTTTTTTTCTTTCTTTTTGAATAGGTGTTGGTGCTGACTACTTAAGTACCAAATACCCTCGCACCCCATCTTCTCTCTTAATAAAAATTATACCATCATATATATATTGTTTGTCTGACAATCAACACAACATGGCCGCCCCCCACCCCACCATCGTCCTGGTCCACGGAGCATGGCACACTCCACCAAACTACCAGAGCTACACAGATGACCTCCAAGCAGCCGGATTCACTGTGCATTGTCCCCGCCTCCCAACCTGCAATGGCAATCGACCACCAAACGCGGAGTTCTCAGACGATGTGGCCCAAGTCCGTTCGATCATTACATCATGCATCGAACGAGGCGAGCGCGTACTGGTGATCATGCACTCGTACGGTGGAATGGTTGGCACAGACGCAGCCCAAGGTCTCGATCTAGCCACCCGCAAAGCAGCCAACCAGCCCGGTGGCGTCATTCACCTGCTCTACCTCTGCGCCTACATGTTGATTCCCGGTCTGACGCCACAGGCCATTGTGGAAGAAACCAACAGGACAGAGAAATGGCTGCAGATGGTCGAAATTGCAGAAGATGGGACGTCTTTCCTGTCTAATCCAAGTCTGGCTTGTTTCAGTGGCCTTGAGGATCAAAGTGTTGTGGATAAGGCTGTGGAGAGTTTGGTGTGGTTTCCACTGGGTCCTGGGAATGCTGTGACGACGGGAGATGCCTGGAGGACTGTGCCTTCGACCTATGTTCGGACGAGTCGGGACTGTGCTCTCGTGCCAGCTTATCAAGATATCATACTGGAGCGGATTGAGAGAGAAGGTGTTGTCCCTGACGTTGTGGAATTTGATACTCACCATAGTATTTGGATTTCACTCCCTAAAGAGATGGTGCAGCTGGCTTTGAAGGCGGCGCATGATGAAAGGAATTTGAAGTGAGGGTGAATACCTATATTGAGAGTTGACGGGAATGTGTTCCTAGTTTTTTTTTTTTTTTTTTTTTTAGATTGTGATATCAAAGACCCGATCGGTATGTAATTGTACAGTGCCTCCTCGAGGCAGATATAGGAGAGAAGAGTCGCAAACGTATCGTACAATAGAGATCATAATACAGAATTCCAAGGTTATTCGTTGAGAGGCCTGAGGCTCCAAAACTCCGGGGAACAGCATAGGACGGCGCATAGAACGGCGGGTCGGGTATTCAAGTGCAAGAGTAGGCCGCCGTCTTGCAATTGAAGAGGCTACATGGAGCAATCCCCCATGGTAATTGCAGAATTACAAATTCATTCGGAGGTTCATTTTTCGCCGAGCATCTCCTTGCGCATTTCCTCGCGTTGTGTTTTCGTCTGTTCCTTGGCCTGTGTGCGTTGCGCATCGAGTGCGGCTTGCTTCCTGTCTCGTTCTTCCTGTGCGGCGTACCAAACTAGAAAAAGCAGGGAAACCCCTATCGTTAGCCTCTGATCGCCACCTGAACAGCACCAGAGAATCCCCGCGACCTACTGGACTTGTCGGACTTGGACCACTCCTTCAACTTGCTGACATAGTCATCGAACTCCTGGGCCCGACGGTCACCCTGCGCCTCACTGCGCTGTCTCAATTCCGGGTTGTATCGCTTGCGAAGTTCTTCATCGGTAGGGCGGATCCATTCCACGAAGGCGGGCCCTCCGACACACATGGCAAGGCCACTAGACAGAGAGGATGAGCGCGGAATTCCCGGAGAGAGGATACGTCACTTACCCGGCCAACACCTTTGCCCATAAACCGACGCGAGACATGGTGAGATATCAAGAGGTAGAGATCATCAACATCATCGCGGCTCTCATTTGCTGAGCCTGTGGCGCAGGCTCTGTGGCGCAGTCTAACCCAATGCGGACATGTCTCAGGTTCTGTTTCTCCCCACAATTGGATTTTGTTACTTTCTTTAGTTCTTTAGTTCTTTAGTTCTTTTTTAGTTCTTCGACTGTGACGTTTGGCGAGGAGTCGTTCATCGGTTCCCGAACTTCCGTTCTCCATACTTCCAAGATTCTGTGTCTGAATGCTTCCGAGTACTCCGTTCTCCGTCTGTGAGGAAATAGGGCCGATCCCGTCATTCTGTTTCAGATGTACCGATGTCTTCTTGACTGTGACGCCAAGGCAGCACAGCTGTTCACTGCAGGGGTCTTTCGGCGGCTACACATCCCCTGATCGTCAGGCACGACAGGGAGAAGGGAGAAGGGATAACCAGCAGTATTCTGTACGAGTACGGAGGACATAGTCAATATACTTTGTATAGTATATAGTATAATCTCTAGTTGCAGCATCTGAAATGATCCCTCGAGTATAGAAATTACCCGAAATAGTTAGCGTCCGAAACCATACGAAATACCTCAGTGGGTCGACGGGTTTTTAATTTGGAGGGTTCACTGACGGCTTTCTACTTGTACTTGTCCCTTTGTACTCCGTACTCTGTGGAATTCTTTCTTTACCTTCATCACCTGCTCTGCTTGGTGACCTCGTGACTGTGTAGGTTGACCTGGGCACTGATTGGGAGCATGCGCTAACTGATTACTTGTAGTGCCCCCCCCCTCCTTGCATGAAAGGTGTAAACCATCGCAACTTCGATCGTGGGACTGTGAATAGTGCGCTTTTCTCTCTGGCGCCATGTCCTACCCCCAACCTCCCGCGCAGAGGCCGCCGCCTCTGCGACAATATAATAATGGCCCCTCGCCCTCCGTGGCGTCGCCCGGAGGATATTCGCAAGATGGTTCCTACGGATATAGCGACGGAGGCATGAGCAGACACGATTATCCGGATCCTGCCCACGACGACGGGTACAGCGTACACTCTGCTTCATCGGGGCCGCCTTATAGTGCCCCGCAATCCCAACCGCGCTCCATGCGCCCACCGGGACCTCCAGGCCCAGGCCCGGGGTATGGGCGCCCGCCAAACGGTTACCCTCCCGGAGGAATGCCCCCACAATCGCGACCGCGAACACGTATGTTAACCCCACAATCGAGAGAAATGTCGTCTGACGAATCTAGCTGGTGGACGCTCAGCCCCAGGTCCAGGTGGCAGCTATGACAGTCCCTTCCCATCCTACCAAAACCAAGATCCTAGAGACCCAAGAGCTCGACGAGATCCCAGAGATCCCAGAGATCCTAGGAGCGCAAGACCCCCGAGAGACCCCCGAGACCCAAGAGATCCACGAGATCCACGAGACCCTCGGGGCGGCAGAGACCCGAGAGATCGTCGCGCGCCGCCCCCGCGAGGACTGGAGAGTAGCATGTCTGCCATGGATCTCAATGGGAGGCCAGTGGATATGAACGGACGAGGTCCCCCGCGACCCCATACTTCGAACGGAAGACGCCCCGAGATGCGACAGCCACCACCGCGCGGTCCTCCCCCTGGACGTGGTCGCGGCGGGTATCCAATGGGCCCAGTGCGAGCTGGGAGCTCTGGCCGACCAGATCGCCCTGATCGCGACTATATGGATCCCATGGGTCCCATGCCTCCACCTCCACGAAGCACAACAATGCCACTTGGTCCGCCAATGGGTGCACCCTCTTACCCGGGCCAGTCGACTTACCAGGAATCAGATTACGCTGGCAGTCCGATGGATCCTCCTATGCGCCCCAACACGGCGGGGAGCATGCGACCCCCGCAATCTCGTGCCCCCAATGATATAGATCCTGGCTTGATCATCCCATCCGCTGGGCTGATGATTCCCCCAGAACCCGCCAACCGGGTTTCGTATGCTCCGAAAGACTTCTTGGACAGCTACTACGAGTCCAACCATGACGAGCCTGATATGCCGAATTTCGATGCCATGCCGGCTGCTGGTCAGCACACTACCATCGATGAAATGGGATTAGAAACACCTAAGAGCAAGCCACCAGCTCATCCAAACTCCTCGCCCGGAAACTACAATACGTATTCACCTACAGGAGACGACTTCATGCGCTCTCAGTCTCAACCCAACCTCAGACAGAATGAAGCCCCTAATCAGTTTGAAAATGCTGGATTCCACTTCGGTATTCCTGGAGAAGCACCGCCCGGCCCCGCTGTTGACCACGGGTACGCACAAAATGGCTATGAAGAATACCCTGGCTACTCGCAGGCTCCCGCCCCGGTCCAGAATCACCAACCAGGCTATTACGACCAGCCCGAGGCCCCCGAACCCCAGCAAAACCCAGATGCCTTGCCGCATCACCCGGCTCCTTTCCGTCTTGGCCACGATCAAGGATCCAAACCTGCGCCAGTCCGGCAATATAGCGCCCCCGAAACTGCTCCTGCTTCTGCACCAGCCCCAGCCTCGCAGCCCGTCCTGGTACCCCGAGGACCCGCCCAGGCCCCTGTCACAATTGATGAGCTGCAGCGTATTCAGCAGCAGGCTCGAAGCAACCCCGCTGATCAGAAAACTCACCTTCTCCTCGCTAAGAAGCTGGTCGAGGCATCCACCGTCTTAGTGGGCGATAACAGCCGCCTCGACCCAAAGACCAAAGCCAAGGCAAAGGAGAAGTACATCATGGATGCGCACAAGATCATCAAGAAGCTCGTCACTGGAGGATACTCGGAGGCGCAGTTCTTCCTAGCCGATTGCTACGGCGAAGGCCTCCTCGGATTAGAGGCCGACCCCAAAGAAGCCTTCTCACTGTACCACTCCGCCGCGAAACAAGGCCACGCCCAATCAGCCTACCGAGTCGCTGTTTGCTGCGAGATCGGACAGGAAGAAGGCGGGGGCACCAAACGCGACCCCTTCAAAGCAGTCCAATGGTACAAGCGCGCCGCCTCTCTAGGCGACACACCCGCCATGTACAAAATGGGCATGATAAACCTGAAAGGACTCCTCGGCCAAGCACGCAACCCACGCGAAGGCGTGTCCTGGCTGAAACGAGCAGCCGAGCGCGCTGACGAGGAGAACCCTCACGCCCTCCACGAGCTGGCATTGATGTATCAGAATGCCGGCGGGAACGACATCATCGTCCGTGACGAACAATACGCCTCCCAGCTCTTCCACCAGGCTGCTGAACTGGGCTACAAGTTCTCTCAGTTCCGCCTTGGAAATGCCTACGAGTACGGGTTGATGGGATGTCCCATTGACAACCGTACCAGTATCATCTGGTATACGCGTGCTGCGGCCCAGGGCGAACATCAGAGCGAACTTGCGCTCAGTGGTTGGTACCTTACTGGGTCAGAGGGCATTCTCCAACAAAATGACACAGAGGCATATCTGTGGGCGCGCAAGGCTGCAACTTCGGGCCTTGCCAAGGCAGAGTATGCCATGGGATACTTCACTGAAGTTGGAATCGGCTCTGCTGCCAATCTTGATGATGCAAAGCGTTGGTACTGGCGTGCAGCTGGTAAGTTTTCGTTCTCTTCACATATTCTGTTGATCTTCGTGTGACTAATATGATGTTCTTTAGCCCAAGGATTCCCTAAAGCTCGTGAGCGTCTCGAGGATCTCAAAAAGGGCGGTAGTCGCATGGAGAAGACGCGACTTTCTCGTTCGGCTGTTAACAAGCAGAGTGATGGTGATTGCATTCTTATGTAAATGGCTTCCATTTCCGCTCCATATACCGCTTGCACATTTTTTGTGGGATACATTTGAGATATGGAGGTGTGCATAATGGTGCATGATTTTTATTTTTATTTTTTCCAGGCTCTTTTCGCCTGGAATACTCGTGTGCGAGTTTCTTATATTCTTCCTATTCTCCTTTTGACTCTGATTTTATGAACTTTGCATGACCGGAACGGATACCATGGGCCCAGAGCTGGTTGCACATTAATAGAACAATCAATTAAAATTGACATCTACTCAAGAATACCTAGTAAACAATGCCTACCTGTAGAACTGTAGACATACTCCTACAAGTTCCTACTGTATATCCCGATATCCGTAAAACCGCCCAGCGGCCGCATTCCGCGCTTACAAAGTTCGGATCGGCTTATGCGATCGGCTGTATATCAGGCGTAGGTCGACATTGCTTTTATTTTCTAGTTTCTTCTTTGAACTGATTTATAGCGCACATCTGCCCGTTATTCTGCTATTTACTTTCCAAGGTTACACCGTATATGTCTTCTGAAGCAACGCAAAACCAGAATCCACCCAGCCGAAAAACCGCCGTATCAATCCTAGCTGTTCTCATTGCTATTACCATCGCCCTATTCTGGGGTGAAACAGCCAATCTGTTCGGACTACGACCTTTCTTCTCGCGACCTGCAGCCATATCACCGTCTATTGTCGACACTGCACCGGGAAGTACAATGGCCAGCAAGACGCCAATCTACTTCCTTAGCCATGGCGGCGTGAGTACTAACTCACTCCAATATAATTACAAGTTACTTAACTAACACCACCAGCCAAACGTGATGTACGAAGTTGATCACCCAGCCTACCGCAAGCTGGGCCAGATCGGCCGGGAGATCACGACAAAGGTCAAGCCACGAGCTGTGGTGGTTTTCTCGGCTCATTGGCAGGCTGCCCGTGATACGATCCAGGTCAATACTGCCGAAATGACAGATTTGATTTATGAGTATGTTGAAATTGTCCGGGAATTGACATGCATCTGACAATGTTTAGTTTCTATGGTTTCCCAAGCCACTACTATAAAGAGAAGTATCCCAATGTGGGTAGTAAGGAGGTTGCGAATAAGGTGCTTGGCCTGCTGAAAGATGCTGGGATTGCAGCCGAGGGCGTGAAGCGCGGTCTTGATCATGGTGTTTGGGCTAGCTTCAAGTGTGGTATGTTTCATGTTCAGTGCATAGACCCAATTCCAACTGAATACTGAATACTGACTGGGAGAAAGCCTTTAAACCTGACACCAATCCATTGAATGTGCCGATTGTACAAGTTTCATTATTCAACAGCGAAGACCCAGACCAGCACTACCGACTGGGTCAGGCAGTTGCCCGTCTGCGGGAAGAGAATATCCTGATTATTGTTTCCGGGATGGCGGTGCATAACCTGCGTGATCTGCGGTTTGCTTTTGGTAGCAAGACGCCTCTTCCGTATGCTGTTAGTTTTGACGAGGCGCTCAAGGAGGCTGTGACTACTGCTCCGGCAGAGAGACAGCAGGCGATGGCGGATTTGTTGAAGAGGCCTGATGCGCGTCAGGCTCATCCTTCTTTTGAGCATTTGTTGCCGATTCATATTGGGGCTGGTGCTGCGGGTGAGGATTTGGGGAAGAGGATTTGGACGTTCCCTGAGGGGAGTATGAGTTGGGCGCAGTATCGGTTTGGGGATGTTGGGAATGCTAGTTCGTTGTAGTTGCATGGGTAGAGTTAGATGATCGATATCGATTTGTGAGTTTAGTTGGAACGTGGAATGTTTTGAGTGAAGTTGGATTTCATCTATAGGTACAGAAGATGGATGTGAAACGGCGGGAAGGCGAGGACATAAAGATAATGCGGGATGTGAATGAATTTATGACTGCTTGACCAATTGGGTGATGCGGTCTTCGATCTGGGTGTCGGTAAGGCCTGGAAATAGCCGTTAGAATTGTGATTCCTTTGAAGTCAAGTCTGTGGCAGTGGAAACATACCAGTCAAAGCCTCCTGCTTCTCCTTTCCGAATGCTGTTATCACAATTTAAATTAGTCCCTTGTCTTGTCGTCACTGTTCAGGCATGTCGTGTGTCCTACCATATCGGGCAAACACCCGGGGCTGGGTGCCTGCGGCCTCGCGCATCATGATGGGAGTCTGGGGGTTATGCTTCTTCATAGTGGGGTAGGCGCGGTTGAGGAAAGACCTGGCACAGGATGTCAGTCCATGAGCTATCGCGAGCTGGGGAATTGGGGGGGTAACATACCTTGTGGCAGCGCTTGCCTCGGAGGTTTGGCAGAAGAGGAAGCGGAGCTCCTTCAGGCCCTGAGTGAAGACGTACTTGCCAGACATGATGTGAATTGGGATATAAGGGAGGGTGCAAGTCGGAAGCAGTGGGATTCACTTTGCGATGCGGTGCATTATTCACCAGGGCGGTGATTCGCTGCGCAGAGCCAGAAGGACGCTAGTCTGCACTGGGGCTAGGGCGTGATTATGTCAGCATCAACTTGAGAAACCGTTGCGATCAGTCGAGAATAAGGGAATTTGTAGGCTGGAATTGAGGTCAATTCTATAGAAGTAGCTATATATTGTCCTAGATCTTGACATATTCCCTCCGCGCATCGTGGTGGTGGTAAATTGGCTCTTATCGCTACTCTCCGACGGAAAACTGCCCCTTCCACCGATCACCGGACCAACCTTCCTCTCTCTCCCCCCAGACTTCTGATATCAACCATCATGTCTTCTCGCGTGGGTTTCCGCTTCGTGAACAACACTCGCTTTGCGTTCCGCAATGCTTCTGCGCCCTTCCGCCGGCAGGGTGCCCAGGGCTTCCGCTTCTCGAGCTCCGAAGCCGGTGCTGCGGAGCAGCAGAGCACCTTCCAGCGCATGTGGAACAGCCCCGTTGGCGTGAAGACCGTCCACTTCTGGTAAGATGATAGCTTTACAGATCTTTCTTCTGCACTAAAGACTGGAATGAATGCTAACTCAATGGTTGTAGGGCCCCCGTCATGAAGGTACGATGAATCGAGTTCTGATATGCTATTCCTCACCCAAACCTCTGCTACGAAATACCGTTCCTGTGCAAATGACACGACAATTCTCGGTTCTATAACTGGTGTGCCTTGAGTCAATCTGACTGACATTCTGCAGTGGTGCCTCGTCATCGCCGGTATCTCCGACTTCGCCCGTCCCGCCGAGAAGCTCTCTCTCACCCAGAACGCTGCCCTCATGGGTACCGGTGCCATCTGGACCCGCTGGTGCATGATTATCAAGCCCCGTAACGTTCTGTATGTGCAATCTGAGTCCCGATACCCGTTCTACGCTAATACAATACCCGCACAGGCTCGCCGCCGTGAACTTCTTCCTTGGATGTGTCGGAGCTGTTCAGGTCACCCGTATCTTCATGTGGCAGCGCAGCCAGGATGGCTCTGCCGCCGAGGCCGCCCAGACTCTTGAGCAGGGTGCCGTTGACACCGCCAAGGCCGTTGCCGGTGAGGCCGAGGGCGCCGTCAAGAAGGTCGCTGACAAGGTCGAGAAGTCCACCTAAACATAAGATATGGGCTTACATGGGGGAAGTGAAAAGGTGCGCTTGGTTCCACTTAGACTGATGTCGATAGAGGCTGTTGGTCGGGACTGAGCCATAGCTCGATGCGAAGCTTGGGAGATTGGAGTATCAAGCACGTACTTGACATGACCCACGTCGCTCTTGTCCAGCAATCATTCGGTTTCCAGGCAGTTGTTGTACATATAAAGCATTTGAAGATGATTGGTTTTGTTCCCGGACATTTTACCCAGTATCGAGGATTCGAGTATCCGAGTAGCTTGTGTTGGGCCCTGTGTACAGCATTGTCACTGGAAAAATCAATACGTAGCAGACAAGCAGTATAATCTGTTTAGACGAGTGAAATTTGTATGGAAATCCATTCCACCATTTAACCGGGATTTTCCTGCCAATCGGAGAAATCGCCTTCCATATTCCTCCTATGAGACATGGTTGGTGGTGAACCCTACGCAATCGAATGCCAATATATCCCCGACCAGTCAGTTGCCGACGCAATATCATACGGCGCAAACCAGCCTTGTCCCCATCTTGCTCCACAAGGCGTTTTGTTGCTGGCCTGTTTCCCCGGATCAAGAGGTACGGGATGGTGCCAACTCCACCAAATCCCCGCAAGGGGCGCTCCTTAGCGTTGACCCCGGTCGAACTGGCGATATTAGCGAATTTCATTTCCAACGGCAGGACTATATATGACCTGCTGCAGGAGCTCCCCTGAAGTTCTGGGAGTCAATTGTGCTTGTTCAATCTGGGTCTCGAAACCAACCTTGGAAATTAGGGCATTCCTTCCACAACCATGAAGATCACGACTAGTCTAACACAAGCCTTGGCCTTGGTGGTCTCCCTCGGGGCAACCGTCGAGGGTAAAGACAAATATTCCCGAACTGAGGCATGCCATCCAAACCACCCACTCAAGCCTCTTCCTGCTAGTCAGCCCAGAACTCGCACATGTCATGTATCCAGCCATGGACATGGGAAAGACGACTCGGCAAACGTTCTCTCAGCGCTCAAGAAGTGTAACAATGGTGGAAAAGTCATTTTCGATGCCGACAAGACATATACTATCGGAAAAGCACTGGACATGACGTTCCTGAAGCACGTGGATTTGGGTATGATATGGCGACCAACAGAAATGAACTGAGCTGACCACCTCCCAGAGATCCAAGGTCACATCCAATTCACCAATGACACCGATTATTGGCAGGCAAACGCGTTCAAGCAAATCTACCAGAATGCCACCACGTTCTTCCAGCTTGGTGGTGAAGATGTTAACATGTACGGTGATGGCACTCTTGATGGTAATGGACAGGTCTGGTATGACCTGTATGCTGAAGACGCTATGATCTTGCGTCCTATCTTGATGGGTATCATTGGGCTCAAGGGAGGTACCATTGGTCCTCTTAACCTTCGATACTCACCTCAGTGGTATCAATTCGTGGCCAATTCGTCCGATGTCCTTTTCGACGGCATCGATATTACTGGTTACAGCAGCAGCTCTCATGAGGCTAAGAACACTGATGGATGGTAAGCTGGAAACTCCAATTCCAAAGGAGTGGTCTAACAGTGAACTTTTGATAGGGATGTTTATCGGTCGTCGAACATTGTTATCCAGAACTCCGTGATCAACAACGGTGACGGTATGCGATTACTTCCATTGCTCATTGGTATGGCTGTTCTAATTGATTTGATATCTTCAGACTGTGTCTCGTTCAAGCCTAACGTGACCGACATTTTGGTCCAGAACCTGCACTGCAACGGCTCCCACGGCATCTCAGTCGGCTCTCTGGGACAGTATCCGGGCGAGGTTGATCTTGTGCAGAATGTCCTGGTATACAACGTGTCCATGTTCAATGCTTCGGTAAGTCACATCTACTGCGATTTGTATACGAAGATCGTGGTTTTCTGACAATACTATAAAGGACGGTGCTCGCATCAAAGTATGGCCCGGCATATCTTCTGCACTTTCAACCGATCTTCAAGGTGGCGGTGGATCTGGCCTTGTGAAAAACATTACCTTCGATGGGATGACCATTGACAATGTTGACTATGCTATTGAGGTCACTCAGTGCTATGGTCAGAAGAACTTGACTCTTTGCAATGAGTACCCCGTATGTTGAACCAGATCTATTCTTTGGTTTTGAGCCTACAAATGACTGACAATTGTGATTCCATACAGAGTAACCTTGCCATTGAGGACATTTATTTCAAGAACTTCAAGGGCGTGACCTCAAGCAAATATGCCCCCAAAGTCGGTACTATCGTATGCTCCAGTCCTGAGGTAAGAAATCCAATCACGACGATGATTCCGATCTGGTGTCTAACTTTACAAAGGTCTGCTCGAACATCAATGCCAGTAACATTGATGTCTCCAGCCCTGATGGAGATGACCAGTTCACTTGCACCAATGTCAGTATATCTCTCTCTTCATGCGCGTGAATCATACTGACTACTTCACCACAGGTTGATGACACTCTTTTGGACGTTAACTGTAAAGCCGCTACTTAAAAACTTCTAGGGTACGATACGCTCCAAACCGGATACCTTTAAGTGAAACTACTTAAGTAGGACTTGGGCTCCAAGGTTATCACTTTCAAGTTTCAATCACTGGTGCGGGGATTATCTCGCACTTAGAATCCTTATTCGCTGTACTATGTACTTTTGAACTAGCAAGAAATAGAAGACCTACCAAACCCCGCACCTACTAAGTACCATCGAATACTTAAGTATGTTTCATAGTGAGAATCTGGGAGAACTGTGTTATAATTTGCCATATACAACGCTGAATGCTCGAAAAGAAAGCGAGAGCCTACCAACCCCAGACCTGAGAAATCCAGCAACAATGAATCCCGAACAGCTGGAATTTATCAGGCCGACCAATGGACTACAGCACGCGTCATTTGTTTCACTCCATCACGACACCTATCCACACATCCTACCAAGGGGCACAGAACTAGTCGGAAGATCCATTCTCATCACAGGCGCCTCAAAAGGAATTGGCAAAGCACTAGCCATCCGCTGCATCAAGGCCGGGGTATCCAAAATCGCCATTTCCGCCCGGTCCTCACAAGAAGATGTTGTCCAAGAGCTCAAGACAGAAGCCTCAAATTCAAATTTCCCCGAGCCTCTGATAATCGCACTGAACATGGACGTGACTTGCAAAGAATCAGTAGAGGCCGCCTCAAAAGAAGTCCAGCATTCGTTCGGCGGGAAACTAGACATCCTCGTCAACAACGCCGGATACCTACCAGACATGGTGCGAGTTGGCGAAGACGACCCAAATGAATGGATCAAGGGGTGGGATGTCAACATGAAAGGCCCGTATCTGTGTTGTCATTTCCTGATGCCTATGCTTTTGGCCTCGGAGTTGAAAACCGTCATCAATCTTACTTCCGTGGGCGCGCGTTGTATCTCGTCTGGTGGGTCGTCGTATCAAACTGCCCGCTTTGCAATCTGTCGGTTTACGGAGTTCATTGCCTGTGAGTATGAGAAGGAGGGTCTGATTGCGATTGCTTTGCATCCTGGGTCGATTAGGACGGAGATGGGTGAGCGGCTTCCTGGGATCTTTGATAGTTTGCTTGTTGATACGGTGGAACTTCCGGCGGATACGATTGTTTGGCTTTCTAGAGAGAGACGGGAGTGGTTGAATGCGAGGTTTGTCTGGGGGACTTGGGATATGGAGGAGTTGGAGGGGAGGAAAGAGGAGATTGTTGAGAGGGATCTGTTCAAGTTTAGGATTACAGTGTGAAGGGGAATGGGAGGTTGGTTATGCGAAAAATAGCTGGAGCGCCGATGATATTATATGGAAGGAATGCCTTCTTGTTCATTTTCATTGTCAACACTAAGATTCGTGCTCATTAAGTAAATTATGATATAGACATCACCAATTTTTCATGCCATTGGCATCAACCCACTACTGGCCGGTCAGAGCGCGCTTCCAGAGGGCGTCGAGGCCGTCACCGATAGCACGCTTGGCTTCCTCCTCCAGGGCGCTGTCGGAGAGACCGGTGCGCTTAGAGATCTGAGAGGCAGATTCCTCACGAGACATTTCAACTAAAACTCAATGTTAGTAACTTGGTCGTGCATCAAAGCAATGTAAGAGCTTACCGTGCACAAAGACACCAGCCTTCTTGCCAGTGTACATGGCGTGGGGAACGTTGGTGCTGCCATCGCTGTTGGCATCACCCACAGCAAAGACACCAGTTTCGCTGGTGCGCATACCAGTAGTGACATTGATCTTGTCGTCGACGAGATCGAGACCCATCTTGGCAGGAAGAGTCGAAGTCTGAACAGTTGGGACATTGATCATGATGGCGTTACGCTCAACTGGCTCACCGGTAGTGAAGTGAATCAGGAACTTGTCGAACTGTCGGTCGGAGTCCTCCTCGCGGTCCTTGCCGCCATCTTGCAGACGCTCAATGGAGGAGATGGTGCGGTTGTCGATGGTGGTGTTCCACCCAGCGAGCTGCTCCTTCCAATCCGCGACCTTGGCGGTGGCGCGAGCCTCGCCCTCAGGGGTTTGAGTTCCGTTGACGAATGCGATGATATCGTCATACTGAGTGTGAGTCTCGAGCACGTTGGACAGTTGGTCGGTGATATCACCGATCAAACCGAAGGGCTGGTCACGGTGCTCGTAACCATCGCACCAGGGGCACCAGAAGATACCCTGGCCCCATCCGTCCTCGAGGCCAGGAGTCGAGGGAAGAACATCCTTAACACCGGTTCCCAGCACGATCTTGCGGGAGGTGTAGTTCTTGCCCTGGCTATCAGTGACGGTGAACGCAGAGTAGTCACCTGTGGTCCATGGAACAATGGTCTCTACAGTCTCATTGGCGAAGTGGGCTGTCGGGTACTTGGAGATCTGCTGCCGCGCCAGACCTCTGAAGACAGCGGGCGGAGTACCTAAATCGAGTCTGTGAGCAATGTTTCCTGTGAGACAAAGCTCGAAATCGGATTCTTACCATCGTTACCAATCACATCGTGCATCTCACGGGTGGGAGCATTGCGGTATTCCTGGCTATCAATCAAGAGAGCCGTTCTCCGCACGCGCGAGACACTGCTGAGGGCACTCAGGCCTGCAGGGCCACCGCCGACAACAATAACATCGTAGTCAGTCTTGGGGACCTCAAGTGCAGCCGCGTAGGCCAACAGGGAGACAAAAGCGGACGTGAAAGAGACTTTGCTGAACACCATGACGAGGGATGAGTGGGCTGCCGGCTAGAGATACGGCCACAACAGAGTCTTTATAGAATCATCGAGTACGCCGTCTCCGAGACCAGTGAGCCGACGGCATGCTGTGTAACGCCATAAGGATGCAGATGTGGGGGAAACTAGCTAGCTTCGTGCGCATGAAGCCAAAGATCGGCGAGGGGTGCCCTTACATGTGGAGCTGAGCTGAAGCTGAACTGATCTGATCGACATCGGCCCGGTCCCGTGGAATTGACGCGAATTGACTGGGAAGTTTGACAGCATTTGAAAGCTGTGTCTTTCGAAGGTCACGGAGTATTTTTCCTGAGTACTCGCAATCTGTACTTGCACTCTGTGCTCCGTACAAAAACACCGCAATGGATGTCCGCGCCATTAGGAATCGACGATCTATCACTCGGATCGGCACACCTTGCATGAACACCAAGAAATTCCTTGATTTTTTGCTTTTTCGGGCCAAGATCGGTGGGACATTCAAGCCCCTGAGCTCAATCAGCGTGAATTATGCAGATCAGCCCAATAACACATTCAGCCCGCGTTGCATTGCAGATGCTTCTTCCAATTGAGCTGTTGGTCAATCCTCCGTGATGAAATACTCCATATTTGGGAGTACTTACAGATCAAATCTTACCAATCCCCACAGGGAGTGCTGCATACACCGTCACTGTCTCGGCTTTAATAGCCGATCGACGAGGCTACTCGTAGCATCACGCTGAGAAAAGAAGAAAAAAAGACCTCCACACACTCACTTGGCGTGTTCGGTCGGATTTCGGCGACAGGCTGTGATTTACATCCAAGGTTGCATGTAATGAAATGTAGTACTTGAACAATCCAAGTACAATCCGCATGGAGGATGGAATGAGACATAGATCATGAAGGTACGGAGTATGAGTAGCTGGCACTCCACCAAGCATGACTATGAATCATACCTTGAACTACTGCATGTACAAGTAGGTACTATTCTCAAGTGATAATTTAACTACTGCATGCCATATGTACAATGCAGAAAGGACCTTGGAAATATCTGTACTCCGCACTTGGCTTCTGTGATAGGTGCAAAGGAACGCACTGCGTAGTGCGCTGCATTCACCTCGGACGTGTTCTCTGAAGATGCGTACAGAGTATGAGTTCAGGAGTACATACCAACGTCATCATCGGAACCAAGCGTGAGATCCAAAGGGTAGAAATTAGTCCAGGATATCAAAATGTGTTCCGTACTCCGTATACAGATCCATGAGTCTGCCCAGACCAACGCCTGGATTCCAGTTTCGCTAAATTAGATATAAACAAATTTCCTCCGAGTCTATTAACAGTATATTTTTTTGTGTCTCATCACATCCATTATACATCCCCTTGATCATCGAGCAGCAAGACCTTCAACTTGTCTAGTTTGTCTTCACAGGGGACTTCCATCTGCATGACGACATCGACAACGTTCTCATTGGTGATGAGAAGTTGTGACACCAGCCAGAAATGGTAAGAGTTTTTGTAAAAGCCCAGTGCAGCCCACTCCTCGCTGGGAATGCGATTGCGCAGAACGAACCAATGATCGCGCCAGCGCGATAGAGCCGTTTTGACTGGGGTTAAAGTTGGGTCGTCGGGAATCGAGTATGCTTCCTGTAAGCTGTCACGGGCGGGTTGTATGGGCTGTTTGATCCGACTCATTCGTATCACGGGGCCGAGAATGGGCATGTGGGTGTTGATATAGGAGTTTAGAACTGATGAGGTCAGTATTCATCAGATAGAAGGGATTGGGAATCGGGCATACGGTGAATTAGCATGAACATATCGAGGACTGTCAGGTCCATGTGTTCGGTATATGACTCGTCCATTAGATTCTCGAAAGCCTTGGTTAGTGTGACGTCGCGGGAGAAGCGGAAGTTGGGTTCGGCAAAGGGGTGTCGAGAGAAGAATAAAGATTTATCGGAAGGAAGATCGCATTGCATTTCGGATTGGGTCAATCGACATGGGAGGTTTTGAAAGAAGTAAAATGCACAATCGATGGATATAACGACACAAGCAGTGCTAGGAGAGTCAGTAAGGAAAAAGTGATTGATGCTTGCAAATATACAAGTACATACCGAATTCGACATTCTTTCTGAATCCACAATCCCTCAAGAGCTTGGTCTTCCGGGAGATGGCGAGATTTCCCAAGCTCCATTCGACGTCCGACTTTCACCAGTTCGCCGAATCTGCCATCTCTGACACGATTTCGAGAAACACGACTCCCTGCCCAGTACTGGGTCAATAGTATGATGAGACCGGCCTGGTAGTTTTGGAAGTTTATCCAATCGGTGTTCTCGTCCTTGTAGCTTTCCACACCGGAGAATGCCATGCCAATCTCTGTATCCGTGGAGAACACTTCGCTAGAATAGATGAAGAGTTCTGCGAAGTCCAACACTTTCTTGGCGATAGACACCTCTGTCTCGTCATTACTGTACATCGCGCCCATGAATATCACGGCTGCCAGAAGCGTCAGAGGGACCGTTTCTGGATCGAAAGAAACATGCAGTATCGAAGAGCTGGGATGCCAGCATTCAAAATAGAGAGAGATGAACTTTCGTATGCGAGCGGTTGTCAAGAGAACGTTCAAATTGGCAGAAATCTCCTGCTGTGCCTTGACATCAAGCGGGACCTGCCACGCCGTTGCCGAAATTGACTGGATCAATGCCAATGCGAATGGTCGTTCGGGTTCGAATATGGATGAATCCGCGTGTAATCCGAAGGTCGGTGGATGCTCGGGCACGACAGTCGGATAGTCAAGCTGTCCGGTGTCATATGGACCATCCACAGGTTTCCGTCCGTACAAAAAGGGGCTATAGGAGAGGTCTAGGAAGGTTTCTTGGAAGAATTGTGGCGTGGCCGGGTCGGAGGTGGTGAAGCCAGAGCCAAAGTCAGGTCCCGTGCGCTCGAGGTGGTTCTTCGAGACTTCCCCCAAGCCCAGCCGGTTGTGGTTATCCAAGCCATGTATCCGATTGCTGCGCGGCGGGAGCCGGAAACCCTCTGTAAAGCTTTCCTGCCCCCCGTTGAGTAGAAACTTGATCGATCCTCGATCCGATGACGACGGCGAGCAGGTCTCGTGATTCGTGAGGCTCCCTATCCCTTGTATGAGTCTCCCATCTGCAGCTCAGCCCACTGTAGGGGGAATGTACCTTCCTCGGGGCTTGAGTTGCTCGTGCCCGTTCGTTGATTGTTGCATGCGAGATTTCTCTTCAAGCATGATCCGCAGGGGCTTTGTCCGTCGCATCGTAATTTCATCGAGGTACACTGATCGATCATTAGTCCAAAGCATCTGGCATGTGACCGAACAGACTCACCGATTGACACGCATGTCGCCGCCTACCCCTCTGGCCGGTCTCGGGAATTTCGCGACCCCCACGTTTGGAGCAATCCGTATAGTGGTCGCGAAGATTATCACTGGCCAATTAGCTTCCCAGCTGATGCGGTGCTTGGCAGAGCTCACCATCGCGCGAACGAGTCTGCGCAGAACACGCAGCTATAGGGTCTTTGCCCCGAGTCTGTTCAGTTTTCAGATTTTAGCTGTGAGGGTAGCTGCAGGGTGGGGCGCATACGGCGCAAATGGTGACGCTTCAAGTGGTCAACACGCGTAAACCCCCGCTGACAGATGTTGCAGCTGAAGTGCTTGTCTGTCGGCTTCATGTTGTTCCATTGGGGAGGAGAGGGACTTTGATGTGAAGAGGAAGACGAAGAAGAAGGGGGGGAAGGATGGGGTATTTGGATTACGGCTTGAATTTGGGCTCAGAGGTACCCCCTAAGGCGCGACTTGCGTGGCTCTCTACTTTACCAAAATTACGGGTTGTGTAAGATACAAGTATTGTGCATCAAATTTGGTGAGAATTGACGTGAAGACTCGTCAAGACTTTGAGTCTCTTTTTTTTTGCCTCTTTTTCTCTCTTTTCTGTGCGCTATAACCCCTCTGTCTCTGTGTGAAAAACAACATTCGACATTTGAACCCTTGTTTCACATCAGCGGGTCACATACACTGCCTCATCGCTTCTCCGCACTGCAACTTGCTCCAAGCTTGTACTTGTACCTCAATCCAGCTCAATCCAATGTGGGTGAGCATATGGGAGGAAAGTCAATCTGATCGTCGTCGAGATAATCAACATTGACGACGTTCTGTTTCTCATTTTTGGTCCAACCATCTCCAAGCCAGCCAACTGCATTGTCGCTCACATACTCATACTCGAAGTCCTCCCACCGGGGGTGTGCGAGGGCTTTCATGGCATGCAGAGAAGAACCTAGAAGAATTGAGAGGAATATCAGCCAGACTGAATCAATTGGAAATCACGGAAGAATATCAACATACCTGGCCAGAGCGCAGTCACTCGTCCGTTTTCGGTACCACTTTTATACCAGCTACGACAGTTGCTGTTGAAAACTGTGTTTCGAAAGTATTCATCGCAATAATTCCGGAACTGGCTAACTGCTTGAGGCCGGGCACTCATGGCGCAAATGTTGTCCCGTTGCATTTTTTGAATGCAGGCTGTGAAATAGTCTATCGACTTTTCTATCACCGCGAGAAGGTTGCCCTCGCCGAGCCCGGCGTTCGGCCCGAGTGAAATGAAGTAATTTGGAAATCCATCCGTCGCAATCGATAGGTAAGTCTCTGGCGTTTCCTTCCACCTCTCGGTGAGGGTCATACCACCGCGTCCTTTGATTGGGATTCTGGGCGCAAATGAAGTGTCGAACCCGGTGGCACAAACAAGCAGGTCGATTGGTCGATGCTGGCCATCTGCAGTGATAATTCCAGTTTCATCTACTCTGATGATCTCAGAAGTTATGATGTCGACTTTCTCGTCTGTTAGGGCCTCCAAATACCCAGGCCCCGGGGTGAGTCGACGGCAAGCAGGGGGAAACGACGGCATCAGAGCATCGATCAGCTCCGGCTTCTTTGCCAGACGGCACTTCATGTTCTGGACAAATGCGTCTTGTGCTTGAGCCTGAATTGGATGACCCACTAGGCTGATTCCATGAACAGACTGCAGTTCTTGTTCGACATCTATACTGTTCATTAGATGGAAAATGCAGAATTTCTTGGCCGTTCGGGATGGCACGTACTCTTACGAAACACCTGATAAGATGCGTGGTCCGCCTTGAAATGGTTGATTTCCTCGGTCGAGAAGTGAAGGTTGTCTATTCCATGTCGTTTGTCTATTTCGCCATGCGCGAATGGAGGCGAGATCCAAGTCGGGCTTCGTATGTAGTGGTCAATGTGAGGCACATCGGGTAACATCGCAGGAACGATCTGGATTCCACTCGAGCCATTACCAATCACTGCAACGCGTTTGTGCTGCATGCGTTAGCGAGGCTCATTGCAAAATGACAGGCTGACATACCGTATACTCATAGCCCTCGTCCCATGAGGCACTGTGCATCAACTTGCCCTTGAATTTGTGAAGGCCAGGAATACTTGGCCACCTCCAATTGTTCAGTGTTCCCGTCGCCTGGATCAACACATCACAGTCATCGGTCAGCATGGACGAGTCTTGCAGGTTTTCAATCTACAATCAATATGTTAACATTGAATCACTGCGTGCCGAATTCAACACAGTACCTTCAGCTGCCACTTGAATGTATCCTGATCCCACACAGCCTCAGAAACCTGCCGTCTGAACTTGATGAAGTCCATGCATCCATATTTCTGAGCAACCTTTTTCCAATAAGCGTGGATTTCAGGTGCTTTGGCGTAAAAGCTAGACCATTCCTTGTTTGGCTCAAAAGTAGCTTGATAAGTATGAGCTGGGATGTCTGCAGTGTACTCGAGTTAGAAAACTCCCATCCGTGTCATATTGTGAATAACCTCGGACCTACCACAAGCACATCCTGGATATCGATTTTCGAACCATGTCCCTCCTAGGTCCGTGTTCTTCTCATATATGGACAAATCTAGATTCGGGATGCGTTGCTTCAACCGGATACAACTGAGAATCCCTGAAATACCAGATCCAATGACGACCACCTTCATTGGGCGACTTTCGTCAATCGCCCTCTGTTCAACTGTATAGCGTTGATTTGCGCTATTTCCCTGTGGCAATCCTTCGAAGCTTGCCAAGTTCGACTCCGTGCCCAATGTCGGTGAACGCTGCTTCATGGCAATACTCAGGGATTTGAAATACCAGGGAAGTCAAGAGAATGAAATAGATTGAGGAGTGGAAGTGGTCTTTTATTTCATTCTAAAGCTAGGCTGCTTCAACGTGGATCCCGGGGAGAGGGGCTCTCACCCATGCATCCGCTGCTCATAGTACGAGTAGATGACCACAGCGGCTTCCAAGGTACATTCCCTGTATACTTGGTAGCCGACCGTTCAGCGAGCGCCAATAACAGACCCCAGGAGAATTTATACTGTACTTTTGGAAACCAAGGTAGGAAGCAATCATTCATCATCCCCCACCCCCTCCCCGATCAATCCTGTTATGGTAGGTGTAACAGTGTGCCAGCGCTTGAAACGGGAACCTGCAGTCATTAGTTACGAGTTCGTGCAGCGTGAGCGATGCCCATAGGATGGAGGATAGCAATTGGATCCACCGAGAAAGTTTGACGTCCGGAAATCCCCCTTGGGTTCGAGAGCCCCGTTTGGGGAAATTCCCGCTGTAGCAGCTGTCAACACCCATGTTTCACGGTCCTACAAAGGTGGTGAGGGCGGGGGTTCGGGCTATATTCTGGAATTAGAACGAATATTTTGAACTTTAGAAGCTGATCAGGTTGAAAACTTAGAAGCACGGTATCCCAGATGTACTCAAGGAGGAGAATCTTCGTTAATTGGACAAAAGGTAACCCCGAGGTCTTGGTGAATACCAAGTGTTGGTATTGACAGATGGAGATGATCTTCTAAAGTTTTGAGATTCCAAAGATACAAATAGGCAATCCATACTGTAACTTTAGAACATATACTTGAAGCTCCCTGGCCGAGGTCCAGATTTTACGAGTACAGAGTACTCCGTACACTCGTCCAACTGGGTTGACGATCACGGTATATCGGATATAGAACCCCCACGGATATATGCACCGGAAATATGCAATCTCCCCCACAATGACTGTTGATTATTCGAGACTCACCAATCCGCCCCTTGAGGGGCCCAATGCCCCAGGACCCGATTTGAGTGGCTAGAAACTCCCAGCCCGATCCACAATCAAATGCCTAAAGGCCTTTTGTATTGGCATCCCCGCCATTGGTGATCCCCACTGGTCGAAAGCTCCAGGCACTGCGAGCATATAAAGACCTTCCTCGAAGTCTGTCTCTTTCAAACAAGTTTGCATTCGAGACAGAGTCCAGCTATGCCGGTATTCACAGAACATGCGGCGTCCTCGCGCGACCTGCGCGTTCTTCCTTCATTCGCCCCACCATTGCCGCGGTTGACCTCAACAACACCACAAGCCGGAAAATATGAAGTGGTTATCGTTGGAGCTGGTCCTGCTGGGCTGATGATGGAGCTGCTGTTAGCAAGATATGGGTTAAATGATGATTCGTTACTATGCATTGACGCGAAGTCAACCACCCTGAAATCGGGCCAGGCAGATGGATTGCAGCCTCGTACTTTGGAAACATTGAAATCACTGGGCTTAGCAGACGAGATTCTCACTGGAGGATGTCAAATGTGGCAGGTATACATCATCGCTCCTGGCCGCCAATGAAAATTTAACACTAACTCTCGCACCAGGTCGCATTCTGGAACCCATCCGAAGACAAGGAAAAGATTATCGAGCGTACATCGATCATACCAGATGTTGCTGCTCCGTCAAGATACCCACACGAAGTGACAATTCATCAGGGTCGAATTGAGCGAATCCTGGAAACGGACTTGCTCCGGTATTCCAAGCGGGGTGTACAACGTAACACCAAGCTTCTTAACGTCAGAATCGACGAGGAAGACGCGGAATATCCTGTTGTCGCTGAAATCGAGACAAATGGACAGACAAGGACTGTGCGATCGAAGTTCTTGGTAGGTGCTGACGGAGCTCACTCGGTCGTCCGACGCAGCATGGGACTGAAGCTCGAAGGCGAATCAAGCGATCATATCTGGGGTGTTGTCGACCTGGTGGTTGATACTGATTTCCCTGATATCCGACGCAGATGCGCCATCCACTCCCCCGCTGGATCAGTGATGGTCATCCCTCGGGAGCGAATTGCTACTGGGGATTATTTAACCCGGTTGTACGTTCAGGTCCCCGGTGATGTGATTCCTAGCGACGACCAGAAGCCGGATAATGGTACAGGAACACCTCCAGTGGCCGATGCGCGAGCACGTCGAAGTCAAGTCACCGAGAAGACGATTTTTGATAACGCCGCCGCGGCGTTTGCGCCCTACTATATTCGGCCCAAGTCGGATGGAGCTGTGGATTGGTGGGCAGCCTACCAGATCGGTCAACGCGTCACGGATAATTTCTCTGTGAAGGACTCTCGTGGAATCAATCGCGTGTTCATTGTTGGGGATGGTGAGTGACTTTCACTTCAGATGTTCATATGTTGAAATGGGTTAACTAACGAAGATACCAGCCTGCCATACTCATAGCCCCAAGGTAAGACTCAAACGGCACACAGTACTCCTCAGCAAGTCTAACAATATCCCAAATTTAGGCCGGTCAAGGAATGAATGTCTCCATGATGGACTCTTACAACCTAGCCTGGAAGCTTGCCTATTTCATCGATGGCCTCACACCGAATAGCTCCAACAGTGATATTCTCGACACCTACCACAAAGAGCGGCATACGATAGCCCAGCAGCTCATTGAGTTCGACAAGGCGTTTTCTTCAATGTTTTCGGGCAAGATTGGTGCCACCGAAGGTGGTGTCGGTTCCCTCACTCACGAAGAGTTTCAAGAGGTTTTCAGCCGGGGCAATGGATTCACCAGTGGCTGCGGCGTTGAATATCCTGAGAACATGACTGTCGATCGTTCTGCTGAGGAGAATCCGATTTGCGGTACAGACTACCTTTCAGGTATTCTACATCCAGGAAGGCGACTTTTGAATGTCCGTTTGATCCGCCACGCTGATGGCTACCGCCGCGATCTACAAGATGGTAAGCTTCATCTATCAAGGACTATGTTTCGTGTGGCTCACCTTTCACAGACTTTGCATCGACTGGTCGATTCCGCATACTATGCCTCACATCCTCCGACTTGTTAGACCCCACGGGCATCTCGGCCCAGGCACTCAACGCTTTATCCTACACTATCGCTAGATTTCCGCGCTCGCTTTTGGAACAGGTCGTCGTGCACCCGCGTTTGTCTCTGGAATTCATGTGGAGCGATATTCCCAGGGCAGTGAAGGAACACTCTGAGATGTCGTTCTATAGTGGATATGAGCTGGATGATGTGTACGGGACCTATGGCGTTGATCCTGAAAAGGGAGCACTGGCTATCGTTCGACCAGATGGTTATATTGGTGTTGTCGCCTCATTGTCCCACGTCAGCCGTGCTGACCGTTATCTGGAGACGTTGATCCGAACAATTTAGAATATTTTGAAAATATGAGCGAGTTTAAAAGCATCCAAGCTATAGTTTATGACAGATCCAGATCTATATTCCCCCCCATCAACCTAAACTCAGTGTATATCTGTTTGATATGTCCACTCAAGAGTTCGCTAAGATAGCCCTTGAGCTTCCCCTCTCTTGGAAAATCAAGAACTCGGCCTCACCCCCTCACCACTTGTGAACACGCGCTTTGGTCTTACGCGCAGTGAAGTGAAACCACACGCATGCACGGTGATCACATCAGCCAATCGCAACGCACAGAGCTGCCAAACTTAATATCTACTCTGTATCCAGTATAGCGATATGCTACTGCGGGGGGACTCTTATAAGCCTGCGCATGCCCACCGCTGATCCCCCAAAGCATTCCTCCATGAAGCTTGCCCACTATGGCCGATAATTTCGAAATCCCAACTTGTTCGATCGAAGAGTTCCTGAGTACTTCTTTCGACTATATCATCTGTGGAGGTGGCACTGCCGGGTGTACCATTGCCGCCCGCTTGTCTGAGATTCCCAGTGTTACGGTCGGTCTGATCGAAGCGGGGAAAAGTCGACTCGGAGATCCAGTCGTCGATATCCCTGGAATGTTCCCAGGGCAATTTGCGAACCCAGATTATGATTGGTGTATCTATAGTGAGCCCCAGGTATGAAAATGTATATGCTCATGGTGAGATCGCTTTTACTGAGTTGCACAGACAGGGAATCGCGGCAGAGTTCATCAGGTGCCCCGCGGAAAATATCTAGGGGGATCCAGTGGCATGAACGTCATGGTTTACGTGAGGGGTTCGATGGAGGATTATGATAACTGGGCCTCGTTTGTCGGTGACGAAGGTTGGTCTGCAGCATCAATGCAGGGGTATATGCGCAAGCATCAGGTTCGCAGCGTGACCAACCAACCTGAGACCTTAGTACTTACTCGGGCAACAGACTTTCGAACCTGCTGAAGCGGACTTGGGCCGATCGATCAAATTTCAAAACAAGTTCCACGGCACAAATGGTCCCATACATACAAGCTTCAATGAGGCCGCCCTACCGGTCGAGTGCGACTTCCTCAAAGCATGCGAGGATACAACAGGGATATCCGAGAAAGCCGAGGATCCCTGGTCTGGACACCATTTGGGAATTCACCACGTCCTAGCCACTATCACGAGGAAAGGGCCTAACAAGGGGAAGCGGAGTTATTCTGCTGGGGAGTATTATGCGCCGAATCATACCCGGCCGAATCTGAAGGTGCTGTGCGAAGCCCGAGTCAACAAAGTTCTTCTTGATGACAGGAAAAGAGCGACGGGGGTGAGTATCACTCGTCGTGGAGAGGAATTCGAGATCAAGGTGGCACGGGAGGTCATTCTGTCTGCTGGGGCTGTTTTCTCGCCTCATATTTTGGAGTTATCTGGCATCGGTGATCCTGCTATTCTCAAGTCGGCAGGTGTCTCATGCAAAGTCAAAAACGCCGCTATAGGGGCAAATCTTCAAGATCATGCCATTTCCTTCGTTAACTGGGAGGTCAAACCTCATGTCGCGACCGGCGACGTGTTACGACAAGTTCCGGAGGCCATGCAAGCTGCCATCAAACAGTACGCAGAGACCAAAGATGGGCCTCTTGCGGCGGTTCCAAATATCATGGGCTTCTACTCGGCCAAGAGTATTTTGTCCGAAGGTGAGCTGCAAAAGGTCATGCAGAGTATCAGAGAGATCAAGCCGGATACCGCATTTCATGCGAAACAAATTGAACAGGTCATTGCCAATTTGAATGACGAGAAATCCTCGAACATCCAAATAGTCCTGGTGGCGGCAATGATGAACCCAGAAGGCGATCCAAAGAACCACAGCAATCTTTTCACAGACATCGCCGACCCCGAGAAAATTGGAATCACAGCCGTGGTCGGCATACAGAACCCGGTCTCGCGAGGATATATTCATATCAAGTCGGCTGGTAAGTTGACACCTCAAAGGCTAATACCCAATACAGAATCCCAGTTGACGTGCAATCAGATCCCGCTCAGCAACCCACTATCCAGCCAAACTGGCTCACAGAAGAAGCAGATGCGATTATTCTTGGGGCTGCTCTTCGCATGGCAGATCGTGTGGGGCGCTCAAAGCATATCCGAGACTCAATCTCCAGCAGGCTATTTCCTCGTCCGAATGTGGACCTGCAGAACCTTGATCAGGCTAAGCAGGCAGCACATGATATTGTCTCTACAATGTATCATTTGTGCGGTACGGTTGCTTTGGGTGAAGCCACTGACTCGCATCTACGCGTGAAGGGAGTGCAAGGACTGAGAGTCGCAGACGCATCCATCTTCCCGAACAATTTGAGCGGCAACATACAGGCTAGTGTGTATGCAGTGGCGGAGAAGGCAGCTGATCTGATCAAGGATGATTTGGCTGCTGAGGTTCGGAATCCCAAGGCGAAGCTTTGATCCACTGGTGAGCCTGGTGATTGACAAGCCAAATTCCAAGGTTGTTGCAAAGCACTCGACAACCCCCTTGAGGTACGAGATATTCGTAGTATATCCATCATTTTCAATAGTCTCACTGAAGGAAATACCCGAATATTCAGAGTAGTACTATTTTGGTGACCTCTAGCCTATTCTGTACGGCAATTCACAATTCCTCTTTAAATGAATGGCATCACCCGGCGTCCCCGGACTCGACACCCTGAATTTTGCTCAGTGGACCTCGGGAAAACTGCCAAGTGAATGCAAAAGATTGGAATTTTTAGGCGATCTTTCATTGAAGAAATTCGGATAATCTAACCTTTTATTGAAACGTACGAGTAGCCCAAAAACGAGGACAACGCCTTGGTGGATACGCCCAGATCTCCGATCGCCCATCGCCCAGTTATCATTGGCGATGGCGCAAAATATAGTTTCCGGGAGTAAGGAACCTTGGAACGTGTGAAAAAACGTGGAAAAAAAACCATAAAATTTATACAAATATATACAACATTGCTCATAAGCGCCTTCTATGCCCAGGTAGATTAGCTTTATATGCCGACAGAAAGAAAAATTGACAGGAAAATATCATCGCCGATACTTTCCATCCAAATCCACCAGCTCCACATCACTGTTTGTGTCTGATCGTGGACCATAGTTGACCTCGTAGGTGACAGACTTGTTGATGTTGCTGTTCCCGCCAGACCTATGGTAGTAATCCGCTCCTCCTGTCGCATATGTGCGGCGTGAAGTGCCACCCAGGAATCCCGGAAGCCATCTGCCGATAAGGGCTCTGAATGCCGGCAGACAAGCACACATAACTGAGATTTGTGATTCGATGACGGTCCAGTAGATGAGAGGGTATAAACCGACGGTCTGGTTGAAGCCCCAACGATTATTCCAGAAGACGATGACACGGATGATGGCGATGATCGTAAGACTGTAAGTAATTAGTATCAAGCAAGAAATTTGTCATGCGGGGAACCTACACAGATCCCACAGCAAACATCAGTGCTACGGTTAGCTTCTTGCGCAGAGGCAACTGCAACTTGGCGACTTCAAACACAGGTAAGACGATCAGAACAGTATCAACAAAAATGTTCGCCAGGCAGTTGACGAGAATCGAATCGATAAAGTTGATGCAATACCCAGCCTCCTCGTTTTTCCAGCCGAGCCATGTGAGACGAGTCGGTATGCAGCGGAAAGAGTCGACCAATGCCCAGGTAATTCCGATAGCCGCGTTGACAGCGATGAGCGCGTATGTGATGTAACGGAAATAGCGAGATTGGAAGATCCGAAGTAAAAACAGACAGACGGAAATCTTGGCGAGAGAGATCTGGACCTTGTACATCACGGCAAGAGCCTGGAAGTATTGGTAAAACTTGCTGATGGTGTCGGAGGGGACGATATCCCAGATATTCTGTCCAAAACCACAACGGATCACTGTTTGGTCAGACATTGCTCGAGTGTAAAGGGCTGCGGTGCGGACTTACTGTAGATGTTGAGGATGTAGATCGCAAGTCCAAGGACCTGGGGAAGTGTTAGCAGCCAGATCCCCTAAATGTGTCCCATTGAACAACACCGAGTGAAACTTACGTATGAAACGATGATGGTGTAGTCATCCCATCCCCATCCTCCAGCAAGACCACATCCCTTAGCAATGATTCTGGCAATGAAGAAAAATGTCGCCAGAATCATAGGCACAAGAGTTGAGCCATTAATCATCGGCGGACCTTTGAGCGGCGTGATGTCACATGTCTTTTCATACAAACGTTTAGTGGCTATTGAAAAAGTTAGATTAAAAACTTGGCAAGACTTCAGAAGTGAAACTCACTAAAAAGCTCCATTGTCGTGCAGTTACTTGTAACACAGTCCAAAAGTTTGTTGGAACGTGCAGTACTGTCGCAGAAGCATGTTTTGTTCCCGCTCAACGAGCAGTCGGAGAATAATTGCTTGTCGCATGTAATCTCGAAGACAGTCAGTGATAAATTCGCCATCTTCACAGAGCACACTTACGGTGCAGGCTGGGAAAGACTCATCCGAAGCTGCCGCATGAAGCTCCACTACTAGAAAGGCCAGGGCAGCGAACAGGCACAGTTGAATCCTCATGGCGATACGAAGGTGCTCTTTCAGCAAGCAGTTCGAGGGTCGTTGAAAGAATAGCCATTTTCCCCTGGGGCAACATCTGGTTTTGTTCCGGCTTCGGTATGAATACCCCTGTGCGGGAGCTTGGCGGCTAGACCATACTAAGGTTATCTATTTCGCACAAATCTGTGCAATGGCGTCGATAAATTAACCCAAGCTCAAGCCATCATTGGGCTCGAACAATGCCTTTACTTCCCGAAAGTTGGGTCAAGTGAAACGCACCCTAATATCGACGGCCTCGGTGTAAGCCCAAGCGGGTAATTTATCCGGCCTAAGCCTCATCTGGGCCTATGGATCGAGAGGCACGCGCGAAAGCCCCACCGTAGAGTCGCCATTCGATCGAAAATCTCCGCCACAAAGTCGCCGTTCAGCTTGCCTTCAGCCTCCCTAGCGACTTGGATTACCGAGAATGCCCACTCGGTAGAGCTGAACTCCCGATAATCCCCCACATGCAATGAATTTTCATATACTAGTACTCGTAGCCCAGGGAGCCGCGTGGGCCTGACCTTTAACCGTCCCAAGGGACCCCTGCGGAGTGCAGAACGTTGTCCGGAGTGTCGAAGGCGGCCTCAAATTCGAGTTCTGGCGTTTTCAAAAGCCATTGTTTTGAGCCCCGGAGCTAAAGTAGTTGGAAATCAGCACGTGAACCACGTGGTGGCACATAAAAACCTTGGAACCTTGAAACCTTATGAGATCGTGAGGATCTGGGATCTTCTAGGCGATTGCGTTCATGGCTTCACCGGGGTTCCATGGATTCAGTCGGATCTCAAGCTCCACTGCTCCGTAAGGAACAAGTGGTTCAAGGCTATCAGAATTTGCAACGCTTTGGTAATGCACAGGTACCGGGGTTGACGTTGCGCGGTCTCAACTGAGACCGTTATCTACATGTTACAGTAGACTGGCGGATCATTAAGGATTACGCCAGTGATCTTCAAGAGAAAAAATGAGGATTCCAAATCGGGAAACTTTCGGGAAACTTGAATCATTCAAACCTTATTATTCACCTTGGGCAAAAGAACACTTTAAGCCGAGCCCCGCGGTTGATTCGCTGTGTTGACACTAAGGACAAATCAGGAAATAGTCGAATGTGAACGCCCGCGTAAGGCTCTGTCGAAACGACGCTAGCCCCAAATGGGAGAGGGTTGAGAGGCACGTGATCAATCGGCCAGACGTTTGGACGTGTGGTCACGTGAGCTCGCGCGCTATACCGAATCTGGCCACTCAGCCTCGTGTCAAGCCTCAAGTCCAGCACACTTGACAGACTTGTAGAGCGATGATCATAGGGTCAAATTGGGGGACTTTATTCTGATCAGGATTCATCACTACTTATAAAAGCCTGTCAAAGTCCATATCGAAGATGTCTACCTCAAGTGTTTCAGCTGGTTTTGTTTGGCACTACCATTACCCTGGTGCATGAGCGGAGGAGCAATACATTTAGCTGGAAGAAGACATCATCCCAAAGTATCGACAAATAGTTGACAGTCGCGACACACTTGAGCATCGCGCTTTCCTCCCAGGATGGACCACGACGGAACATTCACGTACCGCGATGGTATTTCCGTTGCACAAATTGCTGTCTTCTCACCCCCGTTATTATTCGCGCTGTATTTCACATACATCAGACGAATTGGGTGGTTTTGTATTGGCGTTTTTTCACTACTCCGCCTGGTGGGCGCAAGTTGCAAACTGGCGGCAATCAACAATGATGCCCGCGGTCTTTCGGCGGCTGTGTTTGTTTGTGAATCACTCGGCATGATCTTGATCATCTTCCTGCTGCTGGAGATGCTGGAAAGAACGTATGCCACAACAAATCAACCGAACGGGTTACCAAGAAACTGACTTATTGATACAGGAATAAATATATCGCAATTATCCGGAAACGAATTTTCCTTATTCCATCAATCATCACCTGGATTGACATTGGGATCTCCATCGGTGGATGGGTGGCAGTCATGCACGTCAAAAATGCCTATCTTCCAACACCCTGGAGCCAAGCAAGCATGGCTCTCCTCGCGGTGATATACCTTTACTTGGTAGGAGTCTTTGGTGTCTTCTGGCTTCGCCGAAATGACTACCCTGAAAAGGAGCGGTGGGGCATGACAGGGGTTGCCGTGTGCATTCCGCTATTGGCAGTGCGCCTTGCGTACTCCTTGATTTTCATCATCAGCTCCAACATGAAATCCAATGCCATCAAGGGGGACCCGACCGCCTATTTGATCATGACCATGTTACCCGAGGCTTTGATTATCGCAATTTGTACCTTCATCATCAAGGTGAAGATTCCATTGCTGCCCGATCATCACAAAAAGGCACAGCAAGCCGGGGACGAAGAGAGTCAGCAAAATGTACTATTAGAGCGGTGATCAGAAATTCCACATGGCATGCCCTTTAGCTCTGAGAATCCCTGCCGAAAGCGTCGATTGGCTTACTTATTTGCATTTAGCGGGCGTTAGACTAGCCTCATGCCTGGCGCTCGCCCGCGCATTTATGGCGCATCTAAAATGCGATTGTCCAGACGGTGAAAGATTCGTCTTCACCATCAATGAAAGACAACGGGCGATCAGTTGTTTCAACCATTCCAAGTCACGGCTAGACCCCGGGTTGAGAAAACAAGGATACCGTGGTCCCTTAAATTTGTACTGCGATTGGTGATCATGGGGCCGCACCCGACGCACACCCCAGTTAGAGGCGAGTTAGCGTCAAGTTCTTTGTTTGAAAATCAACGTAGCATCCACTGAGAGGCACATAATATTATATGTATCATCGCCATTCCCCACATCGGATGAATGGACGTCCATCCATATGGCCGATTTGGTGATCACAGGGGGCCACAAAAAAAACAAAACATGGCCGGCCCACTTCAGCTCTATCGAATTACACACTAACAGGGATAGGAGAAATACTATCATTGGTGTATCCAAAATTCCATCAGGCTCCTGAAGTCGGTCCGTTCTGAAATGTGCCCTTGGGAGCTGGCCTGGTCCCTTAAAGATCTCGGAGTCCGTATCCAGCTCAACGCATGAGCGACCATCTCCAAATGATGCCCGCAAATCCGTACACCCTGAGCAGATTTTGGGATTTTCAAACCCCAAAATACTTGAATTTTGAATGATGGAAAATGCCAAGATCGCCCCTGTCCGTCTTGCCTGTTTGTATGTGGTCGGCTGGAACCCGAATTAACCTTGAACAGGACCCAGATATATACTACTCCTGCGACGCCGACGCCTATACCCCAGATGATTGGCAATCGTAAGCCGAGCTTCCTACTCAATACTAAGATACGTGGTTGAGGATTTGCTTACAGTGAAACAACGACCATTCGCTCCTCAATATACCAAGGTTTTGTAGAGAATGGGAGAAGGTATGTGACTACGCTCATTTTCCACAAGTTGACTTGACAAATATACTGAGAGAGATTAAGATATCAAACATTGAAGGGCGAGTCATTGTACGTCCTGAAATCACCCGCCAAGAACTTAAGAAGCTGTGTTGCAACTCGGGAGCTACGAAGTGACCATCCATGGATCGCTAACTCGAAAACCAGCGTACCATCAGATGAGCAGCAATTTGAAACCTATGAAGCTGGGTATCACATCCTGCTCCATTTTCTCGAATGGAATAGCAACTAAATTGCGCAACAGACATATCACGGCATTTGTCATGGAAAGCCATCGAGAAAACCCCCTATTTCGATCACCGGTCGAGGAAAATCTGCAGGTAAGGGGGTTGCCATCGTGTCAATCGAGAAGCTAATTTGTAGCAGCATGTGCTTGACGTAGGAACTGGCGGGGGTTTATGGGCAATGTGAGTAAAAATTGCATGCAGGGTGTGGGTAGTTGACTGACCAGAGCCAGTGATGTAGCTGACAAGTTCCCACATGGTATGTTGGCCTCCAAATGAGATGGTTATCACAGGCAACTGAATTCTCAGCTACCGTTCGCGGCGTTGATCTCTTCCCGCCACCCGTCTCATGGTTGCCTCCCAATTGCATTCTCGAGGTAGACGATGTCACCAAAGAGTGGACGTGGCAGCAACCTTTTGACCTGGTTCATATGCGCTTATTGGATGCCGCCTTCACTCCAGAAGAGAACGAAGAGGTATTGTACCAATGTTACCGGTCAGTGTGTGAAGATCAATAATGTCACAGCGACAAAGAGCACTGACCCATCACCAGAAGTCTGCGCCCGGGCGGCTGGATTGAATTGCTCGAGCTGACTGCTGATTTTCAAAGTGAAGATAATAGCTGGTCTCAGGACTGCCCATTAAAGGGGTTCATGCCATTAATGAAATCAGCGGCTGCAAAAACCGGTCGTCCACTCCATCTGTACCATCGTTGTGTGGAGTTGGTTAAAAGTGCTGGATTCCTCGATATTCACGAGGAAGTGAAGAAATGGCCGATCGGACCGTGGGCGCGCGACGAACAACTTAAAGAGGCAGGCTCTCTCAATCTCGAACATTGGATGCTAGGAGCAGAGGGATACGTTATGTATCTCTTAACGAAATTCGGTGACCCGACTCCATGGTCTCATGATGAAGTCCAGGTCTATCTGGCTCATATCAGAAAGGAGCTGAAAGACCACAATAATCACATTTATCACAGAGTGTTAGTGATTCCCCTCTTTTGGAAGTGTATGACGGGCTAAAGATTATACAGAAAAAGGGTATGGGCCAGGAAGCCATTCATTGATGAAGTTGTTCTCCCATCGGTGGAAGGAGAGAATTGATTGCCTACACTCCAGATTTGGTTGGAAAATAAAGGTGGAAACACTCCGTCCACGAGTGTTAATACATGAAATAATATAGTGGACTTAAACTTTTGAACATACTGAGCGATAGACGTCGGATACATCCCAGCAGTATGCGCCCACTTCCCGTCGACAAATCTTACATAGCAGTACTCTACTCTGTCGGGAGCGAAAGTGACGAGTGTAATTTTATGTTCTGTCTCCGTAACTAGCGTATGGTACGTTGAGGAAATCAGGATGGCAATCACTTGAGCAGTGGTACAGGAGGAAGAAGCACGCCTAAGACTCAATATTTGAACATGCTACGAGGTTCGAACACAACATTGAAGCTTGTAAGAGACGCAAAACTTGTTTCCGCCGGATGACATGTACCGGTCTGGAGGAGGGAAACTAGCGGCAAAATGGCGAAAAGGGTTAAAGGGCTTCGGAAACCAACACGAGCACGGCTTGTGCCCCTCACATCTGGCACTGGCCAGATGCTTACAGAGCCGAGACCGGCATATCCGACACCGACTGAAATTAAGCTAGGGCGGGATTTAAAGACCAAATTCAAGCCTGACTACAGCCTGTGGCAAATTTTGGACCCCATGTTAGGATGTACCAAAGGCTTTAAATTGCTGTATGTCATTATCCCCGGATTAACGGTCGGCGTTTCAGGTCCTTTGATCGAGGACCTTTGTTGAGCTAAAATAAATCTTCATTGTCAAGGCTTTGACCTAGCAAGAAGACTTGCATGACTTATCGAATCCGGATCTTTAATTGGAACAAAGCGACGGGGGTGGCCTAGCGTGCGTGGCTTGCTGACCACCGCACCTCGTATGGCCCAGATGCAGTGACAGCAATTCTAGAGACTTGGCATTCCGTAACGTGAAGATGGGACAAAAGGAACAAAACCACGTGTATATCTGAAGGACTGAAGGTAATTTTCCGCTCGAAGGCGTGTTTCAATTTGGTTGTTCGTAAACAGGGCCTTGGAGACATTCACAAAACGTCTTATGATTCCTCAGCAGGGTCTGATCGACACTAAATTTTAGTGTATGCAGAGCCTCCTAGTTGCTTGAAACCAATAGAGCAGGCGAATCAGAGCCAGTGGCTGACGAAAACCCTCCGGCAAACGATACATAGCGGGATGAGCTGAACTGGGGCTGGATACCCGAATCTGGCAAGGCTCTGCCTATTGTAAGGCTCTTTGACCGAAGATTGTCAACAGTAGTCAGCCCAATCGAGGGCACCCCCAAGAATGTGCGGCCTTGTCAGAAATCTGACTGCGACTTTCTTTGTCTGGTGAAACCATACACTTTTCTCACTCATATTCCGTCCTCCTTCCTTGACAGTGCAGAAAGTTCCAACTTATTAGGGTGCAGCATATTGCATATTCCGTTGAGCGGAGTCTCCCAGCATGAGGTTCATGCACCAGCTGGTTTGGCCGCTGCTAGCTTTAGTCCTGGTGACTATCGTAGTAGCACAAGATTCAACATCGCCCGTCGCTACCAGTACAACCAACCAGGCTTCATCAACAACGTCTACCGGGATCGCGACGCACACCATTCAAGTTGGCCCAAAGTCAGATCCACATCAGTATGTGCCGACCAACATCACAGCGAATGTGGGGGATGTTGTCGTCTTTGAGTTTTATCCAACGAACCATTCTGTCGTGAAGGCAGACTATCTGTCACCCTGTGTGCCAGCAAAGTTGCCCTTCTTTTATTCCGGAGCCTTTGATGATTTCAATCTGAGGGATGGACAACTTGTTGGGCCGGTAAGTAATTCAGATCGAGTCAAAAAAAGCTGTTCGTTCATAAAAATTGCTGACTTTTTTCCAACGCAGGCCCCGACTTGGTCTGTTGTCGTGAACGACACTGAGGTATGAATCGAGACCTGGAAATAATTCGAATCATAAAGTGCATATACTAACTTCTGGTTTGTGCAGCCCGCATTCTTTTATTGCACAGCAATAGATTCTTGTCAGAAGAATGGCATGGTTGGCGTCATTAATCCGGTAAGGATGTCGATTCCGTTCCCGAGTGAATGCGAAAGATGCTGACTTCACTTCCAGAATTCAACACAGACCTGGGAATCACAGTACAACGCGGCCCTCAAGTATCCATACATGACACTACCAGGGCAGCCGTTGCCAGCAGAAGGCAGTGGTGGCAGCAGCTCCGACTCGGGTTCAAGCAACGATCAGTCCGGGGGCAAACACGGTCTCAGCACGGGTGCTATTGCGGGTATATCCGTCGCGGGTGTAGTATTCGTGGCGATCCTGGTGGCTTTGTTCTTTGTTCTCGGTCGAAACCGCGTATACTCCCAGTGGGTGTCGTCGCAAGACGGTCGGACAGAACGTACCCGGCGATGGGCCTTGTTCAACCACGACGACCAATTGAGCAACAGCAATCGCAAGAGTGAAATTGGGAGTACTGCCCCGAAGCCAGGCCATATCGATATTAGCGCGGTGTCCAGCCCGGACCCCACGGTCCGAACATTCTCACCGGGAATGGAAAATGTTTCCGGGCACGGTGGTTCTCCGGCGACACAACAAGGTCATTGGAGTTGGAACGAGCCCCCTGTGCCAGCACGCGCATATGGTGCTCCCACAGAGTTGGAGGGACATCCGATTATCTGGGAAGCTCCAGGCAGTACGCCTGGTGGACGGTTCTGAAGTTCAAAATTGATGGAGATAGGAGACGGTGGAATTAAGATGCGGTTAAATGTTGGATTTGGCTTGTTTGGTCTGTTTGACTCGGCATGTTTTTTTGGTGTTTCGCTCGTGCGGTCTGTTATATATGGTGATACCTATCTGTTTTTGTGACATGTTAATATATGATCTTTGATGTTGAGGTTGTAGTCCTTTAAGGGGCAAAGGGGCAACGGAAAATGCCGATCCCCCAGCTTCGCCGTCGTGAGGGGAAGTGGAGATCCTTCCCCCCGATTGAATCTCCGTGTAATCCGTGCTTGTTAAATATGTCAAGAAACTCCAGGGAAATGCGATCGAGATGGGGATGCATGAGCTGGTAGGCTATACGGTACAAAAACCTAGGGAAGCACCCAACTGACGAGGAACAGTCGTCAAAGACGGAAAAAATGCGATGAAACACGACCGTTTTGTGGAATATGCACCGAGAGAGGCGTTGAATGCGTGTACCCAGATTGGACCGCAGTGAAATATGCCCGCACCCGCCAAAGAATGCTTGAGATCCAAAAAGCCGACGATTGTGCCCCGCGGCCGTTGCTCGCTGCTCACCCTAGTAGTCATCAGACTCGACTACTTCACCACTTTCAGACGACCGTGTCGACCTTGATCTCATTTTCCTCTCAAACAGATACTTCTAATCCTTTTCTTCTTCATGTCCTTCCGCTCGCTTCATCATCGCCGCCGGTCCAGCGCGCCATCGAAGCAGTGGCTGCCGCGCATCTGCACTTGCTCGGAGTGGAAACATCCGTGATCCCAGCAAGACTGCATACACAGTCGCTTAGTCTCTTGGCAGCCGAGGTATGTGCCCCCCACCGGGATCACGCCTCACGGCGAAACAGCTTGGCGGGAAGTTTACTCTTGATCTATTACGAGGTATGCAAATTCAACCTTGATGTTAGGTGCAGCTCTAACCGATTCTGAACAGATCGTTCTGGGGAACTCCGCGACTAACGCATGGTGCCATCTGCAGGGAGCAAAGAGTCTCCTAGAATGTGACCCAAGTATGTTTCGATTGCCTCACTTCACTTTCTTCTCCAAAATTTTCCAATACTTCAACGTGATGCTTGCATTGTCGCTTGGTCGACAGCCCCTAGAGCTGAGCATCCTGAGTCAACCCGATCCAAACCGAGAGTCAGGCCCAACCGACCCCGTCTTTGGGTGCAGCAGCAGTCTGTGGCCCTTGATGCACGAACTAGCCAGTGTCATAAGCCAGGTTCAATCTGGGGAGAACGTGGACGACAGAGCCCGGATATTAAAATTCCATCTCTTTTCATGGTACTTCGAGTCGGTGGGAATATCTGAAGCATACTTTGAAGCCATGATGCAGATCGCGCAAGCCTACAAGTACTGTGGCCTATTGGCATTGCGCATGGCAATACCTTCTATCTTTTCTGGAGACGATCACGAAGCGTCACTCGCCGAATCTGCCGAGCATGATATATATCAATCTGCTTTCAACAGCCTGCTTCGTGTTTGCGTACTCTCCACCCCGATGGCTACTCTCACTTGGCCACTGTATATTGTTGGACGACTAGCGACCTCCAGCGGAGATCGAACCGTGATCATGCATATTTTCTCGCAGTTTCTACAAAGGCATCATATGAAGGTTGTTGATGGAGCTAGACTTGCAGTTACGGCGCATTGGGGAGAAGGGCAGTCCTCACGAAGTCGGTGCAGCTGTACTCCAGTACTACTTGGATGACAAGGTCTCAGAAATCGTGAAAAGCTGTTAAGCAATCATTTCTCGGATGACTCAACCCGGAATTGCGGCTGTAGAAAACATCGCAGTAGCGACTTCTATTCTATAAGCAACTGGGTGGAAAATCATCTTCGTTATACTCCGTGTCAGACGCAGGGACTCGAAGGAGGCCCAAGGTAGCTCTCCTTGACACCACCAAGATCCAAAACAATGTTTTCCAGCAACAAATTTGGATGATTGAGGCGAATGCGAATACTGCGGGCCCCAGTCCCCAAATCCGAGGCAGAGTGAGTCCTCCTCCACACACAATCCATCACAGCCTCTGACCACCCCTCTGCTGGAAGCTTTGTCTCCTTTCCTTCGCTTACTGGCAGAAGGACGTGTCTCTCCATTGACTGGCCGTCCAGTCCGAGGTCGTAGCACATGGGATTAGCGGGGTCAACATCGAGGGTCATGTTAAAATGCAATGTGATGGATGGCGAAGCGCAAGATGAGAACAAGTACACATCATAACAAAGGAAGAGAAGATGAATTTCTTCGCTCCTCGTGGTACCTCTCAATGAGATAGCGCCTTCACTTCTACGTCCAAGATCGACATGGTGTTGATAGTGGGGACTCAAGCTTATCCCTGATGCTGGAATGGATACGCAGCCATCGGCTTCGACAAAACCGGAGAAAGATTGCGGAGCTTTGTGCCCTTTCACGGGGAGATGAACATGTTCAAAATCGCCTTCCTCTGATGCGATACTAACAATGACTTCCTCATCGAAGTTGGACGGCACCTGACTCCAATCAATTGTGATGGAGACGCGCGCATCATCCCCATCTGGATGTATCGTCCCCTCTGCCGAAGAGAGTTTGACCCATGGGTGTGGCACAGATGCCTTCCAATGGATTGTTTGAATACCGCGTGTGAAGATATCAAACCACCGTTTCACTGGACCATACCGACTCATAGAGCCAAGCGTCAGACCGGGTACGAGGTCACGGCGACTTGGATGTGTTCGCTCGCTCTCTTCATTGATGCGACCGGCACGAACTCCCTCATGACCTTCGACGGCAACACCCATTTGTCCAACAATGATGTTACTGTTTTGATGTCGCTGAACATACGCGAGGCCAAATATCGCATCCCTCGACGGAGCATGCCAAGTATCACCATAGCCCATATGCGGCTGACACAGCATGTAATTCCACTTACCTCCAACCAGCGAATGGAACTCTTGAGAGAGCTTGAAATCTGCATCAAACAGATCTAGAGATTCGCGGAGAAGTTTGTTGGCAGTGTTTCGTCTCTGACGTGCATAGAGTTGGTTTCGAGCCTGGGTGACCCGGAGGGAGATGAAAGTAGTGCTGGCCTTCACGGGATGAACGACAAGCTGCCAGAAAGAGGGTTTTTGAGGATCGGGGACACGCTGATATAGCGTGTTGACCGTCGATTCCAATGTTTTCCAACGAGCGACGATATCATCTGCTTCGTTATAATGCAATAACGAAAAGCTTTCTGGGTCTATGTGCTCATGCTTGCGCATGCGGACAAGGCGATCGTATTCGTGCCAAACGGCGACTGTTTCTTCCTTCAATACTTCGTCGAAATACTGGGAAGCGAGGCTCCCTAAATATCGAGGAATACTGGATGGTTCGACGCAGTTTATATTCCATGCCATGTCCATCGCAAAAGTTAGGGGAATTTCGATCGGCTTGATGTCTCCGATGTTGAACACCCAGATCTTTCGAGCATGAGAAAGGTAGGCCTGGTTGAGTTGATGGTATATCTTGCCCTACAGTCACATCACAGATTGTCAGCCCCCAAGGTTTCAAGGATAGTTGAGCTTGGTGAGACCTACCAGCGAGTTGGAATTGATCCATTTGTAGCTCCGAGGAGCACCCACATACTCAAAATGATAATAAATCTGCCTCAGGATTAGCGTAATTCTTTACCAACCGCGAGGTTTCTTACTCCAGCTCCACCTGCTCTAGACTTTTCAGGCCCAGATGGCAGCCGACGCAATGTCCCAAAATTGTCATCGGCGAACAGAAGCGTGACATCGTCAGGAACCGTGAACTCGCCAGCTTGATAGAGATCCTGGATCTCCTTGTATAGAGCCATCACCTGAGGGACCGCATCTTCGCGCCCGTGGACAGCCTTGAAAAGAGCTCGCTGCTGCTGAAGCACATCACGCACTACCTTTCCGGGATCGTTGGTCGCCATCTGCTTGTCGTACTCGCCCCGAATGCCCAGTGTGAAATAGGACTCCATCCCCTGGGCTCGCTCAACCCCTTTGCGGAAGAAGTCAATGATCTCCTCGCGGTGAGTGGTCCAGTCCCATGTGCCATCGACGTGACCCTCTTCGAACCACTCTGTTGTTGCTCGCTGCATCGGTTCATGATGTGAGGTAGAGACACATATTCCGTATTCATCGGCTATGCGTTGGTTTTTCGGATCATCGAGAAAGAAGACAGCGCCGGGGTTGGGATATCCAGGCCACATTGCTGGCCACATGAAGTTGGCTTTGAGTCTCAAGAGTAGCTCGTACACCTTGATGTAGAACTTCGAGTTGTACCCGCCAAACTTCTCCAACACCCAGCCGGTGAGAGCTGGTGCTTCATCATTGATAAATATGCCTCGATATTGTATGCTTGGCTCGCCGTGGAGTGTTTGCTTTGACAAAGCGAATATGCTGGAATGAGACTTCGCAGGAACATCGGCCCACCAATACCATCTGAGAGGTTAGAGACGCAAATAGAAAGAGAGAGATAGAGGTTCTCATCACCTACGGAGACACCCCAATCTGACTGGAGAGAGTATAGGCTCCGAAAATCGCCCCTCTTTTGTCGCTGCCCGCAATCACCAACGCCTTTTCGCATCCCTCCATCGGACGGTCGACCACTATCGTGAGGAATGTCTCCCATTTCCCTTCAATGTGCGAGACTTGGACCTTCCCCGAAGCTACCAGCGACTGGATAATTCGAGAATTCACGCATCCAATGATGATAGCAAATCTCGGCGTGAGATGCGATGGTTTCTGTCCCACAATCTCAAATGGGTTTGCATTTCCGTTCGTCACACGGCCAAAGTCTTCAGCAAGTGATCGAGCTGCGTGATGAATCCCCAGAAAATCATCATTGTCGACCAAAACAGTGGCCCCAACAAGACTGAGGAGCCCCGCAGAGGGGGAAAATGTGACAAAGGTATCATCAGCCATAGTGGCAGCTATGCTCTTCCTTGCAGATCAAGGAGCAAGTGAAGGTCAACGGAACACCGCCAGTTGCTTGTGATGAAACGTCATCGGAGGTTACCGCGATCTTGTCTGAGGGTCATGCAATTGCTCTCTAACCGACATCATCGTTCCCCGCCCGGAGCGAGACTCTGTGCTCGGGTTGTTGTTCTACCGAGCAGCCAGGCTCGGCTGTGGAGCGCTACTAAGGTCAATACGGCCACACCCGTTGCCGACGGAGCTGCTGACTGGATACCGGGCCTAGGATCGGCACCCTGTTGCCGGATTCTGACGAATTTTATGCTAGGGCGCTCGGCAAGTGTCCGGCATGGGGTGTACATCTCCACTACTACCCCCACGGGGGACGATGTTATACCGAACCGTGCAATCCCCGGGCCTCCACCCCCGCATCTCCGGATTTTAGGTCAGAGTTGCATGGAGAAGTGTTAAAATGGGTCCTAGGTGTCAATTGACTGCGGTGCTAGAGGACCAGAAAGATCAAAATCCCTGCGACCATGGCAAACTCGCAAAAACACGACCAAGAGGTGGACGAATCCCATAGTTATCATGACGAAGAGCCCCAAAAGAATCAGACCGATCACAAGTTAGTCGATAAAGAAGTCGCCAAATATGCTACCGACACAGCCATTCACATTGATGAGGCAACGAACAAGCGACTGAGGCGGAATATTCACAAGCGGATCTTGGTGGTGATGATGGTGACATACCTCATTCAGACTCTTGACAAAGGAGCAATGTCTTTTGCCTCGATTATGGGCATTGTGGAAGATGCGAATCTGGCAGGCAATCAAGTCCGTTATCTTAAGACCAGTTCCTCCTCTTCAATGACTGACAGATACAGTATCAATGGCTCACAACTGTTGTTTACCTCACGGTTCTAGTTGTGGAATACCCGGTATTTTAGCCGATGTTCGCATATTAAGACCATTGTGCTGATGAGAAGACAGGAAAACTGGATCATCCAGCGTGTTCCCATTGCAAAATGGCTTTCGGCAAACATCTTTCTATGGGGCGTCTGCATCACACTCATTTCGGCCATGAAGAATTTCACGGGTCTTGTCATTCTGCGAGCATTCATGGGTGCCTTTGAGGCTGCCTGTCAGCCAACCTTTGTGATTCTGTCTGCAACATGGTATCGTCGCGAAGAGCAAGGAAGTGTCATTAACTTATGGTCGGTCCAATGAAACAAAGCAGATGATATTGTCCGCCGCTCACATCCACACAGGTACATGATGAATGGTCTTCAGAATGTTGTCGGTGGCCTCCTAGCCTTCGGTTTTTCTTTTGTGCCCCGCAGCTCTCCGCTGAAGTCATGGGAAGCCATGTTTATGACATACGGTCTCTTAACTGTCATTTGGGCGGTCTTTGTGTATTTCTGGATGCCGGACTCTCCCATGAGGGCGAAGTGCTGGACTGAAGAGGATAAGCAGTTGATGGTTGAGCGAGTGCGTCAAAACCAAACCGGTCTGCAGAATCGAAGCTTCAGAAAGGAGCAGGTCTGGGATGCCCTGACTGATCCGCAATGTTGGAGCCACCCATATCTTCACTTTCAGGCCAATCGCTAACTCGGATATAGTGTATGCCTTTGTGCTCATCCAGCTTCTCACGACAATTCCCTCCGGAGGAATCGGCGCTTATGCAAACATCATTTTGAAATCGTTCGATTTCAGCACTTGGGAAGCGCAACTGCTATCCATGGTCATTGGCGCAGTAACAACAATTACCATGTTGGTGTCAGCCTATCTCGATCGCAAATTCCACCAGACCATCTGGATCATGATCGGCTCTGTTGTGCCATCCATTCTAGGCTGCTCAATTCTCATTGGCATTCCCTTCTCCCCTAGCAAGCGTGTTGGCATGCTTATAGCATACTGGATCTTCTATTCGTTCTTCGCCGTCTCTTCACTCTCCTTGGCATTACTGTCGCGCAATGTCGCCGGGCAGACCAAGAAGTCCATTATCATCTCCTGCAACTTTGTCTTCTGGGCTGCCGGTAATGCGGTTGGTCCCCAGGTCTTCCGCGACAAAGATGCCCCGCGGTACTACCTCGCGTTTTCCATTCTGATTGGATGCTTTGGTCTCGTGGTGATCATCCTATTCGCACTTCGACTGTGGTATAGTCTTCAAAATCGCAAGAGAGATGCAAAGATTGCATCTGGAGAAGTTGTTCCCGATGTCAACTTCACTCATGCCTTTGAGGATATCACCGACCGGCAGAATCCTCATTTCCGTTATGTTTACTGAGGCGCATACAGCCTTTGGTGGATTTTGACTGGAAAGACATGTTCAATGAAGCACCCAAAGTTACTAGCAATGGAAAACGTTTCTCGCTCTCCACGCGAATGGTTTTTCCAGGACATCAGGGGTGAAAATGTTGAGATGTCGCGGAAAAGAGGACAGCAATGCGGGTTCCCGACGCGAGTACTACCCGCAAGGCTTGGCATCCTGAATCGCCGTCGCCTCCTTCTTTCGCATCGACTTACTGGATACGGACACTGATGGCGATTTTAGGCTCCGGCTGCTCGTGGCTTCAAGAAGAGTTTGGTTCCATTAAACCACCGACCATAGTTCTGTCTGCTTGTTGGATTATGCGACTTGCATTGCACATCTCGGCAGCAGTCCCAGCTCATTTTATAAAATTGACAATATGATTCTTCTTGCACACTGCCAGCACATATCTCCCGCACTATTTGAGCGGCCCAGTTGTTGAGCACACCCGCTCAATGAAAGCCTTTGCGACGATCTCACAGACCTTCCCTATCAATGGCACGAACCCAAATCGCCAAGGTGTAGTATAAGCTTTCAGAAATCCTCGGTTTTCATTCGTTGAATCTCGATTTATCGTTCTAGCGGAGACCTCCGACAGACTTTCCAGACTTTCCAGACTTACCTTGACATTACTAGGTCTTATCTGTGAAGCAGCTTATAGCGAGCCTGGAGGCCTCTGCGAAAATGTCCTCGAAAACGATTACTCTTCACTCAAATGATATGGTGACTCCTAAATAACGGAGCTTACTTTGTTGTGGGCATGTTCGTCTGCATCGCTTTCGGTCCTCAACAGTGAGAGGACGTATGAAATTTGACCCACAATATGGCTGTCACATCCCGTGGGCTGCCAGATGACTCTGGTCCGCGGCTATTACGCGAAATTTGGGCTCTTACAGCGCTCAGTATCCTTATAGTCACTTTGAGGGTGATTGCCAAAATCAGGATTCAGAAATTCGCTTGCGATGACATTCTCATGACATTGGCATTGGTAAGCCTACCCTTAAATCGAAAACGTCAGGAATATGGCAATCTAATTACACTCTCTTATTAGCTCTGCGCTATAGTTGGATCGAGTCTGATCACAATCGGCATCAAAAGTGGGTTTGGTCAACACGTATGGGAAATTCAACGCGAGATTCCGACAGTCATAATGTATGACTACTTAGCGCAAACATTCGGTATCATCGGGGGAACGCTGGGTCGCATCGCTTTCATCGTCTTCATCGTCGCATTACTCGGTACCAGAAGGCTATACCGAGCTATTTTGTGGACATTGGCTGGAATTCAGCTGGTGACAAACCTGGTGCTGGTCATCATACTCTTCGTTCAATGTCCAGGGCATGCTTCGGCTATATGGGCACCAAGTGGCGAGGACAACTGTTGGGATGTTCGTGTTCAAGCATATTATGGATATTACCAAGGCTGTAAGAGTGACCAGACACAACGAAAACCCCAAATGGATATTCTGACAAGATATGATACTCAGCTTTCAATTCAGCAACAGATCTGTATTTGGCGACTTTCTCGACATGCATATTCTGGAATCTCAATCTGAGACTCCGAGCCAAGCTCGGATTAGTCGCATTACTCGGCTTGGGCGTCTTGTAAGTTCGTTATGCGGCGTTTTCTTGCACTTGAACTTTTAACTGACGCAAAACATTTCCAGTGCAATGATCGCTTCGATAATAAAAGTTGCCGAAACTCGAGTCTTCGCACACCCAGATGATGATCCAACCGTCGCGACTGTGAGCTATGATCGATGGCTATTCATAGAAACCTACCTCGTCATCATCACTGCATCCATACCTTGCATTCGATCACTGTTACGCTCCTCCGACGAGCGGTACACCGCCTCTGGACGAAGTGTATACGAGCTCAACTCGGTCTATGTTGAAGCGTCTTTGCCTGACTCTAGACGGATAACACCGAGCACACCTAGAAAGGCAGATGCACGCATTTCCGATGGAACCGAGAGCATAGATGAGATTCTACAATGGAACGACGATATCGAACATCTGGACGGGCAATCAGCGTCCATGAAGTCGACTCGCATTCACGTTTAAATGACACTTACAATATATTATGAAATAATCCAAAAGTATACTGAATGCATGACAGTTCCCATGGCAGCCAAATTTGATGGGCAAATATTACTCAACTTTGAATTTCGAGTTAAAAAGGAGGGAGAGTAAGTACATGTTCACGGACCCCATACGCCTTGCACGAAGTAGTCAGACAAATCACCAAACCCTTGGTTTTCCTCTTCCATTTGGCCATTGCCCAGGTAGGAAAAGCGGTTTGCTGAGTTGTACTTGATGTTGAAATGCTCACCCCCAATTCTTTGCAGCGACTTCCGGAAATGACTCGTTGTTCCCGCATAGGCATTCACGAAGCCCTTCGATTTTCCATTCTTATACCAACTCGAACAATCTCCAGAGAACGCTGTGCGCTTCAAATATTCCTGAGACCAAACGTTGTAGTCATCTACCGATTCTTTGCGAACATCAAGTGACCTAGAACGAACTGTCAGCAGCAAATCGGTAACAAGTGGGCAAAAGAGCAGAGAACTTACTTGATATCTTCCGTGGCGATCTTTTTAATCCACTTCAGCGCATATTCACACGCAAAGGCAATGGCACTATACACTGTTCCGTGCGAGATCAGGAAATTGGGGCCCCCGAGCATGAAATAATTCGGCATGTCATCAATCTGGACCGAGAAGAAACCCTCCAAGTCCCCGGTGAGAATACGGCCATTTCTCCCAACGTGGTTCCAGTGCGGACGAGCAGATGTGTTATAACCAGTCGCACAGATGATCATGTCAAATTCTTCCTCGCCATTCTTGGTTCGAATACCAGTCTCGGTAATTTGTTCAATCTCGTCCCAGCACATTTCGGTATTATCGGAAGCAAAGGATCGAAGATAACCGATTTCAGGAGTGAGTCGTCGACAGCCGGCAGGAAAATCAGGAATCATCCGAGCAGCAACGGCTGGGTCAAGCTTTAAATCTTTGAACCTTTCTTCCATGATTCTTTTCGCCTCCCCACGCATCAAATCTTGGAAAGCATGCTCCTTGAGGGTGGCGTATGATGCACCATTGACACTTCGAGCAATCAATATTCAACACTTGAAAACAGCATTGTGTTCCACTTACTGGTTTTCCAACTCCTTGCGCAACTCAAAGAAAGCCTTGGGGTCGTTTCTGAATCGTTCGCGCTCTTCGGGAGTATATGCGAAGTTCGAACCGTCTGGAGTCATCTCTGCATTGACATTCGGGGTAAGCCACGTTGGGTTGCGGACGTAGTTGACTAGCCTCAATGTCTCCGGATGCATTGTAGTCACCACCTGGATGCCGGCTGATCCGTTCCCAATCACGGCCACCCGCTTCCCTTTCCAGTCATAGCTTTCATCCCTGATTGTATGTTAGCACTTTCAATGTGCTCACATGATCGAACCTCAACTATTTTGGACATACCAGGTTGCGGTATGAACCAGCTTTCCCTTGAAGTCAGATAGTCCATTTATGTTGGGCATTTTCCACTCACTGACGGTCAGTACATTCCCATAAGAACTGGAAGTGCCACTCACTTCACCAAGCCCATGCCATTCACCAAGATTTCCGCCTCATCTTCTTTGATTGTGCCATTCTGATCAACTTTTACCTTCCATTTACCTGAATCTTCGTCCCATCTGGACTCGATAATCTTGGAGTTCAGCTCAACATGTTCGTCAAGGCCCCACTTTCGCACAGTTTTCTGAATATACTCATAAATTTCAGCACCAGAGACATAAAAGTGGGACCAATCAGGGTTGGGCTCGAAGCGGAACACATATGTGTCTTCAAGGATTCATTAGTTGAGATGTATACTGGGGGATCATCTGCCAAGAACTCTTACGGGCGGCAAGGTCACTGTCATGATATGAGAGGATGCATTTAGAGTATTTGAAACACAATCAATCTTACCAGGCAACACCGGGGTACTTGTTTTCATACCAAACCCCACCAACCTCCGCGTTCTTGTCGTAGATCGTGAAATCCAGGAATTCATTATCCTTCATTTCGTGCGTGATCATGTGGGCCAACGACAGTCCCGAAAGACCAGCGCCGACGCAAATCATTCGGATTTTTCGCGGAGTATAGCCATATTGCTCCTTGATCGGAACCCAATTGGGTGGCCTTTGCCCCTCCGCGACACGGGCGGCATTGCTTAGCATCGGGCTTTCGGTGGGGTCTTGAGGATCGTGGGCTGACATTAGGTGGGGATTTTTTGGATCTGTGGAGAAGACGGAGCCCGGTCAATGTACTTGTGGTGCAAAATCATTGAAGATTTCTGATCATCAAATCTTTAAATAATCAGAGTTCTCGGCTGCCCCTCATCTTAGCGCAAGGCTGTGTTTAGTTTCAGCCCCCGCCTATATCGTTTCGGTAGGGCGGAGTACAGTGCGGCTTCGATAAGTTGATGGGGCCGGATCTTCCAAGGGTGTCATTGGACTGGTTCGTATATTAGGTGCGGAGTTAGTTCTCGGCGGTGCAATGGTCTGATTTGACGTTGCAATTTGATTTTTTGATCTTATTGATTTGTTGATTCATCGGCTACACTTTCAACCATAAAGAGAAAGCCAAGTCTTTCATTATAAAATATTCAATGACCTCTCTGGCAATTGCCAGAGGTAAAATCTCAACTTGATGAAAGTTGAATTAAATACAGTTTGTACCACCGCCCCAAAAGTCCAACTGAACTGCACCATCGATGAGGACCTTTAACAAGGGTGTCCTCAAGCATCCGCTTCGATCTTTTCCGTGACAGTTCCGTCGCTCTGGACAACAATCTTGTCTACGTTTTGGGATGCCTTGACGGGGTTGGGTTGTTGGTATACCCACTCCAGTTCTTCCAGAGTACGACCCTGAGATTCGACACTAGGAAACGGGATGTTAGCAAAAGGCAAGACGATACGTGGGGACAGGGGGGTTATTCGTTCCGACATACCAGAAGAAGTACCAGAAGATTGATTCAAGAACGTCCCAGCCGACGAAGATCCAGAAATAGTTGGTGGAAATGTTCTTCAAACCGATCGGGGTCGCAAACTGACTGATAAAGCTGATGCTGCTGACCATGAAACCCGAAAGTGCCAATCCCTTGGCACGAGTGGTGGTTTCAAGAGCCTCGGCGGGAATGACACCCTGAAGGGGGGTGTATGTGAACGCAAACACGACGTTGAAGAGGTAGTAGAATGAAAGAGCAGCCTGGCCCTTGGTTTTGTTAATTTGTCCTGTATTGGCAACCTCTTGGAGAATACCGGCATTGATTGCCAGGGTGACAGCACAGGCTGTATGCTTCGTTAGTATGGTGAGACATGTATAGAGAGAATAAAACCAGGTCCAACGTACCCATTGTACCGAAGATGAGAACAGGACGACGGCGCATTCTGTCCGTCAGGTATACAGCGGAAAGAGCCCCGATGGCAGAGACAATGGAGTTGACCAGGTTGAGCAAAAGCTGTGTAGAGCTACTCTCATAACCAATAACCTTATAGATCGTTGCGTTAAAGTAGCCGAGTCCGTTGCCCGACCATTGTCCAAAGATAGAAATCATGATAACTTGGGCAAAACGCCAGCGACCACTGTGTGTGGTGACAAAGGGTCGGTCTATTGCCAGATGTTAGTGCTCTTAATCAAGGGCGCAGGTTGAAATTGGTGAAGACTCACAATCCCACCACCTCTTATCAATGCCATCGATGCGGATACCTTCCTTCATCTCTTCAACCTCAAGACGGACCAATCGTGCGTTGGGGTCACCGTTGCCATGGTACTTGACCAAAAACGCAACAGCCTCTTCGTGGCGGCCTTGGGCCATGAGCCAACGAGGTGACTCTGGGATGAACCAGACGGAGATAATGACAATGACACAGGCAAAACACTGGCAGATGAACGGAATTCGCCATTGGTAGTTGTTACCAATGTAATTGCAACCGTATGTGATCGCAGCGGCTGGGATGGAACCTCCGAACCAACCGCAATTGTAGAAACCTAAAAGTTTCGTCAATCCCCATCTCTTGCTAGAGGGCAGGTAGAATCTGGGCAGATCACGCTGTGATACATACCAACTGCACGACCACGCCAGTGAGGCGGGGCGATTTCGACGGCATAGGCTGGGGCAGAGACGACCATGATCTGGATTCCAAAACCAAGGACGAATCGACCGACAACAAATTGAGGCAGGGTCATTCCAGTAGCAATTATAATGGAACCAATGATAATAACCCATCCTCCAACGAACATACACTTGCGACGGCCGAGCTTGTCGGAAATGACAGCGCTGAACGGGGTGGCGACGATAGAACCGCTGTATGCGTAACAGATAGGTCAGATTTTGAAGCATCACGGTCCATTCAAGGGTCCATACACAGTGTATAACGAAGTGACAAGGGAGACCTGGGGCCCGTCCATTCCTGTTTTGAAGACGTTCTGGTAGTGATCCATAGCAAGAATAGATCCCATCAGTGATCCTAAGGTGTGGTCAGATATTGGTGGTTTGAGTTTCATTCAAGCAAAAATACCATCATAACCGTTGGCACAGGCACAACAAAAAGCGACGAAGATACAGACTGATTATAGTCATGTCAGTAGATGATACCTTCATTTCATCCCTGGGGCATGGACGCGGCAAAACTTACAATACAAATGGATAGAGTTTTTGCTCCATCTTTCAATTTGTGTTTCCTCAATAGCAGCAAACAGATCGGCCTGGATTTTATCCGGGTAAGTATGGTTCACCCAGGAAGAAATGTTGGTTGAGTAAAGTGGGAAAAGGGCGAACTAACATTGTGGACTTCTTTGGTCTTCGCACCCTCTCGTTTAGTAGTTTCACCAAAGCCAGCGAGAACTCGAGGCTCATAATCGGTGGCAGAGGATATGCCATGCACCTCCTCTTGTGCCTTCATATCCGACATAGCTAAAAGCTTGCGCCGCAGGTACTCGGTGTTGATGGTCTCGGCAGAAGATCCGGTCGGTGGTAATTGAGACTGAAGCGACGAACCGTAAATCTGGAGTGCAGCGGGGCATGATGCAGTTCTTATAATTCAAGATATCAAATTAACTGGAGATGCAGCAAATCAGCATGGGAAATGACTATAGTCCTTTTTCGGAAAGACTGCTCGACTGTCCGGTTCCCCAGACTCCAATTGCCTTGTGACCCCGGACCCCTGTCCTCGCCAGCAACAGGCGCCTCTAGTTGGTGGCTTTTGCCCCAAACCTCCGTATCCTTATTGGTATCGGGATATTCCCCAATCATACCACCCGCCACCGGGTTCAGTATCCTGTTTCATTGTGAAATTTAGAGATGGAATGGACCGGACTCTCAACATGGACTGTCGGCCCTAGCTGCCGCGCAGAGGCGAGAAGGATTTGATCAAATTGTTTTTGGCGAGATGGGCCCTATTTGGATTCAATTATTGGCTAGTCTGCAGGTGATCGCACAAAACAAACAGTCGCGCGAGTCTAGATTTTCACCGATATTAAACGACCAACATGGCAGACTTTTCAGCAGTAGAATTCTCACTGGGCCATAAAAATATCATACATGTTGCTTCACATGCCTCTCAATTAATCTATCCTAGTGGCGAGGTGTCATCTTGTGGTCTCTCCAAATTTCCGGCCATGCCGACTTTTGCCTACTGCATCCTGACCGTCCGAAAGAGTCGTAGCTTAGACATTCTCAGAAACACAAGTTAACTCTTGGCGTAGTGGAACAAGGTATCCGGATTGGATCCATCGCAAGTACGGAGGATGCTCCGTGTTGCATCTCTCACGGCCCCTTCCCCACAAAAAACTAAACCCTTTCGGGCAACCTCGGGGTATGAGCTTATTGCACTTCGGTTCTCAGTCTCTACTGCAGCCACCTCACTTGTGTACATGATTCGGCCCGTATTTCCAACTCGAATAGACCTCGGGTTGCCTCTCAGACCACCAGGCTGGCTGTGCACGATATTGAGTTCGCGTCAAGCCCAAATTCTCTGAACTGGATATTATCGGCTTTCTTGGGGGCCATATGAATGGGGTTTGGGCCGAAGGGAAATAAGCCTCAAACTGAGCCTCCGGGCCGAAATTGGAATCAGATTGTGATACATGGGTGTCCTAGGTAGCGAACGGTTCTCACTGAGTTCCAAGAAACGCCAAACCAAGCACATCTATGTAGATAGATCAGCCACTCATGGAAGTCCTCGGAGACCTTGGCAATTACCTTACTTATGTGAAGCAAGGATGCCGAGGAATGTGCAGGGTCCCTACCGAAAGAGCCGAAAAAGAGTACAACGCACCACTGTGTCACCTGTCGTTGATAGTGTGACAATGCGAGGGAGAAACTCACATGAGAGGGAATTGTACTCGTATGTGGAAGACTACAATCCGATAGATCTAGATCGGTATGCCACCGATATATCCCTGTCTGGGACGCATTACCAGTATACACGACAGGCAGCCGAGACCAGGATGTGCTACCGTGTATCTGTCTATTCGGGTTCTGTCAAACGGAGCCCTGGGTGTGTAACAAACCGGTTTGCGGAATAAGGGCCAGAGAGCTGACTCGGAAGCCACATGGGCTCAATCAGCCACGGAGTTCGTACTCATTCCATAGTTTAGCGTTCCTTTCAATTCCCGCCTACAAACGGGAAATAGGACTATCATTTTGCAAAAGAGCACGCAAGGAGTGAGCCTTGGCAACATGTTGATGTTGTCTCCCCAAGAAACGAGAAAGTTTTAGTGCACACTCAAGCCCCGCATGGGCTGGGAGACGTCACCTTGTCGCTTGGATCATGGCTCCTTCTTCCTCTTCTTCTTTCCCTTCTCTTTCGCTCCTCGCTCGCTCTGCTCGTTTTGAAAAACCTAGCCAGGTGCCCCGAATCTCAAGAAATATCTCCTCTTGATGCACAGTCGTCTTCCATTTCAGTTTGCCGGATTCCGCGTCTGCAACTTCATGAAAAGCAAGCGTCGCTCTAGGGATTCTGCTTCTTGCTAGGTGTGACTCGATTTCTCGTGAAGTCATTGTCCCACTCTCCATGGAGGCGGGCATTCTATACAATGTACAATGACCTCTGATCAACTAACCTTTGTTGACCTCTACCTTAGTGAACCTCTGCACGCAAAGACCTTTTGCGACCAACGCTCCTATACGACAAGACATTGCGGCTCTGACTCACTCCGCCAATCCGTATGGTTTCCATTGCTATGGTCATATTATGTACGGGACATGGTGCTCTCACGTGCAGGCCAAGGAGATTCTTGACTTAAGTGTACACCGGCGAATTCTGCAGTTGAGCTCTCCTTGCTTGGCTTAACGAGGCGCAAAAACAGGTTCATGAGGCGCGGGTCGGACTGACGTGAGTTTTTGTTCACGGAATGCCTGTGCTTCCGGTCGGAATGCAGGCATGCCGTGAGTGCCGAGAGTACATTCGGGTTGATCTGACCTTGGGGACTCTTGCCGATGTTCACTACCACCTCAGCAGAAGTATTTGAAGAGGGTCTTCCCATCATGCGACTTCGGAACACACGGTCAATTTGCTTTTAGCGTCCTGCAAGCCAGGTCCGTCCGCTGATTTTCGTCTGCCCCTAGCAGCTTTTACAAAATGCCTCAGAATCCAACAGCACGGTTGCATACTTGCAAATTGAGAACAAGATTGCCGACCGCAGATCCTACCCACTTCCGTTTTCTTAGCCCGAAGAAAAAGGAGAAATCAGTTTCACTCCGGTGTGCAGAAGAGTCAATTTCCAATTGCGGGCCCATAGCCCGAGCCCAAGAAGTTGCCAAGTCCTTGGAATATTAGCCAGGCACCCTTTCTCACCACACTTGGCGTATGTGGATCTTTGTCTATATTTTACGATTTGCGCTTTTCGACCCTTCCCTTTTGAATCGTTTTCCGGACGACGAAAGCAATGCGTTGGTCTCTCAGACCCCATAAACCTTGCTAAGCACGTTTCCCCGCGTTCCAGGTTCTGTGTGCCGTGCAGCTCGGCCTAGAAACTGCGGGGCCGACATTCGGAGTAACTCCGGAGAGTCATAGGGCCAAGGTACCGGACTATATCCCACGCACAGAGCACTTTCGCCCGTGGGGTGTCCAACTTGATTGGCAGAGACAACTAGTTCGGATGCATCCTCTCTGGGGAGCATGATTGTCTACTCCACCACCCCCGCCCACCTGTGCGACAAACCTTGCGCCCAAGTCGTAGATAAATATTGGATCTCCCCTGGCGCGCATTGAGCCTGCTTGATCAGCTTTTGCTTGCTATCTGCAGTTCGATCTTCCATAATATAGCAACACCAATTATCACAATATGATTCCCAAATCGAGCTCGCTGCCAATTGTTTTGGCTCTTTGTCAATCGCTCCTGACTCCAGTCATTGCTGGCAGTCTTCCTGAACAAGCACAATTGATTGATCAGAGGGTCTTCAATGTCCTAAATTCAACTCGGCCCCCTACCGAGTTCAACTCAACAAGTGTATGCTTTTATAATCTACAGACAGGAGGCTTTTGCTAATAGCTTTCGCGACGGATAGCTTTTTGTGCCGCCAGGCTCAACAGCAGACAGCCTCACACAGCAACCCTTCCACGTATATGACGAGGAATTTCTGAAAATTATTGGAGACACCCCTACACTTACTCGAATTGGGCATTCCCCGAAAGATCCACTTTTCCATGAGGCTGTCGTATGGTACGGGCTCCAGTCAAGAACAAAGAAAAAAGCTTCTAATGACGTTTACAACAGGGTCAAAGAGACGGATGAAGTATTCTTCGTTCAAAATGCAGGGGCAAAAAATGCCGGCACGGGATTGAAAAAGTCAGCTATTATCGAGAAGATTTCACTCGCGCAAGCTGCTGCTGTGTCTGACAAGACCGATGCCGTGGGCCTTGTCAACATCACCACTGTTCCTTCATCGCCCGTGGTTCTCAACCCAAATGGTGCGTTTTGGCGTCCGCTACTCCGTTTACATGCATTCAGTCATCCGAGATTCAAGTTGAGCTGACGGTATAAATCTTCAGGAGCCACGAACTATCGCGGACAGCTTATTTTCACAAGCGAGGGTCAAGGGGACGACAAGCCTCCTGGTCTCTCAGTGGTGAATCCCAACAGCCCTTATAACTCCACAGGTATGGATCTATCTCTGCCTGCGCATTGTTGGAGACTAATGAAAATTTCCAATTGGCAGTTATCCTCAACAACTACTTTGGTCGTCAGTTCAACTCTCTGAACGATGTGGCTATCCACCCAAAGAACAAAGAAATTTACTTCACTGATACCATCTACGGCTATGTGCAAGATTTCCGCCCTGCCCCTGGTCTGCAGGATCAGGTGTACCGTTTCAACCCGGACACCGGTGCTGTGACTGTTGTGGCCGATGAGTTTGACCACCCGAACGGTACGTAGTTTTGACTCCAGCAATCTGTAGAGTGCTCAATTTGAAACAGGTCTTACTTTCTCCCCTGAGGGTGACTACGCATACATTACCGACACAGGGATTTCGAGCGGCTTCTTCGGACTCAATTTCACTCGCCCAGCCTCTGTGTATGCTCCGATTGGTTATTCATTTTATCATAGAACTCCAGCTAATTACCAGTTTTACAGTTACCGATATGATGTTAAGGAGGATGGCACGTTTGAAAACCGCAAGCTCTTTGCTTTTGTTAATTCCGGTGCGCCCGATGGTAAGTTGAGGTGCTTTCTGATGATATTTCCTGAATCATGCTGATATGTCCATCCACAGGTATCCACTGCGACTCTTGGGGCAACGTCTATGCCGGCTGCGGTGATGGTGTTCAAGTTTGGAACCCCTCTGGCAAGCTTATTGGCAAAATCTATGTGGGCGCTACCTCAGCGAACTTTAACTTTGCTGGACAGGGTAGGATGGTCATCTGCGCCGAGACGGATCTATACTATGCCACTCTAGCTGCGGCGGGTAATTATGTCGACAGTGAGATGTGAGTCTCTAGGGGCTTTTGAATCTATAACTTTAGAATGACTTCAGTTTTGATACCTTCATGTGAACATGGGAACGCACTGGGCCTTGTGTAGATAATCATAAGCCGACGCCATCTCTATTAAGGGTTGAATGATACATCAGAATGAAAATTCAAAATTTTTTATTCTGGGTGATGAGGTAGGTGGGGGTAGATAACAAAACACTGCCCAGATGACAAACAAACCCTAGGCTCCTAGGATCTACAGTGCACCTGATATAACCCATCACATCATTACCATCGAATAAGAGCGGAGGCAGCAACACTCTGGTACGAGTACAGTAGGTCCGATGCGCCCGCGAAAACGCCCCACTGTTCCCACGCAGCGACTACATACTCGTAGCAACCAAGCCACCCCAGCTGAATCTGAGATGGGCTCATTACGTGATGACCTGGCATTGACTGGCTAGCCGCTGTAGGATCTCCTTCTACCCGCAGCCAGCCCGTGCGTGCCCCCGCCCACTGGGCGAAGTACTTCCATCTTTACTCAGGATCCCGCGTCTCCTTCACGGATATTGTTTATGCTTTGACTGGAACGTAGCTTTCCAGATCACCGGCGCGATACACGACCTCGGGAAGTCAGGATGAGCCAACCGCCAGACCGGCTAGGATATTTCGACAATCGCGTTAGTGGAACACAAAACACCAAAGGCGGTGATGGGAGTCAGAACAATAACAACTCCAGCGCGGGGCAGTATAATAATAGCGCTAAAACTGGTAAGAGCTGTTGACCTTCGTCGAATTCTGAGCCTGCGATACTGACCGATCAGTGAATTTTGCTAGCAACCACAAGGATGGGCAAAATCAAAGTAAGTCTGCCCGCCAGGCTCGGTGTACCCTGGAGCACGATAGTTCATAAGGCTAATACTCTATAGACCAGGCAAAGATAGATGATGGTCCGTAATATACTGGATGTCTATTTGGTGTTGATTTTGCTAACGATCACGGCAGACATTATTCGGTCGCTATCATTCCCCCAGATGTGGGATCGAAGAGATCGCATCGAGCCTTGTTACCCGAATACCTGCCAATGGATTCTGGGGCTAGACAAGTATACATCCTGGCGAGATCAGTCCCGCGGCCTGCTGTGGATTAAGGGGAGGCCGGGCGCAGGCAAATCAACCCTGATGGCCTTCCTGCATGAGGAGCTTCGCAAATCGCCAGACGCAAGTCAGGGCATTGGACTGGAGTTTTTTTTTTACCGCGCGAGGCACAGAGCTGCAGCGCACCCCCTCAGGAATGTTTCGGTCGTTGCTGGTCCAAATCTTGAAATCGAATACTACCGTACGCTCTGAACTTCGTGAGGCCTACCTGGAAAGATGCCGGGTGTTCGGTACAGACCGTTGGGAGTGGCCACAAGGGCTATTGGAAAAGTTGTTTCAACAAACCATCCTCAGGTTGGCTACACAGCAGCAGGTGACGATCTTCGTGGACGCCCTGGACGAGGCTGGGTCTGATACCTTTCAACGGTTGGCAGACTATTTCCATCAGTTGAATCAAGACGCAACGAAGAACGCAGCTAACGTCAAGATATGCATCTCATGTCGCCACTATCCGATTGTGGACAAATTCCCAGCAAAGGAGATCATAGTTGAGGCACACAATGACAAGGATATTGCCACTTATATCAAACATCATCTCGATGATATGGTGGATACGGACGGTCCTCACCAGGAGGAGTGGAAAGATTTGATGAAGGCGTTGATCAAGCAAGCAAGGGGAGTATTTCAATGGGCCCATATCGTGATGCCTCTGATAAAGGAAGAGATTGACGATGGGAGGTCACCTAGGGATATTCGTCATTGGTTACCCACTCCCACTGGTAATTTAGAAGACATGTACCAGTATATACTGGAGCGTGTGATCAAGTCTAGATATCGAACGCAAGCGTTCCAGTTCTTTCAGTGGGCGGCCTTGGCCGAGCGACCCCTCACGGTGACGGAAATGCGGTATGCCATGGCAGCGAACAAAATTGACGCAACTCGACCGTCTGTCCAATGGCAGGAGATCAATGATTTTGTCGAGACCGACGAGAGCATGCGGCGAATGACCAAAACGCTTTCCGGCGGACTCGCGGAGGTGGTCAAGGGCCACGACAGTGGCGAGACAATACAGTTTGTGCACAGGACAGTGAAAGAATTCATGCGGACGACAGGACTAGCCTATTTGTCTAGCTTGATCAAGACTGTGACACCTCTTGTCGAAAAGGAGACGATTATCCTTCAGTGCCAGGCAACGTTGTACCGGTCTTGTTTATTCTATCTTCTTGCAACGGTAAAGATACCGTGCGAAAGCCTCCAAGATACACCATATCAACGGAAGGTGGAGCTTCTCGAAAAAGTACCATTCTCGAATTACGCGACCAAGAACCTCTTGGTTCATGCGAAAAGGGCTATCGAATTTCGCTCTTTCAGGCTAGAAAAGGAAATCTCAATTCTGCAGAAAGTGGTTGGGGGATGGGTTGAGTTTTACCAGGCATTTGGCTCACACGAGGCAGGATGCCCACCAGCAGGGACTACGGTTCTGCACATGGCAGCAACTGCCAATATGACGAACGTGGCAGCCGAGCTAGGGTGCAAATTTGAGAGCCTCACCGCGGTGGATAAGAATGGGGACACACCCCTCCACTCAGCGGCGCGATGGGGCCATGTGGAGGTTGGCAACATCCTGCTGGAGAAGGGAGCAATGATGAACACAACATCCAGAGATGGTGAGACGGCGTTGATCAAGGCGGCAAGTCGAGGCCATGTGGAGTTTGTGGAGTTGCTGCTGTTGAATGGCGCTGATATCAATGTGACGGCGAATGGGGTTTGTGCCCTTTCATTGTCGACACAATACCGGCATGAAGATATTATGCAATTGCTCCTTGGTTGCGGAGCCAATGTCGAGACAGCACTGCAGGCCCTGAACCTAGCCGACGACCAAATGTATCTGAAGCAATCTGCGTTGGATTATGCCGCTGCTGCAGGAAATCATCATATGGTGAAGGCTATGATCTCAGCAGGAGCCGAAGTCAACCATGCGTCGAAATCAGATCTTAAGGTGCCGTTGCATCTGGCAGCTGAATCTGGCCAAATCGACGTGGTCACGACATTACTTGATGCAAACGCAGACCCCACAAAGGAAGACAGCTTGTCTAGGACTGTTCTGTATTATGCTGGCCTTTCTGGTTCAACCTTAATCGCTCAGACTCTCGAAACTGCACTCGGTCCCTACATCAAAGGATTCGAGCTTGGACTGTGTTACAGGGCTAACAACGGAGAACTTTCAGTGCACAAGGTCCAAATAACCAAGAGAATGAGCGACTACATTCTATTATCTGACATCCTTCACGCATACAAGCAAAAGCGATGTCAAGGACTGCGCCGATATTCTCTTAAGGGCCTGCAAGCTGTAAAGCCCATCAAGGTGAGGCAAGGAATCCATCTTATCATCCAAGAAGCCAATGGCTAACACTTTTAGTATGAGCTTATCTACCCAGATTCCGACCAAACAGCTATCACTGAATGTTGCATACCTCTGTCAAAGCTACTCGCGACATGTGCTGGCCAATCCCATCTCCGCTCCATTATTATGAGTCCCCCGGAAAGGAGTAAGACTCAAAACATATGGGTGGAGGTCCTCATCCAAGAACTTTCCAAGGTGGACGGCTTTGGCCTTCTTTGTCTTGAGAGCTGGGTTATGAAAAGGATCGTACTCCTTGCTGTCACTTGTTTTGTGATCGCTGGTTTAATTGGTATTCTGTGGGCGACGATTTTAGATAAGACCGCTGATGGATTTGCCATCACGGGATGTCTAATTGCTGCCGAGGCCTTAGCCATCAGTCTCGTGATTTTTGAGGCTCAACTTCGACCGGCCAACTAGAAGAATGGCTCTAGATTCCGGAAAGACGGATTAATTATCTTGATTTTCAAGACAACGATTGTTCTTAACCAGGCTATAAAGGAACCAGAGGAAGAAGAAGAAGAAGAACTTGAGAAGAGAAAGATGGTTCTAAAGTTGAGATTGAGCGTAGTGCTCAACTTTAGAAGTGTAACGTTGGAAACAAGGGTCGAATCTCCTGAGGTCCTGAAGTTTGAAGCACCTGGGCAATAATCCGACATAAGTTTTCCAAGGTTGTTAGAGAACTACACCGAGATATATCCTCAATTTGGATGCAGTTCTATGTAATCCTATTAAAACTGGACTATTTTGGTGTATCTATCTAGAGATAGTTTCAAGCTAGATACTTACGCACTACTTGATTAGAATACGGATATTGTATGGAACATAGTATTGAGTATAAAATGTACTACTCAAGTAAAATATATAAATCGTCATCCAGGCCAACAAGGTCCTCCAGGCACGTGGGCAGATTATTGGCCAGGGTCTTCTGACCGTGGAGATCTGGGGTAGACTTAATTCTTCTAAAGTTATCATTTTGATACAAAGTCTACCTCAACATATATATATTAGTGCCCATTCTGTTTGCTGCCCAAGTGCACTACGATAAAAAAGTGGTTCCTGGATTCGGATGACGCACCCGCAGTGACGTGAAGATCGGCGGAACCTCGAAATTCTCTTCTCCTCCACACACCTACAAGGTGTAATGGTTCAGACGCAATGCTGTCAATATTCCTGCTAGGCTTCTGTGCCTATGCTCTTGCTGGTCCCTTGCAGCAGCCATTGACCGACTTCCCGTCGCGTCAACTGCACGGTCGATTTTTGCACATAACGGGTACGACATCTGAACAACCCTGTGACACCCGCGCTGACCAACAGATTTCCATCCCGACCGCCTGTACAAACAAGGGACCTCCATCGATCGCTCGTGCCACCGTGGCAAAGGACCCTCGGGGTATTTTGGGGCCGAAGGCACCGACTGTGACGCCCCGCTCTCACTCATCGACGAGACCTTTCGCTGGATCGAAGACAACTTGAAGGATGAGATTGATTTTGTGATTTGGACCGGCGATTCTGCCAGACATGATAATGACGAAAAATTACCCCGAACCGCAGACGAAATCCTCGATCTGAACACTTACCTCTCCCAGAAATGGGTGAGCATGTTCAGCGAGAACCGGGCGTCCTCGATCGCCAAGCTCTCGGTGCCTGTGATCCCGACCTTCGGAAACAACGACATCATGCCGCATAATATTTTCGATGAGGGCCCGAACAAATGGACCAAGCGCTTTTCGGAAATCTGGAACGCGTTCATCCCCGAAGACCAGCGCCATACCTTCGTGCTTGGGGGCTGGTTTACCACAGAGGTGGTTCCCGGTCGGCTGGCGGTCATCAGTCTGAACACGATGTACTTCTTCGACTCGAACAGCGCGGTGGACGGATGCAAGGCCAAGTCGGAGCCTGGATATGAGCATATGGAGTGGCTGCGGGCGCAGTTGAAGATCCTGCGGAGTCGCAACATGAAGGCGATTCTCATGGGTCATGTGCCTCCTGCACACTCGAGCGAGAAACAGAACTGGGATGAGACATGCTGGCAGAAATACGCACTTTGGGTTCATCAGTATCGCGATGTGGTGGTTGGGACTTTATACGGTCATATGAACATCGATCACTTCTTCATGCAAGATAGCGATGAGGTTGACATTGCTGCATCGGCTGATGAGCAGATGTCGATTAACTCCAAATCGGACTACCTGGAATCCTTGCGCAGTCAATGGTCCTCCTTGCCATCTCCCCCGGCTGGATTCTTCGAGGAGCTCGATTCTGAGCTTGAGGCTGGCGGTGTCTCCGACACCACAGTGAAGAAGGGGAAAAAAGAGAAGAAGAAGGAAAAGAAGAAGCGGAAGTTTTTGGACAAGATCGGAGGTCCGTGGGCCGAACGCTACAGCGTTTCACTCGTATCACCCAGTCTGGTACCAAACTACTTCCCCAGCCTGCGAGTAGTGGACTATAACATCTCCGGGGTGGAAGTTACAAACCAGCCTGTTTCATGGTACGAAGCGCATACTGCCTCCGACCTCGACTCCACCTCTCTCGAAACCCCAGAAGCCAGCGAAGACCCCGTCGAGATCGAAAAGAAGAAGAAGAAGGGCAAAAAGGGCAAGAAGCCCGACTTCAAAGTCCCCGATGGTCCATCATCGACCGCACCCCCAGGCCCAGCGTATTCAAACCAGCCATTCACCTTCCTCGGGTACACCCAATACTACGCGAACATCACCCGAATCCAAGAAGAGATCGACGAAAACCAACCCGAGGACCCTCGCCTCAACTTCGAAGTCGAATACACCACCAACGACGACGTGTATCGAATGAAAGACCTTACTGTGCGCAGCTTCTTCCAGCTCGCAGGCAGAATAGCCGATGAGGATGCCCAGGCCGATACCAGTTCGACTGCCGATTGGTCTGCCAAGAAAAAGAAGCCCATGAGCATGATCTGGCGGGCCTTTTTGAGACGAGCCTTCGTTGGGTATGAAGATATTGACGACTTGGATTGAGGTTTACGGAGTATATACTTGCATTGATACATGGCTTTGTGCATACTGGGGTGTTGGTTGATTCCTTTGCCCCTGTAATTCAGACTAAAATAGCAAATACGAATTTTAGATGATAATAACCCTGCTTATTTGAATTTGCCAATATATTCTTCCACATTTTCAAAGCTTTCCAAATTGGTTGTAAAAAGCTCTTTGATGTATAGGAATTCGGTATTGGCCAAAGGGGTTCAATACCGAATTCCTATACATCAAAGAGCTTTTTACAACCGAAAAAGAAGAGTGAAGGAAGAAAGTGACGAAAAGAGGAAAAAGGCGTATACAAGATGTTGACGTCATCGACCCCGGACAAACTGCGCTGCATTCAGGGTCCGGGGAACTACAATCCGGATTCCTGGATGTTTCCCTTTTCTTTAAAATGCAAGGGTCCTGGACATTTTCACTCAAATAACTACCTTCTATATTTACTCAACATGCTGGGACGTACATCATTCAGAGCCGCAAGATCCGCGCGAGGCCAAGTACAGGCCAGAACACGATTCGCCAATCCCCGATTCCAGTCCACCGCATCTAATGCCTCCGGAGGCAACTCTGCCCTGGTAGGCGGTCTTACCGGAGGTGCAGCAGCCTTCGTTGCCGGATACGCCTGGTACCATTTCTCAGGCACCAAGTCCCTCGTTGCGACCAGCAAACAGGCACAAGACTACTTCGAACAAGCCAAGCAGACCGTCGCGGAAAAGACACCTGAGCCTCATGCTGCCTATGGCTGGCTGAAAGATACAGTGAAGAGCTACGCTGGGTTCATCCCTGGAGCAAGCAGCTATGTTGATTCGGCTTTCGATGACCTGGAGAAGATCCGGAAAGACCACGGCAAGGAGTTCGACCAAGTGATCGGCGATGCGTATCGCGAACTGCAAGATCTGACGAAGAAAGAAGGCGTCAGTGCTACTTCGGCTGCTGCGGCGTTACAGATTCTGCAGAAGCATTCGAAGAGGTTGTTTGAGTTGGCTGGTGATGCGGCGGGGAATTTGCTTGAGAATCATCCTAAGTTGAAGGAGAAGATTGGGGGGAGTTATGATCAATTGAAGGAGATGGGGGATGCATATGGGCCTAAGGCGAAAGAGGAGGTGAATCGGACGTGGGAGCAGATTTCTGGGATTGTGCAGAAGGGCGTCAGTGCTGAGTCTGCAGAGGAGATTAAGAAGTTGATTCAGGAAAAGACGGAGAAGCTGCAGAAGTTTGGTGAGGAGGCTTGGCAGAAGGGCCGGGATGAATCACAGCAATACCTTGAGAAGAACCCGAAGCTCAACAAATTGATTGATGACAATGCTGAGTCTTTGAAGAAGGGGAATTTCAAGGATTTGTGGGGTCTTATCAAGGACAGTGCCTCTTCTGGCAAGACGGAGGAAGTGGAGAAATATGTTCAAGATAAGGTTGAGGGAGCGAAGAATACCGACTTTGCGAGCTTGGGCAAGTGGCTGGATGTGATCCCTGGTGGCTCCCAGGTTATTCCTCAGCTACAGTCTCTTCGTGACATTGCGCAGAAGAAAGGGGGCGAGGCGGAGAATGTGCTCAAGGAGACTCTCAGTGAATTGCGAGAGGTCTTGGAGAAGCGAAAAGAGCAGGTTGAAAAGCTTGCCGAGGAAGGGAAGAAGGAGAGTAAATGAGGTTGATCTCATTCTATTATCCTGTCACATACACAGCCATCTCATCCCTTCAGGTCACAATTGTTAATATTGCACAAGTATAAGAGATTCGATACTTCTGTACTATTTTGATTCATTGGCCTAACTTTGAGCTCTAACACTACCCCAGTGGTCTTGGGATGTCTGCATTGCTCAATTAAAACCGAGTAGAATCAAATATCTTAAGAGACTTAACTTGATCTCGAGTCGTCCCGTTAAGTACATTTCCGCCATCCAAACCTTATACGGGCCGATACGTCATGGCTAGAAAGCAGGGAACCCAGTCTCGTCCAGGGATTCTGCAACATTTTATCGATTCATATAAGACTTGTGATCCCGCCTGCTCTTCTGATCCAAAGCCTCTCAGTACCTGATCTGTGTTCGCTCTCAGATCCCTGAAAAACCACACCATCACAACCATATCACCACTACTCTATACCTATTAAGCCCAACATCATGCCTTCAATCCTAGCCTCTCTTAAGGACCTATTCACATCAGTCTTTGAAGTGATATTTTCCGTGTTCCAAAGTGCCTTTGATACGATTACCGGTCTACTCACCTGGATAGTCAACTTCCTGGTTGGCACTGTGCAGATGGCACTGCACACCGTCGGAGAAACCCTCAAGGCTGCAGGTGGACTGGGAAATTTGATCGCCAGTGAGTACTGATGTATCAGGCAAGATAATCATGGCATCCATGTATTAACGCGATGAGCAGGCAACATCGTTCTTATCGCCCTTGTCGCGGGTGGTATTTACGGCTATGTGCGCTATCAAAGCCGCCAAGGACATCCCGTCCGGGTTGGAAATAAAAAGCTGAACTAGCTTGTATCAATGACTTGTTTGTCGGCTTGAATATTTCGATCTTCAATTTGAATGTTGTCGCTGGGGTACGGTGTATAAAAGGTTCCAAGCTGTATAGTTCGAAGCCGAGACTCAGCCGAGCTCCGGAGACTGGTGGATCCCGCGCAATGATCTGCGGTCTGGGTACAGCTTTGCACTCTTTTGCTGTAAGCATAAATAGCTATTATCGTTGGGTATTCCACAATCGGTATGAGTGACTTCTAAGGTCATGAAATTAGGAGTTATTTGCAGAATAGTAAAAATGGTATGAGATTACGGTAATAACCACAAACAACAAGCGCCATACAGTACGGGTACACAGCCACTGCCAGCGTGGCAGTCCGTGCAGTCTTCGGGCAGCGAATACCCCCAAGGCCTCGAAATAGCCCCAGGTTAGCCTCAGTCAAGCTAAGACTCTAAGCATGAAGTCATACGCCACGTAGCGAGGGGGTTTTCAATCTTTAAGGTGGAGCAATCCCTCTTTACTCCTTGCATTTGCATCTCAATTCTATTACCAGTAAGCGCACACAACTTCCCCAATTCGGTTCCCCGCACTGCGCTGGCGAATACGTTGAGAGCTACCTAGCTCTACTCCGTACCTTCGTGCCTGCTTGCGATACTTGTACACTGGACTGGGGCAGCTTATTTATCTATCTAACCTCCTTGCATAGCTTGCTGCAATTTGCGACCTGTCGCGCCGATATTCGTGTGCGCCTGCAATTTTGAATTGTGCACTCCGCACGGACAGGGGAGGCTAGGGTACGGAGCCCGCAATACTGACGGAACACCAAATATTCGGCCCTGCGATTGCCGTTGCGATTGACTTGCGCCGGGCTGTGATATACCTCGGTATTCCAGTCGCGAACCGCCGGTACATCAATTTGGGGCTGTCGCTTTCGCGATCCGGTGTATCGCGCCGCCAAGATCTGAGCTGCGCGGATCGATTGGCCCGCGTCTCTATTACGCGCGTGGCTGGCATGGTACAGCCGCTGCGTTTGGGCATTTGAAGATCGGTTTGCTATATCGGTGAGTGGTTTCTGTTGGTCCTGCATCCATCCTGGTTCAAGCTTTCCACCCAGGCTGGACCAATTGCGATTTCTCCAGATATGAATTGCCTGGACAATGTCCTAAAGACCATGACTGACTCTGGTCCAGACTCCCCGGTTTCTGGGACGTGCGCTTTATGGATGGCCTCCTCCGAGGTGGACCAGAAGGCCTTGGGCAATTTTGCCGCCGTGATGGGCCTCGAGAACCCCTCCCTCTCGACAATGCTATACAAAGTGCTCGGTGTGTCCGTCATGCTGTCCAAGAAGCTGATCCGAGCTCGCAAGCTGCGTCGCTTGGACACTACTCGTGAAACCAGATCTCTGCAGCTGTACCACCACATCATATGGCTTTCGCGAGAAGGCCTGCTCATTCTGGAAGGCTTCATCCTTCCCAGGGTCGACATGTTCGTCGAGCTCAAAGTGCTCGCCTATAAACTCCGTGCCTCATTCTACCACATTTTTGTGTTGTTTCACAATCGCCCGGTCTTCACACATGAACCACCCCCCTTGTTCAGCAGTGACTCGATCTACGGCGTCGAGTCCCTATTCAAGGGTCCCACACCCAGACCCCCAGGATTGGGCGTCCAACCAGTCCAGCCACCATCTTCCTTCCTTCTCCCAACCCTGGACTACACAGCCACAGCAACAGCCTGTTTCAACCACGTCTCCGCCCTCTCCGACAAACTCCTCCCAGGCTCACACCCACTCCGGCTCTCCGTCAAACTCGAATACGCCGCCTACCTCTACGACTGCCTCCAAGACCCCATCGCCTGTCGCCGTCTCGCCAAACAAGCCATCGCAGACGTCTACAACGCCCAAGAAGGAATGGACGACGAAAGTTTCGCCGACGCAGCAGAGATCGTCGGCGTCTTGGGCAAAATGGTCAAACGCGGCAAACCAGGCAGCAGTATCGGGACAGTCAGTAGTGTCTCACGCTCCCGAAGCCGAAGCAGTCGCAGTCCCAGCCATCGGGATGCCAGTCTTCCCACGACTGTCTCACCACCTGCCACGAAGATGACCCCGCGATCGGCATCCTCCAGCCAGCCGATGCTCGAGCCGGCAGTCCCCGATGCATCCATGGTGAATCCCATCTAATCTGTGTACGACTTGCAAAAGGCGGTTTGGTTCTGTTACCTTGTATATAAATGTGACGCTGTATCCGATATCCGAGACATGAGTTATGATTCTGGAATGTATATTCCATGGAGCGGTTTTCTGCATTAGTTTGTGAATGGAGCTTTTGACTGTTAGACTTTTCTGATGAGATCTCGCATGCGTGTGCGAATTGGAACGTGCGCGTCGAGAGCGACTAGGTTCAGTCGGTGCTGCAGCTGGATTTGAACGCATTTCATACTTGATCGCCAACCATTTGAAATGACTGGATCACTGCGTGTTGGTAGAGCTCGCTCGACTCAGCTGCAAGTGTAGCTCAGTTCTGACAGGACGGATCCATCGAATTTCACAGAGAAACCGGGGTGGCGAGTGGTTTTCTACTCGTAGTCCGCGAAGGTTCGAGGGATTTTCGATATGCACGAATCAAGCATACGACACGCGGCCACGGTCATGGGACTGTGAAAATACAATGGTTGAATGTCTCACTTCGAACAAGAACTTCAGCCATCACCGCAGTCCAGTCCGAATATGGTACCGATTTCCCAGAAGGGACTAGGCATCAACCAATCTAGCCCGTGTGGCGTTTGGAGAGGGTCGTTTTGGGCTTTGTGGTCGCGTTATTGAAGGCATAACAGCCGAGCGGCAATGCTTCATTGCTGCCACGATATCAGGGATGCTTGTTTAGTAAAATTGGATATAACAAGAGACCCTGTTTCGCCGTAGTATCTCGAGTCAACCGCTTCAACGGGGATCAGCCCAATCAGAAGGCCGAGATTGAGCATGAGTGCCGATCATTGTCCGAGGTTATTGTCAAATCTCGCACGGTGTGCCGATAACTATTTCTGTCTTGCGACTTGGCTCACATCACAACGCTAAGTACTTCGTAGTAGAGTACTCCGTACTTGTAGAGGGAAAAAATGGAGGAAATCCTGTTTCGCGGTGATCGACGTGGCTGCCTCAGGCCACCATTCCTGGAATGCTGTCAAAAGAAGAAAAGAACGCAAAATTGAGAAAAAAATAAAGTAGACATTCTTGAAGTGACAGTTTACTTCTTTCATTTAAGAACTTTGGCAGTCCAAAAGGACGGGGGAGAAACCCGTGAACTGTCTTGGTCGACGTCATATAAGAAAAAAAAAGAGGGACTTCCTCTTCTGCTTCTGTTTTCCCCCACTCAGCGCACTGGCGCGTATACAATCCTGCTGTTAGCATTGATCTCTGATGGCCTTCTCGTCGCTCTCAACTCTCGCGAAGCTCGTATCACAATTGTCCTGATCCACAGGCATGCGATCTGGCTTGGGGAAACCCGGCGCGCTTCCGCTGCTCGCCTTGGTGGTCTTCTCGCTCCTGACCCTGGTGCCCTCACTGTCAAATCTCTATAACCTGAAGCTAGCCGACTTCAGCTTCCACTCAGGAACAGCTAGCCGTACGTCTCCCACCCGTCAGCCGTTCTGAAACCCCCAACTGACCCTAGCCCCTGCAGAGCTCCCTTTGCTGCAAGATGGCGTGACCGAGCTCCCAAAAGCACACCCATTCGAACCACGCGAACCATGGCCTCCAGCAGCGCCACACCGTTCCCGCGTAAATCTCCTCCCGCGCACAGTACGAGTAGGCAACTCTGCGCTCTCGACCAGCGAAACACTGAACAAAAGTCGACTTTCGCGCGAATCCTCCTCATTTAGCCGCCGCGCTCGCGCATTCAGATCTTACTTCACCCAGCACTGGGAAGAATATCCATTTCTCGCATCTTTTTCCAACCGCAGCATCCTCGAAACGCATCAATACTCTCACAACAACTCGCCACCCCAAACCGACCCAATCCCAAACACACATAATCAAACCAACCAACCAGAACAACCAGACCAACCGCCCAGCATCCGCGAAATAAGCCAAAAAGCATATCGCAGGGCCATCGAGCTCGGAAAACAAGCAGCAACCCGTGGATCGGAGTACGCCAGCTCGTTTTTTCACGCCAAAACAACATTAATACCCCATTCGACAGAGAATTCGACAGAGAGTCTACCGCCCTCGGAAGTCCAGAAAGTTGGAGCCGAGGACTCCTCTCATGCTGCCGCCGGTCGGCACTCGAGGGAGCTGCATGGAAGTTGCATGGCTGTTGTTATTGGCCTCGTGGCGGGAATCATGTGGTTTTGAAGTTGATTTCTCGCTTTCATGCTGATATGTGTGATGATCTTTGTTTGATTTTGTTTAGGCGCATCTTAGATACTTGTAGACAATTGGGTTGATGGCTCGGGTTTAGCCTAGGGACTCTAATAATCACATTTTTTACTGATATCTTGGGCTTCTCTATGCATTGGCAGGGAACTTGGTAAGGAGCATGATTTTGAATGCTTATAGGATGGACATTGGAGAATGGAAGCAAGGCTGAAAGCAGACAAACAGCTGGATGGACAAAGGATCCTGTCAAATAGTTCCTGTTGCTGATATCTCTTGGGGCTCTCCAAATCAATATGCCTTTGCCAAGCTGATAGAGTTGCCATGGAAGACACAAGGTGCTCCTGTTGCCAAAACCCTTCCCTTCCGACATCATCTATTTGCACTAGAGCTCAATTAGCAACCCAATGTACCTTTTCCTGGGTCGTAAATGTTATTGACATACCACGTTTCCTGAGCAGCTTCCCTGACCGGGGCAGCACAAGAAGGTACCGCCATTGCAGTATTGGCCCTTCTGAGAGCATCCAGCACGAGCCTCGAAGGTGTTGCCTGGATCGGCAGCAGCAAGGGCAGCTAAGGCGAGGACAATTGCGTAGAGCTTCATGGTGGGAATTGGAGTTTGGGAGGGATTGATAATTGAGTGGTGTAGTAGAGGTGAGACTTGATATCTGTGAATGCCTGATGCCGGCGAGAAGTGGGTTTATATAGACCACGAAGATCCTCTCACTCCCAGATAGGTCTGATGGAGCGCTTCGTAACTCCGGTGCCGAGCCAGACATGTTGATATACTGATTGGTTGTATAGTCGATGTTACATCGCACTACTCCCCCAACTGCACAATATCAGGCCACCAGTCTTCAGGATGCTCACTTCACGTAAGACTGAGTCCTTCATGGGCATATCATTTGCTCAAAGTGGGTTTCATACTCGTCTTGGCGCCATTGACTCTGGCTCTGTGGGGGAGGATCTACATCAGCCTGCACGAGCTGTGGGGGCCAGTACAATCAGCGCAGAGATTGGGGGATAAAAGCTGGGATTGATGCAGTTACCAAGTGATGTACGAGTAGGGCCACGAGACAACAATACCAACTATCCGAATACCTGCAGTGGCAATAATATGATACCTAATGCGGGTTTCACTTTACAAGACCTTGAACTCTACGTGAGCAACTCAATTATGTACAATTCAATGGCACTTCGTAATTGTTTTTACACCCCAGGAACGATGAAAGAACTCTTTGATTGAAAAAAAAATAAGCTCTAGTTAGTCCTGAAAGGCCTTGAAATGTAATATTGGAGCCTCCTGCATTGAATGAGGGGTCGTTATGGGTGGCTGCATCAAGGCCAACCTTAGGACCTCGTATCCGGCTGATCCGCACCTGGGCATTACTTCGGTATGCGAGGGGTCGGGTTCCAGCCCTGGAGCACTACAGCACCCAATTTCTTGAAGCCTTTAGCCTGGTGTCATGCATTTAAGCCTTCTACATCGATGTGGCCAGCGAAGGGGCTCTATCCTACCCAGGCGCCGATTCGCGGTTCCAGTGGGTATATCATGAATGGCCGCCCAAGTACGGAGTACGTCCAGGCGGTTTGAAGGTCTTCTTTGAATCGGAACGGAGATGTATCAGCTTCCCTGCACAATTTTTGACCACGGGCAGGATGTGGAGCCAGCATCAAAAGGCCGTGAATAATTTGGCTCGAAGAATTCTGGGTGATGTTAAGGGGTAAGCCACGAAGGCCCAGAATCCAGAAAATGTTTGAGTGTAGGTCCTCGCGGTGAGTCGGATTCTTCCACTGCTGGATTGCTGTAAATGATGGAATCCGGCCCTTGTCTGTTCGAAAAGTATGGATATCGTGCACTGTAGTCCTTTAGCCCCTGATTCGGATACTTAATACCTGCCGGAACTGTAGCCAAAGATTGTGATGTGAAACTGGGGTAAACTGGGGGATACGCTTGTTGCAGCAGATGTCCTCAAAAGATTGTGATTGTTCGATTGTGGGTGAGGTGTGGGGTAAATCTCAGTCTGTCCCTTATTTTCTCCAGTGCTGTCCCCTCTTCTTTTCCTCTTCAATTCTCCATGACCCAACTCATAGCGCCCATTCGGCTTGTTCTTCCCCATTCCAATGTCGCCTGGCGCTCAAAAACCCGACATAAACGTTTGATGGACCTCCCCCTGTCACCCTGAAACAGGCCGTGACTTGTGATCAGTAGCTTGGGCTACGCAGAGCCCAGAGTCTACACACGGGCTGTCATGGCCTAGGCGGATCGGATATTGCTGCCTGAGTGAAAAATGGGTACGGAGTAAGCTTGTCTTCATGTTCTGGGTCACATTGCAGCGTCCGATCTGAAACACCAATTTGCTTGGCAAATGCGCACAGCCACTTCAGCCACTCAAAGTGGGTTACAATTGACATATCGCAACTTTGATCTCGAAGTGAAAGGAACTTTCAAACTACCTGAGGTCATCGACAATGTGTCTCAGTGGTCAACCAAAAATAACGAAAAGAGAAAGAAACACGTGGGGATGGCAGGCCGTTCCGTGGTTGAGGAGGAGCATCAGATAAGCTTGATTTGACGAATCCACAGATTGGCCATCTTAGCGACATCCTATTATACAGCGGGCTTGTCGCGGAATTTAGAATAAACATATTGCACAGCCACAATATAAGAATAGGTAACATCCAATACAGAGGCTCGCCATCGATTCCTATCTGTCCACTGTACAGAGTACCTGCATGAAGGTTGCTCACTCATGTGATTTCGCGCTAATCATCTCTCTTACTCTTGGCCCCCGCCTTTTCTCCAACCTTCATGTCTCAGCTTCAGGTTCGCCATGGACCCGATCAGTGCGGTCGGGTTTGCTTCGGCCATTGTTCAGATTTTAGGCGCCCTGACTTCAACGGTTCATGGCCTCTATCAAATACAAGGGAGATTCAGCGATGCCGACTTTACAATCCACTCGCTTATCCAAGAGCTAGAATGCATCAAGGCAGCGCTCACAAGTCTGGAGAGATGGTATAAACTCAATTCATCGGATCCGATGGTGTCGGCGGAATTTCGTGAGCAGCTCGTTACAGCCACCCAGGGTTGCGAGATCAGTATGGAAATATTGTCCGAGGATGTCAGGAGTTTGGTTGAAGGCTGTCGCAGTGATGGCACAGTTGGATTGCGATTGCGCATACGAGTCGTCTGGAAAGAAGATATCATGAAAGGACACCAGGAGAAGCTACATGCGCAAGTCATGGCGTTGCAGCTATTGCTCCAAGTTTGCCAGTGGTGAGGAGACTCCCTCATATCTGCCCAAAGTAAACTGAAACTAATTTTCTTTCGAAGTCATACATCACAAGAGCAGGTCCTCCTATTACGAAAGGCAACGACTCGTCGTATAATGGAGAGGGTTCGCGATGACACCGAAACACTATTATCCACACGGAGTCAGGCCACATCGAGCGCAGCAAGCTTCTCGCAGAAGAGCAGTGTCACAGTCAGTGACCGGGTTTTCGATTTCACCGACGTCCTCACGGACTTGCCAGCCAGTCGGGACTCGATAAAGCCACGCGCGCCGTCAATTGTGACCATCGGCAGCCACACTCACACCAGCAGTGGCCGAAGTCCATTCACAGATGAGGGTTATGCAAGCACCCATACACGGCATAGCGACTCTACGGGGATGTTTGATGATCCTGCCTTCCCCCAACAGCATCTCCTTTTGCCCACCAGTCCATCAGCCCCAGTGCATCCAGCTCACAAAAGGGCAACATCTTACCATGAAGCACCGCGCCCAACCTTTCAAAATATACCCCGGAGCAAGTCAGACACCAAAGCACTGAAGACACCTGAGGTGCCTGCCTCCAAGCTTGGCAGGATATCCTCACTTTTTCGTTTGAATACCACGAGTCGTCTGAATCTTTCCTCCTCATTTTCCAAACCCTCACCGAAGCCGGGGAACGACACGTCGTTCATTAAGCATAAGCCGAAGCGAGATGCCAATTCCCAGACCAGCGTCGATTTGAACGGGACGGACGCTGGCACTATCCCCCAGATCGTGAAGGCCGCTCAAGTGGGTTCAGCAAATGAAGTCAACCAGCTCATCGAGTATGGCCTTGACATCGAAGAACGAGACAGAAAATCCGGTCGAAATGCATTACTCGTTGCTGCGCACTGCGGAAACGATGAGGTCGTGGAGCTTCTGATACACCATCATGCTCGAATAGATGCGAAGGATGGGTCTGGCTGGACGGCACTTCATCTTGCAGCTTCGCGAGGCCATTGCGGTGTGATAAACATTCTAATGCGGGAAGGCAATATTGCTGAAATCCGGAACTTGCAAGGACGCACGGCGCTACGGATAGCTGTTGACCGGAGCCAGCAAGACGCCCTGAAGATGCTTCTCATGCACAATTCAAAAGTCGACACCCGTGCCGAGAACCAAATGACTGCTCTGCATATTGCAGCAAAACAGGGTGATGCGGAGATTGTTAACATGCTTGCATCAAACCGTGCCGATATCGAGGCCAAGGATGCTACCATGATGACAGCATTGCACTATGCCTGTGAAGAAGGTCACGTCGAAATGATTGCAGTACTTCTGGCTCACAAGGCCAATATCGAAGCTGTGGGTCGGGACCGCAAGACACCGTTGATATGTGCTGCCGAAGCAGGTAGATCCCGGGCCGTGGAGTACCTTTTGAAATCCAAACAAAAGGCCTCATCGAGTACGGTGGATGATACCGGGATGACTGCGCTACACTGGGCCGCCTACAACGGCCACGAAGAGACAGTGGAAGTTCTCAGTCGGAAGCGAGGATCCTTGTCTAGGGTCAATGGAGTGGGCAGAACGGCGTTGCATCTCTCCGTAATCCAAACCCAGTTTGCTGTCGTCGAGCCCTTATTACGCAAAGGTGCCGATGTCAACACCCAATGTGCAACAGGCTTGACTCCTCTTCATTATGCTTGTATGGCAGACAGCTTCGAACTAGCAAGTCTGTTGCTCTTGGCGGGAGCTGACATCGAGGCATCGGAATATCAACACCAGCAAAGAGCTTTACATATCGCTGCAGGGCGGAGCTCATTACGTCTTCTGGATCTGCTTGTTAGCAAGAATGCCTCTTTAGATTCCCGCGACAGCGCCGGGGATCGACCGTTGGGTATAGCATGTCGCAACGGACATGTGGCTGCTGTCCGTAAGCTGTTAGATCTCGGATCTCCTCTCTATCAGAAGAACCCACCCACTTCACGCAATGACTCTCCTCTATGCTTGGCTGCGATGGGAGGTCATCTGCCCGTGGTCTCGCTGCTTCTAGACGAGGGTCCAATCGCATCCAAAAAGGACGAGCGTGGCTGGCAGCCTTTTCGCTATGCAGCATACCACGGCCATACGGATGTTCTCCGGCTTCTCTTGGAGTACACTAAAATATCTGACGTGGATGTTCCTGATATAATTAACATGACAGAAACACATGGGTTCTCACCAGATGCCATCGTTACCGAACAAAGCAAGGTCCAGATCAGGGAACTTCTCAACCAGGCTGTGGTTTTGTCCGGCCAGATGCCTCCAATCCATGGCACAAGTATTCTGCAGACAATAGGTCAACACAGCAACAACGCTCAAGGTTTACAGTCTCGAAATACGCGAGACCGTGAAGGCTTTTTACCGCAAGAGCTTCCAGCAACTTTGGAGCAAGGTCTGCCAAGCAGCCGCTCAACGACACCTGAGTATGGCTATCGTGCCGAGCGTCCTCGATCCACCAACCCTTCCGCGCGCACTGATATACAAACCAGTGAACAACGACCGTCATCGATCGTATCCGCACAAAGCGGCCTCGTCCACGATACCTATCGTGGACCATCTCCTATACGTCAGTCAGCGCGGACTCCCGTGGGAAGGGTCTCTGTTCCGTCTGCAGCCAGAGAGCCATTGGTTTCGGCCAACTACATCCCTCAAGCAATTCCCGTCTCTTTGCCTCAAACTCCCCTAAGCCTTCCGAGGACATATCCTCTCAGCTCAATGGCTGCAGACCCTTCCACTGGCCGTATGTCAGTGCCGCCAGATACCCATACTCAAGAGAGTTACGGTTCTATGGCAATATTTCCTGGGTATCAAAGTGAGGCCTCAATTGCCACGCCAGGAGATCCTCCTGGAAACCTTCAACGCTCTTAAATAGTGGTGAATGGTTTCGATTGCAAGCCTAGGAATAGATCTTGCCTCATCCTTAGCTCCCTTTTTGCACCCTCTTTTCTTTCATCCTTTTTTTTTTTTTTTTTTTTTTTTTTTTTTTCGTTTTTTTTTTTTTTGTTTTTTTTTCTTTCTTTTTTTGGGCTTTGAAAGGAATTTTTTTATATTGTTTCCCCCTCTTTTTTTTTTTTCTTTTTTTTTTTTTTATGTGTT